ACTACATTAGTACCTTGTGATCATGAGCCATCTATAAACTGTGCTAAAAGCCTTGTTTATAAGTAGCATGTCAAGCACTATATACAATGCCAATATGTTTTGTCAATATATTGGATGGTTAAATAAAGATATAATTGGAGCTTCCACTCTATATATCCCTATATATGTTTGCTTGGTATGGACTTAAATGAGAGCTTATCATAGTATAGGATAACAATTTTTATTATTGATTTACTAAATCATTAACAACTCTTGTAAAAATATGGCAACTCTCAAGATCTAGATTAAGTATCAGCTAGATATTTAAAGTCTAAAGCATTGAATAAAAGCAAGGGGCCAACATTGCCTAAATTAGTCTTAATGCAGATCAATGCAAATGCTTATTCTTTTAACATAAATATGCCTATACATAATTAGTTTTATTATTTAGGTTCTCTAATTAGACAAACTACTATACTTTACAAGAACAATTATGGATAATCCTCACTATTTTACTAACATATATTAGATGGGCATCTTTTAGTTTTCAAATAAATCATATCTAAAGATATTTATATACACTATAGTTTTGGCAAGACAAAAAGTTTAGAAAGCCAAATAATATTGCTGGTAGAAAATAGACAATATCCATAATATATATATGACCCTCAAAGCCAAAATAATATTGCTTATATAAAGCTTGTTGAGGCCAGCACCTGATCATATGCAAAATGTGTTATATAAGGGCAATAGTGTTATTAAGATGCTTGAATAGATAATACTAATATATGTATAACAGATTTCTTTCTAATGTGCCACTTGCCTCTATCTTCTTTCATGTAAAATATAGTAGCTAATATGCATAAGACAATAATCTCATTTTCTGTCTTAAAAAATAATAGTTTGAAATATCACACATGGTTATTTGCCAAAGGCCTAGAACTTTCTATATAACCCAGCTAAATTACACATAGTTAAATAAGTGAGTCGCTATCTGTTCTACATTTATAGAAGAGATAATTCCACAGTATGTTTGTGTATATGGTCAACTATTTTAGAGCTCAGGGTCTCTCACAAAATACCAACAAGCTTGTAAAACTTTCAAGAAGTATCTTTCTGGTATATTAGAAAAGGAAAATCAAGTGCTTTTTATAAATAAGAGGTAAAAGCTAAATGTTGATGCTAGGATAGCAAAACTATCACAAGCAGGTCTAGCCCAAGAGACTAATATGTAACCAACAATAAATCACTAATAGGTACATGCCTTGTTTTTGATATACAGCATAGGCTAATTTATGCCCTAGTAGAGTCCAAGTGTTAATATATTTATTAATGATAGTAATATGTTAATAATAGACTATTAGCCTTGGAATAAACATCTCACTGTTTTTCTGCTCAATTTTAATGATATCCTTCACTATAGCCAACTATACTTAACACAGTCTCTTTTGTATAGTTGGATATATCTTAACAGGATCAATACATTTCAAGTAATTTTACTATATTGCCATTAGCCAACAATGGAAATTCAGTATAGCAAAAACCTATTAGTTTTATCAGCATAGTGTATAATATATGTGGACTATCTTGTTAATACAATAGAGCACACTCACCTATATATAATCTAGAAAAATGCTATAATCTTGATACTTTTTCAGATACCTTTTCTAAAATAGCCAGCCCAAACTGGCTTATCCCTAAGCTACTTACCATATCCCAATCATAATTTTTTTCTCCTTGTAAATAGTATTAAAATAATAGGGGGTAAAAAAGTCAGACCAGATTCCAAAAGCTGGTAAACATTGTCAGTATGCCTAACTTCTATCTGAATAACATATATAAAACTAACTAGAAAAATATTGATTCTGTTTTAGCTAACAAAGGTGAAGAGAATTGGCTAGACAAAAGAAGAGTTAGTTAGACAAGAAAAGAATTAGTTAGACAAGAAAAGTAGATAAATACATATACCTGTAACAATATCTGTTTTGTATCAATCCTGTTGAGGCATGCCACCAGATCCTTATGCTTATACTAGAGACTATATAGTCACAGATTTTTATTACTATAGCCTAGTTGCTATTATAAAGAAAAAGCTCTGGGATCCTACCAACAATTGTTTGTTCCACTATATGCTATATAAGCTAACCTAGTAGCCTGGCCTTACTCCATATTCTATAAGAGTATATAATAAACTATATACCTTTCTAGCTTTTCTCAATGCCTATTATAACTGTAGAGCTCTCTACCTAAGCCAGGATATCCTAGAACACCTTGTCTTTGGTTTACTGCTATTTTTAGAAGGGGCAGCTGGATAAGTTCAACCAAGTAGTGGAAAAGTAGGGAACCTCCTAGCTCAAGCTAGCAGAGCATTGGCCAGCAAAGGAGGAGGCTATGGCCAAGCTTTCTTGGCAAGAGCTCAAAGTAGTGGCAAAAAAGTGACTCTGAGAGAAGGTAGAAGCATGGCAACAACTAACCCATTCTGGGCTAGACTTGCAGCATGCCAAGCCTATATATCCAGAGAGTATGCATTTGTATGTTAAAAGAAGTCTGAGGTTAGCTAAGAAGAAGTCCAGAGGCTTATAAAGAAGATGAGATGGAATAAACAAGAAGCACTCCTATAAGAGCTGAGCAAAGGAAGCAAATGAAATAAATCAGATATAGATTTCTAAATCAGCTTATATTCTCAGTGTACAATAGGCTCGCCCAGAACTCTCCTATAAAAACAGCTATATGACTCATAAAATCCAATCAAAAATCATCTATGTGCATAAATGTTGATATGCTAGTGATGCCTCTGAGTGCAAAACACACCCAAGAAACACCTCTACAAGCACAGGTAGGCAGGAGCTGGTTCTAGTGTGCAAGGAACTATAAGCTGTGCAACAACCAATAAGAGAGCATACTGAAAGTGTTCAGAGTGTGGCAAACATACAACTCCAAAATTGAAATATTTGGTTGGTTGGTTGGTTAGTAGGTTGGTTGGTTGGTCAGTTGGTCAGTTAGTCAGTCAGCTAGTGTTTGATTAGGATTTGATCAAGATGCAAAGAGGAGGGAATGGATGCAAGGCTACACTGGACACTGGCAGAGGATAACAAACTAGATGAGAGAGAGAGAGCAAGATGACAAGGGCTCTGACGGAGGGCTGCGATCAAATATAACAACACAAATAAAGGGGCAAAATGCAAACAAGGGTCGGAAGGCAATAACTCAAAGTCTTATGAACACAAGTGCACAAATATAGAATCAGAACAAGAGAGGAGCCAAAGCTGATGTATTGCAAGGCCATAGGTGCCCTTTTATAATAAGTCTGAACAGGTACAAGATAGAGAGATTGGCAGAGGCATAGAGCAATTGGAAATGCATGCTAAGAGTGATCAAAGGTAGAGAAAATAAAAGTGTGATGTTGCAAACACTATAAGATAAGAAGCAATAACTCTAAAGTCTAAATAAGTGGAGAAATTGCCAAAGTGAGTCCACATGGACCTGGAGGTAAGAACCATATACCACATAGGTGAACCATTTAGAAACTTGGGAGCTCTAAAGATAACAAAGGATAGGTCAAGGGAAGGCATAAGGACAGTAAGAAATAGAAAGACAGATCCATTCTAAGTCAACAAAGTGTTTAGCCACCTCCAATTCAAGATACCAAAGCTGACCAAATGTGCCGACCACGTAAATCATACCAAACCAATCAGCAATTGGCCACAACAGTCTGTGGAGAGCCCTTACTAGTGAGAGTGATAATAAATGGATAGGATGACTGTGAATAGCTCTGAACAACTGTGCAGAGGTCTAAATGCAAAGTCAGCACCTGAAAAATAGCTGAGAGCACCAAACAGATTGGGATCGGTCAGTCTTAAGTATGCTGAACAGTCAAAGAATACTAAAAAGCTGCGAAAAGCAGGGTATTGGTGCCTAGAGAACACCCATGCTCATCAATGTGCAATTGAAACACAGGAGAGGAACTACCAAAGCAAAGGTACTAATTGACTCAGGAGCAAAAGGGCTCCTCATTGACAAACAATTCTGCCAAAAACAGAAAATACCACTCCAAAAAATTGACAGATTCATCCCAGTACTTAATGTGGACAGCACAGCCGATAAAGAAGGAAAAATCATGGACAAGGCATGCTTACTGATGAGAATGACAAATGAAGAAGGGAACTATCATGATAAACAATATGAATTACTTGCCACCAGCCTAGGAGGGAAAGATGTTATCTTGGGAATAGACTGGCTGCATAAGCATAATCCACAAATTAATTAGGTAAAAAACTACCTTATGTTCTTCTCATGTGCAACAGCATGCATTGTCAGCCAACCCAAGTTCACAATACAAGCACAACTTTTCCCATGACAAAGAAGCACAAAGACAATTGGACATTCAAAAATAGAAGATGAACCTGAAGAAGAAAAAGAAGAAGAAACTTTCTTCTCTGAATTCTACAAAGAATAGTATAACAAAGACCCCTTTAAAATGCATCCACTCAAAGCAATTTATATCAGATCCACCCACAGCAAATCACAAGAATTGGCAGAAGCAGCAAACAAGAAAAGAACAAATATACAGTGGAAGAAATAGTCCTTACATACATCCTCAAACATTTTTCCAAAGTCTTTAGCCAAGAAGCCTCCCAAAGACTTCATGAACATTTGCAATGGGATCACAAGATTAGTATGAAACCAGGATAGGAACAAAGCAGGTGTAAATTGTACCCTTTGACAGAAGAAGAAGAAGATACACTATATGAAATGCTGCAAGAACACTTAAAGCGGGGAACCATTAGGGTATCCAAATCCTCACAAGCATCCCTATTCTTCTTTGTAAAAAAGAAGGAGACCTTAGGCCAGTCCAAGACTACAGAAAATTAAATAAGTAGACAATAAGGAACAAATACCCTTTATCCCTGATTAATGATGTAATCAGAACCATTGTGAAATCAGGAGCAAAAGTCTTCTCAAAATTTGATGTCAAATAGGGATACAACAACATTCATGTTACAGAAGGGGATGAATGTAAAATGGCATTTTTGACCAAATTTGGCCTATTTGAATGCCTAGTCATGTTCTTTGATCTCTGTAACTTGCTGGCAATGTTCCAGACTATAATGAACATAATCTTCTATGACCTCATCATCACACAAGTCATGGCAGTCTATATAGATGACATCATAATCTTTACAAAAATAGTAGAAAAACACTAACAAGTGACAGTTCAAGTAATGTAGATACTTCTAGATAATGTCCTATTCCTCAAACCCTCTAAATGTGCATTCAAAGTAGATGATAGGACTGTGTCCTAACACATGCTAAGCATGTTATTCAATAATACCACACGGTGGTGCCTACTGCCGACTTATTCACAAGCTTTGGCTTGAACTATTACACATGCCCATTATGATGCTTGGTGATTGGTTCCTGAGTGATTACTGATGTGGACAGACATTCGTCATTATTACTATATTTGGTAAAAAGGTACAGAGCTGTGGATTATGTATGTTGATCGCCAATCACAATTATTGTTTAGAAGCATGGACCATATGTCCAGCTTACCCTAAATAATCTGTATGTATTAATAGCTGAGCTGAGCTCCTCAGAAGCCTCAGCTTGTTCACTTTGTACACATCTCAATCTCTGCACTGTACCTGGCATCTGGCCCCTTCAGTCCATGCTTCATGAACTTTGCCAGATCTATAGAACCATACTTAGTCTAATGAAGCACTGGACTCACCTTACAGCTCTTATCATCCTCTATTGCCTGCAACATATCAAGGACTCACTGCTTATCGAGTCATTCATTGGGATCCCTCTGAAGTCATCTGTTGCATCGGAGAAGACTTGTTCATGCCAGATGAACAACGACACTTAGTTAACCAGCACCTTCTCTATCTATTTGAGAACAAGATCAATAGTGATCAAGAATTCCTGAACCAAGCCAAGAGACAATTGGTCATTTTTATACGTTGGGCTACCACTATCACAATTAGCCCAGGGAACCTTTTTTAGTATAATAAAGCGCACATGATAAGCTTAGCAGCTTAACACTTGAACGAGCTCTTTATTCCCTGCCCTAATATACCCTAGAACGACCTACTCTCCAATCACTAGCCAAAGTAGCATGACAAATAGTAGAAAAACAAAACCAAAGAACGGTTATGGTAACCAAAATTAGCAAAGCAATACAAGGAGAAACTGCCTGACCCAGAGCCACCACACTGGTTATACACCCAGATTTAACAGGAGTTAATACTATAACCAGATACTCAATCACTGGATGAGTATATACAGGAGTAGCAACCTACAAGCTACAACACACACAATATTACTTCTTCAACTTCAACAGAAGAATTGGATTCCCCTTTTTGGGGCTTTGCTTCACCAATAAACCTAGGACACCAGTCTTCACAGTCAGAGATCTAGAAATCAACGTTATTCACACCAAGAATACCGTTGATATTGACAATGGAAGACCAATCCACTTCCCTCAAGAATACATTGCAGCACTTAGGAAGCACATCACCAAGGACATTGATTCAGAAGGAATCAGATAGGAACTCATCGAGCATAGTCAACAAAGGCACGGATACACCATTATTATTTTTTGGACCTATACAGTCGTGAACTAGGACATGCTGGATCATACTAGATACTTACCTCATAGAACTGAAATCAGCGGAACTGTATCAGTTATCAAAAGAGGAGAGTTTGCCCACAAAACTTATTATTTCAGAAGTTTCATCAGCGGACAAACCTTTGACAAAGTCCTCACACTTTTGGACCAAATCAATAACAGAATTAACAAGATCATCAGAAGAGAACCCATATTCCAAGAAGGACTCAGGGCTGGAAGACAACACAAGATCCCCTTCCACTTCATAGAATAAACAATTGAGCCAACAGTCCAGAAGGGATACCCGTCCCCATACCACAACAACCTGATCTACATCTTCAAATACTTACCCAAAGATGTCAACCCAGACACCGTTTATTGTGACAAGGAAAGCAGACACTTCTATATTGGAGGAATCCTCACTGGATTCTACATAGGAAGCGGAAAGGAGGAATTTTACAGCAGGCCATTCCTTGGAAAAGAAATCCACGCCACACCCAAATTACAGACCACTAAGCTTGCAATCATCGTCGCCGAGCTCAGGAGAATCAAGCCTAAATCACTAACAAATTGGAACCGTAACTCACCAAAAACACACTTATATAGCATACCCTGGGAAGCAACCAGTGGAAGTCAACTCTTTAGAAGAAACACACCCACTGCATCCCCAATACAAGAAACCTCTCCACAAGCAAGCTTCCGAACCCCTTCATCAGTCGAAAGCCCCCAAGAAGAGTATACATCTGGAAAAACACCCCCTTGTATTAGCTCCGGATTATCTCTAATATAAAGGGCAACAGTAGGGGTTCGGTAGCAACTAGCCGTCAGCTAATCCCATGCGACAAACCACACGAGACCACTGTCCCATAGGCTTCGGGACGCGAAACGGAGCGTATCAGGGTTTGAAACGGAGCGTGTCGGGGTTTGAAACGGAGTTAGTCAGCATGCGCGTGCCCGGGGCTAACCTAACCATAGAGAATTCTCTTTCCCTGGCACTGTCTTGCAGTGATTTCTTCAGGTAAGGGGGCATTCAGCAAGTGCTTAGCTTGGCAACCACTCTAGGCTCTTGGTTTTGTTTTCAGGTATTTTTTTATGTAAATAAATAATAAATAAAAGGGGATAATAAGAAATGGTGGCACTGGGCTAATAGCTCAAGTCATATGTCCTTGCTCACACTTATGTAGGCCACATAAGAAACCATGTGAGCAAAGCAAGCATCCATGACAAATTGGGTGAGCAGAATGAGCCATGTTTTGGTGCTCCTAGCAACCCTAGCAACTAGAGTGGGCTATGCCTCTGCAGCCATTAGAGCTTGAAATGGCATCCTAGCACCTCACAGAGAACCTCATGGGGGAGCCTCATAGGGCAGGATCTTATTAGGAAATCTTATGGATAAGACCTTATAGGGTGCTTTATATAGGAAGAATGTCATAGAAGGGTTATATAGAGATATTGGGGCATAAGACTTTATGGGCACTGGGCTTTATGGGCACTGGGCTTTATGGGCACTGGGCTTTATGGGCACTGGGCTTTATGGGCACTGGGCTTTATGGGCACTGGGCTTTATGGGCACTGGGCTTTATGGGCACTGGGCTTTATGGGCACTGGGCTTTATGGGCACTGGGCTTTATGGGCACTGGGCTTTATGGGCACTGGGCTTTATGGGCACTGGGCTTTATGGGCACTGGACTTTAAGGGTACTGGACTTTACAGGCACTAGACTTTATGGGTGCTGGACTTTATAGTCAGTGCACTCTACAGGCACATGAGACCAAGCACTACAACAAAAACTCAGATTAAGCATGGGCACTGTACTTTACAGGCACTGTACTTTACAGACACTAGACTTTATAGGCACTAGACTTTGTGAACACTAGACTTTATGGCCACTAGACTTTACAGGCACTAGACTTTACAAACACATCGGACCAAGCACTGTAGCAAAAACTCAGATTAAGCATGGTTGCGCCGTCGCAACATGATGGGTGAAAAGCTAGTATCTAATAGTGTCTAAAAGTATCTAAAAGTCAGGCTCCTACCCATCTGAAGGTGAGAGGGAGCGGGTGACTATGAATGACACGTGCCAAGTAGATTACAGTCACGTGTAAAATATTTCCCAATAAGGAACTTTTAAACTTCAACTGCTAACCTCTCACCAACGGCTAGCATAAAACATTGGTAAACAAATGCCACCCGCGGTGCCAGTCACCCAAATTCAAAGCCCGACACTAGTTTAACAACAATATATTTTATTCTTTTGTTTATCGATAAGAAATATGAAATGGTGTGTCGCGTCACATCACTCTGCATCAGTCTATTCACTGCATGCCTCTTATCATCCTGTCAACCCTATGATCCCATGCCAGCACTTGCAAAGCTTCTCTCTTTGAGCCAAATTTACAAGAAGACTCTGAGCTTCTTCAAGAAGCACCCATGCCTGTGGCAGCTAAAGGTTGTCAAAGCAATTCTGAAGGGTGACAGAGATGTGACTTGCATTTCTGGAACAGGTTCTGGAAAGACACTGACATTCTGGATGCCGTTACTATTTGCATCCAGAATTCAGATCATAGTCACACCTTTGAATATCTTAGGGAAGCAAAATGAAGGTGACCTCCGCAAGTTGGGTATTCCAGCAGTCACACTTACAGGGCAAACTTCTAACCCTGCAATTTATCAGGTAATGTACAAAATATTATTTTCTCACTAGCCTCTTATTCTCATAATTTATTAGGCAATTGAAGATGGCTAGTATTGTGCCATTATTGTTAGCTCCGAGGAGCTCATAAAGGAGAATGGAGGTTTTGAGAAGCTTTGGAAGAATGAACAGTTTACTTCTCAAATCATCAGACCCATTTTGATAGAAGGTAAGACTACTGCGATGCAATGTGACACGCCATTTCATATTTCTTGTCAATAAACAAAAGAATAAAATATATTGTTATTAAACTAGTGTTGGGCTTTGAATTTGGGTGGCTGGCACCGCGGGTGGCGTTTGTTTACTAATGTTTTATGCCAGCCATTGGTGAGAGGTTAGCGGTTGAAGTTTAAAAGTTCCTTATTGGGAAATATTTTACATATGACTGTAATCTACTTGGCATGTGTCATTTATAGTCACCCACTCCCTCTCACCTTCAGATGGGTAGGAGCCTGTCTAAAAGTGTTAATAGTATCTAAAAGTGTTTAATTTCCTAATTGGGAGCAACACATTGTGAGCATTGGATTGGTTTCTAATTTCATGATATTAGCACTAATTCTATACTAAGAAGTCTCTAATTATTAGTAGGAAATAGTAAGTACTACTGCTCTATCAGTGAGAAGGTAAAGATGTGGCACATTTTATACTATTTTAGCATATTACTCTCCTTCATATATGCCTATACTATTATCTTGTAGCTTCTTTGCTGACTTTCCAGCTGCTTTTATAAGGGATATAGAAAGAGAGAAATGTGCATTAATGCCCCCAGCCACTTTGTTGGCAGCTTGGCAGCTGCCACAAGAGGCTATAAAGACCTAGGTACCTTGGCCTTGTACACAAGATCATTAAAGTTGTCATTGTTAGCTAATGACTGCTACTGGTCATTATAGGACACAACATGTGGGTTGGACTTAGGGATATGCTATATGCAGCCTTATAGACCTTGTCTATTAGTATAGTGGCTAATACTGTCTTGTGCAGCACACAATCATCATCATTATTGATACTACAATTTTTAGCACTATTTATATTGTTTATTGCCTTGTTATACAGAAGATGCTCAAACTTGGTGTTTTCTTCTAGCTATTAGGCTGTGGAAAAGACAGTCATATTGGTATGTGGTGCCAGAATGATATATTTGCCTGCCATATAGGAAATATATGCATTAAGCATATTAAGATCATCTCCAACAATCTTGTGCTTATTTATATATAGGCATGCCATACATATACTCTTGTCCCCACCCTCTACCTCACTAGTGGCTATTTAGAAAACCCCTCTCTCTTATTGGATCTTGATTATTCATAATCATGTTTTTGATCAAATTTGCAAATTCAGGTAGCATTGTCTATACTAGTAGAGTCCCATTGAATATTACACTCAATCATAGTTACTTCTTAGTCCAAATTGTATAAGTGCCATAATTTATTTTTATCCTATATAAAGTGTATTATTGATTTTCCATTGGTTTATTATCTTCTTAGCTGGTGTTTAAACTAAATCCTCAAAGACCTGACTTTTTAGGTATTTATTGACCTATTTATTTATAAGATAGAAGAAAGATAAATGTTAAATACAATCAGAAATGTTGAGGTTGCCTATATTATGTCTACTTATTTAGATTACCAAGTTTATATATTAGACCTTGTGGCTTAGTGGCTAGAGCATCTGTCCCAGGTGCTTGCATACATGTGGTTGTTGGTTTAACTCTGGCAAAAGGCAAGTTTGTTATAAGGTATATTCTGTGTTTAGGTATTGAACTAGTGCTCTAATAGACATGACTTTATAAGAAGGCTATGAGAACTGTGATGCTTGATTTATTATGATTTTTCCGAAATTTCAAGTTATAATCAATCCTAATAATTCCTAATTTAGGAAAATTATGTCTAATTAGAACAGGTTTAGAGAGGGGGTAAGCTAAAAATGTCTAATCCTAATTGTTCTTAATTATGCATAAATAGAACTAATTAGAGCTTAATACAAATGGGTGGTTTTCTAGATGTACTCAAGAACAAGATACAAGTAGAGAGCCTCCTGATGATAAGCAGCCCCCGACCAGTGAGATGTCAACAAATACTGGAAATCCTGGATCCAAGGGACTGGCTATGGCCAAATCCACCCCCTTCAATGGAAACAGAAAATGAACAGAGCAGTTCCTTCATAAAATCGACATAATGATACTCACCAGGAAACACAACTTCCCGGACGAGTTTACAAAAATCACATATGCGCTATCCTACATGAAAAGAGGATCAGCAAGGATATGGTCAAGAAATTTCACTAAGGCAAGGAACTTAAATGATGACTGGGACCGCTATACATGGAAACCCACCCAAGACATGACTTCGGTCTACCAGAAAATATCAGCAGACTTCGAGGAATTTGATAAAATAGTGGATGCCAGAGACAAACTGGCTAGGATCAACCAAGGGAAGGAATCCTTTAACGCATACCTTCAACTGTTCAAACAAATTGCCAAACTAGCAGGAGTTGATCTGGAAACCAAGAAAACACACTTTTTGAAAGGCCTTAAATGGGAACTGGCCCGAGGAATTTATCAAGACCCAGCAGTACAAACTACCTAGGATGAACTAGTGGCCAAGGCCAAAAGATATGAGATAATGTGCATAGAAGAAATGCAAGCACAAGACCTTAGGCAAGGAAAATATCAAGTCTTTACCCCAAGCAACTACTACTTGAACTTCGCCCCAAACCTACGTCAAGAATGAGAGTCACAATATGTCCCCATGGATGTGGATGCTGCAAAAATAGACATTGATGCTATTTGTTTCAAGAAACTTACCCCAGGAGAAAAAAGCCAACTTGCCAAAGAAGGAAAGTGCTTCTATTGTAAGAAGCCCAGGCACATGGCACACAGATGTCCCTCCAAACCGAAACAAAGATTTCCCCCACCTCAAAGAGGAAGGTCATTTCCGAGACACTGCATGACGAGGGCTGTGGAAACAGAAGGAGGAGACAAAGAATATCCAGAAGAAGGCAAACAAAGAGTAGCCCACATCCAACAAATAATGATGGGGCTCAGTCTCGACAAAATTGCTGAAGCCAGGACCTTCAACAAATCAAAGGATTTTTGAGATCTCTTCCATCGGCAGTGGATGCAAAGAGTAGGATTCTTGCAGGAAATTGGTATGCTTCCTTGGTCAATAAAGACATTGACCAAGAGCATGGACATCCAGATATATTGTATCTTTTGGAAATGAAATCACATGGTGCACCATCACTCCGAATCGAAACAATATTAATAGGCAAGAATCAAAAAGCTGCTACACAGGCTTTAGTCGACAGCAGAGCAACAGGAGTATTTATGCATCCCAATTTTGTGGAAAAGCATTGAATTTACACACAAAAGACACCCCACCCCATACTGGTTAATACGGTCCAGAACACAGCATTCAAGGGAGGACCTATCACAAGATTTGCAAAACTAAAACTACAGGTTCTAGACAAAAAAGGGGGAGTACACACCAGATCGGCAAAATTCTATATAGCTGAAATCAGGAAAGAAGATGTCATCTTAGGAACCAACTGGTTGTTAGAGCACAACCTGGAAGTCGACTGGCATGCCTATGGATTATATTTTACTAGGTGCCTACCATCCTGCAACATCACAGGAGGACTAATCAAAGCCAAGAGGGCTTTCAGGAAACCAGGATGTCAAGAACCAGAGATGCGGCGCATGGTGACAGTACCACAAGACCATAACTACTCAATCCCATCACAAAAGCCAGGAAAAGGACAGCTAGGCCGGAAAGTGGGAAACACTACAGTACTACATCTGCGGATAAAACCTAAAATCTGGGGATCACAACCCAAAGGAATGAAATTAGAGTACTACCTCAGGATCCAAGCCAAGCATTATATGGCACCGCAGTGGGCTGAAGAGGAGACTCAGGAAGGTGGTGAACTGCCATTGGCTTTATCTTCCACAGATCTAGACAAAGATGGAGTATACCTCGTCAGATGCCTGGACACAGGGCAATTGGAAGCCCTGGAGTTATACAATGACCAGGATGAAGGATTTGAGATTCATTGTACTGAGACCTCTGCCGCCAATACACCGGCACATAAAGTAGAACCTACCAAAGCAGCAATAGGCAAACAGACCAAGCACACCAATTTGCAAAAATTGGCAGAAGAAGCTTCAAAAGGGAAACCTGAATTACCCTTCGAAGAAATCATTCCCAGAGTATACTGGTGTTAGGACCGTGTCCTAACACGTGCATAAGCACGTGAACAGAAGGGAAGGTCAGGTGTTTCCTCGGACTTGAACTATTAACGACTAGGACTGTGACTTGACACGCGTCTAGGCACGTGACTCAGGACACGGTCATGAGCTACGCACATGACTCGGACTCGGACTGACTACCATTTACATGCTGATGCATGAACGCTTACGTACTATGATTCCTCTTCTGTTGTAATGACTGATGTTGATCGTGATCGGTTCCATTTGATATTGCTGCGGACAGACATTTGATATACTTACTATATATGGTTACATCGAGGAGCCGCGGAGTACAAACAATGACTGCAGCTTACATGCATCGATCGTTGATAGTACTTAGCATTTAGAAGCACGGACCATATGTCCGTCCCGCCCTAAATAGCCATGTACTATATATAGGAGAGCTGAGCTTCTTGGAAGTCTCAGCTGGTTCACTTTGTATACATCTTGATCTCAGCACTGCGCCCGGCGTCTGGCTACCTTCAGCTCACGCTTCGCGATCTCTGTCAGATCTAAAGAACCATACTCAGTCTGACGAAGCACTGGATTTGTCTCACTGCTCTCATCATTCTCTACCACCTGCAACCTATCAAGGACTCGCTGCCTATCGAGTCATCCGTTGGGATCCCTCCGAAGTCATCTGTTGTATCGGAGAAGACTTGTTCGTACCCGACAAACATCGACACGTGATCAATCAGCATCTCCTTCGACTCTTCGAGGAGAAGATCAATACAGATCAGCCTTTCTTGGAACAAGCCCAAAGATGAGCCGTTGTCTTTATTCGTTGGGCCGTCACAATCAGCTTTAGCCCAGGGAACCCCTCCTAGTGCATCACGTGCACGCGACTAAGCCTAACCAGCTTAACAACTGGAAGTACAGGAAAGTTTTCAAAGGACAGAAACCAGGGAAATTACCACCCAAACAACCATGGGATCACAAAATAGAATTAAAGGACAATATGGAACACTCACTCAGGCCAAAACTTTACAGCCTTAGCCCGATGGAGCAAGAAGAGCTCAAGAAATTTATTGACGAGAGTCTCAAGAAGGGATTCATTTGAGAATCCAAATTGCACATGGCATCGCCGTTCTTCTTTATCAAAAAGAGAAATAGAAAGCTATGGCCAGTAATGGATTACCGGAAGCTCAACAAAATAACGATCAAGAATAAGTACCCTCTACCGATTATTCAAGAATTACTGGATCTCTTGACAGAGGTGGAATACTTCTCACTGGTGGACATCAACATAAGATAAAACAATGTACTTATTGATGAAAAGGATGTCCACAAGGCCGCGTTTGTAACAAATCTAGGAATGTACAAACCTCTAGTGATGTATTTTAGACTCACCAACTCACTGGCGACATTTCAAACTATGATGAACTTGCTTTTCAAGGACCTTATCTATGGAGGAAAGGTAGCCATCTACATGGACGACATTCTGGTATTCTCAAAGACTATGGACAAACACATCAAGACAATGCAGCAGGTTTTACAAATATTACAGGACAACGACTTATACCTGCAATCCTTAAAGTGTCATTTTCACAAGAAGAAAATCGACTATTTGGGATACATCATATCCCATGGACACCTGGAAATGGACCCAATCAAAGTGGCCAGAATCACAGAGTGGCCAACTCCAACTAAAGTCAAGGAGGTCCAATCATTTTTAGGATTCTGCAACTTTTATTGCAAATTTATCAAGGATTACTTGAAAATAGCTAGGCCACTATTTGTATTAACATAAAAAGAACACAGCTGGGATTGGATGCCAGCATGCAAAGAAGCATTTCAAGCACTCAAAAAGACATTTATATCATCCCCAGTGCTTGTCATGTCAGAAACTGGGAACCCATTCCACATCAAATACAATGCATCAGACTTTGCAACAGGAGCAGTATTATCATAAGTTGCCCCAGATGGAAAATGGCACCCCTGCGCCTACATTTCCAGATCACTCTCACCCACAGAACGCAACTATCCCATATATAACAAAGAGTTACTAGCGGTCGTTCAAGCCTTCGAAGCTTAGTGATATTACTTGGAAGGCGCCAAGAACCCAGTAGATGTCTGGACAGACCGCAAGAACCTAGAATGGTTCAGAACAAGTCAAAAGTTGAACCGTCGACAAGCAAGATGATCTTTATTCCTTTCGTATTTTGACTATAAATTAATGCACAAGGTGGGAGTCACCAATAAATCCGATGGTCTGTCATGGTGTCCAGACCATAAAGAGGGGGTGGAATTTGACAATTCAGGCAAAACACTCTTGGAACCCAAACTTTTCAATCAAGTAAAAGAAACAGGGCAGAGACCTTTTGCAGAAATCAACACAATCACCATAGAGGAAAAACTGAACACCCACATGATATGGCATATTAGAGCCACAGGACAAGGAGACATCACGATTATTGACGAAGACTTCAAGAAACAGATTATAGCAGCAAATCAGAAAGACAAGTGGCTAATCAAAACTCTAGCCAAGGTCAAGGAACTAGGCCCTCACAGCATGAAGAAAGGCCTACAGGAATGAAATGACAAGGAAGGACTTGTTCTACACAGAGGAAAAATCTATGTTCCTCAAGACAAACAACTTTGTTGAGAGAATATCAAGATGAATCATAACAATCTAGCAGCAGGACATCCAGGACAAAAAGGAACACTAGCCTTGGTAGGACAAGAATTTACTTGGCCTGGAATATCAAACACAATCCACCAGTATGTGGAAGAATGCACAACCTGCCAGTCTACCAAGAATGACACACACCCAACAATGGTTCCCCTCCAACCAATAAAGATTCCAGACCGACCCTTTGGAACAATCACTATGGATTTCATTACAGATTTACCTCAGTCAAAAGGATTTGACTCACTCTATGTGGTAATGACAGATTCATAAAGGCAATGATAATCACACTGTGTCTGAAAAGCATTGATTCAGACAGAACAGCCCAACTACTACTGGATCATACCTGGAGAAGATATGGACTACCCGATAAAATCATATTGGATAGAGGAACACAGTTCGTGTCAAAAGTAGCACAAGCACTACTCAAGGAACTAGGAATCAAGTCAGCGCTCAGCACAGCATACCATCCACAGACAGATGGCACTACCAAATGAATGAACCAAAAACTGGAGCAGTATCTCAGAGCATTCTGCAACTCATCACAAGATGACTAGGCCAATCTAATTCCTTACGCGGAATATGCCCACAACATACATCAGCACTCAGCCACAAAAAATCACCATTTGAACTTCTGCATAGATACCAACCAAAAGCATATCCAGCCATTATAGGAAACATGAACATACCTACTGCCAATGCACGACTCGACACTCTGCAACATGCTAGGAAGGAAGCACAAGCCAGCCTCAAAATCACAGCCGAACCCATGAGAATACAACATAACTGTTTTAGAATGGAACTACTGCCCTTCAAGAAAAGAGACCAAGTATGGTTAGACAGAAAGCACATCCACATGAACTACCCCTCAGAGAAACTAAGACCCAAATGATTTGAGCCATTCAAGATTATTGACACTATCGGAACAGTCAATTTCAAGCTGAAACTGCCCAACAGCTGGCAGCACATTCACAATGTCTTCCATGCCAATCGACTTACGCTCTATAAGGAGAATGCAGTATACAGACCCAACTACCTGAAACCAGCCCCAGACCTAATCGAGGGGCAAGAAGAATTTGAATTTGAAAAGATCATCAGAGCCCGACATTTTGGTTGATGGAAGACCCTACAGTACCTGATCAAATGGAAGGGCTATCCTAAATTAGATAACTCTTAGGAATCGGTGGCAAATGTCATTAATGCCAAGGAAGCCATCATAGAATTCTACCATAGGCACCCTTCCACAGTCAGAGGAATGGAAGCTTCAATCTTAGCCTTAACAATTGAACTAGAGTACAATAGGGTCACCGAAGAAGATCAGATCAAAAAGAAGCTTCAAAAGCATCTAATCGGACGAAGACTTCTATCCACACAATTAGAAGATCCCCAGATCATGGAAGCAATCGACATATAGATGACACAGCTAAAGAAGTGATCGGTACCTCCGCAGTCAAGAAAAAAGAAATTAATAATCAATAATCAAAGAACTCAATCAAAGAAGCCCAATTTAGGCGCATCTTGATCTATGCCATAGCACCAGCAATCAAACAGTGCTAATTGGCGTATGCAAGCTTATCAAGAGCTACAAAAACAGACAAATCAAGGTTTAGCATGGTCAGGCAAACGACTATGACCCCCGTGTTGAACCCTACACTAGTGGAGGTCGCCATATACACCTCTGTAGCTACTGCCACCGTTCTAGCTATCTCTCTTGCCATTATTCTTATAGGAGCTATCTATCAGGGATTCTGCGTCATTGCTAGCGATCTCATATAAGTACGGACCATCAACAGCAAAAAACTTCTTCCAACCCCCCAAATAAATGTCCTTGGCCATTCAAAAAATTCCACTTCCTCGAATCACCCCACTACATCATGTCCGACTTCCATCACACTGCCTCTTCCACCACTCACCCTCATTCCACATCCCCTTCCTTTATTCTATGTCCCATCTTGGTCACCTCTACCAACTCTTATAACTCCCTTGCCTCTATAGACCATGATCAAGGCATCACAGTGGATGATCCATAACTCAAAATAGGCGTCCCTGACCTTCTAAGTTGTATACTTAACCCTCACATGCCAAGCGTGGCACAAGTGTTCACCCTGTTCAATACCACTTCATACACACTCATTCCTATCTACCCTTCCCCCCTCTACGATCTAACTCATTACCTAAACCCCAACCTCGTAGGGGCACTCTACCATATCACATTCACCAACAATGAAGCCCCGATCATGCTGGAACAGGACGGACTAGACAATCTAACAAACTTCTTTTTCTATTTACAGCAGATCGTGATGACTCGTGCGTATCAAGTATACCAGGGACCACTGGACAGGCATCAGATAACTCTGCTTTCAAACGTAGCTGTCACCAACTATAGAAACAAGGGGCTGCTCAACCTCCCAGCCCTTAGGAGTGACATGATCAGCTACCGCCCTAACGGGTACAGCTCTCTTAGTATGAATCTCCTCCTTCGTCACTCCCCGACTAAGTGGATCAACACACTAAAATGAATCCCTTTCCAATAAAACATGATCCAATAGTTCTGGATCACAGGATTTGGGAGAGAAAGGCTGGTTATAAAAGAATACATGCCAAGCAGAATGCTACCAGAATGGCTTTTCCCCACTAATAGATGAGGAGAACAGCATGTAGCCACCTATTGGTCAGAAGGAGCCAATCCATTGAACAACGTGAAACCATGGTACATAACTAGGACGGATGTAATAGAGGAAGATGGGTATCATTTACTACAACCAGAGGAACTTCTCTACAAGCTGCAGTGAATCATCAACACCCCGGGAACCTCCAGGAACACAGCATGCCTCCCTGCCACATCTCTCGTCATCTTCCTCCCGGTGCTAAGGGAATCCCCTCTAATGCCTATTCCACTCATTGCACCATTGCCACCCTTTCCCCCTCTTCAACTAAACATCCCAATTCCTTTTCAGCATCCAATCTCAGCCAAAAGACCCACAGCGATCGAAGAACAGGCAATGGCCATGCTCTCCCATGCTTACGCAGAACCTTTCCCAGGAAATTGGCTCGCTCCTATCCCAAACCTGGAAGAAGACAATCCCATGTGCCCTGCCAGCCCTATCTACAACCCTAAGCAAACCATCTAGGATCACAAAGTTAGTCGACCACTTCTGATGCCGCCTCCTGTACATCTAGAAAACCACCCCTTTGTATTAAGCTCTAATTAGCTATAATTGATGCTCTACTATACTAAATTATGAAAGATTAGGATTAGATATTTTAAGCTTACCCCCCTCTAAACCTGTTCTAATTAGACATAATTTTCCTAAATTAGGAATTATTAGGATTGATTATAACTTGAAATTTCGGAAAAATCATAATAAATCAAGCATCACAGTTCTCATAGCCTTCTTATAAAGTCATGTCTATTAGAGCACTAGTTCAATACCTAAACACAGAATATACCTTATAACAAACTTGCCTTTTGCCAGAGTTAAACCAACAACCACATGTATGCAAGCACCTGGGACAGATGCTCTAGCCACTAAGCCACAAGGTCTAATATATAAACTTGGTAATCTAAATAAGTAGACATAATATAGGCAACCTCAATATTTCTGATTGTATTTAACATTTATATTTCCTCTATCTAATAAATAAACAGGTCAATAAATACCTAAAAAGTCAGGTCTTTCAGGATTTAGTTTGAACACTACTAAGGAGATAATAAACCAATGGAAAATCAATAATACACTTTATATAGGATAAAAATAAATTATGGCACTTATACAATTTGGACTAAGAAGTAACTATGATTGAGTGTAATATTCAATGGGACTCTACTAGTATAGACAATGCTACCTGAATTTGCAAATTTGATCAAAAACATGATTATGAATAATCAAGATCCAATAAGAGAGAGGGGTTTTCTAAATAGCCACTAGTGAGGTAGAGGGTGGGGACAAGAGTATATGTATGGCATGCCTATATATAAATAAGCACAAGATTGTTGGAGATGATCTTAATATGCTTAATGCATATATTTCCTATATGGCAGGCAAATATATCATTCTGGCACCACATACCAATATGACTGTCTTTTCCACAGCCTAATAGCTAGAAGAAAACACCAAGTTTGAGCATCTTCTGTATAACAAGGCAATAAACAATATAAATAGTGCTAAAAATTGTAATATTAATAGTAATGATGATTGTGTGCTGCACAAGACAGTATTAGCCACTATACTAATAGACAAGGTCTATAAGGCTGCATATAGCATATCCCTAATTCCAACCCACATGTTGTATCCTATAATGACCGGTAGCAGGCATTGGCTAACAATGACAACTTTAATGATCTTGTGTGCAGGGCCAAGGTACCTAGGTCTTTATAGCCTCTTGTGGCAGCTGCCAAGCTGCCAACAAAGTGGCTGGGGGCATTAATGCACATTTCTCTCTTTCTATATCCCTTATAAAAGCAGCTGGAAAGTTAGCAAAAGAGCTACAAGATAATGGTATAGGCATATATGAAAGAGAGTAATATGCTGAAATAGTATAAAATGTGCCACATCTTTACCTTCTCACTGATAGAGCAGTAGTACTTACTATTTCCTACTAATAATTAGAGACTTCTTAGTATAGAATTAGCGCTGATATCATGAAATTAGAAACCAATCCAATACTCACAGTATCGTACTCCCAATTAGGAAATTAGACACTTTTAGATGTTATTAACACTTTTAGATACTTTTAGACACTATTAGATATAATCTGGAGCTAATACAAGGGGGTGTTTTTCCAGATGTACCCCTTACTACACCCGCATCCCCGACCCTTGTTGGCAGTGACCCTGCCCTTACTGAGCCTTTCAACATGCCCTTTTCCCAACTTGCACCGGTACCTGCTACCATGGAGGATTGGCACAAAGGAGCGCGGACCTCAGAACGTATCTGGCCTACAACCCCGGCCTTCACTCCCTCCCCTCCTATGTCTCCTACTCCACCCAAGACGTGTTATTACTAGGAATATGTATATTGATTGTCAATCACAATTATTGTTTAGAAGCACGGACCATATGTCCAGCTTACCCTAAATGATCTGTATGTATTAATAGCTAAGCTGAGCTTCTTAAAAGCCTCAGCTTGTTCACTTTGTACACACCTTAATCTCTGCACTGCACCTGGCATTTGGCCCCTTCAGTCCATGCTTCATAAACTCTGCCAGATCCATAGAACCATACTTAGTCTGATGAAGCACTGGACTCACCTCACAGCTCTTATCATCTTTTACCGCCTGCAATATATCAAGGACTCACTGCCTATTAAGTCATTTGTTAGGATCCCTCTGAAGTCATCTGTTACATTGGTGAAGACTTGTTCATTCTAGACAAACAACAACACTTAGTTAAACAGCACTTCCTCTATTTATTCGAGGACAAGATCAATAATGATCAAGAATTCCTGAGTCAAGCCAGGAGATGATTGGTCATTTTTATACATTGGGCTATCACTATCACAATTAGCCCAGGGAACCCTTCTTAGTGCGATAAAGCGCACATGATAAGCTTAGCAGCTTAACAGTAGACACAATCAAATACTTTGGCTTTATTATCTCCATAGACAAAATAGCCATGGACTTGGTCAAAATCGAAGAAATCTCTAAATGGCCAACTCTGACAAGCCTAAAAGAAATACAATCCTTCTTAGGCTTTAGAAACTTCTACTAAAGATTAATCAAGGATTTTGCCACAATAGCATGACCCCTAAACAACCTTACAAAAAAGGACATGCAATTTGTATGAACTGACAAACACAATGAGGCATTTGAAACTCTCAAACATTGCTTTACATTGGCACCAGTACTTATTTATCCTGATGGCAATTGCCCCTTCCCACTTGAAACTGATATCTTGGAATTTGCATCAAGTGCTATCCTATTGCAGGAAGTTCTAGGTGATGACTAGCACCTAGTAGCCTACCTATCAAAGTCATTCAATATAGCAGAATGGAACTATTATATCTTTGATAAGGAACTGCTAGCTGTAATACATGCTTTGGACTACTGGTGCATCTACCTTGAAGGCACACAATACCCATTTAAAATATGGTTGGATTATAAGAACCTTCAATACTTTTCAACAGCTAGAACTCTTTTATGAAGACAAGCATGCTGGGCCTTCTTTCTATCATGCTTTGACTTTACACTGGTACACAAACCAGGTTCATCCCACTATCTGGATGCTCTGACCCAGTATCCAGACCTAAAAAGAGGGGTGAAATCAGATAACAAAAACCAGATACTACTAAAACCCTAACTATTTGTCAAAAGTGCCACAGAAAGAGGCACAGTCAAGATGCTAGATAGACAGCTTAGACAAAAACTGAAGAAAATCACAGCAAAAGATAAAGAAGTGACAGAAGCAATGGAGATTATTAAAGCATTAGGATCTGGAGCACTCTTGAAAGGACTACAAGAATAGAACTTTGAAGATGATCTCATCTGGCATCAAAGCAAAATATATATCCTACCAAGCAACAAACTCAAAAGAGAAATAGTAAAAATATATCACAACTCACTAGCAACCAGACATCCAGGATAATGAAAGACTTACATCCTAGTATCAGACAACTTCTGGTGGCCTAGAATGTTGGTATTTATAAAAGAATATATAACAGGATGTGCAATATGCCAAAACACAAAAAACATCACATACCCTACATGTGCTCCACTAATCCTAAACAAAATACTAGAAAGGCCCTGGTAGGTAGTCACAATAGACTTTATCACAGATCTCCCACAAGTCAGACTATATAATGCAATACATGTAATAGTAGATGAAAGCACAAAAGAAGTTGTGTACACCCCATGCATAAAGACTATAGACACCAAAGGAACAGCCAACCTCTACATGGAGAACATTTAGAGATGATATAGACTCCCAAGAAAGGTCATCTCTGACCAAGGCCCACAATTCACTGCCAGATTTATAAAAGAACTTTGGAAAAAACTGGGAGTAACTACAGCCTTATCCATAGCATATCACCCTAAAATAGATAGGGAAACAGAATGGGTCAACCAAGAGCTAGAATAGTACCTCCATGCATTCTGCAACTATGAATAAACAAACTGGCCTAAACTCCTACTATATGCAGAATTTGCACACAATATCAGGGAATATTCAGTTATGCACCAATCACTATTCAAGCTTATGTATGGCTACAACCCATCCTTCATGCCCTAAATAACACCAAAATCAGACATCCCCAGCATAAAACAAAGACCAGAAAGGCTGGAACAATTACGGAAAGAAATGAAAGCCAGCCTAAAAGTCATAGCAGAACTGATAAAAAGAAAAACCACTAAAAGTGAAGTCAGACTAGAAGCAGGACAAAAAGTCTGGCTCTTAGGAAAAAATATAACCACAATATACCCCAAAGATAAACTAGCCCCCAAACTACACAGACTATTTGTAATTGAAGAAAAACTAGGTACAGTGACATATGAATTAAAGCTCCCACCCACATAGAAAATACACCCTATATTCTATGCCTCTTTAATCATACTATATTGAGAGATAGCTACTCATGGCCCTAATTATAAGCAACCACCTCCCAACCTCATCGAAGGACAAGAAGAATATAGAGTTGAGGAAATTCTAAATAAAAGGAGGCATAGACATGGATACTAATACCTGGTATGCTGGAAAGGGTACCCAGACTTGTTAAATAAATAGATCACAAGGACAAACCTGAAAAATGCCAAAGACTTTGTAAAAACATATGACATATAATACCTAACTAATCCCTTCTTACAAACAACTCTTACAAACATTGGACAAACAAAACCCAAAATATATAAAATCTCTAACTTGATCTTCTCCATCCTATTGTCATTCCAAACTCCCCAAACTCATAACAATAACCTTTCTCTTATATCATCAAATGGCTTCAACAGGAACCCCTACCCTTACTATTGCCTTATCCGACAGCACCCTAGTCGATGAGTCAATATAAATGACTCCTACCCCCGAGTTATCTATGGCAGAAGAACAATCCACACCTTAGGACACCAACAAGGAGCAAGCCATACATGAAGTGGAAGAGGGTGAAGAAGAGTATATGGAGCAACTTGAGGAGACTAAGAGACACAGAGAAGAAGTTTTTAGGATGCTAAAGCAGGATGATCAAGATAGGTAGTACATTGAGATGGACAAGAGAGAATGGTTTGGACAAGCAGAGCAAGCACCCCTATGTTTACCCTCACCCCCATCTCTTAACTGTGAAGAAACAGAAGGAATTATCTTCTTGGATAGAGAATTGTACCTCACAGCCCCCATTGCATACCTCATAGGACTTATAGAAGGTATACCAAGCATTGAGTTTGTGTTGGGACCTATGAGGCTGGAGATAACTAGGGCACTGAAGACACTATAAGAAGAAAGGGCATTCATGCAACATGTACAGAAGTCTTTACAGATATGGGAGGGGATGCTTATTACTCATATTAACATGGGCAAGAAGAAATTAATGGGACTTGACTGTACTAACCTCCTCCATGACACATTTCATCCTGCTAATGGCCCTACCCCTGCCAATAAGTACTATATGCCATTCATGGCTCTGGTATCTTATTCCTTGTCTTCAGCTTTGAATGGAGCTCCATTTCACCCAATGCTAGGGACTTATACCATGGGACCAGAAGAAGAAGCCTACAGGTTCACATATGCATCCTCTTGCTTCTATGTCATCCCCATGACTTTTTGCCTATGCCACCCACCTTCCTGCACTAGACCCCCTATTATCAAGTATGATTCTAGTGACTCTGATGCTTGGCCCCTAGTTAACCATCACTGAGCTCTCTAGAAGGATAGACAATCATCCAGTATGACATGAAACTGCCAGGGCAGATGACAATTTAAATCCATTGGGCTGGTACTTGTTGCCACAATGAGAAGAGGGACTCAGTTCTAAGATGCAGTCAAGGTAAGGTACTATGACATTTATACTCAAGGGCTATCACATTATGGCTTGGCAGTAGGCAATGAGATTGGTGCCCTAAGTATTATTCTTCTATAGCTCATGATTGACTCTAAGTGCATTGTTTATATTTTTCTTGGACTTTTACTTACCATCTCTGGCACTGATGGCCTAGAGGGGGGGTAATGTTATAAACTGCTTACTATACTTTTACCATGACTCATATAGGGACACATAGGACCCTTCTCCCAACTACACCTCACATTCCTGTCTTACTGATACCTGGTCCGTGCTCTCAAATGTACATATTTATAGCTGCTATGGTGCAGTAGGAGAAGCCCCAGGCTATCCACTTCTGTCTAATCTAAGAACTGTTGTCCACCAGTCTTCTCTGATTCAAAAGCACTAGTCTGATTAGCCCCAAACCTCCTTGCTCTACTTCTCATATCTCCCTCGTCATCTGGGTCATCATTTGTGGCCTAGGATCTTCTTGTCCCAAACAGCCATTTGTGACAGCATAACCTGCAAAGTTTATTATTTTAGAGTAGCCAAACCCAAAATCTATACTACATGCAAGGCTCCATCATTTGGAAGCAGACCTCATACATAGAATGACTATCTTCTGTGTAAGGTCAGCCATGGAGACTAGCCCTTAAATACCATTGTCATTGTCTCTCTGTTTTCCCGATAACGGCGAGGGGAAAAGTGACAAGAGGAGGTGACGAGAAGCACGTGAGAGGTAACGCGTTACGGAGAACAAGCGCCTTCCGAATATGGTGAGTTACCGTCGACAGACCCGGAGGGTGGAACCTAAAGGTATACAGGAATGGACAAACGCAAGAGGGATGAGATCTCTGTATGCTCTCTCATCCATTGTTGTCTTCACATGGACTCCCTCACACATTTTTCAGATACTTTCCCATGCCAAACGGCAACGAAATCTCCTAAATCCAGACGGATTCATCCCAACGAAAGTCACACCGACACCCCATATACGAATATCTGCTCCCCAGTTTCAGTCAGATTTTTCATCTGAAACTAAGCACACGCTTGTCCCAGTTCGATCGGGTGTGTCAACAAGAACTCATCAAGGATGCCAACCGCACGCATTGCCAATGGCAGCTGTGCAGAACTTAACCAAAGACATCCTCCAGCCGCTACCTTTGTCCTCCAAACCAAGACGTCGAATTTCTCCACCTCCGTTCCCAAATTCCTTTCTAGTCACCCATCCAACAACGAAACCATTGAAACCGATATCTGCTACTCGCATTGCGCTTGCAACTGATATAAGGAGCGAAGGAGGTGCAGCGGAGGTTTTGGGTTTGTTCGTACAGCAGCACGGCACTGGCTATGTCTCTATCGATGATCGCGAATTGGCACGTGGGTTAGATTTCAGCCCACGCAAGAATGTTGCAGCTGGTCGGAGGAAAACTAAATATCTTCGGTGCGTCAATACGAACATGTATCTCTGTTCAGGACTAATCGGCTCATAGCGGAGGACTTGCTGATCGAGTTTCCCGAACACTGCAACGCAGCCAAACCTCACTTCATCTGTGGCATAAGGACAATGGCAGTTATGTTGGTCGCCAAACCCCGCCCGACCTCAAACTGCGTATATGCCGTGTGATCAATCATATTAACCACACCAGTCCTCTCAAGGAGAGTATGCGTTGCTGCCTGGCCGTCTGTCGCATAATGAGCCGCTTTGGCGAGGAAAACCAAGAGATCCTTGTTGTGTTTTCGCCGCCGCGTGGATCTGATGCTGAGCTGAAACGCCTCATGGATATTGGCTCTGTGGGTGGCGATGTGCATGTATGGAAGCCCTGGAAGACTTTGCTTGTCTCTGAATCCTCGTGCAGCTTTTTTGATGAGTTTTGTATGCCCTCTCACAAAGTATTATTATCCTCCCGATTCCAGTCAGCTAAATTGTAATCAGTTAGTATATTTTGTTACTGACGTCATATGTGACTAGCCGTGATTGTTTGGCTACTACAAACAAAAACTACGAGCTGCAGAATGATATGCAAGTCATTGTACCTGTAATTTCGAAAGCTCTGACTTGTGAGGATCAACTGCAGCTGGATGCCGACACAGGATGCAGATGGGCACAAGGGTCGCCAACGTTCCAACACAACTTCGTACACCCCCTTTCCCTGGCGAAAGCGTTCAGATCCTCCCCACGGTGCCCTACCCCCAGCGACAGCATCACAGGCGCAGCCTTCGCAGACTGTAGAGACACTCATCTCCTTGCTTTCACCTCCCGCCGTCCCGTCATTATCCCATGCTCGAGCTTTAGCTGGTGCCCTTGCCTCTGAACAAACACCCCCGTCCGCCATCCGCCTACAAGTTCTCCTTCCTATATTGAGCTCGTTATGTACACAGAATGCCCCTTCGAGTTGCCAAGCTGCTGGCTTCGACATCCTTTCTTCACTATTGCGATCTAATCATTCCAGCCCTCTTAGTCAATCCGACCGAGTCGCCTTTTTTTCTCTATTCCAGGCTAATGCAGATATATGGATTCAAGACCTCTGGGAGCCGCGATTCAAAGCTCTTGAAGCACTTACAAAACAGGGCACAGAAGTGGTGGCAATTGAGGTTCATCTTTTGCGTCTGCTCGAACGCTGGATAAATGTCGCATTCCAAGGGATCATGTCCCGCAGCGGCCTTCTAGTGACAGAGCGTACAGAGCGGGAACGTTGCATCGATATCCTGAGCGAATTCCTCTCGAGAACAGCTTCAAGGGTAGAAGTAATTTCTCGTCTACAAAAAGACGATATCACCAGCTTCCTGAAGGGGTTTGCCCTGCTCATCGAGCAGTGTCTACTCCTTCCTAGCGATAACTTTGGTTCTGTTTCCACAACTGGCGAGACACAAAGTCCTACAATCACTCCAACTCGCATGACACACCGTCGACATCCGTCTTCCATATCTGTTCCCTCAGCCCCCCCTCCTAGTGTGCAGTTAACGTCAATCCGCCGACGTGCTCTTGACATCGCTCTGAACATCTACCTTAATCACCTCTCATCTCAACTCAGATATCTCTCACATGAACATCTTCCTTCCATCTTGCTCATCCTCTTTCGCTGCTTGGCCTCATATTCCTCATCCCTTCCTCGCCTCTCTCTGACCAGCAACCCGTTTGAAGCATCTGCAGAACCCTTGGAACGACGCATCATCGATACTCTCGACCCCTTGCTCAGCGGGGCCTACTCGACGTCATGCTTTCTGATTCTCAAACGGCACTTGCTTCCCCCGTCTGACAACTCACTAAACCTGCATGCTGCAGCGCAAATCTCAACGGGAGCCTGCCGTGCACTTCGAATATATATTAGACGGACCTTGTGCTCCCGCCTTGCTCGTGCCTTCATTGCTCGTGCTAGTAGCGATACTTATACCTCGTCAGGCGCACCTGGTAACATCAATCTGGACCAGGAAATGATGGAACGTGCTTGGGCGAAAGATGAAGTCACGCGCGGCGATCTAGGCAAAGTAGGTCGGATCTTGCGTAGAGCAGCGGATGCTTGGGTAGGACTACCGTCAAATGAACTTGCCTCCAGTAATGGACACGAAAGGGAAGATGTTTTACTGGAATTAGCCGGCGTGCTTAAGGATGTGTTCCAAGAGTATGATGAGCGGGAAGATCTGAACGACATCCAACAGGAGGAGACGAATGCAGTAGGTGAAATATTACATTCACTTACGAACTATGTTCGTCCGCTCACGTAGGTGGTCTCTCTTGGACTTTCGACATCGCCAATAACAACTTGTGACCCCACTTCTAGCAACTATAATGGACAGCCATTAGTAATCCCTCTCTCCCGCTCAAGCGAAGCGCCTACACCGTTTCTTCAAACTTTGACATACCTTCTTGACCGCGATCATGAAAAGACCCCTTCCAATCCGCTTCTCTCCACGATCCTCCTCAGCGTCTCTGATCACCTCAATGATGCCGATACGGCAAAGCTTATTGGGGCAATGTCCGACCGCGGAGACCTATATCCTATCAATCTGGAATGGATCACAAATTGGGAGAGAATCCTGAATAACCTCACCCTGTTCATACCATCCAGGCCCCTAACAAGATCCGTGATGCTCGATACTCTACAATCCGTCGCCGTCTTTGTTAAAGATGTTCCTAGACATCGACATCCATTCGTAGATCTCGTCCTTTCCAGCTGGCGGAGACTCAAGGTCGATAGTAGTGCGATGGAAGGAAGTGTCGTTGTTTGGAATCTTCTTGCTGATGAGGTTGTCTTACGAACGACGGAAGGTGATGAACAGAGTATGGAAGATGGTTTAGCTCCTGGAACCCCGTTCGTGGATCAGGCACTGGAAGTCATGATAAATTGTGCTCTCGGAAGTGACGTTGGGGAAGATAACGGACCAACAATGATGGACTTCAGTGCGCATGTCCCCACACCCCTTGCTTCCGCTATCTCACCCCCCATTGATCATAACCTTTCCAATCAATTTGAAGCCGTGACTCCACACAGGGAGCGTGACTCCAATCCGCCTTATTCAAATCTCACCTTCACCTCCGGCACCATTCGTTCTGCAACTCAACCACCACAATTGTCCACCGAGGATACTCCATCGCCGGCCATGATTTCGCCCCCTACTCTCGAGCTGACAGCGCCCCCAGGTTCGGTAGGCGCTGTCGTAGCACTCCTTCAGGTCTTCAGCCAATTGTCATTCACACTCTATGCGCTCAAGGAAGCCAACCGCGAGCTTGCTGTGCGCGTTTTTCGTATCCTCATTGATCTGATATCGAAGTCCAAAAGCCCACATGCACGACTTGCTATCCTCCAGTTCTTTTTCCGTCTAAGGGTTGACCGCGATCATCGTTTGTTTTCGTTGTTCACTCGGTACGACCGACTCGGGCATATTATGGCTCTAGCGGGACTCATTGGAAGAGCTGACATACCACCTCCCGTCGGTGGTGATGGCGACGACATAACCGGCGACGACCCCAGTGACATACAGGAGTTGTTGAAATCGCGCGCAAGGGCAACAGAGAGAGGTGGTAGAAGATGGTCAAGAGGGCGTGACACCATGCCTTCGCATTCAGGCTCCAGCCGAAGCCGCTCTCGCGCCGCCGGTGGAATCAAACTACCGGCAGGAGGTTTGCCTGAGAAAAAGACCAAGGCACCTATATGGCGAGTTCCCGAATCACTACCATTCTCCATCCCAGAGTCCGACACGCCTAGTGATGGCCTTGTCTCGTACGATCCTGAAGGGCCTGGAAATCGGGTTGTCCTGCCAGTCTCTTGCTTTCTCAAAGCAATCATCTCCATCGTCAAATCAGAAAAAGATTGGGAGATTCTATCCTACGTTCTCTGCCACCTCCCGACCTTGTTGGCTAATAAGCACCTCTTTTGTGGTCCGAAATCCAGAGTCGAGATTCAGGAATTGCTTGCTGTAATCTGTGACGGTATTTCCTCCGAGACTTTCGCATCCTCGATTGCACTGTGGCCGCCTGGCTTAAAGGCCCGGGACGCAGAAGGCTTAGCGTATCACACGCTTTCAGTTCTCATCAGCTACCGCAAATGTTTTGGACCTCCTTTGCAGCACGTTCTTGTCGAGGTTCTACTCAGAGGGCTTAGTGGCCAACAGTCTACGATCAAGTGCTGCCTACACGCTCTGTCGTTGTCAGCCTTTGAACTGCCCAACTCCATTCGCCGGTTTCTCACTCAAATCTTGGAGAAATTGTCTCAGATTAGGACGAACGCTACTATTGCTGTGCATATCATCAGTTTTTTGGCCATCGTAGGCTCATTGCCCCCTCTCTACTCCAATTTCATCGAAGGTGACTTCCGCTTGGTCTTCGGCGTTGCACTTCAGTACCTACGCCTGCATAATCGACCCGAGGCGTCAGCAGATACATCTTGGGCGCTCTCTCAGCACGTTCGCATCATGTCCTACTACATTCTTTATCTGTGGTTCTTGGCCGTCAGACTCCCTGATCGACCTCGGCACATCAAGTATATAACTCGACAATTGCTTTTGGCCAACGAAGGTCGAAATGAAATCGATGGATCTGCAGAAGTCTGCTTCGATTGGCTTGCTCGTTATACATACGGTAGTGGTGATCCCCGCCCCGCTAATTCGATGCTGAGTGAGGTCGTTATGACTTCTGACATTCAACGCCCCGCTTCTGAAGTGATTAGCGAGAAGACTTGGGTTGTTGGGAACTCGCTGGTCAGCATCCGAGCCCTGGCCAAGAATGGCTGGCTTGAAGTTGTGGCACGTCGGCCTTCTGGTCTGACCAAAATCTTAGCACGTATTGAAAATGTACCGATGGTCGGTCCGGGCGAGGTCGATCCTGACTTCATCTCAATTCCTGCCATCCTTGCCATGAGCCGAGCTCTGACATCTGAGGACGATCCTGTCTATCAGGTGAGTTGACGCTGTTATTGAATAATCTCAAGTTGTGTATCACGGGTATTGTTCAGGAAGTGATAGAGACTCTTTATCCCTCATCGTACGAAGATTCCACGGAGGAGCCTCTTCGTCCAGATCCTATCACCGGCTATGTTTGGCAGGGCACTGCTCCTTCACAGCGCCGCAAGGAAGTTGCCATAGACCCTGCTTACTTCGCACTACAGCTCTCCCCATATCCGGATAATTATGGGAAAGGACGTAGCAAAGTGGTTGACACATCAACTCTTCCAGCCTTTATCCGCAACCTCGATAGAATACCCGTTATTGATACACACAAAGTTGGGATCATGTATGTCGCTCCCGGACAAGGCCATGAAACCGATATTCTGGCCAATACTCATGGATCTCCCGCATATGCTCGTTTTCTGGAAAGACTTGGCCGGTTGATTAATTTACGCGGTCAGAAGGATGTTTATGCAGGTGGCCTTGATCCCGACGAAGATGGCGAGTATGCGTATGCCTGGTGGGACGATATCGGCCAGATCTTGTATCACACAGCGACCCTGATGCCCAATCACCCTAACGACCCTCAATGCAACTTTAAGAAACGCCATATCGGGAATGATTTTGTTCGCATCGTCTGGAATGACTCTGGACTGCCATACAGATTTGATACACTGACCACTCAGTTCCAGTTCGTCAATATCGTCATAGAGCCGCATTCATTAGGAGCCATCGCAGCATTCTCCAACAACCTGCATGAGAATGAATATTTCCGGGTGACGATTCAACGTGCGGCAGGCATGACAGAATTTACTCCTGTCGGAAATTTCAAGCTCATCTCCGCCGAAAATCTTCCTCTGCTTGTGCGGCAACTCAGTCTGCTAGCCGACTGGTTTGCCTCAGTCTTTCAATATACAAACAATGATACCGTTCGCGTGGAAAAGCGGACGAACTGGCAGGAACGTCTAGAGTCGATCAAGCGCTTCCGAGATCAGATGCCAGCAGCTGCGCCGACCGACCCTGTTGATGGTATCTTGCAGCAAGAGACGTATCGGGATTTTACAATGGCCTTTTGATGTTGTAGGAAACAGAGAGTTGCGGGGATATACAACGAACGGCCGTTGCTGAAGTGTACGAGAGGTGACAATGCCTTCGATGAACTCCTAATGCATCCAGGATATTTGTCCGTATAATCTTGTTCTTTATCCCATTTTCCCATCATGATGTCTTACGCTGACATTGTATGACCCCTTTGAGCGCTTGAGCTTTGACCCTGGCGTTTTAGGACCTGAATGTAACTCCAAACAAAATGTAAAATATCAACAAAGCATACATGGTATCAGATATAATATGGGAGAAAGCAATGTTAGATAGTGTAGTCGCAGCTGGTGTCATGGGGATCTTTTGACCGCTGGTTGACTTTCAAGGGGTGCACCTCCAGCTCTCATCCTCCTCCGTGCAGCCAAGAGGGGGAGAAAGGGACTACGTGTCTCCGGTAGAGGCACGGTAGAATCGGAGTCGCTACTTGATATTTCAAAGACGGACACATTTCCGCCTACTCTTGTTTCCAGTTGAGGTCGAGGAGGCGAGGCGAAGCGGTTCTCCGAATCGCTATCGCTTGATATCTCGATAATAGTGTCGCTTGTGGTCGCCATATGGCGTACGATTGTATTCGCCCTTGGAAATGAATGTGCAAGCGAACGGGAGTGAGAGTGAGGCCTATGAAGAATGGAGTGATGGCTTCTACAAGGAGACTGTGTCGGAGAGATTGACCGTCTGCTGGTGGGTGTCGCTTTTGTTGTGACTATTGGCAAGGTTCCTGACATCCGGTCACGATGGGGATCAAGTTTGCGGGGTGATGTATGCTTAGCATGCTTTCGAGGAGACTTCGTGAAACGGTCAACGCAGTCAGAGTCAGAAGGCCGCGAATGGTCTAGGCGTCGACGGGGTTGTGATGGCTGACGTGTTACAGAGGTGTGTGGTTGGAGCGGGAGAGGCAGCATGTCGGAGTCGGAGGAACCAGCGCTAGACTCTTCCTCCTCTTCGAAAGCCACGGGGAAAGGTTTGATGACAGATGAGGTGGCTGGTGGCGAAGGCTCCCTGTAGGTCAAGGGTTTACGCGGGCGATTCTTCCCAGCTTCCAAGAGAGATAGAATGGCGCTACCATGGTAAGACTTTGTGCAAATGGCATCAACAAGAACAAGGTCAGGATCGAGCTCTGCAGATGGAATAAGTTCAAAATGTTTCGTACCATAGCACTTATTTTGCCCTTGCCTTTCGTCGGGCTGCACGGTGCAGATGGTGTACCGGGGACCCGAGTTGCAAGTTTGCTCGTCTTATTTCGAACGCGAGGCAGATCCTTGATACTGAGTTGCTCGCCATGATCAAGAGTTGCCTTGGTTGTGGTCTTCCCCACCATAGCAGGAGCGCCATCTTCGGAGTCACCCGATGCTATCTCTGCATCCAGGTCGAAAGTTTCTCCTTCATCACTTTCAATGGGAGGAAGGCGAGCACGCTGCTTTCCACCCCGGCTTGCCTTCGATCCACTTGACACGCCGCCTTTAGACTTTGTAACCGCACGTGTGCCCTTGTGCGCCCTCTTTGCTCGCTTCTTCTCCTCGAGAGCTTCAAACTGATCAACCAGATCCGGCCTGACGATCACGACCATGCATGCCGGCAGCCACATTCTGAGATGAGTATTGGGGTCCACCGGTGCAGACTTGGATTTCTTCCTCTTGCCATCGCCCTCTTCGCCGTCTTCATCTGACTCGGGCTCTGACCGCTCCACGTCGTAAGTTGTATCGGCAGCCTTCCGAACCCCCTGAATGCCGGCCTCAGACATGCGCACGAGCTGCTCCGGCGCGATCTCAAGTCGATATTCGAGTATACCATCGGTGGATGCATGGGTGCGCGAAGAGTGAATCTTGACAATCAATTTCTTCCCATCATCGTTGTCGTCGCCACCTCCAGTAGATTCCTCCAATTGCAGGGATGAGAAATGCCTTGCGAGCATCTTCGACGGCGTCCCGACTACGAGCTCCTTCCCCTTCTTCCTCGGCGTTCTCGGCATCTCGTCCCCACCCTCCTTCTCATCCCTCTCCAATACAGCGCGTCTCAGTATCCGAAGCACCGCACTTGGCCACAACACGGACCTGAATCGCTTTACGATCACCTCTCTTATACCCCACTCAAAGTGCACCTCGCACAGATGCGCAATCTTCCCTAGATCCGGCTCGCGCACCCACGTCGGCGGCACATGCGTCCGTCGTGCCCCTGCATCTGTCTCGCTCGTGATCGGGTCCGTATAGGACAGCAGCACATCGACGTCCGGGAAATTTTCCGGCACCGCCTTCGATAGCGCCGGCTGCCGCTTCCCGAGATGGCCGCGCGCATTTGTGCGCAACTCGGCGCGGACGGCATCGCGCCACTTCGCGAGATATTCTTCAAGCGCGGACCGTGAGAGCGTGCGCGCCGCCTCGAGTAGCTGGTCGCCAAATCCACACTTGGCTAGCCCATGCGCGATGCTGGTGCCGCAGCGTGGAAGACCCGCTTGGTGATAATCTCCCCCACTGAGGAGGCCGATGAGGATGAGGCCACCGCGGGTGAGCTGGATGGCGGGGTGCTCACGGATCGCGCGAGCGGTGTACACGGCGGAGTGATTCCCGTCTTCGCGTCCGTCCGCGTTCTTGTTGCTATGTGCACGGTTGCCAGAGAGAGCGGAACTTGGACTGTAGAAAAAATAGTAGGGTCAGTTCGACAGTGGATGCGAGATTGCATTTGGATCAGGGACAGACTTTCGAATAACCATAATCGCGCCGAAGAGGAAGTTATCAACATCGTCGGAGAGGACAGCGTCTATGATGCCGATGCTGTTCATGTATGCAAGCTCAGCTTCAGCTTCTCCCGGGGCCTAGAGACAACATTTAGCACTATACGACATGATAGCAAAGAGATAAAAATTGAATGAAGGCTTGTTATTATTCCTCAAATGAAAGGTTGCCACGAAACGGCATGTGCAACAGACCTTGCAAGCAGACATGACAAGCTCACCATTCTCCACTCGAACCCAAAAGCCTCAATGATGCTCTTCATTCCGTTCGTCAGCCAGTGCTGATTTCCGCTAATTCGCTTTCCCCTTTTCACATTTGGCCGCTTGGGCCCATCAAAAACGAACAATGGCAAGAAGGGAGAGCTCATGAGGCGCGTGCACCTGAAGAAGAGCGTTCGGAGCTCCGGATTCTCACCTTCACGGCCATACGCGGCGTGAAAGAACCAGATGGAGGCATCGATGCCAATGCGTAGGCCGCGAACGCCTGATGGATTCGCTTCGAAACCGTCCACGACGGCGAGGTGTGTCAGAGAGCGTGTCTCTGCAGCTGGACGAAGGACCTGAGGAGCGAGTTCCAGGAGAATAAATTTTCTGGTGAATGGAATTTAACTCACATCCCACAGCCCCGTAACACCCATCGTGAGTCTTCAATATTCAATGGATGCCTGAGCTGGCCGTGACTGAGAGACGAACGCGACGAGACGCGATCAGGTGCAGCAAATCACGTGCGCGTCGGAAGACAGTTATCGTTGAGAGAACGACGAGGACGGCTGCAGAAGCAACATGTCGCCGTCGTTCGTCCAGCTGGGCAGCGCACTCGCCCTGCTGGCAATTTACCCGCACGACCACCGCGACATTGCCGCTAACGACTGTCTGGCTACGAATTATTACGGGACATACGGCGACCATAGTGTTTTCCTCCCTCCGCTCTCGTGCTACGCTGCTAGCACTCTCGCGCCGCCAACCGCGACCTTTGATGGGCCGTCATATCCTTCCAACGCGCAGCTAGTGTGGGTGCAACAAGCCGCGCTCGAACCGCATCTCCAGCCAGCTGCGTCTCTCGAGCAAATCGATGCCCTTATCGCCTCTCTTGATGATCTCACCCTCTTCGACGCTTCAGTCACCCCCGCCCAGGAGCCACTTTCTGCTCCTTCACAAGTTGGCAATTACCACCATGTCCTCCATACCACCTCGACATCCGCCTTGCTCGCCCTCTCCCCTGATAACGCCTACCGCCTCTCCCTTGTCATTCCCCCCCACTGGCGCCCCTACGCTCTCCCCTCCACGCCGCTCCCTCTCTTTCCCGTCCCCACCCCTTCCGTGGATCGCGTTCGCACCATCCTTTCAGACCTCAAATTCAACCCACTCGTCGCCAAGGTTGTTTCCAACATCTCCGCACCCCAGATGCGCAACGACATACGTTGGCTCACCGGCGAGGATTCCACGTCGGGCATCCTCTCACGCCACTCCTTCTCTTCCGGTGCCCGCGTCGCTGCGTCTTGGCTGCAGCGTAGGTTCGAAGAGACCGGGGCCACATGCGAGCTCCGTACTTTCTTGTCTGGCTTTGCGCCTAACGTTATCTGGTGCGCTCCTTTGTCTCTACTCCTATCCCAGACTCATCTCGTATCTGTTTCGCAGTCGCTATCCCTCGACGATCAATACCACTGCGACCGTGCTTATCAGCGGGCACTATGACTCGCGCGGTTCCTTTGGCTCGACTCGCGCTCCGGGCGGCGACGATGACGGCTCCGGTGTCACTGGTCTCTTATCCATTGCGCGAACCATCCAGCGCACTGGTGTCACATTCCGCTCTAACGTTGAACTTGTCGCGTTCGCAGGCGAGGAGCAGGGTTTGTACGGTTCACGATATTACGCTCGTACGTGACGCGCCTTCTCACCGGTTCGTCTACTGCCGTCTTATCAACTTATGTGTCGGTAGAGGACCTCCGCGCGGAAGACAAGAACCTCACGCTCATGGTCCAGGCCGACATGACCGCCTACCGTGCCCCTGGTGAGCCTCTGCAGCTCGGCCTCCCAGACAAGTAAGCTGATTCTCTTCGTGGCCCTCAAATGTCCCCACCGACGCAATCTCCGCATCGCGCGCATTCATGTAGGATCGGTACCGCAGAAGTGACTCAGCTCGTTGCGAACCTCTCCGCCATCTACAGCCCGGAGCTCCACGTCGGCTTCACACCTGTATGTCCCCCTTACCCTCCTCTCACCGTGCAACGAGTGCCAATCCCTTGTTTCTTATACAAACAGGCGTGTTGCAGTGATCACCAGGTACGCAGAAGGGCAGCATATAGCATCCCCGTTGAAGAACTCACACACGCCACAGTCTTTCCACATGCAGGGCTTCCCCGCGACGCAGGTCTTCGAACGTGCGGGGCCGATTGCAGATCCTATGTACCACAACAGCGGTGTGTTCTTTGTCTTCTCTCCATACTGTGAATCTTATAATATTTTCTACAGGCGATCTCAGCGACCGCGAGGGTTATGATTTCGAGCAGATTAAGAGTATTGCGAAGGTCCAGGTGCGTTCTTCAAGCTGCACACTTTCGCTCATCATTCTGAAGCATGATTCGCCTGTTCTTTTATAATTGTCCGTGTGAAACAGTTTGCAACAGTCCTTCACGTCGCTGGGTTCGACCTCCCTGGGTCTTCATGATGGTCGTACGACATCGATGTGCGGACGACACTTGACATGATGCAGATGCAATGACCTTCCCAAGGGGGTGTGAAACCTGATAGCTCACTTGTTTTATGTCTATGTAACTGATGACACCTGCTCTGCACGAGAGATACAGCGTCTCAATGCTGAATGAGTCATTTGTGCGCAGTCGGCGCATCAATCTCCACCGCCCGTCCCCCGCCATTCAACATGGCACTGTGCAATCAGTGGCCACAATCATGATAATCTATCTCAAGGCGGCGAACATATAGTTGCTTGTCTTATCCTTGATACTAAGATAGTTTGCATGGGCTACCACAAAGTCTGTGACCCTGATGTTGTAGTCCTTGATACCTGCCACGTCATTGAATGTCAAGATAAGATATTGCTATTATGTATGGAGAACAGCACACGGACGACCTCGAATGTCCAGCAGGTATTCACACGACATTCATGCTTTTGCCGTTCTACCATCAATGTCATCGACGGCGTTCTCGGTAAGTCAGTAAGTGCAGATGGCCCAGGGTAGCCTAGGCTCGACCGAACGCCGAACGCGTGAGGGGCTCGGATCAAAGTAGTTATCAGCTAGGGGGTCGTGTAGGTGGCGTTATCGGACCGTTATCAAAGACGATAAGACAACGATTTCCATAGATCAATCATGATTAGATTATATTTTGCTGAGATCAGCATAGTTTAGATGCGGCGTCACTACTATCACTGGCCCTATGTTCGGACAAACTGGACAAAAAAAATCCTGCCCTCTGTAGACTTCGCCTTGTACCCCCAAAATTTGCACAAACAATGCCTGCTAGACCTTTTCGAAGCCTGTATACTTTATTCTGGTGGAAACGGGGATAAAAGTAGAAATTTGTGAACGAGACCGTTGTTCGGACAGTCTGGTCACACCGGGTCACGAATCCGCATCGCACAGCCGAAGCGGCCGCCTCTAATTTTAGACTCCGACACTTGCACCTGTGTTCGGACGAGGATCACAGTGCACACATGATCATGAATTCAAGGAGGGACATCATGTTTCTTCCCAGCCTTGCAAAGGCTAAGGCTGTCATTTCCTAGTTCTTTGACGGCTACTTGGGGTTGCTCTTCAGTGTGCTAGATTTGAGGTTTATGCTTGTTGCCACCCTGCAGGGTTGGTGTGGAGAACTGTTGTGAGACAAGGGTGTCACCTTGGGTAAACATAGGAGTGGGGGGAAGTTTGTGACTTAGGAGGCTGTAGGTTCAGTATAGTCTGTGGCACAGTTGAGGAGGGGAGACAGTGGGGACAATGTTCGGACACGACTTGTTGCTGGTAGAACTATGTACGGAGAACAAATTTGCACTCCCCTTCTTCGATGCTCTGTGTCCGAATGTCACGCTTGATACCTTGTATTATCATACAAGTGCAACAACACACCATGCATTTTCTTCACATACTGGAACCAATATATATGGGCTACACTAGACTACATAAAAAAAATTGGATCATCAGGATCCTTCCTCGCGTGCTCTGACTCATCCGAAGCGTGACATTGGGCTTGCAAAGGCACATTTTCAACATTTAGGAATGTAAATCACCTTTAAAAAATCTCAAAGTTTCAGAAACCAAGTCTACACTATCTAACACAATTTATGGTCAAAATATTGAGGTTGATATGTCGAGCAATGAGTGAGAAACATAGACTGTCCGAACATTGGTACTGTCCGAACATAGGGCCAGTGATAGTACCGTGAATTGCAGCGCCGTCGCACTTTCTTGTCTTGATCCCCTCACCATCCCTTGTGAGCTCTCAACAGCAGCATCTTGACAAGATAAACCACGTTCTCTCGGCCAACAAAGCACAAAACTGGTCAGTCAATAAGTTCCTCATTGCATTCTACACCTCCGAGGACGACAGAATCCGAGCTCAAGCGCACCGCAACCTCACCTTTGAGGACAGGACATGGTATGGGCCCGAATTGATACTAGATGCCTGGCTGGCCAACACACCGAAAGACTCTCGCGCTCGGATGGAGATGGCTTTGATGCAGAAAGTGGCTGGGATCATTGTGGAGGAGTCTACAAAGGCCTATGGTCCTTCAACCCAGGCCAAGACAGACGATTTTTGCTTGGATTTCGCATTCACATCGATGGCAGCAATATATCAATCATTCATGCCTTGTCTTTGGGCTATATTAACGGCTCTCGTGATGGCGGAGAACAACTACGAGCAATGGCAAGGGCGAACAAAGGTTGGAAAAGAGTTGCGCGCGTCAAAGGTGAGTCTAGCGCGGTCCTCTTGGTTCTGGCTATCAATCTGAGATGCATTTCTGTGCAGATTGCCCTCATTGTCATCAGCATGCTCTTGTTTGGCCACAATCGGTCAACAAACCTCTTTCAGGTCATCTTCGGCATGTTTCTATCGAGCGCAGGTACGGGTCGGAGAGTTCTCGATGTCTGCAATCAGATGGGCCTCTCTATGAGTTACTCATGAGTCTGCTTTCTCCGTCTTGTTGGCAACATGCTCATGTGCTATATAGGACAGTGCAATGGTGTCTTCAATCCCTTACACACAGTGCTCAAGCAAATGCTGTCAATTTTGTACACAATTCAGACCGAATTTTTGCCATTGTATATAACAACATAAACTTCACCCTACGCAAGGCAGGGCAGTGGATTGACAATACGACCAAGCAACTGAACGCAACAACGTCGGCAGTGATTGCCTTGCCCTCAAAGTTCTCTCAATAGCTCCATGCGAAATTCCTCTCTCGGCACTCTCGCAAGCCTGGGCTTCGCAAAGATATGACAAAAACAGACCTCTGCTTGACACCTGCAAAGCAGGCACACATGAAGGCCGTATTTGAGTTTCAAGTCTGACAGATTTTGTTGCAACATGCCCCGGGTCTTCGAAAGTCGTCAGGAAGGCGGAAACACTTAATGAAGAAAACTCATGAAAATGAACCTCAGCTTCGAATGCTTGGAGCAGAGAAGACAGTACTCTTTCCGCTGCCAGCCCTTGATGAGGAGGAGGCCTCCGTGGGTGGAACCATTCGGGTCGTCATAAAACTCTTCACCGATCTTCTCCGAATGGCTATCGAGGTCATCAAAACAAAGCTACGGTTGCTGGTAAAAGACTGGTTGACTATCCAGAACTTGCGGCTGATGAGAGACGAGTGCTCGAATGAGTTTAATGTCTTCGAGAAGATGGATTGGGTCCAGGAGGCTTCCATGCCTTTCCACTTTCAACTAAATGCCATGTACATGCTTTTCTGTACTCACCTAGGCTACCCCAGGGATAACGGCAGTAGCTCATTAGGGCACCACCAAACGCTCCTCTGCCGTTCAAAGCTCGACCCCAAAAAACCTGAATATAACTTGGCAAGAGAGCTTGTGTGGCATTCATTGATTGCTTGCATCCTAGATTGCACATGGTGAGTACTGCATCAGCGGAGATATATTGATACTCACATCTTGAATCTTCCAGATTAATCCTCAGGCTTAAGCATCTAGATGAAATCAAGTAATGGAATCCATCCTGGCCAGAATTTGAAGAGCTCACCGGAAGATTGGTGAGGGAGTTTGCATCCACAGCAGCCGGACACAATGCACTTGAAAAGGGTGATGAAGTCCTCGCACACAGCATATTTATCATCCAAGACTCCCTCATGTTCATGGAATTTGGTGATGCAATCAATCAAGCCGATGTGGGAAGAATGTGGATGGTGTATGACCACTGGATATTTATGATGCAAGGTGCAGGACTTCACAACTATGGCAATGAACTGCTCAAAATGAAAGCATAGTTTCTCTATGAGTACAGTGCCGAGCTATGCGAGATTGTGGAACATACTTGGCTGGTCAATCGATGGGATGTATGAGGAAAGTTAATCCCAACAGATCTCTACTTAGAGCATAACAATGGTTTCACAAAGGTATGTGCCATGCGTCAAACAATTGGTTCATGGTTCTGACTCATTGGTCTTGTCGACAGACTATGTTCGCTGCTAAGGGCAGTGCCGCATCCATGGATCATGTCAAGAACAAGTTGTTGGCATGTGTTGAAGTGTTGCATTCGTTGTTGTATGCCATATCTTCCTACTTCGGACTCACTGACCACCATCGAGGACACAAGGAAGTAGATATAAATGGGGACATACAAGCACTCTGTCTCGATATGGAGGTTAGCACCATCCATACATTCCACACCTCACGCCCAGTGCCGCTCCCAATCACACGTACAAAGGCAGGAAAAGTCAAGAAAGGAAAACGAGGTACATCAACAGGTGTATGAGATGTTCTCAAGGAGGGCAGGGAAGCCTTGCTAGAGAAAGGCCTGTTTGAGAAGTGGAAGCGTAGAACAGGGGAGATTGACAATGACAAAGTGGGAGCTGCACTAGAGGAAGCAGTTGTGGGGACGGCCTTTGAGGATCCAAATGGCACGCTCAATGTTGACACCGCATTAGATATGGAGTTTAGTGCAGAGTGTGCATTCACTGATATAGACATCAGCGGGTTTAACGATAAATGATGGATGGAGATGCTTACCAATTAATCTATACCCAGATTCCCAAAGGCATCCTTGAAGTTCTGCTGCATTTGCTGAGGATTGAAAGAGGGCCATCTCTCAAGCGGAAACCCATGGTTGGCTGGATGAGGGTTGCATGGCATCCCTATCATCACCATTGTCGCCATGGGAAGAGCTCCAGATGCTTGCATGTGCTCACTGTTCCCAGATACCCATGCTGCAAAAGACTAAGGCCAGTGGACCCCGTGGAGCACTAGGAGCTCTGGGGTAGGTATTGGCACAACAGCAAGTGGTGCCATGAAGGGATCAGTGGAGGCGGACAACCAGGCATCAGAAACTGGATGTTTGGGGAGGAAACTGCAAGCGTGCGCCAAAGGATATGCAAGCCTTGCATCTCCACCATCGAGGACCAGAGTTTGCCCTAGCTTACTAGGCAGCTGACTTACCACATCTACATCAGGATGTGTTGCATGGGAGAACACAGGGAAAGCGCGTGGATAAGCCTGGCCTATGACTCTTCCATATTCCTGAGAAGCCATTCCGGACACCTGCACTTGCACTGAGAGGAGTGTAGGGCCATCAAGAGTTGCTTGTGTGCCATGGTGTAGTGCCGTGCAGGTTATGGGCTCATCAAGCCTCACTTGTCCACTGGAATGGAGCATTGAAGATCCTGCTGGCAGTGAGAATGGCCGATAGTGCTCAAGCCTCACGTCTCCATGACCATCGAGTGCTGGCATCGCTGCTGAGACTGGCATAAGCCAGCGCTGCTCAAGCCCTGTGACTGTCAGAGGAAAGCTATTTGCATGTTTGAGAGTTGCATCTTGACATGGATTCTGTACGAAGGTCCCTTCTAGTCCTTGGAAGAGCATGCGTGGTTGAATGGGGGGGTACACTGTCTCATTGTCAACGTTTACTGGCGAGATGGCTGTGATATCCCTGAAGAACCAGTGAGATATGGCACGATGATGAGCATGCACCCGCGCTAGGGTCCGAGGGAGGTATTCTGGAAGCTTTGGGGAGATACCGAACAGCGCTGATGAGCATGGGTATGCTCTAGGCACCAATACCCCACTTTTCGCAGCTTTTCAGTATTCTTTGACCGTTCGGCATACTTAGGACCGACCGATCCCGATCCGTTCGGCGATCTCAGCCATTTGTCAGGTGCCGACTTTGCATTTAGACCTCCGCACAGTCGTTCAGAGCTGTTCACAGTCATCCTATCCATCTATCATCACTCTCAGCAGTAGGGGCTCCCCACAGACTGTCGCGGCCGATCGCCGATCGGTTCGGTACACTTCACATGGTCGGCACATTCGGTCGGCTTCGGTGTCCCGAATCGGAGGCGGCCGAACACTTTGTTGACTCAGAACGGATCTGTCTTTCTATCTCTTATCGTCCTTATGCCTTCTGTTGACCTATCCTTTGTTATCTTCAGAGCTCCCAAGTTTCTAAATGGTTTACCCATGTGGCATGTGGTTCTTATCTCCAGGTCCATGTGGACTCACCTTGGCAATCTCTCCACTTATTTAGACTTTAGAGTTATTGCTTCTTATCTTATAGTGTTTGCAACATCACTCCCTTATCTTCTTTACCTTTGATCACTCTTGGCATGCATTTCCGATTGCTCTATGCCTCTGCCGATCTCCTTATCTTGTACCTGTTCGGACTTACTATAAAAGGGCACCTATGGCTTTGCAATACATCAGCTTTGGCTCCCCCCTTGTTCCGATTCCATTTGTGCGCTTGTGTCCATAAGACTTTGAGCCATTGCCTTCCGATCCTTGTTAGCATTTTGCCCTTTTGTTTGTGTTGTTGTGTTCGATCGCAGCCCTCCGTCAGAGCCCTCGTCGTTTTGCTCTCTCCCTCTCATCTAGTTTGTCATCCTCTGCCAGTGTCCAGTGTGGCCTTGCACCCATTCCCTTCCCTTCGCGTCCCGATCAAATCCCGATCAAACATCGACCGACCGACCGACCGACCAACCGACCAACCGACCGACCGACCGACCAACCGACCAACCGACCGACCTACCGACCGACCGACCTACCGACTTACCAACCGACCGACCGACCGACCGACTGACCGACCGACTGACCGACCGACTAACCGACCAACCGACCAACCGACCGACCGACCGACCGACTGAATATTTTGATTTTGGAGTTGTTTGTTCACTACACTCCGAACACTTTTAGTACGCTCCCTTGTTGGTTGTTGCACAGCTTATAGTTCCTTGCACACTAGAACCAGCTCCTGCCTACCTGCGCTTGTAGGGGTGTTTCTTGGGTGTGTTTCGCACTCAGAGGCATCACTAGCGTATCATTTTGGAGCCCACCGCGAGGGGTTGGTTCTCATCTCAAGGAACTTAGGCTGCTTCATCCCTTTTGCAATCACCGACTCTCCGACCGATCCCATTCCATTCGCTGACATCCCCCTACCACCACTACACTGTTCCGAACACGCTGCGACCCCGCCGATCAAACCCCACCATCACCTTGACCTCTGCACGACCCTAACATCCTCTTCGAAACCTCACTTCAGAACCTCGATTCCTGCTGCTCCCTTGATCTCTTGTGGTTTTTGCTATCCTTTGGCACTTGTCCCCCTTCGATAATTTCGATTTTTGTTGGCGATTTTATCCCTGATTCTTTCGATATTTTTCGGCGATTTTTACCCCTGATTTTTCGATATTTTTCGGCGATTTTTACCTCCGATTCTGATTGCATTGTGTTCACATTTCATCCCCCTAATTCCTAAGGTTGCTTTGAGACCCTGGTACACGTTCCAATCGCCTGCTGACATCTGAAACCTCTACTTCAGCCATTGACGTCCCTTGCCACATATCTTGCCTACATTTGCCTTTCCCTATTTGCCCTCCTTCCTTTTCTTCATAGATTGATCAAATACCATCCCCCTTTGACCTTAGAAGCTCCGATCCCGATCGCATCCTGTTCTTTTTCTTCAATTCACACTTTTGGTACTTATACTCCATTCGCATTTTTATCCACTCTTCAGCTTTGGTTTCAGTTCTTTGCATTTGATCGCTATGGCCCCCCCGACCATGCCAGCTCGAGGCGATCGATCCGCACCCACTTTCGACCCCAGCCGACCACGCACTCTTCGCCGATACTTTGCAGACCTTGACTTTCACTTTGTTCATTCGGCAGTCAACAGCGACTTGGAGCGGAAGAGACACGCCTGCCGATTCGCCGATCTTGACACCTCCGACCTCTGGGAGTCCCTGCCGACCTTTTCGGACCACGCGAAGACATACCAGGACTTCTGTGACTCTGTGTACAAGCTTTATCCTGGTGCCGATGATGATCGCAGATGGTTAGTTGCTGACTTGCATAGCCTTGTCGGAATGTATAGCCGGATCGGCATTGGCTCACTGGGGGATCTGGGCGTCTATTACCGAAGATTTCTAGCGATTGCACTCTTTCTGCGTCAAAAGAATCGGATTTCAGAGGTTGAAGAAGGGCATACCTTTGCACAGGGATTTCAGACAAAACTTTGGGTTCGCATCTTGCAGAGACTACAGATAAAGCTTCCCGATCACTTCCCCGATGACCCCTATTGTCTTGACGATATCTATGATGCCGCACGATTTGTTCTTCATGGCACCACCACCTCTTTCGCACCTCCCTTGTGTCAGTCAATCATGGAAATCGGCGCGACCGCAGTGCAATCGGGCGACCTTGGAACCACCCTAACACGCATCGCCGAATCGTTCGGCAAAGCCCTCAGCTCCGCGATCAGCTTCGGACGTCCGCACGCACACCCAGCTCGCTGCCAACGATGCTCATTCTGTGGTTTGACTGGCCACTTCATTGCTGCGTGTCCTTCTGTTTTGGAGTATGTCCGCATCGGGAAGTGCATTCGGAATTCGGAGAACAAGGTGGTCTTGTCTTCAGGTTGTTTTGTGCCACATAGGATCAAAGGACGCACTCTCAGGGACCGGATTGATGAATGGTACCGATGCAATCCCCAATCGAATGCTATGGCCAGCCTAGAACTTGGAACCGATTTTCAGTCGCGCCGATCGGCGCCCATCATCTCCAATTTCGGTTCTCCCTCCCTGCGCAGTCCTGGATTTACAGGTAGATTTGCTTGTTCTAATCGCATTGCAGCACTCGAGGATGAACTTTGCTGCCTTCGAAAGCTCTCATGTCCCATGTCCGATGGCCGAACAGACGTTCGGAAGCCCGCCGAACGTTCGAGATGCACCATACTCCCTCCATTAGCTTCCAAACACCATCCACTCTCATTGTCCCCTGACCCGAAATCTTCGGCACCTTTTTCTAGGCGTTCGGAATGCTTTCCACTTTCGCAAGCGGCTATAGGGCACCTCTCCGATGACGTACCATCACCTTCCAGTGTGTCTAGCGATTCCAATCATCCTGTTGTCTCAATTTTTTCGCATTCATTTATACCACCCTCATCACTTCCTCCGAAATCATCCTTAATGCATGTCCGATCGCATCAGCCCACCTTTTACCGACTCTGCCCTCCGAACACCTTTCCCAACCACCGATCATGTCTGTGTACTTCCAACCACACTTGTACCCCAGCCGATTTTGCACGCTTTCAATGGCACAGGCACTGGTCTGATCATATTGGCACTCTGACGGCTTTGGCACACTTCCGATCGCTTCGGCGCACCACTGGCCGTAGGGGCTCTCCGACTGCATTTGATCCACATCTGATTGCATTGGCGCATTGCTGATTGCGCACATGCTCCGACCACATCCCTGCATCTCCATCTCTAATCACCCTGCAATGAGTTTCACTTGACTTTTAGACCTGTTGCTTGCTCCGAACCCCTCCATTCGATTTCCTTGCATATTCGTTGCTGTGCTGCTCTGGTCCGACCGCCTGACTGAGGACAGTCAGTATTTCAGTTGGGAGGAGATGATGAGCATGGGTATGCTCTAGGCACCAATACCCCACTTTTCGCAGCTTTTCAGTATTCTTTGACCGTTCGGCATACTTAGGACCGACCGATCCCGATCCGTTCGGCGATCTCAGCCATTTGTCAGGTGCCGACTTTGCATTTAGACCTCCGCACAGTCGTTCAGAGCTGTTCACAGTCATCCTATCCATCTATCATCACTCTCAGCAGTAGGGGCTCCCCACAGACTGTCGCGGCCGATCGCCGATCGGTTCGGTACACTTCACATGGTCGGCACATTCGGTCGGCTTCGGTGTCCCGAATCGGAGGCGGCCGAACACTTTGTTGACTCAGAACGGATCTGTCTTTCTATCTCTTATCGTCCTTATGCCTTCTGTTGACCTATCCTTTGTTATCTTCAGAGCTCCCAAGTTTCTAAATGGTTTACCCATGTGGCATGTGGTTCTTATCTCCAGGTCCATGTGGACTCACCTTGGCAATCTCTCCACTTATTTAGACTTTAGAGTTATTGCTTCTTATCTTATAGTGTTTGCAACATCACTCCCTTATCTTCTTTACCTTTGATCACTCTTGGCATGCATTTCCGATTGCTCTATGCCTCTGCCGATCTCCTTATCTTGTACCTGTTCGGACTTACTATAAAAGGGCACCTATGGCTTTGCAATACATCAGCTTTGGCTCCCCCCTTGTTCCGATTCCATTTGTGCGCTTGTGTCCATAAGACTTTGAGCCATTGCCTTCCGATCCTTGTTAGCATTTTGCCCTTTTGTTTGTGTTGTTGTGTTCGATCGCAGCCCTCCGTCAGAGCCCTCGTCGTTTTGCTCTCTCCCTCTCATCTAGTTTGTCATCCTCTGCCAGTGTCCAGTGTGGCCTTGCACCCATTCCCTTCCCTTCGCGTCCCGATCAAATCCCGATCAAACATCGACCGACCGACCGACCGACCAACCGACCAACCGACCGACCGACCGACCAACCGACCAACCGACCGACCTACCGACCGACCGACCTACCGACTTACCAACCGACCGACCGACCGACCGACTGACCGACCGACTGACCGACCGACTAACCGACCAACCGACCAACCGACCGACCGACCGACCGACTGAATATTTTGATTTTGGAGTTGTTTGTTCACTACACTCCGAACACTTTTAGTACGCTCCCTTGTTGGTTGTTGCACAGCTTATAGTTCCTTGCACACTAGAACCAGCTCCTGCCTACCTGCGCTTGTAGGGGTGTTTCTTGGGTGTGTTTCGCACTCAGAGGCATCACTAGCGTATCAGCGCTCGACAAGTACCGAAGACGCCGACTTTACCGAACACGGTCGGCCCCTACCCGACCGACGACAAGCCACCGAAGGACGTTCGGCAGCACTTGGGTCAGTTTGCCCACACTTCACGTACTCACCATGACCACATAGGAGTGTTACGATAAGTGTTTACGAGATCAAAGCCAGTAGTCCGTATCGGCCGATGTCCTCCATGAGTCGGTCGGTCCTTATCGCTTATCTTCCCGACTTCCACATGGTCAGTTAAACATGATCTTGCACCATTACTTGGCCACCCTGGTCGTACAATACCTCTTCTTTATTTTCATTGGTTCTCCAACGCCTGTTCCGTCTACCTACGCTCAGGCAACGGATCCCGAACATTCGGGATTTCGCCATCGCTGATTAACTTTTACCTTGTCACCTTCGGAACCCATATGGACATCTCACCTACCTTCTTATCTTCTCTGATCGCTAAGGCTTGGCGCCCATTCGACATCTACTCTCATTTCTTGTTTAATATTTTACTTAGGGGCTCTGTTTACTATAAAAAACCTACATACAACTCTGGAATAAACCAGCTTTCGCACCCCACAGTTCAGAGCTCATTCGCATTTGTCTCAACCATCGAAATCGTCTTCGTCAACCTCCGAAAACTTGTCATCCTCGTCGTTCGGCCTCATTCGTGTTCGTACTCATCCCTTCGCTCGTACCCCGTCCTCCCTCGTATATTGTCAGAGTCCCGTGTGGCTCTTGAAGCACGTAGTCGTCGGTCGCGACACTACCTTCTCGTTACCGACCACATCGCCGACACGACCGACCGAACATTCGGTCGGTGTTCGGCGCAGTCCCGAAACCGTTCGGGCGCTATAATCTCACCCTCCCCGATTGCTTCTCAGTACACCTTCCCTTTCTAAAGTCATCACTAACAATTCCTTGTGTATTAGATACTAGCTCCAGCACCCCTGCATTAGAGGTTGTTTTAGTGTTGTGCTCGGCACTTAGAGCCACCTCTAGCGTATCATTTTGGAGCCCACCGCGAGGGGTTAGTATTCAAAATTACCTCAAGGAATCTACGTCGCTCGTCCCGACCAACAGCAGAGCGCGAAGAACGACAAACAGTTATCGACAGCTTCAATACTCAGGAAACATCTGCCAACCGAAGTTTGTTCGGAGACGCCGATATAGTCCCGGAACATCTATCCCACCATCACTATCTTGATCTCGAATCCTCGCCATCGCTCTCACCGCCACCCGACTCCACTTTCTTCTTAACCCCACCTTCGTCGCCGAACCGATCGCTACTCCCGCCAATTTCCCCCTTCCTTGATCTTGCGCTTTTAGAACAACAACCCCCGTCTCCTATACCATCTCTCCACGACTCCATCTCTCCGTTAATCCCACGCAGCCCCGTCTTCTGGATGCCGACCATCCGACCAACTTCGCTAGAACGCTCCTTTGAACCAGCAACTCCATCCCCGATCACTTTAGCAAACGATATCTTTTCTCCCACCTTTGATTTTCTCACTATGGCGACCCCATCCATGCCCGCTCGTGGAGATCGAACGGCCCCGACCTTTGACCCCCATCAACCCCGCGAATTGAGACGATATTTTGCCGATCTGGACTTCCACTTCGGTCGGTCAGCGATAGAAGACGAGCAGGAAAAGAAGAAACACGCGTGCCGATTCCTGGACGTCGACACCTGCGAGCTTTGGGAATCGCTCACCACTTTCACCGACGCCACAAAGACATTCAAGGAGTTCTGCAAAGAAGTCTACAGACTGTACCCTGGATCGGAGGAAGAGCGCAAATGGTCGGTATCAGATATGGACAAGCTAGTCGGCGAAACGAGCAGGGTCGGCATCTTGTCTCTCAGCGAACTCGGCGACTATCATCGGCGATTCCTGGCGATCACAGTATTCCTCCTCAGCAAGGCACGAATCTCGGTCGCCGAACAAGGACGCGCCTTCGCCAGAGGATTCCAACCGGAGCTATGGGCAAGAATCTCTCAACGTTTACAACTCAAGTTCCCCGATCATTTCCCAGACGACCCATACAACCTCCAAGACATCCACGACGCGGCCCGATTCATCTTGCACGGCACCACGTCCGCCTACAGCACGACCTCTACCGACATCTCTCGAGCAGCCCCCGCCGCGCCGCCCACCAACGCAATCAAAGCCGAAGACCTGGCGACCATCTTCGAACGACTCACCGACACCTTTGTCAAGGCCATTGCAGCTCAAGGGACGTCCAGGCCAGCCGATCGACCATCCCGACAACCAGGACAAGGCGGCGACAACTGCATGTTCTGCGGCAGTCCTGAACACTTCATGCGCGCCTGTCCCGAGGTCACTGAATACATTCGGATCGGCAAATGCAAGCAGAATATCGAGGGGAAGGTTGTATTGTCAAGTGGGGCATTCGTACCCAGAGAAATCACAGGTAGTAACCTGAAGGACCGAGTTGACGAATGGCATCGCAGGAATCCAGGACAGTTGGCGACTGGACAGATGATGTTCACGGTAAACACGGCGCCGACTCACCCGATGACGATAGCCTCCCATCACGATGCACCCTCACTGCTGGATGTCACCCCGACTTACCAACTCACCGACGTCCAGCGAATCGCAAGCCTCGAACGCGAACTATTCGCACTCCGAACGCAGGGCGCGAGGGCACGCGAAATAGCGCAGACAGGACGTTCAACACTTTCTCCTTCACCGGCTCCCGAACGACGAGCGAGGACCGCAACTCCCGAACCCGAACCCCGACCGACCACCCCGACTCAGCGACCGCCCCTGGTACCAGCTAAGGACGATGCTCCGATCCACCCATACGCCAAAGCCCAGGACGCCACCTATGCACCACCGCACGAACGCAACATAGGGGCCCCGGCGAAGATACCATCGGCGAAGAAGGACGCTCCGGCCTACAAAACCACGGCGCCGATCTACGACGAGAAGGTAGCAGCCGAGGTCTACAACAGGGCGATGGCCACTCAGGTGACGCTTACCCAGCGCGAACTACTCTCCCTCTCCGCCGAAGTCCGTTCACAGGTCAGGGAAGCCACGTCGGCACGCCGATTGCCTGTCAAAAATGCCAGCAATGTTCGGACCTTCTACCAAGATGCCGATCTACCCTACGCCATCGACGATCTCGAACCACCGACTCGACCGACAGTCTCCTCCTTCGTCAATGTCCTGCACCAACCGGAAACACCCCCGCCGGGCGCGACCATCATCCCCGACATGTACGAAACGTACCTGAAGAATCTACAGCCCGGTCAGGTTCCTCAGCCGTTGATAGTTGCTAAAGAATTGTCTGCCCTAAGGTCCATCGTTCCCCTCGTCGATCATCAGCAGGAAGTCGAATGCGTCATCGACCCGGGTTCACAAGTCATCGCTATGTCGGAAGGCATTTGCAATGAACTGGCGCTCATCTACGACCCCGAAATCGTCCTCAATATGCAGTCGGCGAATGGCGAAATCGACCGATCCTTGGGCCTGGCACGCAACGTTCCATTCCTCATCGGCGACATCACCCTGTACCTCCAAGTCCACATCATTCGGAACCCAGCCTATGACGTTCTCCTCGGTCGGCCCTTCGACATCCTCACCGAAAGTATCGTCAAAAATTATTCGAATGAAGACCAGACGATCACCATCAGCGACCCGAACACAGGACGACGAGCCACCATTCCGACGATCCGGCGAGGACCCCCTCGAGTTCTTCACCGAAGACAAGCGGGTTTTCGCGACTCGATGAATTGATCCAGGATCAAGGAGAAGTTGCACTGATCATTTCCACCGATCATGATACCCCCAATTTCCCACTTATCGAAGCGTCCTCAGATTTCCATTCTCCATCTCCCTCTCGTCGCGATCTTTGTCTCAAGTACATTATGGCCTCCGATTTGGGGCCCGAAAATCATCTCAAAAACAATCTCGATTCCAATATGTCATCTTTATTTTCCTTAGTCGTCCCCGGTTCTTTCCATTCCACTAATATCGCCGACCCGGTCGCCATCTTCGCCGCCAAGCGCAAGTACAAACCAGTCGCACAGAAAACACGACCAGTCTTGGCCGACCTCCCCGAAAAGTTCCGAATCGTTCAGAACATCCTTGGCGACCCGCTCGCCACCCTTCCGACGCTGACACCGAACCCACCACCCTTCACGCCGACTGGCAGGTACACAGACGAACGACGCGACCTCATCGATAAAGTCCACTTAGACGACTTCCTTTGGCCGGCCGAACGACAGCTCATGCACCATTTCATGTGTCTACAAGAGATGGGATTCGCCTGGGACGACTCGGAACGCGGACGTTTCCGCGAGGAATTCTTTCCTCCAGTCAATATGCCAGTGGTTGAACACAAGCCCTGGGTTCAACGCAACATTCCGATTCCACTGGGCATCTACGACGAAGTGTGCCGACTTATCAAAACCAAGATTGCCGCTGGAGTCTATGAGCCATCGAATTCGTCCTACCGATCGCGCTGGTTTACGGTCGTCAAGAAGACGAATAGCACCTCCACTGGCACCAAACTCCGAATCGTTCACAGCCTCGAACCCCTGAACGCCGTCACCATCCAGCATTCAGGTGTGCCCCCATATACCGATCAGATCGCTGAACAGTTTGCAGCTCGCGCGTGCGGCGGCATTCTGGATCTCTATGTCGGCTATGACGAACGAGGGCTAGCCGAATCATCTCGCGACTTCACCACATTCCAGACCCCATTCGGCGCCCACCGACTCGTCACCCTACCCATGGGATGGACGAATTTGGTCCCGATCTTCCACGACGACGTCACCCACATCCTCCAGCCAGAGATACCAGACACCACCATTCCTTTCATCGACGATGTTCCGATTTGGGGCCCGCCAACCCGATACGAACTTCCGAACGGAGGCTTCGAGACGCATCCCGACAACCCCGGCATACGACGGTTTGTGTGGGAACACTTTCAAGGCCTCAATCGAGTGGTTCAGCGGGTGAAGTATAGCGGAGGGACCTTTTCGAGACACAAGGCGACACTCTGCGCAGCCGAAATCACGGTGGTCGGCCATCGGTGCACGTATGAAGGACGATTACCCAACGAGTCTAGGGTAGAGTCAATTATGAAGTGGGGACCTTGCAGGGATCTCTCTGACGTTCGGGCATTTTTGGGGACGATCAGTGTCGTTCGGATCTTCATTTGGAATTTTGCACACAGGGCGCATGCACTGACAATGTTAACGCGCAAAGATTTTCCATTCGTGTTCGGCCCAGACCAGATAGCGGCCCAGGACGACCTCCGGTCGGCACTTCTCGAATCGCCAGCCCTTCGGCCGATCGACTATGGGTCGGCAGCCAACGTCATCCTCGCCGTCGATACCTCTCAAATTGCGGTCGGCTTCCACCTCTGTCAATGCGCACTCGACAATCCGCGGGTTCGGTATTATGCCCGATTCAGCTCCATCACCCTTAACGACCGCGAATTGCGATTCTCCCAACCCAAGCTCGAACTCTACGGCCTCTTCCGCGCCCTCCGATCGCTCAAAATGTATCTCATCGGCGTTCGGAACCTGATAGTCAAAGTAGACGCACGCTACATCAAGGGCATGCTCACTAACCCGGATCTCGAACCCAGCGCCAGCATCAATCGGTGGATCGTCTCCATCCTCACCTTCCATTTCACACTTGTCCACGTCCCCGGCACCTCTCATGGCCCCGATGGCCTCTCCCGACGACCACCACAACCCTCCGATTGACCCGAACCCGAAGACGACTTTGACGACTGGATCGACAATCTCTACGGCTTCCTCCATCAGATCAACAACACGTTCCCCACCTCCATCTCAACCTCGACAACCGCCATCTTCACCTCCTCGCTCATAGGCGACCTCCCGACCGCTACCGAGTCCGACGACGAAGGCCCGACCATCGACTATTCAGATATCCCAAGATCGCAAAAAGCTTTGGAAGCCGAAGAACGCCTATGGTTGGTCCGAGACTGGCACCAAACATTGGTTCGGCCCCCTTCTCTCTCCAACTCCGAATATGCGACTTTTCTACGATATTGCACTGAGTTCTTTATAGCAGCTGACAAGCTATGGAGAAAAGACTCACACGGCCGACACAAGATTGTTGCAGCCCCCTCTAGTCGGATCACAATTCTCACTGCCGCCCATGACGACGTCGCTCACAAGGGTTTCTACGCCACGACTGCCTTGATTGCCGAACGCTTCTGGTGGCCGCACATGAGGCAAGACATTTCCTGGTTTGTTCGGACCTGTCACCTTTGCCAGATTCGCCAGACTCGCAACGTCCTCATTCCCCCGACTGTCGCCACGCCCGCACCACTCTTCGCGAAGATGTATATGGATACCATGCACATGCCGACCGCCGGTGGTTTCAAGTATCTCGTGCAAGGCCGCTGTTCGGTATCACACTACCCCGAATTCCGCATGCTGCGATGCGAAACAAGCTCCGCACTCGCCGACTGGATCTTCGAGGATATCCTGTGCCGATGGGGAACACTGGTAGAGATTGTCTCCGACAACGGACCGGCATTCGTCAAGGCGCTCGACCAGCTAGCAAAGAAGTACTACGTTCGGCACATTCGCATTTCGGGCTACAATTCCCGCGCCAACGGCATCGCCGAACGACCTCACTTCGACGTTCGGCAGGCTCTGTTCAAAGCCGTTGATGGAGACCAGGCCAAATGGAATCGTGCAGCTCATTTCGTATTCTGGGCTGATCGTATTACTGTTCGGCGCCGAATGGGTTGCTCGCCATACTTCGCAGCGACCGGAACCCATCCCCTCCTTCCCCTCGACATCGCCGAAGCCACCTATCTTCTACCACCACCGACCACAGCCCTCAGCACCACCGACCTCATTGCTCGACGTGCCATCGCTTTGCAGAAACGACGATCGGACCTCGCCCACCTTCGCAGCTCAGTAGTCGGCGCCCGTGTCCAGGCCGCCATCCGATTCGAACAACAGCATTTGGCCACACTTCGCGACTTCAATTTCCACCGAGGCTTGCTTGTCCTGATGCGCAACACAGCCATAGAAAAGGCGCTCAATCGGAAGATGCGTCCACGTTATTTAGGACCTTTGCTAGTAATTTCTAGGAATCGGGGAGGAGCGTATATTTTGGCCGAACTCGATGGATCAGTCTTTGATCGGCCAGTTGCAGCATTCCGCGTTATTCCTTATTTTGCTCGCAGGTCTCTGAAGCTCGCCGACCTTGAAGCCCTCCTCGACATCTCGCAGGAACGCCTTCGGGCCATGGAAGATTCCCGATCGAGCGACGACGACGCCGAAGACGATAGTGCCGATGAAGATACCGACACCAGCTCAGTCCGATCGGCGGAGGACGACGATGCGGCTTCGGCGACCTCCAACTAGAATCCCACCCTCCCACCCTTCGCTCTCTTCGGTCGGTGACTGGGGACAGTCACGATTTCAGTAGGGAGGAGGATTCACAGATATACCCATTCTTTATCTTCGTTTATTCGTCACAGACATGGACTGACGCCCAATCATTTCCACATCTCTTAGTACTTTTACCACCGACCGATCGCCGACCAAATAGTCGGCACTCATTTTCCCCATCACTCCTTCAAGTACCAAGCCGCATTGAAGACTTCTTCCGATTTGCGCAAAACCATAGGGTTTTATGCCTGTGATGACATACTGAGGCTTCCCCTAAATATTCCAATTTATTTTCTTCATTTCTGCCGAACGCTTCGCTTACAACTACATTCACACGCAGTCATTTTGCCGACCGATTTCTCGAACGACACCTCTAGTCTTCGCCAAAAACGTCTCATTCAAACCAGGACAGTCCTTTCACTATTATGTTACATTTTACTGTACTACAGAAACCGCCGAAACTATTCTACTCATCGGGTACGAAATCGCCCGACACAGACATATCCGAATCCTCCGCCGCCGACGAATCCTCGACCAAGACGACGTCCGAAGACGTAGACGGACCCGCCTGCACCTCGAGCGACTCCAACTCCGCCTGCCACATCTTGATCGACCGCGCCAACGAAGCCCGCGTACCCTCCGCCACAGCGATCCGGTACCGAAGATCGGACGCGATGCCTTGCGCAACGATCGGCGACAAACGAGACGAGTCGGACAGGGCGGGGACGGCGACAGAACGGGAGCGGGTAGGAGCGAGGACGGCCCTAGCCGTGGTAGGAAGCCGCTGGACCGGCTTTCGGGTGCGAGCGGCTGCACCGAACAATACCGAACGATGGGCTCCCATCTCCAATCCAACCGAAAAATGACTTACCTTTCGTTTGGGCGATGCTATCCCCGACGGACCGCACGGGGACAACCACCTCTACTTTACGACGCTTTAAGGGGCGTTCCCTCTCCTCCGCCTTCGGCGCCGACTGCTCCTTCGACTTCCCCTTCCCCTTCTCCTTCGACTTCCCCTTCCCCTTCTCCATCGGCATCCACCCGGGCTGGAAGCTACACCCCTTCAAATCCCTGGCACACTTAGTGCACGACACCAGCCCAGGTCGCTAGTAGCACCGGAACACCTTGGTCTGGAAGGCGGTCGCACAGCGGTGGCATGCGTAGTCGGCCTAGAAGAAGGATGGTTAGCAAGAGGAAACAGCGGCAAGAGGGAGGGAACTTACCAGTACATCACCAGGTAACAACTCTGGAGGATCTTCGAGCACTTTACCGGCACCATTCCGCTCCATAGGGGACCTGACCGTCGACATTCGGCCCGTTCCAGGGCCGAGAGGAAGGACGACGCGTCCGAGAGGTGGTGTCCGTTGGTGAGCGAATTTGACGACAACAGCCGCGGCCGTCTTTTTGCCCTTCGCGTCGGTCGGGGCAGCGGCGGCGGCCAGACCCATGCTCATTCGGTCCAGGGCATCGGTTGCGGATGCAAGCGCAGAGTCGGCGGACGGGTCGGGATAGGACGAGTCGGCGGATGGGTCGGGATAGGATGAATCGGCGGACGGGTCGGGATGGGATGAGTCGGCGGACGGGACAGGACGAGAAGAGGAAGCGGCGGCGGAGGGAGACGGAGAGTGAAGAAAGAGAGGAAGGGGAAGGACGGACTCTGCCTCCAGCTCGGACAGCTGACGATCACCTTGTTCAGGATCAAGCGACCCATTGAACATGGCCTCCACCAAAGCCTCCCGGCGCCGCCGACGATCTGCTTTGGCCAACTGACGGGCAGCGGCAGCCCGCATCGCCTCGGCTTCCTCAGCCTCACGTTCGGTGACAGCGACCCACGCAGCCTCCTCTGCCAGGGCCTGTTCTTCGGCCGCCTGTTGCTGTTTCTGCGCTGCAAAGCGCGCCGCACGCTGCGGCAAAATGCGCGACCCCCAGGCAAGCCAGTCGTTGGTGGCAACATGGTCGAGGCCACTCTCAGCCTCGGCGACCCAGGCCGCGAGTTCGGGCACATCCTGCCCACGCGCCGAACGATCGAATACAGCCTGCAAGGACGTCAGCAGCCAGCAGAAGGCAAAAGGAAGGACCGACTTACCACTCGTTTGGCGAACCCCTGCGCCCAGGCCTCGTAATCTTCGTATTCGGCGGTGCCGTCGGGGAGGGAGAGCATGTACTCCCCGAGCTTGGTTTTGAGGACAGAGAGGAGGGAGGACATGGTGGGAAGGCCGAAAGGGTTCGGACGAGGAGACGAAGCGGCAGGAGGGTGATGATGAAGGACTTAGTCGCTGGAGAATCAACGATCGGCAGGTGATTGTGATCACCTGACAGAGCCACGTGCCACTGCGCTTGGCAGAAACCGCGATACGCGCCACCGCTCCTTGCCGACACGCTCTCACGCCAGCGTCTAGTTGGGGCACTCTAGGCTTCAGCCACTTCCTCACCTAATCAGTTGCCACGCCACAGGATTTTGCCGACTCAGCCCCGGTCTCTCTTGCGCGCCGACCCGGTCCTTTCTACGACATCTCCTTGCTGATTATTCACCTGTGCCACATCTCTCCCACGCACCCATTCCTTTCCACGCCACCGCTCATTGCCGATCTTTTTCCCACGACACTTGCCACGCTGCTCCAGGTTCCACGCCACAGCTATTCTTTCCACGCTAGCGCTTGTTGCCGACGCTTTCCCACAGCTCTCCCACACGCCCACTTCTTTCCACGCCATCGCTTGTTACCGACGCTTTCCCACATCCACACACCACGCGCCCTGATCCACGTGCAGTGTTGCCACGCCATTTTTTCCGCTCCAACTCATAGCCGCCGACCACTGACTGAGGACAGTCAGGATTTCAGTAGGGAGGAGATGATGAGCATGCACCCGCGCTAGGGTCCGAGGGAGGTATTCTGGAAGCTTTGGGGAGATACCGAACAGCGCTCGACAAGTACCGAAGATGCCGACTTTACCGAACACGGTCGGCCCCTACCCGACCGATGACAAGCCACCGAAGGACGTTCGGCAGCACTTGGGTCAGTTTGCCCACACTTCACGTACTCACCATGATCGCATAGGAGTGTTACGATAAGTGTTTACGAGATCAAAGCCAGTATTCCGTATCGGCCGATGTCCTCCGTGAGTCGGTCGGTCCTTATCGCTTATCTTCCCGACTTCCACATGGTCGGTCAAACACGATCTTGCACCATTGCTTGGCCACCCTGGTCGTACAATACCTCTTCTTTATTTTCATTAGTTCTCCAACGCCTGTTCCGTCTACCTACGCTCGGGCAACGGATCCCGAACATTCGGGATTTCGCCATCGCTGATTAACTTTTACCTTGTCACCTTCGGAACCCATATGGACATCTCACCTACCTTCTTATCTTCTCTGATCGCTAAGGCTTGGCGCCCATTCGACATCTACTCTCATTTCTTGTTTAATATTTTACTTAGGGGCTCTGTTTACTATAAAAAACCTACATACAACTCTGGAATAAACCAGCTTTCGCACCCCACAGTTCAGAGCTCATTCGCATTTGTCTCAACCATCGAAATCGTCTTTGTCAACCTCCGAAAACTTGTCATCCTCGTCGTTCGGCCTCATTCGTGTTCGTACTCATCCCTTCGCTCGTACCCCGTCCTCCCTCGTATATTGTCAGAGTCCCGTGTGGCTCTTGAAGCACGTAGTCGTCGGTCGCGACACTACCTTCTCGTTACCGACCACATCGCCGACACGACCGACCGAACATTCGGTCGGTGTTCGGCGCAGTCCCGAAACCGTTCGGGCGCTATAATCTCACCCTCCCCGATTGCTTCTCAGTACACCTTCAATTTCTAAAGTCATCACTAACAATTCCTTGTGTATTAGATACTAGCTCCAGCACCCCTACATTAGAGGTTGTTTTAGTATTGTGCTCGGCACTTAGAGCCACCTCTAGCGTATCAACGAGAAAAAGTAATTGATGACATACGGAGTACCCTGAAGTCGAGTTGGCAACCTAGGTTCTGCCCTCATGACTTGCTCTCATCTAATACGTCATTGTGCAGCCTTCACAGCTTGTTGTGTGCGCACTGTCTCCCAGAACTGGTCGAGCATTCTAACAAGCTCGTCAACAGTCTCATCGGAGTCAGCCGACCAATGGGAGATCTGGTTGAGCAACTCTGTTGTGATGGCACCTGATCCTACTATCCAGTTGGCCTTGTCCACAAGCTGGCCAATAGTGAAGTCTGAGATTACCCAGCTATGAGAAAGCCCAGGATTTTTAGATGCTATGGCCTCCCATCAATTTTTGCGCCAGGCTCCCAGAAGATTGCGCAGCTTATCTCGGTCTGCTCTTGTGCAAGGGATGGATGACAGTTTAGACTCCGGGTGGTTGAGTGTTGGTGGAGGAAATGATAGATGAGACATGGCTGTTAAGGTGAGAGACAACCATATAGTACGAGCTCGATCCCCTTCAGATAGAACACCTACAGGGGTGTTGTTGGAGGTCCATCAGGAACGAGCGCTACAACAAAGCCCTCTTGAAGGTTTGGGTGGCAAACTCTTCACTTCCCACCTTACAGCATGTCGCCTGTTGTCCTCATCCTCAGACCCATCTGAGTCACTCGTGAAAGGACTAACTTGGAAACCTGGCATAGCAGGCCTTGGTTGGAAATATTGACGCGTGAAATCCCGCAGGCATGTACCTGAAGTATAGCACTTGATATAGGCCAGCAATGCAGGATTCATTGCGGCGTGTCATTCGCCAAGGATTTGGTTCCATCCTCTTCCTGGTTTATCCAACATTCCATCTGCCACCTCTTCTTGATGATGTTTTGGCCCTCCTTCAACCCACTCCTCGAAAGCCCAGTCCTCAACCAACCATATCATCTGTGCAGTCAAGCCAGCTCAACGCCCTGCTCTTCTTCCTTTTTGGAATGCGGAACACAAGTCTTGCAGGCCATACACAACGGCAATCCTGATATCTGGTATGTCACATCCCATTCCTACAGCATCTGTGGCAAAGAGCCATCTGATAATCCCTAGCTTGAAAAGTGCCATTGCCTCAATCCTGAAGCTCTTGGAATTTGTGCCTGTGAAGGCATACAGACACTCATGCAGGCTGTGGGGGAGCAGTGCGTGCAATATGTCGCAAGCCTCTCGAGCTTGGCATCAACTTTTGAAGTAGAATATCATCTTGGGCAATTCATTGGGAGAAGATGATGGGGTTAGGTCTTCTGGGATAAACACAAACAATGCAGCAAATGTCTTAGCAGCGTATTCCATAGGATGAAGGACCTGCATGAGATTGGGTCAGTCAGCGCCCAGGTCGATGCCCCAGAATGGGCGTGCACTTCCCAATCCAAGTGAATGATACACTGTTTCAAGAATGTGTGTTGGCATGGTTGCTGAAAAGGTGGCCATGGGGATTTCCATGCCGGTGATGATGCACTGATGAGCATGCACCCGCGCTAGGGTCCGAGGGAGGTATTTGGGAAGCTTTGGGGAGATACCAAACAGTGCTAGACAAGTACCAAAGACGCCGACTTTTACCGAACATGGTTGGTCCTTACCCGACCGATGACAAGCCACCGAAGGACGTTCGGCAGCACTTGGGTCAGTTTGCCCACACTTCACGTACTTACCATGATCGCATAGGAGTGTTACGATAAGTGTTTACGAGATCGGAGCCAGTATTCCGTATCGGCCGATGTCCTCTGTGAGTCGGTTGGTCCTTATCGCTTATCTTACCGACTTCCACATGGTCGGTCAAACGCGATCTTGCACCATTTCTTGGCTACCCTGGTCGTACAATACCTCTTCTTTATTTTCATTGGTTCTCCAACGCCTGTTCCAGCTACCTACGCTCGGGCAACAGATCCCGAACGTTCGGGATTTCGCCATCGCTGATTAACTTTTACCTTGTCACCTTCGGAACCCATATGGACATCTCACCTACCTTCTTATCTTCTCTGATCGCTAAGGCTTGGCACCTGTTCGACATCTACTCTCATTTCTTGTTTAAAATTTTACTTAGGGGCTCTGTTTACTATAAAAACCTACATACAACTCTGGAATAAACCAGCTTTGCGCACCCCATAGTTCAGAGCTCATCTGCACTCGTCTCAACCATTGAAATCGCCTTCGTCAACTTCCGAAACTTGTCATCCTCGTTCGTTTGGTCTCATTCACGTTCGTACTCATATCTTTGCTCATACCCCCCCCCCCCCGTCCTCCCTCGTATATTGTCAGAGTCCCGTGTGGCTCTGGAAGCACGTAGTTGTCGGTCGCGACACTACCTTCTTGTTACCGACCAAGTCCCCGACATGACTGACCGAACGTTCGGTCGGTGTTCGGCGAAGTCCCGAAACCATTTGGGCACTATAATCTCACACTCCCCGTTGCTTCTCAGTACGCCTTCCCTTTCTAAAGTCATCACTAACAATTCCTTGTGTATTAGATACTAGCTCCAGCACCCCTGCATTAGAGGTTGTTTTAGTGTTGTGCTCGGCACTTAGAGACACCTCTAGCGTATCAGCGCAGTGTCTGAAGCTTACCATAGTCCTTGCGAAAATCATCCTGCCATTGCTGGATGACATGCGCCTCGTCAATGACTGTCACAATCTGACGGTTTCAAAAGGTCTGAGATCTAAACAGTTGCTTGAATCTGTTATTTTGGAGGAGACATTCAGGGGAAGCATAGCAGATATGTATTTTCCCTGTCTCCAGCATTTTGAAGATCTGTTCATCATTGTTATCTTCATTGATTGCTAGTGCATGAATCTTCAATGGGGCATCTGTGTCGTGTGCTCTGGACATGTCCATATGGTGTGCCATGTTCAGATGATTGACCTATTTACATTGTAAGGCAAGGCAAGTTGTCCCTCTCCAAAAAAGTGAAGCACGTACCTGATCCAGCTGCAATGCCTTCAAAGGACAAATCACTACCACAAGGCCTTTACTCTGTGTCAACACAGCCACAACTGCAAGCATTGCTAACACGAGCGACTTGCCCGCACTAGTTGGTGTGAGAATAAAAGTGTCATGTCCCTCCAATATCTTGATTGTGGCTTCAATCTGCCACTGCCGAGGTCTGTAGCCAAATATCTTCTCAGTTGCATTGATTAATTCTGATCTTGTCAGTGTTTTTGGAAGCCGAGGCCATTTTTTCCCGGTAGATGGTTGTGTTGTGTTAGGGGTCGAGTTCTCGGGATAGGGGGGCCTAGATTGAGTGTTTGAGAGTGCGGATTTGGAGATTTCATTTCTGGTGGGTGTCTTAGGGGGTGTCCTTGGATTTGGATCCATTATTTAAGCCAGAATCATAGTGTTTTGCATTTTTTGACGAGGTGGCAGCATGCACACAATCTAATCTTTGTCAACAGATCTGCAATATTTGATAATATGTGATGACCCTTTCAGGGTTCGAAATGATTTATAGCTAGCATACAAGATGACGTGCTACCATGCGGACCCCCTTGGCAATCACTACTTTGATACAAGACCCTTCACCCCCAGTGAGAACGTCCAAGTTTGAGAATGAATGTGGGTGAATGAGAGCAATATATTCACCAGCAAACATGAGCAATCAACCATATTCATTCACAGTCCAGAGGTTGGTGATGCACTGGAATGCTGTCAATCACTGGCGAATGAATCTATCTCAAAGTTATCTCATATGATAGCATTTAATGGTGCTTGTATCTCAAAGTATGGGATTGGATATCAACTGATACAATCAATAGGAGTAAGTGATAATTTTGACTGTTATTCCGGTCAAATGCCAGCCATTATCAACGAATGCACAGAAGACCATACCAGTTGATCGGCTAACAGGAGCACCGTCTCGAGACTAAACTTCTCAATGGATACATTGGTTTTCGAGAGTAGCTCCTTCTCGCTCTAAGGCAGAATCCACAATAAATTCAGTTAAAGAAGCTCTCTAATAGATATTTGAAAAGATACAGTCAACCTTAATTATTGTAAAGTACACTATTCAATTTGATTCGATCTGACCCGAGGGAAACAGATGTAGACAAACTTAACGACAAGAAAGATTCGAAAATGGTGAGTGCGTACCGAGAAACAAACTCAACTGAGAAAATCCCACGCCGTATCTGATGGCATTCGCTAGCATTAGTCCTCAGTTTCATTCCCCGACAGTCATTCGCCAGGACTCGATCTCGTCGCAGCTCAAACGAGGGCGTTCTCACTGGGCTTCACCACGTGAAGGTGAGCGGTCTTGGAATGAGACTACAGGGTAGCCCCAACTCATACAAATTTCTCCGCGGATCCAAACAAATTCCGGTCACCAACGTTACAGGTTACACGCTCAGCGCTCATGCTGCGCACTTGAGCACTTGCGTTTGCCCAGTACTCATGAAAATTCGTGACCTACTATCTTGAACGCTGTCCTCTGTGTCTCGCGCCTTACGATATCTGGAGGAAGTGAGACGCGATTCATTCGTGATGGAGCGTTGATGAGTGTGAAGGCGTCGTGCGAGCGCTTAGCGCGGCTCAATCCAAAACAAACTTTCTTCTTTTTCTGAATGGCACAAGCCGATTGGCGTCTCGGGCCAATCACAGGGGGGAAAGCTCAGCGCTTGGTGCGCTTCGTACTCACGCCTTCTGTCATGGAACCCTTCCTGGATGTCCCTTTATAACGTGAGGCTGCCTCACCTCCTCTACCCCCTTCCCTCGCGCCTCCCACCGCCTGCGCAAGGGTACCCCCTCTTTTTCCTTCCGCTATCCAGCTGGGCTGTCCTTTCTTTTATTCTGACTGCATGATGTTGACTCTTGCTGATAAGTTTTGGATCTGGGTCAAGTCTGTGGTGAGTCCGAAATGTTACATCATAGTCGGAATATATCTAACGAGCCTTCACGTCGTATCGACAGTATCTGAGAATTTCCCTGAATCGTTTCACGCAGGCGTTTTTTATTCTCTCGTTCATCTTCTGCTTCGCTCAAAGCATTACACAATCCTTCCTTTTCTCTCTGGACGACGAGTGGAGAGGGCTTGTGTCCAATGTCGTCGATCATGGCAACCTCAACAAGAGCCTCTTTGTCCAATACACTGGACGTCATGGTCAATACAGCCTGGCCTTGTGCAATGATAGCCCTATGTTGGAAAATGCCTGTGTACCGTACTATACGAGTGGCCAGATGAATGTATCCATCCCGTACGGTTTCAAACGCGAGGTGGAAAATATCATGACATCATCCATTGATTATTGCTGATGTTGTGTCGAAAGGAGTACGACGGCCGCCTTCTCTCGCAGACTGTACGTTTGACTTTTATCATCTTGAACAACATGATGATAACAATTTTGCTCAGACCTGGGACAGGTGGATCTCTCCGCAAGGCATTCCCGTCAATGATATCGTGATACAGAGCATTCATGGTTCTGACGGAATGAATGTCCGGGTGTCGGAAGTCCGTAACTCCTCCAATGCAATTACGTTGAGCCCCCAATGCATCCGAACCCTTCTGTATCCCGATCAAAAGTCAGTCGCAGATATACACCCGAATGATTGGATATGACATCTCATCTGTCATATAGACTTCAGGAATTCAGAAGAGAAGTACTAGCTCTGATCGCTTCTCAGTTCTGGTTGTTTGGGCTCTCCGTCTTTGCAGTGAGTATATTCCACAACTTCAAAGTTCCCTCAGATTCCCAACACCGATTGTGCTAGATTCTCCGGGAATCTGTCCCCCACTTGTAAGTACTGACAGTCTGAGCCAAGTACTGACAGTCTAAGCTAGAGTATCATCTGACCTCCGCTCAGATTAGCGCTGCTCGGTGCTCGGTTTCTCGGGACAGGATGGTCAGCCTATACCCTCTGGCGCACAGGAAACATTGAAGATCGCATTCACCACCTCATCGAACAGCAGGACACCCCATGTCATCTCGATGTATTCTCACCATATTTCAGGATGCGAATGTCATTCCAGGTATTTCGATTCTGATTTTACCCGAACAGAATCAAGTTCTGATTGATTTTCAGATTCCTGACCTTGTGTTGCACTGCACAGCTCTAGCGTTCTCACTCTTCCTGTCTTGGAGGTTGCTCAAGGTTTGACCTCCTTCCTTCATCCATGTAAGAATGCTCACACCATCATGGATGTAGGTGTACAATGCGCAGACATTTAAGCGGGTCGGCCCACCCACGACTATCATACGGGTGTATAGAGTACGCCCTCTTTCACTGTGGTGTATCGTTCCTAATCCAATTCATTTTATAGTATTACTTGACTAGCCTTGTTTGCCTGCAGCTCTCTGTCTTTTTCCTTGTTGTCGCCATGAGCCTCTGGGTCGATCAACTTCTGAACAGTGCCATCAAGGAAATTTCCGAGCACACGGATATTTACATCGCACTATTCACCACTACGACTGTCGTATGTATCTCCTTGACTTTGTGGTGGACGATGCTCACAACCACTTTGGCAGTTGCTCTTACCATGGATCACGATGGTACGTGTCAAATGACTCCCTGACATTATTCATATTGATACCAGATTGTAGGGCTGGTACTCCGTCCGCCGTGAGAAGAAAGGCTTCATGCTTGCGTTTTCAGCCGTCGGGTTCATATTCATATCGTGCTGGGCCATCATGTTCTACTCTAGGATCTACCGTTTCACATTCGTCGACTGGCCATTCTTCGGGTGCATGACAGTCTCGTCTTTCGTCGTCATGATCCTCAGCATCGTCTTCGGCATCATCAACCAACTGCACTTCAAGCATGGCCTGAAACAATATCGTAAGACTTGGCTTGCCCTCTTTCCGTTTGTAGTGACTGACTTGCATCATAGTCGACGTTGAAGAGACCATGGCCCGTTCCGATTTTGACCCACAGGTCTTCAACCACAGCACTAGCAAGGAATGGAAGGAAGAGACATCCGTCGCGAGGTTCACTATTCCCATCCTCCTTTCAGACTCGGCGTCGTTTGCTAGCACTTCAGAAAAACATGGGAGCATTGTGTGAGATAAGTATCAGATGAACACTTGGCATTCGATATCATTGTCCTGTGAACTCTTATCGTTCTGGCGCAGGTCGTTTCTCGCCCTGGGGCGACCATCCTTGTACATTTTCACATATATCCTGGTAGCACCGGTTCCCCGATTCGATTCATCGGGGTGTTTGCACCATTGGCCTTTCGTGTAGGTTGTCATGTTCAACGTTTCCCGGAATTGTATAACAGTCGCGATGGTACCATGGCCAGAGTGCACGAAGGGCAGAGTATGCCCCGCCTCAAACAATGAATGAAGATAAATTGGCAAGCTGATCATAAGGATCAGAATCTATCGTCGCGAATTCTAAACTTCATGAATGGTGGACATTCCTGTCTTGCTGATATCCGTTGGATCAGTTTGTTTGTCATCGTCGACGCTCACGCTGCCTTCGTGATCAGCAGGGGTTTCGTCTTCAATAATGGCCCTGTCTAGCATCGTCTCCTTGGCGGGAAATAGTGTTGACAGCACATAATACACTGACGACGCTAGGGTAAACTTCTTCGAATAGGTTAGACTCCGATGAAGTTGCGACCTTGAATAAAAACTTACACCTAGAATATAAGCAATGTCAAAAAGATAGACTGCCCCTCCGGCTGGAATGCTTGGATTGATACTGTGAATGAGCCCAGGAAGGTTTGGTGGCACAGAAACAACGAGGGCAGCAAGAGCGCGCCAGTTCTATGCCAAAGAGGCTGTCAGGTGACGGTTAACAGTGATCCGACCAACATACTCACTACTCCGTAATTGTATCGATATCGGCCGTGTGGACGATACATGGACGGCACGTCGACGTGAGTCCGGTGAACAATCCAATACTGTCACCTTATGAGTCATCGTACGAAACGAGAGGATGTATGCTCTTACATCCGTCACCATGATGCCAGCGATAGGTCCTAAAAATACTGTATAGCCGTTCATAAAATTCAAGAACCCAGTTGCGCTAAAACAACCTGAGTGGGATTTGCCTGCAGAGATCGAAATAAGTTCACACATACCTAGCAAGTATTTCCCATGGACATAGAGCCCAACCTCCCACCAATGCACAGATGACTTGTCCACGGCGAATATTTATATATTTCGGGCACAACGCGGCCATGTCATTTCCCGCACTGAGCGAGTTTGCGGAAATGTTGGTACCAAGGGTGGTGAGAACAAAGGAGAACGAAGCAAAAAATGCCGCTGCCCGGTTATCCCACTTATCAATGAGGCGCAGTGGGTCCCAGAGAACTTGACCATACAAGCTAACGCCTGCACTTGTCACCGCTAAGCCCACAAAACTACACAGCGTAAAAGCGACGGGTATGATGATGATCTGGATGTATTGACTGCTTTCAATCATTGTCAGAGAACTCGCTAAAGCACGATATACCAAAAACGCTTACGCTCGCTCATTCTTTGCATATCTCTACGAAACACTGATATTGAGTGACTGTGTTGATGACGAACTCACGAATCATTCGTACGCACGGTAAAATCCGGTATGTTGACGGCAAGAGTAGAGTAAATCCCGAGCGCACTATTCAATGCGCTAAGCCATGCCCACGATAACTTACTCCCGCTCAGTTTTGCGTGTTCTGTGAGTAGTCCTTCTGAGGATGGAACCTTAACGAATGCCCAGATGAGCATGGCTAACCAGGTTGGAGGAACAATGATAGCTTTCGCCAAGAACAACCACCGGATTTTCTGGGGTGAAATCAACATGAAGGGAAACTGGATGAGCCAGTAGAGGAAGTAGCACATCATCACTGAGGCTCAGATGAGCATTGAAATCGACTACACTGAGGCGTGATGCTCACTAGCAGTGGTAATATGTGCACCATCGGCGAGGTCATTATGTAGGTGAGCCAGCGAAGGCCATATCGCTTTCAACATCTATGATGAAGTATAAAATGAAAGCAACAAGAGTCATCAGAACGCGCGAACAATGTACCTGATAAACGCATTCCGCTCCTGTATATGTCCTGCCAATAGAAGGCTTAAAAAGACAATACCGTGGCAGATAGTAAAACACTAACTGAATTGCGAACCAGAAAGTAGACAGAATCACACGACTGATGACGCTGAAGTAGCTCAACCAGAAACCAAAAGAAGAGCGATTCAGAACTGGGAATGGAACATGCAAGCGGGCGCCAATCGTTCCATTTAAGACCATGATAACTGCGATGATGATGTGGCCGACCGCTATGGCAGGCAAGGCTTGGCGCCTTCGAAATTAGTGAGCATTTCGGAGCTCCCTTTTCAATGAACTTGGCACGCACCACGAAAGCCCAATGGCAAGCATTGACGACGAAAGCTCCCAGACTGCTGCATTAGTTGCGTCTGAAATCCAATATGCAATATAGTTCGCAGATGACCAGGCTCGGAGATGTGGAGGCACTGGGTCCATATCTTTATTGCTCCATGAATTGCTTGGTGCAAAGGAGGAAGGCTCAAATTCCAAAGCCCATGATGAAGGCCGTGCGATGGCAGTGAGACGAGAACGCAAACTCAACTTCGCCATGGGTAGAAGAAGGAAGGCACACCCGTGCACCAGCCTGTGACGCTTCAGACGGAATTTATATGCATCACTCCTAGACAGGACGGAAGATAAGTAAAGAGGTTATAGATAAGCTCGATAAGGAGTCGTCTGATCGGCGCGCCCAGGGCTCGAAGAGTACTCAAGGACCCTAGGTCAAATTATTAGTAAACCCTCGAAAAAGTTCGGATAAAATGAGCCAAATTTCGCCCCAAATTTTTGGATTTGCCTCTGGTTTTTGGGCCCATTAGCCACAAGTTTACCGGACGGAGGTATCAGGCATCCTGGACACCCAAATCGTTCGGATTGCTCGGATCAGGCCTCAAAAAGCGATTTTTCGCTCGGACAGTGAAGATCAGGCCTTTTAAAGACCCAAATTCATCGGATTCTACAATATAATGTATGTTGCGAGCTGTAGAATATTGAAACACAATGAGAGACTGTCTAAGAGCCATCCTATGAATTATCTCTGCTAACAACATCTTTATCCACTGCTAGGCACTTTCCCCCATGCTGCAACCTCTGTAACTCTCTCACTGATATAATAAGGTTCCAATCATACCTGTTCAAGAGAACAAGTTCTTTGAGTGATGCATCATCAAGTTGTAAATGTCTTCTATTTAGGTCCAAGGTCAGCACACTCGGCATCAGACAAGGGTGTCTGATCTAAAAAATAATATACTGCAGGCTTGAAACCTGCACCCTATGGAGTGTCTGATAGAAAACCACACACTTATCCCACTACACCACCTTAGAATGAAAAATTTTAAAGCCATAATTAACAGAGTAGAAAAAAAGTCTGGGCCCTAGAACTGCTTTCTCACAAACAAAAGTCTAGACAATGGCATAGGCATATTACCAAGATCAGACATTTTTGCTTAGATCTGACCCTGGTTTTTCAACCCTCTTTTTATATTCTTCGTCCAGATAGGGGGTTAGGCCTATCCCTTATTTTTAGGGGTCCTAGTACTCACATACTTACAAATAAGAGCCAGGATCCTGAATTCAAAGCAACTTAAAGCTCTTGGGTTAAAAGATTTTTGAGATGCACCTCAGTTCTCCAATAGGTACATAAGTCTTTAAATAGGGTGCCCAGAGATGCTTACACACTCAGATCATTAAGTGACCTTCACTATACTGGTATCCTAATAAATCATGCAAGAATATGCTTGTAAAAAATCAAGAGCAGCTAAGTTGTGATTTCCTTGAACAAAATCAGACTCTTTGAGCAGAACTTGTGGCCACAAGAATAGATTTCTACACTAGGAATCGACTTTGTTACTTACCTCCAACAGACAATTGTTAAGGCATTATGATGACACTGCTCTACAATCAATCAGAGCTGTGCTCCAGGCTACAGATTGAGGTCTAGAAAAGACTGTATGTGTATGTGGCAGTGATGTCTTGATTCAGCTTATGAAGTTGCATTTGTGCTTCAATAGACCTTTGGACTGGCCTTTCACATAGCTTTCAATAAAAATAGATGGCAGACTAGTGGGAAACCATTCCTACCTTCTACCCATATGACCCAGATTGTAGTAGACCACCCCACAACAGTTTATAACAGTAAGCACCTATGGTACAGTGGTCATATATAGTGGCTATGGGTACAACCAGCCTAGATAGTGTGCCTGGGTATAGGTTTGATCCTCTATTAGTTACTCCCATTACTATGCTTAGGTACGAGATGGCCTAAACAGCCTAGAAGAGTGGATGGTTGGGATAGCATTAGTAAGCCCCTTGATGATAGTTTATATCCAAATCATAAAACCTTATAAGTAGTAGGCATTTTAGCTAGAATTTGATATCTTTTGAAACTCAGCTCACTCATATACAAGGTAGCTCAAGTACCAGTCAAGAGAAAGCTCAAATATCATTTATGGGTAGTCCTAATATATAAGAACAGATTAAATATGTTTAGAAAGGTAAAAGAGACCTGAAACAATAGTGAAATCAAAAATTTGAGCACAATGGATATTGTTTTTGGCAGGACTTGAACCAACAACCAGAGCAAAACAACAGCATCTGCACCAACTTACCTATCACACTAAACAAAAGCCCACTCAGTAGGCACTATTTATGTAGTTGGTAAGCTTTACCCACCTATGAGTTAGGTTGGATGATATATGGTCTGCAAAGTTCATTGTTTTAGAGTGGCTAAAGCCAAAATATAAACTACCCACAAGAATTCATCATTTAGAAGCAGACCTTAACAAAACAACTATAATCTTTTATGTTGGTTGGCCATGGAGACTACTCTGATGAGGACTTTTTCAGGTCCATAACTATTACTATCATTAGACAGGTGTTTGTTTTGGAATCAATAAAAAATTCATTGTCCCATAACACTTTTACTTGATGGCCTTAGAGTTCTTGCACTATTTGAGAAACTTTTTTCTATATTGTATAGTATAGTTTCTCTCTTGATTTTCTCACTTATGTGTCAGAAAACTGAATTCCATTGTTTAGAACCAGTATTCATTCTGGTTCCAAGCATGACACAATACAGGGTCACAGTTGCTAACTCATTGAATTCAAACCCAGTAACTATGACTTGTTGAACTTTTGCAATGCTATTGTGTTTCTGTTTTCACATTATTGAATATTTTTAGAGCACTGCACATAAAAGTGCTCTAAAATTAAGGTAAGCATGAGTATATTATACTACTAAAGTATAGCTAAATATATTAAATTGGCTATATCAGGGAAAATTATATACAGACTGATAATGGACATGATTTGTCACATTAAAGCTAGCTTGTAATGGCTTCTTTAATAACTAAGCTAGGTATGTGGTATTGCTATGAGCTTGGTAGTATTAAGAGCTCATGAAATATTCATCAGGAAAGTTATAAGGGAGCCTAGTGTGGTTTCTGATAAGATATGGTAGATTGAGAGGGTCTAATGTGCTTAAGGTACCATAAAGTTGTACTTGTTCCTGTGGTGCCAGGAATAGAAAGCAAGTGAGAGAGGATCTAGCCTCTATAGTCTGGGCATGTGAGTACATATGACTAGGTTAAGGTTGAGAGGTGGGGGATGTATTCTTATCATTTTCTAGAGGGTTTGTGCACTTTCAACTGCACTTCTGAGAGTTAAAGAGGCTTGAGAACCTGTAATTTGTCTAAAGCTCAGGATGTCTATCAGGATGAGCTATTATCAAAGCCAAAAGTTCTGTTTTGGTACCATTGTTAGATTACACAAGAGCAAATGCAATGTCATGTAGATCATCAAGTTTCTTTAAGCTTAGTGCACCTGAGAAAATCTTTGTTATAGCATTCTCCTCATATTTTGCTTCTCTTGCAACCTCTTTTTTAGTATGGTGACATTTTCCTCCTTTTTTCTTGGCTTCCTTCTCTAATTTTTCTTTTTATTGTCATATGAATTTAGCCAGGGCCTCCACTGAAGTAAGGCACTACTTTCCATAAGTGGAAATCAAGGTCTGTTTGTTCTTTCCTTTTACTGACTTCTTTATATTGAGCCATTGCTGTAAATTGTCAATTTCTATGACTACCAGCTTGAAATGTGCTTCTGCAGTGCAAATTCAAGTTGACAGCACATTGTTATCAACCCAAGCAGCCTTCAACTGCTCTCTTAGAGCCTTATTTGAGAACAGACAGGTTTGGCTAAAGTTGGTCTATGTATAAGGAGGTCTCAGCTTCGAACAGTCTATATGCAGGTTGGCAGGAGTGTCAGCATTTGGAAAATGGGAACATTTGGGTGCAATGAGTTCATTATGTGTTTTCTAGTATGCTTTACACAAGCAGGCTATGAGACAGGTGTGTTATTATCACTTGGCAGTTCATCTACTATTGGGAATGGGTTTCTAAGAGCATTTGGAAAAAGGTCTAAGGTCCATGAATAATCCTGCAAATTTCTGCTGTTAGTACTTATCATACCCAGGTCTATAGTCTTGTGTAGTTAGTTAAGACTTTGTGATAGTCAATCTACCTGCTGTTTAGCACTTTTGGCTTGATTTTCAGGAAAATAGGGAAATGTAGAAGGTATATGAGTGAGTGTTGATGTGTATATACTTGGTGCAAAGTCAGTGCTGGTAAAAATCTATAGATTAAACAGGTAAATACCACTTCTTTGCCATGCTGTCTTAATAATTGCTTTTATAAATAACCTTTCTCACATGCGCATATATTCTTTGACAAAGTCACCATAGGGAATCTCTTGACCAGTAAGTACAAGCACCTCATCATAGTGCTTTTGCCATCCCCCTTGCAAAGGGCCAAAAACACTGATATTGAGGGGTTAGAGATAGTGAGTTATATGGAAAAATAAATGATATAAATGAATCTTGTTTTTGACTGCTAGATTTCTTATTTTGGCTATGACATGAGATCCATAACCATCAAGTATAAGCAGGATTGGAGCATTGGAAATCTTTCATGCTATAGCCTGGGATATAAATATTTTGCAAAACCATTTAATACAAAGAAAACTATCTGTTCAGCCATTTTGGCAATATATTCACACTATAGATGCCTAAAACATGAGATTGTACAATCAGACTATGGAAATAGGTACTTACTAAATACTATCATCCATGGTAGCCTAGTTGCAATGCATATGCTACCCTAAAAATACAAATCTAGGCTCAATACTCTCTCTATTAGCACAAATACACTCAATAATTGTAATGACATCATAGAAAAGCTCCATATTAAATTAACCATAGTTAAGCATAAATATAGCTATATTTTTACCAATTAATATTAAGGATTTTTAGCTTACCCCCCCTCTAATCCTAAAATTATAAGATTTTATTAAAGCTAATCAAAGCTAATTTATTATATGGATTTTCGGAAAAATATCAACTAACCCAGTTCTATATTTTCTCTACTACTACTACACCTCCAATCATAGAGTATATATAGAGCTTACTAATCAAACTAAAGTCATACCTTATTATAAACTTGCCCATTACTAGAATTAAACCAAAAACCTTATGCCTGCATACCCTGGACTAGTGCTCTAAACCACTAAGCCACAAAGTCTAAATTATTTACTTGGTAACCTAAATAAGGCAATCTCAACATTTCTGATTTTCTTACATACCTATCTTTTATCTATTCTATATATAAAGAGGTCAATAGATGCCCTAAAAATTAGGGCTGATATTCGAATTTGGGCACTAGACAATAATATAGTAAACTAATAATAAATAAAGAATACAGTAAAAATAAGATTATAGCACTTACACAATTTGGATTTGAAATGTGTAAAATTGTAATTGGATTGTAGATTCTAATAGAACTATAGTAGTATAGACAATGTCACCTTTACTTGCAGATTTGATTATAAAGTTAATTATGGGTAATATATTCTGATTAGCTCAGATTAGTATTTTGAATAATTAGATATAATTAAAAGAGGAGGTTTTTCCAAATGAGGCTTAAGATTTGCACTTTGTAGCTTGTATTTAAGATGCCTGCCTTTGGATACAAAAGATTTGAGAGCCTAAATTCTTCATCTACCTCTTCATTGAGCATCTTTTTTTACCCATAAATCTATTGTTAGGGGATTTTGTACTTTTCCACAAGAGCAGAGAATTGAGCAAAGTGATCCATGATAGTTGATTCATTATGACTATGTGCTCACTTTGGATTCAGGCCAGATAGCCTTTCTAAAACAATGCACAAGTAACATTTGTGGAAACAATCATTCTACTTGATAGATGGCATCTTCTCATATATCTTCTGAACCATGTCTACCAAAATCTGCTTACTAACTAGCTGTCCTTGATCAGCACGATGCTTAAGACAATCATAGAGAGCAAGTTCCTCTTTAGAAGAAAAAAGCTGTTGCTATCCATGAGCAGATAAAGGAAAGAGATGGAAGCCATGACAACATTCACAAAGGGTAGATAGTGGAATAGCAAACAGATGTGCAACCTCTTTGATAGTCTTTGATTTGTTGGTGTCAAGAAAAGCACAGGCTTCAGTAATGTTCTATCTAGTGTAGCTACTTTTAGCTGCCTTTTGCATGGTTAGTGCATATGTTAGATGATGCCACTAATGCTTTTTTTGGGAGTACTGGACTTGTCCAACAGCAGAGCCTAAATTTCATAGGCCAAAGTCACACTTGACCACCAAATGTAATGCTCCCAAAAAATGTACTCATTGCAAGAAGAATCTAGTAGATTGGGCCCTCAGAGAGGCTTGAGAATGATACATAAGATACATCTCTACAATATTTCCAACTTTTGTGGCATGAAAAGAGGAACTTAGTCCCAAAGAAAATAAGGTCTCTGAATCAGCTATTTTTTCAAGAACTTAACTCAAATATCTGTCCAAATTTTGAGATTCAGCTGTTCAAATTGTGCAGGTATATGGAACATGATTTATTATGATTTTTGAAAGCATTAGTGAAATAAATAGTAAGGGTGGGAGCCTTCCATTCCATGAAACAAACACCCATCCAATTATCTTGCTTTACAAGGTCTTTTATACCCCCTGTATTCCCCTTATGTAAGGTAAACCTGGTATATAAGTACAAACAAAAGTTATGTAAGTGATGCTAAAGTGATGCTTATGGAGTCTCGAGTGCACTTATACTAATGCCTTACAACTAAATATTTTCTGCACTATGCCATGATTATAACAGCAAGTTTGAGACATTATGTGGAAGTGCAATGTGGTTTCCCTATAGTAAGCCCCTCTTATTCTATGAATAATGCAGTTTGAGCAGCTGCATCCAGAGTAGCCAGGAATCAGCAGCTCAGTGTCAAGAATAACAATACTCATTGTTGGGGTCAAGAATCAGTGCATTTCAGACAGTCAACTCTTCTTGTAAATGCTCACTGTTAAGCTCATTGACAAATAACTCTTTCATTCCAGCAGATACTCCAATATGGCAGCTAGTTTACCCCACAAGCCTAAATTGAATTCTAGACAATGTAGTTTAAGCAGTTGTATTATAGGGCAATGGGAAATTCTCAGCTTAGTTTTGAGAATAATCATTTGCAGCAAAACTTGGTGTGCACGTCCATTCTATATACTCACTCTATCCTGCTCAGTAGTATTAGAGATAGTTATCTTGCTAGGTAGACTCATTTCTGGTACATATGGCTCACTTTAGACATACACTTCAGCATTCCACACTCTCATCCATGGGTTTATATGGGACAACTCATACAATGGGTATGTTTCTGTTGGCATGGCACTCTTGTGCATCATATCTGCCTCTGTCTTGATATTTGCTTATTCAGGTAGGTATGAAAACATTGGGGCCTTGCATAGTTAATATATAATGATGCATCAGGTACCCAATTCATCTGATAGTTCACACCTCTATGATATTGAGCAGCATAATGTATTTGATTGTTGCAATGCTTCCCAATCTGAATTGTGAGACTGTCTAAGCTAGTGAGTTTGAGGAATGTCCTTACAGCTACCCACCTTGTTTCTGGTTGAATATCATAATAATTACTGGCTGTCTTCTCTTTCCTTTTGTTATTAGGGAGTTCCATCCTAGAATGTGGCTGTGTTGCTCTCCCATAAAAAGAATGGAGCTAGACAGGCTCTTATATGAGAAGACTCACACTGCTAATCTGCTTCCCACATTTGCAAAAGGCACCAATGTTCCTTTTCTACCATATCAATATGAGACATTAGCTGGATCATTTGTGGAAGCATTTGTTTTGTTATGATGTTGCAAAGAGGATGATGGAAAGTGGTGGTTTAGTTGTGAGCTCATTCAATTGAATCACTTATGTTGCACAGGATACAACCCTTTCTATTATAGATTATAGAAAGATGTCATATTCACACATTAGAAGCTTTGGTGTAAGATTGCAGTTGTACAATCATAAGCACTACTATTATTGAAGAGTGAAACATTTGACAGAAGCAAGGTGCTGCTGACACAGTCAGCACTTTCCAAGTGATAGTACCCCTTGTCCCTCTCAGCTGATGTAACTGGGTCCTATCTTCGGAGACGGCCGACAGCACGAGGCATGAAGGGCATGGTCAGCCCGGCCTCTCGGCAGACCGAAGGCGGTATTCCATGGGCCCGCTAGGGCATAGAAGGTCAGTGGTGGAATAGGGTAGTGAAGCTCGGAGGTTTAATGATTCGTGAGAGGAAGAAAAAGGAGAATTCGATCTGTAAATCGTGTTCTGACTGGGCGGAGCGGTAGCTCCGACGCGGGTCATGTAATATTATTTATTCGATACCCAGTGCCCAACAATATTTTCGAATGCTCATTTGATACATTTGGGACTACTAGACAACGAAAAAAGCTCGAAAAAAAATCCCTTAAGACAAGAATTAGGTCATGCGACATACTCTGTCAAAATGATCGGAGCGAGATTTGGGGTTTAGCAGCATGCTGGGCGTTTGCTGCACTCTTTACACCCAACGCTTGTCTAACTGACCCCTCCAGCCGCTCACGCATTATCTGGTCTAGCTTGCTTGTGGCCTCCTTGAAAGCGGCCGGCGACGTAGAAGCAAAAGAAAGTACCTGAGCCAAGGCTTGTGAGTGAAGGGAAGATGGTGACGATTCACTTGGTTCGAGAAGCAGAGTCATGGTCGGTAGAAGAATTCCAAGTACTCGAACACCTAAGATATGTCTGTAAATTTCGATCGCACTCTCAGGGTAAGCAGTTCATAGACATACGTGCTTCTTCCGCGACATTAAGGAATAGGACATTGAATGCTTTGAAGACCTCTTCCATAATGGGAGATTGCTTCCGCATCGCAGGTTCGTCCGTAGCCAACCCAGGCACCTTGGCAACATATTCTACCATGCCTGGAAGTAGTAACTTTGCGCATTGGTGCAAGATAACACTGCCAGACCCAGAAGCGAGGATCAAGGTCTTCGCACAGTGGGCAGCAGTAAGTGCCATCTACGGAGCAATCATCGGCGGGTGAAAGGCAAGACACTGTTTATTTGTGGACAAACCTCGCGTCCTTCTGCCAGCTGTTCCGAAATTAAGAAACAGCAGCGTGAAACGACCCCACGTCCAACTTTGATTGTTGATGGTATAACCGTCAGAACAAGGACTGCGGCCAAAAAGTTATTCTTGATTTTATTGTCCGATATAAGACCTGATCGTCCTCTGCTCTTATTAGTGTTGCTCACGAACTGATTGTTGAGAATTACTCACTTCATCTCGTCTATGTGAAGCATACATGCAGACAAAAGACCGTGAACTAACTGAGAGGACATCTCCGTTGGGACTGAATTCTTCGAGGAAACAGTGAGAAGAGACTTCAGAGACGGAAGTGTTGGCCCAACAAAATCAACGTCGGAACTTTCATCTTTCAATAGTTCTGTCGCGCAGTTTTGCATCTTGAATACTGAAATGATCAAATTATCAAGGCCACTCACCGCTATACAATGAAACGGCAACAGCTCTGACTTCCTCATATGTATCGTTGCCTAGGGTGTAGCCAATCGATAATAACGCTTCGAAAGCAGTTCTGATGAGGTTTGTCCGATCGACGATACTCGAGTTGCTGTCTATATCGTAGATGAGTTGTTTTTTCAAATGAGGCAAGGGAAATGACCCTGACATTTGACCGCGTTTTGGGCACCGGGGAGCGCATTTTTCAAAATATATGCACACAGTTTGAGGCAGTGCACTGCGGGCGAAGGAGATGTTCTTCGACTTTATATGTCAACATCTTTCAACATGAAATACTAGAATGAAAACGTACATAGAGCTGTCCACGTTATGTTGCGAAAAAACCACTATGGTCTCTATCAGATGAATTTGGACGATTGCAGGCTCGGTCATTGCCATGCGATACCAGAGGCTCAAGAGTTCGTCGAAGATCGTCCGCTCCATCAAGGCATTTCCAGAGTATTCCCTGCGAACGAGGCTTTTCAACGTTTTCAAAGCGATGAAGGGTAAGTGGCTGTTGGCCGTTGCGATTGATTCGGAAGATGTAGAGAGTGCTTCATATACCAGACCGAAGACGACAAAGAAGAAGACAGTCGGGTCCTTATGATCTTCAGCGTCATCGCTTGGCTTGACAGCGACCAAGTTGTCCACGCCGTCCATCGCAGCACGAACGTATGGATCATGGACCTCCATGGCTGTTGCAATCGCGTGAAGGATGACCGGCCAAGATTCTATATAATACTAGGGGGAAAAGATATAAGCAGAAATTGTGAGCCAAAATGTTTATACACACAGGCAGAAGAATGTCTTTGCCAAGATTGGCATATGCAGTATCTAAAGGAGCAGATGAATCTTGCATGAGTTCCGAACCGGCTCGGATGCTGGCATAGTCTCGCAAGGCTGCAACCCAGAGGGATGCCAAGACGGGGTGATAAGGTTTGACTACCTCCTTGAGGTATGGCTGCGCCATGCTCGCAGATGCCAGCTCAGCCCAAGCAGAAAGGGTCGCGATTCGCAACATAGCAGATGCGTTCGGGCTACCCTCTCCTGCTTCACCTAGAGATAACATCCCTGAACCTATCGATGCATTTGAGCAATAGAGCTAGACAGTTGATAAGCGAGGCATCCACCTTTGCATTGTTCTAGGGCTGAATTGAGCAGCTTTAAAATACGGCCCATTCTCGTCACATCCTTGACAATTCCACACCCAACGAAGATGGCGCAGGCGCCGATTGCGGACGCTAGGATTTCCGGAGTTGAATCAGCCGTAAAGGCCGGTGTTAGCGCCGCAGTAATAGGGGCCTGATGTTGCTCCAAGAGAAATGCGTCTTCATAATCAGGGTCTGGGGTTTTGGAAAATATCTAGCAAACAATGTTAAGAAAGAATTAAGGAAGGCAATCGGGAGGGATTCACCTGAATGACGTCGCGCAATACAACCAATCCATCTAACCGAATCTCTGTGACATAGGCTGTAGAAGCAGTAAACGCCATCTTGATTAAATCAGGGATACGAGATACTAAAAGTCCTGCGACTGGAATGCCTAAACGCCGAGATAAGGCAATATCAAGATGTTCTTTGCGACCTGAGCGAGCAACGATCGTACATATATCGTGCAGACATTGCAAAGCAAAGAGCTGCGTCCTCCATCGCGAGGTCAGTCGGCCTTGCCCAACCGTGGTCGTTCCCTGAGACATGCCAGTACTCAGCGACTCCCCCTCATCATCGAATGAAGCCCCCCCTTTGAGAATATCTTCATTTGCTTGCTGCGTTGCATTGGTCCTAGACATGATCTTCTGACATAAGTCAATCCATGCTGATGGATTATGCACCACGGTTTGCTGAAGCCAGCTAGAGATTACTTGGCGAACTCCGTCGATCGAGGGATCACCGTCTAGCATTGCGAAGAGATCTTCCACTAAACGATCACCCCCGACCTTTGAAATGAGCAATGCATCTTTCTGGACGAGTTGGTACAATGCATGAATGGACGCAAGCTTGAGCGGTCTGCGGGATGAGTTCAAGTGAGTGCGAAACTGGTTAATGAGCTCTGGGACGTCGACAGATTCTGGAGCAAACATAAGGAAGTGCTGAATACATTTGATCGCTTCAACACGGATGCCGTCGTCGTCTTCGCCCATATACTGTTGGACTAGATTCCATATTAAGGCCCGAGTTCGAGGCGATTCTTGAATATCTGGGCCAAGTATAGTGATCACAGCGTCAACCATCTGACAGGCAACTTGATACGCGGGTAAATCGCCACTGATGTTGGCGTTAGCCACCGTTCCTCCTTCCAGTTCATGAGATTCCAACATGTACACCTTGAAAAGCATCCCAAGCGTCCCCGGAACGTATGGGGCATAAGCAAGACTGGCAGCGTTGATTACCCGAGAAAGGGAATGGAGAGCCCAGAAGTGCACGAGAGGATGAGCGTCCTTACTCAGTGACATCAGAATATTGATGGTGGTCTTGAGCAGAGGCCCTGCAACCAGGCTACCGACATGATTGTAGATCGATCCCAAAGCCAATGCACATCCGGCTCTTCCTTGAGGATCCCGATTGTTGACCACTTGATCGACCAGAATCTTCATCTGACTAGCTAGGAAAACATTATCGGAAAGGCCAGCTAGACAACCAACAGCTTCGCTGCTGACAAATCGGAGGGAAGGATCGCTGTCAATCAAGGTGTCCTGGTAAAAGAAATTTGAGTGTTCACGCTCGTTGCGAGTTCTATAGATTGTGAGACATGCCTTAAGAAATACAGATATTGGAGCTGTCACTTGAGCTGAGCCGAATATATCCCGGACCTGCCGTGAACTCGATCCCATGGCCTGACGTAGAGCGAGTAGAATTGCCATGCTGGCATTGAGCAAGGCTGCCGCCTTACGGCCAATATTTCTGTCGAACTTTGGCGATCGCGTGGCTTCAATAAGTTGAGTGATTGTACGAGTGACCAAGGTAGAATCTTGCAAGGGAAGGAGTTCGGAAAATAGGCTGAGGCCAGCATCTACTGCTCCGGTTGCTGCAGGAGGGAGTTCGGGCCACAAAGGCATCGTCTTGAGTTGGTGAGACTGTGATATTGACAGGGAGTCGTGTTCACAAGATTTGACGATAGGCTTGCTTAGCTGTGTATGGAAGTCAAAATATATCCCGAGCGTTGAACGTAATCACGCACCAATTCGTCTATTGCCGACTCGATAGAGTCGCGGTTCAAGCGATCCTTGGATGAGGACGACTCCATCACAGATCCAGACGATTCTTCTTCTGCCTGAATAGAGGTGACACCATATGCGTAGCCGTCATATGTTTGCCACAAAGACGTGAAAGACCCGGACGAGGAAGCGATTGCAGCCTGAACAGAGGAACCTAAATAGCCATCAGGGCTGGCGACCAGAGAGATGATGGATTGCAATAGTGCAGTCTGAGTGTTCTCAGAGGCATTGATGACACCCAGAGCGGAGAAACACTGAAACACTCTTCTTCTCAGAAGCGCTTCTCGAGATCGTAAGGATGGGCCATTAGAAAAAGGCTCGATGTTGGAGCCCGACTGGTCTTCTATATGCTGGGATGCGAACGCATTAGTGAAGACAAAAGCGTTGGTGAGCATTGTCGCAATGCGGCGTGCAACATCAAGAGTGAGAAGTGCAGGACAATTATGCCGCAGAAAGCACAGAATAGCCCCCAGTGCACTTTCTCGGACATGCAGAAGAAAAGCCCACTCAGAAGCCAACCGCCCGAGTCCACTCGCCGTATCCTTACTCGTTGGCTTTGGAAGGGCGTTTCTCCAGAGGACAAGGAGCTGTGGAAGATATGCACGGACAAAATTGGGCCCCAAGGTCATCAGCGAAGCAATACACGTCCAGGCTATTTCGACTTCTACACTGGCAACCCTGACGTCATGATCTCCAGCTCGTTTCAAAAGCTGTATGGCCATGTCTAGAATCTTCGCGCTGATGTCGTAGGATACATACAACGGCTTCTCAGGGATCACCGCAACAAGCGCGGCGAGACCATATGCATGACCTAAAGCACGAGAGTAGAGATCGGCTGGCGCTGACGGGGATGTCATGAGAGAGATGTCGCGCTGCAGGAGGTCCATAACGTTGATCAAGATCTTCGGCAGTCGCAAAGGAGAGGAATAGCAGAATATGCGTAAAGTCCAACTAGCATGTACGCGCACCGTATGGCTAGGATGAGCTAGCAGAGTAACCAATGGCTCTGCAAGTGCTGCCTGATAAGAGACGAATCAGGAATAGATACAGAGAGCTTAGTTTTGAAGCTTACCTGCACTGGTGGAGGCGCGTTGCCTAGTTGTTGGAGAAGACCAGCGACTTCTCTAAGAGAGATAGCTAAAACATGGGAAGTGGGTGCTTTATGACCTGGCATCAATGCTGGCCAACGTTTCAAAAAGGTACTAGAAAGTTCTTGAATAGCCTCGATTTGCGCCTGCTCGCTGAGCAACCGCACTCCGATGAGGTCTCGCAAGAGAATACCAATGAGCCGCCGAACGAGAAGAACCTCGTAACGGGTTGTCAAATTCCGTCCATTCATGATGATTTCATTAATGAAGTGGTGGACGACGATGGCATAGTTACTTTCTACGAAATTTGTGCCGAGCAACGCAAGTAAGGCAGCGTAGAAGTCGAATATACCAACACGCGTCTTGTGAGATGAATGAGGCTTGTTGAAATGTGTCGACAGCTGCAGAAGCATATCCGGGATGGTAAGTAACGTCTTGATACCTCCTATGGGAGCAATGGGCGGTGTTTGGTCATCATCGTCATCATTCTTATCTTTCTTGCCGGTCTTCGAAGAATCTGGGGCCACCAAAGCGACTTCGGCCTGACTTGAAGCAAGCACCGTTGCAACCAGATGCGCCAGAGAGTGACGAGTGACCTGATCAGCACTCTCAAGACTACGGACACATAGGTTGACAGTGGACTCTATCTCAGCTGCTGTCCAGTCATTGTTTAGAGGATATAGGACTGTAAGGACCTGGAAAACCCTGTCAATGATCATTCGAGCCCAAGCAAAAAGCACCGCACAGCAGAGGCCGCGCGCCGGATGGGCAGCGACTTGTCATTGAGGCCAGATTTCATCTGTCTGATTATATCGCGAACTACGGCATCGGTAGCGGCTCGCCGAGACGCTGTGAGGGATTTTTCCAAGGCAATGACAGCATGGAACCGGAGGGTAACAGACTGGTCTGCTCCATTAGAGTTCGAGAGCAAGGGAACATAATCCAGTACTTACAGACGAAGATTTATATACTTTGAGGCAAAGAGCCGCAACCTCTGTCATGAAAGACATAATCTCAAAAGAGGGTGAGCAGGATGAACGTGGCGGCCAAAATAGTCAAGGATACCTGGGCACCAAATGCAGCCATCAGTTCGCCGATGCAATACAATGAAGCACTGTCTTGAGTTAGCCAATTAGTGAACGATACAAGGGACAACGACGAACGTCTTGTGTACATCTCTCTCTGCAGGAACTTTGAAATCACCAACAACCTTCATGAGAGCAAGAATAGTATCAAATATCGTCTTCGAGTCGCCGCGTGCATACAAGATTGATAGACATTTCGAAACCAGACTGCGTAGAGGCCGTCCGGGGGGTGGATAAGGATCTCCGTGTGATATGATTTTGATCAGGGTATCCTCCAGGCTCCGCTGAACGGACTTCAGATCTTCCTAGAGTTTGATGAGCAGAATAGAGATGATGCATAGACATTTTTCTCACCTGAGAGGCAGACTTCAGGAAATGCTCCACCGATGACAACCATTGGAACATGTAAACTTCCCCGTCCTCGCCAGAGAGATTGGACTGCAAGATGATATGTCAAAGGGATCAGCAACAAGAATGGTCAGTTATATACCTCGTTTAGCGAGCTCGTCTCGAGAGAGAACTGAACCAATTCAGGAACATCCATGTTCATTGGAGGGTTTTGCTGCTAGCGACGGACAGTGAGGCTGAGCACGCCGCGCCGCGCCGTATGTGGTCCCGGGCTGAGGGCACGTGAGCAGTCTTTACGACGTCATTTACGCACCGAGACCATCCACGTTGCAAGGTTTTCCGACCTCTCTTGGGAATAACTTGGGGAGAACCCCAACAAATTGCCTGTTGACATTGGCCGGTGACCGGTCAGCGCTTCAGCCCCTACCCACATCCAAGCGCACCTTTACTCACTATCGTCTATGTCGCGCAACATGTCAAAAAGAGGGTTCCATCCATCACTCATCCCACAATTTCGATTGGTAGGTTCAAACTATGAAGGGGGATGTAACATGGACTCGGCACGGATTATGTCGGCGTCTTCCCTAGCATTTTGTAGTGTACCAGAATGATAATGCTAATTTGTGTGTATAGCCTATGTGAATAGTTACAGTGTAATTCACCCCGTCACCTTTACGTGCAACATCTGCAGGGACCAAGCAGTGCCCGCAGGGCCGTGTTATAAGCATTTTTTCATGTTGTGTCCATTCATGCTTGAACCTACTTGAACAGTATCACCTGGTACCAACCAAATTGGTCCTGTTTGAATACCGAATTAAGCAATATATGGGATAATACAGCTGTGAAAAACCTCGCTGGCGGCTAAGTGAATATCGATTTGTCAAAGATGGCTGAGGACTACGTGAAGTGGTGGCCCGTTCAGGTGAACGTGCCCTATAGTATGGACCAATATGTATGCTGTACCGCTTTCCATATCCATCGCACCTGTGGTCTATAGTCATTCTGTCACAGGTCGACTGGTAGAGTCTGATCACCTTGATCACTCGGAACTGCGTGCATCGTAGCGTCACGCCGTGCTCTTAACGCACCTTCATACGCTTTACATACCCACTTGATATACCCCAGTGCCTCTTGTTTGCCGGTGGCAAGAAGCCGATGGTGAAGTATCTCCAGGTCTGAGAAGCTGATCAGAGGAGGGATAGTGTCGTCCGGAACCTCGAGTACTGAGTTCACACGAACAAGGGGGCGTAGACCAGTCAGAGCCGTACGAGTTGACCGCATGGCTGGGAGTGTGGGTGGTTTGCGGATGACGTTTGGAGGATATTGCGAAACGAAAGCGCGGAGGTGTGCCATCGCGCGATCGAGTTCGTTTGAGCTGGAGACAAAATTGTATGTGAGTTATTTGAGCAAGAAATTTTATTAGAAGGCGGAACATACAGAGTCAGGACTCGAATCATGGCTGCATTGGCGCGTTCAATCATGCGTGCGCTGACTGGTCGTCCGTTGGGTAGCCGACGGACGTTTTCAACTTCGGACCACTCTTTCCATATGCTGTCAGCAAAGGAAAGCGCAACTTCCCGATCACGTCCTCGACGAGCAATGGAACACCTCTCTAGAACGTCGACATAAGAGTGCGCGTTCCGGCCGACTTCGAGCTTCGAGAACAATGTATGGAACAAAAGTTGACTAGCTTCAAGCGATCCATGGGCATAGTGTACTGAAAGATAGGAATTGAGCAGACGAGGGGTCAAGCGAACCTTAGAGAATGGTGAGTGCAAGATCTCTCCGGAGGACGCAGGAGAGGTGTCTTCGACGATGCGCGCAAAAAGGATCTCGGCTTCTCTGATGACTTCGAGTCTGCTTTGAGGGGGCAAATGCTTGAAGCCGAACCCGGGAGAGACTTCAACAAGAAATGGCTCTTCTGCCGAACTTGATCCGGGATGAATATCAGAGGAAGGGGATCCGGAGGAGGATGGGGGTTGAGAGGAGGCATCAGTTTTCTCAACAAGAGGGGCAATAGATCGCTTAAACGGCGGCCTGTAAGCTGCATATGCATGAAACACATGCATCATGATTTCTTCGTTGATCTCTGCATCCATGGAAGCCTCTGCATCATCGTTTTCGTCTTGAACACTTTTCGCCATCTCCGCCAGGATCCACCGCACGCGTGATAGATCACCGATCCGCTTTGCGCCCTCCAGCAACGCAGCACAGGTCCTGCCATCTGGATGAAATGCGGAGTGTCCCCAGGCATCCCGGTGCGCGTCGAGCATCTCCTTTGCCAGCCTGAAAGCCTCGTTGATATACTCTTTTGAGCCAGATCTGGCACACGCCAATATCACAGCAGAATATGTGCCTGCTGTCGGCAGCAAACCCCGGTCGACGGTCATCTCGGTGAAAAGATCCAGAGCGCGTTCCGGCTCAGATTTGTTGTAAGGCGAAGATGCGCAAGCACGAATGATAAGCGTGTAGAGCAATGTGTCAGGCTCTGGATGGGCTACGTAGCGCATGTGAGTGAAAAGATCGGAAGCTTGGGCGTGTGCGATGGAGGAGGGGACAGAGAAGAGGGCAGTGATGACACGGGTATAGGCCGTCATCGGAGCAGGTAGGGATTGCGATTCGTAGTGATGCAGAAGATTGAGGGCACTCGTAGGTATGGTTTCTGTAGGCACAGAATTTTGGTGAGATTTGATGTGAAGATGCCGTTGGCGATCGGTCGGCCGTTCTGAATGATATAGAATGTCGGTTCGTGTTCGACGAATAAAGAAATCCTAGCTCAACCTACCGGTAAGAAATGTTCGCATGCATCTCTCTGTTTCCATAATATCGCCTCTGGTGGCATACACATTCAAGACATCATTGATGGCCTCTTCTGGTGGCACCAGACCTGATCGCTGGGTACACCAGGAAGGTTAGTCAATATGAAATGTTGGAAACGATTTGATTCTGCACGTACTTTCATTAGAGTCAGCACAGTCTCGGCTGAATGTGTATCATTAGATTGTAACTGCGTGGGTTGAATGATAATTTAATTGACGTGACAAGTATATGGTAGGAATATCCTCGTACACAAATGCGAACCAATGATTTCCATTCCTCGTCTGAGAGTAGAGGTATCAAAGCAGATGTCCTAGATTCATGAAGAACTGCAGTTGCAACCACAGGTTTGAGAGACTTCGGAATCGGCGCGGTCTTTGGGATGAAGCGTTGCAATTGCTCCACTCGGAGCAATATTTGTTGATGAATAGGGAGTGGTGATACTGGTGTCGATGGCTGAGAAAGCAATGAGTCGTCGGTTTCATTCTTGGGCTGACGTTGCTGCAATATATTCGACAGGGACGAGAAGGAAGAGTCTGAGGCGATGAAGTCAATGTCAGATGTCCCAATAATTCGATTGGCGATGCTGTTGACTAGGACACGGTCTCTTTCTTTCTGGTACGCCTGAAGGGTTTGAGCTACTTCTTGTGGAGGAGGCTGGGCTGTGGGTTGCGCTAATACGTTTTCATAGAACGCCAATAATTCGGTTTCTGAGAATTCTTCAGGGGAGAGCGAGGTCAGTGGGGAGCTCGCTGGAGGGGACTAGGGTTCCGGTAATTCAGGCCCAACGGAGATGGAATGGATGGCACGGAAACTCACCTCCACAGCGGTTATGCTCAACAAGGCGTCCACTCGACGGTCAAGTTCACTCAAAGCCTTGATCGAACCCTCTCCGTTCCGCACTGCTATGGATGAGGCTGGCACGCGGCGCCGTCTCCTGTGATAAACATCCTGTCATGAAATCACATGCATATTGAATTGCATGAAAATCATACCGTGTATACAGGGATCGACCGGAGGTTGCAGGCTCTGGAGGGAGGTGGGATGGGAGAGCCGGCACGGCAGCTAGAGCAGCTTGATGCATCTTCCGTCGAATGACATGTGCACACACGAGCGCAGAACCACATCGTGTCGACCGACCGCTACGACAAAAACCGAGCCGTTGAGACGTGTGTAACATGCTCAAGCCTAGAAACTGGCAATGAAGGGGTTGTTGCAGACAACGCGTTGTTGCACACGCCAAGCACCCGTAGAGTTAGCGCCAGTTAGCACTTAGCAGGAGGAAGTGGTCTAAATTTCAAATACGTTTTTTTTGCGATTTCAGGCGGAGCCACGTGATGCTCAATGTCGTGACTTCAATTACCCCAGACAAGCCAAGATGAGCACCGTCTCAACCGGATCCCGCCGTGAGTATATAACGAGGGACAGTGTCTTTCGAGCCTAAGCTTATCTCCTTCGTCCCTTCACCCATCTCTCGTCCCGAAATGCCCAAAGCTGTTGTTCTCGGTGCCGCAGGTCATTTGATTCTCTACTTAAGCGGTAAGATCATTGACTGATCTGATGATCAGGTGGAATCGGCCAGCCCTTGGCCCTCTTGCTCAAGTCAAATCCCTTGGTCACCGAGGTGGGCGCAAACGATGAAGCCTTGTGTGCGAGTACCATGACTGATCGAGTGCGGGTTTTTTTACGGCGATTAGCTCGCTTTGTACGATATTGTCAATACCCCCGGTGTTGCCGCCGACTTGTCCCATATCTCTACCCCAGCCAAAGTCGAGGGTTACCTGCCTCCCAATGACGGTCTCAAGAAGACTTTGACGGGCGCTGACATCGTAGTCATCCCCGCTGGTGTCCCCCGCAAGCCCGGTGTAAGCTTGCCAGACATGCCTTGGGCGAGAAATGGGCTAATGAACCATTCGTCCTTTTTCAGATGACAAGGTAGCGTAACCTCAGATAGAATCGTCTATGGATTGAACGTTAAGTGTTTTATCACTGCGTATCAGGGACGATCTCTTCAAGGTGCGTCGTTCTCGCATCAATTTACCTAGGAATTCGCTGCTGAAGATCATGCTAGATCAACGCTGGCATCGTCCGTGACTTGGCAACTGGCATCGCAACGGCTGCTCCTAAGGCTTTCGTCCTTGTGATCTCGAACCCTGTCAACTCGACTGTGCCCATTGTTGCCGAGGTTTTCAAGAAGCACGGCGTTTTCGATCCCAAGAGGCATGCCAAATACCCGTTTTTGAGCTCTTGGGCAGAAATTAACCCCGCGACGTTATGCTAGGCTATTCGGTGTCACGACATTGGACGTCGTCCGTGCCTCGACTTTCGTAGCTGAGATTCTTGGCGACCTTGGCAAAGCGCCCTCGGTAGTCGTTCCAGTCGTTGGCGGCCACAGCGGTGTCACGGTGCGCCTTTTCGTGAATCTTGGTTTCCCAACGCTCATAGTCTGGTTGGCAGATCGTTCCGATACTCTCGCAATCCTCCCACCCTCTACCCTCCTCCTTGTCTTCGAGTGACCTGGAAGCATTGACAAAGCGTGTCCAGTTCGGCGGTGATGAGGTCGTCAAGGCGAAGGATGGCGCTGGGTCTGCGACTCTTTCCATGGCTTATGCCGGTGCTGAGTTTGCCACGAAGGTCCTGAAAGCGCTGAATGGTGAGAAGGGTATTGTCGCTCCCAGCTACGTACACTTGTCGGCGGACAAGGCCGGTGGTGATGCGGTGAAGAAGGAGATCGGCCAGGACTTGGACTACTTTTCGTCCAACATCGAGATAGGGGTGAGTTGCAATCTAGCCGACTGCATGCATCCTCTGGAATAATACAATTTCTATCCTATAGCCCGAGGGTGTTGCAAAGATCCTTCCTCTCGGCAAGCTGACCGACTTTGAGCAAAGTCTCGTAAAAGCTGCCGTGCCTGAGCTGGCGACAAACATCGACAAGGTAAATAATCGCATACTCTCATATCGGTCATTGCCAATTGATTTTCTGCTTAAGGGTGTGTCCTTTATTACCTCGCCGAAGCTCTGATCGCGGATGAGGGTCGGAGGCCTGAGGCTGAAGTTGAAGTTGAACGCGAGTGTGTACGGTTATAGAAACAGAAGTGTCAGATTCTCGTTGTTCTGTTACAAGAGGATACAATCAAGCTTGTTATGACTGGATAGATGATCTGATATCTCATCTTCGAGCGATGGGCTAGCGGCTATAGCTCGAGGAAAAGGCTAGCTGCCTAGCTGCGATAGACTTGAGATCGATCAATTCCCACGACGCGCATCGCGTCCACGTGACAGGCGCGTCGCGCGTGATGTCACAGTCACACCCAAGAAACCGAACCAGCATCGACCTGTCAGACAAGTCGACCAGCATCCAGCCTACAGCGACCGGCAAGCCATCTAGCTAACGCCCCTACCTTGACCTTCGAGGTCTCCTCACCTCATTATACCCGAAACCACAGTATCTTCCATCGTCTTCCATCTTGTGCGATGTGGTCAAAACTAAGCAATGCACTTAAGCGCTCGGGCAATGAGCAATATGATACTGAACCATTGCAGACTCTGGATGTCATGTCTAGCGTCCTCAAACAACATCCCAATCTCTCTGTATTTCATGAAGTGCAGGATCAGGAAGAACCCACGGAAGTCCCGTTTCCTATTCCTAGTCCACCCGGTTCGCCTTCTCTGAACGGCCGCCGTGGAATGTTCAAGCGCATGTCTAAAGGCAAGATCGATCTGATGGAGGGTGCAATGCCTTCTCCTCCCCCACTCAAACTACCATTACCACTAAAGAAGGTGAAGGCTCATCTTACTCTTCCTACAAACGGTATGATGCTAGTTGCCAAGTCGATTGTAGTTCAGCTGCTCAATTTCTACGACAGGCTCTGAAACATCTCTCCGCTCTCCAGACTCTGCAACTCACGCTTTCTATGATACGTCTCGACCATCCTTGGATAGTATAAGGCTACCCGAGAGCCCTGTCGACTCGAAATTTAGCTCAATCCGCTCCATTCTTAGGGACCGTAACACACCCGGGACAGGTCAAAGTGTGCGTTTCTTCTCGCGCGACGCCTACAAGGTTATCAGCCCCGATGTATCCGCTGCCAGCGAGGCTGAGGAGCCCCCGTTGATTGAACGTCTACAGAATGCCGGCGGGGCCTCCAAGTCCGAGATATCTCGCGCGCGCAACCGCCCTCGTGCATCCGTACAGGATATGTTCTCCCATCCCCACGAAACATCTACCCCGATATTGCCTCCGAAGCCTGCAGATGCCACGAAGCCCATCAATGTCGTGATGGCACCTATTCCTCTGGACTTGTCCAACATCTTTGATCTCTCGCCTGAGCTTGACGTACCCTTCATAGCCCCCGTTCCTGGGACAACCCTTCTCGACTCCGCGGTTGAAATTATAGACGACGACGAAGAGGAACCCACCGTGACCCCACAAATCATTGCTCCCAATTCGGAGGAGCCAACGATTGTCTTGCCAATCGAAAGGTTGCCGATTCACGATCGCAGTTACTCCTTTAGCTTTGGTCAGAAGGTTTTTTCAGCCCTGCCTACAGTCCCTGCAGATAAGATACCATTAGATGCAGCAACGGAGATCGCTCGATCGCCGAGTCGCAACCGCTCCATGAGCGACACTTTCTTCAATCCTAAGCGTACGGCAAAGGCCCCGGAGTCGGATATCAACGATATATCAACCTCTTCATTCGTCGTTTATTCCGCACCTGCAGAACGCGCCGAACCAGATCCATTCCGTGCTAATGCCACGACATATTACACACCGGGTGCGGTCATTCCCCCTACCCCTCCCAAGGGGATGCATGCACGGAAAGTGTCTCGTGAGGAAGACGAGATCTTTTCTCTTCGTACGCAGTTGGCCCTTCAGCAAGAGATGTGCGCGCAGTACGAGCTTGACCTTGGTGCACGCGATGAGCTCGTGAACACGCTCAACTTACGGCTCGAGGTAATAGAGAAGGATGCTGACAAGCGGAAGAGTTTATTGCGAGGATGGAAGAAGAAAGTCCAGGAGCTCGAGCGAATGTGTCGCCATCTGGAAGAGGAGGTGGAGAACAGCCGACAAGAGAGCTTCGAGAGGAGTATCATGGACGAAGCGAGCGGCGAGGCTCTAACACAACTTCATAGACGGATCTCAGATCTGGAGCGGGAGAACGGTGAGATTGTGAAGAGAGGAGAGGGATGGAGGGCGGAGAGGGAGCATAAGGAGGAGCTACTGCGCGAGCAAGAGCTTTTGTTGGCTAAGCTCAAGGATGAGCTATCTCAACGAGATGTGGGGGAGACCTTATTGAAGGAGGGTATTCGAAATGCTAAAGAGCAGATGGAGGAAATGATGCTTTCTTCTGCTGAGGAAGACCTAGAGAGCGCTGTGATGGTCCAGGAACATGAACAGGAGCGGCGTCATCAAGTCAGCCTTGAGTGGGACGAGGAGCGCAGTCGTCTGATCACCGCTGCGGACGAGGCGCAGAGAACGCGAGAGGCATTAGAAAGCGAGCTGGACAAGACTCGGGGAGCTCTACTAGCGAAGGAACAAGAAGTCTCTGTGTTGACGGCCGAGTTGGAGGCACAGTGGAAGAATACGGAGGTGACTGGCGAGCGGATGGAGGAGTTGAAGCGGGAGAAAGCGATCCTTCAGAACGAGCTTGTTTCTCTTGAAGGCAAACTCGAGTCCATGGAGACGGACTGGTCTAACAGCGAGAACAAGAGGCTACAGATGGAGAACGAAATCAATGAGGCCTTGGCTGCAAAGGATGAGCTCGATAGGCAAAGAGACCAGGTATGCCTCACGCTTGTATCTGACGCGCATTCCCTTTCAACATTGTCTCTACTTCTAGCTGGAGGAGGAGCTCCGTTCCGAGCAGGAACACTCTGATCAGTTGACTCAGTCTCTCCGAGAGCGAGAGGGCCGTGTAAACTCACTGGAGCAAGAGCTCAAGTATGCTCTTGATAATGCCGCGCGTCTTGAACAGCGCGTTCAACAACGTGACGCTGACGTCGAGGAACTTGCTCATAAGGTGGTCGCTCGCGAGGACGAGGTCGAAGACGTTCGCGAAGCGTTGTCGACAGCCAAGCGTGAGCACGCGCGCGCATTGGACGAGCAGCGGCGGGCGGTCATCGACCTCTCCGCACTTGAAGGCGGCGCGCGCACACAATTGGAGGCAGCGATCAAGGCTAAAGCCGAGGCGGATGTGGCGGCGAGCACGATGAAAGACCGCGTTGCTGCATTGGAGCAAGATATTGAACGACTCCATAAACAGGTTCATACACTCAAGACAGAGAGCGCCGACAAGGAGGTCAGCCTCGTTCAGATGGAAAAACAGAGGGATCATCTCCGTGATGACGTACAAGGTCTGACTATAGCATTGGACTCAAAGCAGCAGGAGCTCGAGCTAGTAAGTGTACTTCAATATCTGTTCGGTGCACGAGACCCATGTAATGATGTTCTTCAGTTAAAGAGGCGCATGGGCGTGAAAGGCACTGCAGGCACTACACCCGCACCCAGTAAGGCCACGACTCACCGACGAGAATCGTCGTCGGCTTTTACCACACCATCCATAAACTCCCGGCCATCGTCGCGCTTGTCCGATGGGAGCAAAGACGTAGTCAAGGTTGGGCGACTGTCAGAACCACCCTCCTCGACACGACCGACGACCCTAGGAAAGAGTGTTCGCACCAACGGATCAGCAAGTAGCACCCCATCCACCAGCACGGGCCTCATCGGTACACCTTCCACAGCGAAACCTTTACGTGCCAACGGCTCGATTGGCCCTCCTCCCGTTAAACCTCGTATGTCCGCAGCTACGCCAACACCCTCACACTCTCGGTCACCACCGACTTCAGTTCCCCGCTCTAGCATCGCTGCCCATTCCTCCACGTCTTCAACTCCCATGGTGAGCAACCTCCGACGAGCCTCATCGGCCGCGCCGGCAGAGATCTCACGAACAGCCAGGCCCAATACGACTCATAACCGCAGCGTGGTAAGCCCCGTCATCAGCAAGCGGGATGAAAAGGAGAACACTGAGCCGCAAAAGCGGAGATCTCCTGTCATTGCGTAGAGTGCGACTTGAGTCAAGCTTTCTGTCAGCGTGAGGAGGGTATGCCATGTAGACTCATATTTGCTCTTGATCTTATTCTTGTTTGCTGCGCTGTCCTTGTTTTATTTTTTTGCTCATTCGATGTTGCTGTCTTTCTGTCGATAACTCCCTCCAGGCACAACCACTTATGTCCGGTCGACCCTACTTTTTCCATACCTACAAGCCTCCCCCCCACTATGCACTCATCCATTGTTCCACTCCTCGTCATCGCCGCCCACTTGGCAGGAAGGCATCGTTAGTTGTCTCAAGTCGCTATGAATGCATCAGTCAGCTGTTGTATGATATTGTGTTTAGTTTTGCATATGTCTTTTTGCGCTCGATCGAAAGATTCAACATCGCTCGCCTTTGGCTCACTAAGGTCCCGAGACATCTTCTAGTTTGCCTCTGGGGAAGAAAGTCATGAACGGATTCAACTTATCAGCACCATTGATTTGCATCGAGTGAGCCCTGTTTGATACAAGACAAATGACGAAACAGTGAGCTATAACGTGCACGGTCCAAGAACGACGGTGCGTATAGATCTAAGAAATTGCGAGATCGGCGCCTTCGCGTGCTCCCCGAGCCAAACGACGAGGGACCCACAGCATGGCGCGCCGCCTACATGATCGCGGGCATGGAGGGCGGATGTACTGGCGATATCCGACGAGAACCCTCCCACGGTCCAATTTAGGCAGATGCCACTGCTCGCGCATTGTGTCCTCCCCGCCCTGTGAAATAATCTTCATGGCCTGTGCGGCCCTCCGCTGCCTTAAATATGACTGGAGGACATCTTTATTCCTTACCACTCTGGCCTTTTGGCTTAGATCAAGTGTAGTATCTGTTCTTTATAGTATAACCACTATAACGCGGGCACCGCCCGCTACATTGGTTTTCTTATTTTTGCCGCCCTTGTCCATCGAGCTCTGCTTGCAACTCGATGGCACGATGACTCCGCCGCTGCACTATAGGCTTATGTTGTCGAGGGATCATTTTTCTTTCCTTTTGCTGTTTATCTATGATGACCATCATTGGATGGGCACTGGGATCAGCAAATGGATTGGATTATATCTACTTGTATTTTTTGTGTATTTGGAATAAATTTTACTGTTTTTCTGATGATAATCAATGTGAAGTTCTTTGTATATAAAATTGAACCTTGAGCTAATGAGTGTTTAGATAGTGTTGTCTGTTGTATGGATGTTAAAGCATGACTAAATGTTCAATTGGCTGATACCTGAAAATACTTTCTATTCTGATGTCACTAGAATTCCCAAAACATTCCTTATGTGCTATACTTAGCCTACAGTCAATCTATCTAATATGTATATACTTACTTACAAGTCCTCTCATCAGCACCCAGCAACATCCACTCTCTATGAACCTACAGCTGACCCTCAACAATGGTATTCATCCTACTCTGCCACCTTATTGTTCCCTGGCCAAATGCTGCCTCAAGTGCCTCCTGCACTGTGTGGACAAACACAAACTCCATGCTGTTTCGCACCTCATCCGGCACGTCGAGCTTTACATCCTTGCGATTCGCCCACGGTAAGATCACTTTCGTGATCTGTGCACGATGTGCACCGAGAACCTAAGAGAGGAACGAGTATGAGTAAGAACGGCGAGATCACGTAAAACCTGCACACCTTCTCCTTGATACCGCCTACTGGCGTAACACGTCCGCGGAGGGTGATCTGTCGCCGTCCGAGTATTGTCAGCGACGAGAAATGCGTGATGCGGCTTCGATTGCTTACCTCGCCAGTCATAGCAATATGAGGAGGCACGCAGGCGCCCGTCAGCAACGACACAAACGCGCAGGTCTGCAGTCCACGTGTGCCTACTCAGTCAGTGCTCATAAAGCACGACGACTGAGAACACGCACCATCGCGATGCCCGCGCTGGGCCCATCTTTCTTCTGAGCGCCTGCCGGGAGATGTAGGTGCACGTCGATCACATTGGGCACTTTGAGTGGGTCCTGCGTCCGCGAGTTCGTGATACCGAGCTCGTATGCGTGAGTCTTGACCCAACTCAGCGCGATTTCACCGCTCTCCTTGATGACCTACCAGACAAGTCAGGATATCGATACCAACAAGGAGACGGATTGGGAATCAACATACCGCGCCCAAGGAGCCGGTCAACAACAACTTTCCACTCCCGGGCACCGCAATGGTCTCGACAGGCATGATCTCACCCTCGCCCATGCCTGTAACGACGAGCCCGTACACGACACCCCGTCTTAGCTCCCTTTCCTGCTCATCCCCGTCCCATCGCGCAATACCGAGAATGGTTTCTAGCTCGTGCACCTCCACCACATTGCGGTAGCCCCCCATCTTACTTGTAGGAATGACCGTCGTCTCGGAGGGCGAGGGCGAGGGCGAGGACTGTGGGGCAGGAAGCGCCGGTACTGGCACCAGACTCTCCGTGTCGATGTGCTCAGCCCACTCGACGGCCTTGAACCGGACGACGCTTCCGATAGCACGCTCAAGACTGCGCACACCGGCCTCGCGTGTGTAATGCGTCACAATGTACAATAGGGCAGGCTCCGTGAGCGTCAGATTCTCCGGTGAGAGGCCGTTCACTTTGAGCTGCTTTGGGAGGAGGAAGCGCCGCGCGATGCTCAGCTTCTCGTCGTATGTATAACCTATCCATGAAAATAGATCAACAAGAGCGGCATGTGAGCAAAGATAAAGGCCTGTGGAGATTACTGACCAGACAACTGGATAATCTCGCACCGGTCCAGAAGAGGAGCGGCCATAGTGTCGAGGGAGTTGGCGGTACAGATGAAAAGAATACGGCTCAAGTCGATCGGCACATTCATGTAATGGTCCTATGGCTCACATTAAGCATTATGAATCGATGGGTATTTAGCCAGTGGCAGGACGCTGCTACGCACATTGAACGCGTGATTTTGCTCAGGATCCAATACCTCTAGCAACGCCGCCGCGGGGTCGCCCTGGAAATTTGAATGTGCAACTTTATCAATCTCGTCCCTGTGAAGTACAGAAATCGGGTCGTTAGCCTCCACACGCGACGGAATTCGAAAAACAGAGGAACAAGACGCACAGTAGCAGAACCGGATCCGCGCGCCCAGCCTTGCGGAGTGCTTGGACGATGAGCCCGGGTCCGCTCGCGACGTATGTGCGTCTGTGCCCTCGAATCTCGCCCTCGTCGCGGACACCACCGAGTGCGATTCGCTGGAACGGCCGATCGAGCGCCTTAGCGATCGACTGTCCGAGCGAGGTCTTGCCCGTGCCTGGAGGCCCAACAAACCTGTCCAAGTCCAAGTTCGAGGGAGCGTACAGGAATCAGTTTTCGCACAACCAAAAGTGTGGCGAGAAAATAGACATACAACAGTATGGGTCCCTTGATACCCCTCCTGACGCGCCGTCGCACGACAGGCTTCAGGGTCAGCTTGGCGTTCACGTCGGGGTCATACCTCACGAGCGCCTTGGCCGCCGCCTCGGCCTTCAGTTGCTCAGGCGTCTTGCTCGCCTCGATGGCGAGCCGCGCCTGCGCTTCTACCTCTGCCTCGCGCGCGCGTTCGGAGGCCTCCTCCTCAGCGGCCTGCATCTCGCGCAGCCGCACGACGGCGAGGTACTCGATGAGCCGCCGCTTGACGCGGTCGAGTCCGAAGTGATCCGCGTCGAGCTGGCGCTGCGCATTCGCCAGGAAGGCTCGGCTCCGGATGGGAGGTTGTACTATAGGTGCATCACCGGTAGGGGATGGGGAAGGAGCTTCGGTGTATGACCAAGGGAGGGACGTGAGCCAGTCGAGCTAAATTGTTTGAGTAGTGAAAAGGGTAAGTATGAGGGGAGAGAATTCATATATTCGAGTGCAATCCGTTAAGAGAGGAACGCATGAACGCACGTAGTTCCTTACGACCCCGTACTCCGCGCTCTGCTGCGGTATCCGCTTCAAACGCCTCCACTCGCCCACACCGACGCGCCTTTCCTCCGATCCGACCTCCATAGCTGATATCTTGCGTTTGACCTCCGCCAGCTCGTCCTCGCCCTCGGCGTCCTGGTCAAGCTCGGACGCAGGGGAATCCTGCCCGGCATGAAGGCTGTTGAGTTCCGCCTGGATGGCTGCAAGCTGCTGCCGAAGGAATAGCTCCTTTTGCTGCTTAGAAAGAGACTCGTCGACGGCAGATGCGATCTTGGTAGACACTTCGGAGATAGAGGCTTGTTTGATGAAGATGGTGGTCGCGCACTTAAGGCGGTCGTTCACGTCCGCAGCGGACAGGAACTCTGTAAGACAGTGGGGGTTAGGATATAACTTGTCAAACAGTATCACAAACAAAGAGGCACATAGAACGAAGTTGCAAGACTCACCAAGCTTATCCTTGTGTTCCGCGTTCACGGCAGCAACTAGGGCATCGGCCATCAGTCCCGCCCGTTGCTCAGGAAGGTCCTCAACCATCTCAGCCGTCTTCTTCCACTGCTCACGCCTTCGTGGCTGCTGTGTGTCGTGAGCCAGGCGTTCGAGGAGGCGCAGCGAGGCCGAGCGGAAGGACGCAAAGGCCTCAGGGGTCGGCAAGTCATCGAGCGCAAACTGTTCCACTTCGAGCATGGGCAGTGGGTCCTGCCGCGTGAACAAAGCGGTGTCCGCCGGCGCCATAAGACGCACCCGCGCCAGGCCATGCAGCGTGAGCAAGTGGGGCTGGGACGTGGACCGCGTTGATGCCGGGTGGGCAAGGCGAATGATGCGCGCAGACACGCCCCATTGATTCAGAGGCGCTGTGGACTTGTTGGGAGAGCCAAACGCGGTGACGGGGATGGCAGCGAGAGTGGGGTGGGTGTCAGCGTTGTCTATGAGCGTGAAGAGTGCTTCAGCGACGGTGAAGGAGATGGGGAATGTGACCCTGGCCGACGGAAGCAGGACGAGCGGGTGAGGAAGTGGGATGATGTGCAGTCTAGAGAACGTTGTCGACGGCGACGACATTGTGTGTGTTCTGCTCGACGGTAGTTGAGTGTGGAGACAGGGGCACTTTACCGGCACGTCGAACGCCCGCCCCAGACGGAAACAAACCCGCGCGATTTATCATATGATCGGGTCTCGGCAACGCAGCATCGCGAAACAAAGAAATACAGAGCACAGGATATAGCTACATGAGTCCTCCACGACCAACGGAACACTGCAACCGATAATATGCTAATGAACAACACAGACGTCGGCCCTCTCAAAAGAAAGTTGAGCTGACCGTGAAGCGTGAAGCTTGAAGAGGCCAACTGCATCGAGCAGAAGACAGAATGAAATGGAAGCGAATAGTGAAAACAAAGCATTCATGTGGGATCGGTAAAAACATATGAGAATCAGAATATGGGCATGCATGACAGGGTCAAACACTAGTACTACTATCAAACGAAAATGACCCAAATAACTCTCCAGTGTCTGCTGTCTACATGAACACCACGTCCCGTATACGACCCCGTCTATCGGACTACTTCCTGCAGGCTACGCCCTGCAACATGTTGGCTACGGATACTACGACTACTACTTATACTATTATGACATGCAGATCGCGATGCGGTGGTGTGCCTCCTTCAGATGGCGATGTGATGAGAGATATAAAAAAAGAATTGCATGCACGCGACGGGTCATAAAAGACATCAAAATGGCCATGGGAAGACGAAATGAACTCAAAAAGAAAAGGCGAAAAGAGAAAGATGGAAGACAACAGTGGAAACAGAAGCGGAGAAGAAAGGAACAGAAGCAAACACATTCAAGAAGCACGAACAGGACATGGAAATATGCTTTGTTTATGCAGTCGCGCGCTTGACCATCTACAACGCAACACCATTGTGAGCAACGGGCCAAAGAGATACCCATAAGATGATACCCAAAAACAACATACCTCACGCGCCCACCGGATCGTCTTCTTCGTCTCGGGCGTGTACCGGCCCTTGGTGCTGAGCGCTGCCCCAAGCCAGTCGACGAGTAAGAACTCCTTCGCCTCGCCGTTCGGGAACGCGTCTGCAATGTCGCCGATCACGCCAAACGCAAGCTTCTCCAGCGCCTCACCCGTCTCGCTGTCTGCAAGCACGGTCTGCACCAGCTCGAGGATGTGTCGTGTGTGTGGCAGCAACAGCCCGACTACCACAAAGAAACCCCGTCAGATAAATCGTGCTGCGCACCACGCAAGGCGTAGTGCTCACCTTTGTCTGTGTTTTTGAGGCCAGTGATAATGCCCGTGTGCGCCTCGAGGATGCCTTCACGCAAGTTGGCAATGTAATCGATGGAATCAAAGTCGAGCTGTGACACAAGCGAATATAGTCAGCTACGACCCTCGAGCGCCCTATGCACCGTATGACTGACTGGGTTCGCCTGCAGTGCGGCAGCCTGTCTAAGCACTGTCATGGCCGTATCAAGGTAAGGCTCAAACTTCGGTCCGATGGCGAGCGCGATGTCGCCGAAGCAAGCCAGTATTGATATCTTCACATTGCGGTTGAGGACCTCGCTCGACAGGTTTTCCAGTAATACGGTTACGAACGCGTCAGCGTACTGCGCGCTCTCGTCTCCGAGCGCACGGGTAATGTCACCAATGATGCCAACGGCAACCGTGCACAGCTGCGTATCCTCGTACGCCTTGAGCGCGGGATAGAGATACGGGAGGAAGGCTTGGCTATAAGGAGAGAACTGTTGCTCGATAGCTATAGGAGAATTGATGAGGCCACACCTGTCATACATTGAGTAAAAATTACGAACCTGCTGCTAGTGAGCCGACAACGAGGAAAGCATCCTCCAAGATCGTCGATGCCTTTCCAGCAGACTGGATGAGCTGTAGAATGAGCGTCATGATGCGGTCTGCCAGCGGTTGGATCCCGTCGTTCAGTTTGCGGATTACGCTCTGCGAATTGCCTGCTAAGTTTGCACTCCTTGCCAAAGAGACGAAGCAAACACGTACGACAGTAACACTGCAGAGGTTGCTTTGAAGATCATTCCAGTTGTTACGGTCGTCCATGCCGAGAATCTGGTTCTGCATGTTCAAGAGGTGTTCCATCCTCTGCAAGATCGTGACGACAGTGTTCTGGATAACAGGAATGACATCGGGAGTCGCCTGCTGGACGAAGGAAGTGATGGCTTCGTATGCGGATGTGCGGAAGTTTGACTCATTGCTGGCCCTGTGTCAAAATTCAGCAAAGTCCAAGGATCAAATGAGAAGACGCCAAGCTCACGTCTCAGTGACGCGCAGAAGCGCCGACACAATGCCCTCAAAGTACGGCGACAGGGGACTACCTGTGATGTTGTCGCTATCGTACAGTTCATAAACACCATCCGCCAAATTCATGAGCGCCCAGCAGGAGTTGGCGATGATCCGGGGGCTGTCTTGCAGACCGTTGACGAGCGCCGATATAAGTGGGTGGAGGTGCACCTCGGGCTTGATCACAGACATGAGCGACTCGCAGATCCGGCCGAGTGTCCAGGCGGTCGTATCTTTCACATGGAGGTTGCTATCGTTCATCATGTCGATGAGAATGGGAAGCGCCTGGTTGACCAGAGGCGTGAGGCCGGAGGGATCAGGGCCCACAAGGATGGACCCGAAAGCCATGACTGCAGCCTCCCGCTGGCGCCAGTCTGGTGACTTGATGTTCCCCTCGATGAATGGGATCACGGCCGGCACAATGTTGTCGTGGACGGCTTGTGCGAGGAAATTGATACAGGTGCCGGCAGCCATGGCCACGTTCCACTCATCTTCATCGGCGTCTTCATCCTGACGAGTGAGTAGCATCAAGAGAACTGGGATGATCTCTGGGAGCGCAATCTTGGCAAAGTACTTCGGCTCCTCAACCTCACCATCAATCAAGCCCTATCATGGATTCAATGTCAGAATCGCGAGATCAGCAGGATGCAGAGGGTCCATAGCGTACCTCTTGCGAGTCTTGGTAGTCAGACTCCATTGTGGCCTCATCCTCTGCCACAGAGGTCCAGAACTCAATCGCCTGCAAGGCGACGGCCTCTTCAGTAGATTTCATGCCCATGACTGTAAGCTGTAAATGACCGTCAGATGGATGCGGTCACAGCCCAGCCCATATCAAATGACGTACCCCGAATAGAGCCCGTTCCATGTAGAATGCCATCTTGTGATAGTACAATGACATGATGCGTACCAAGCACTCGAAAGCGGAGGCCTGGACCTGAACCGATGGATTTTGTGTTGCCTCACAGACAACTTGCATGATATAGTTACGCTCGCCCTACGAAACCGATGTGAGAACGATGAAAATGGCACAAAAGAAATTTGATTACCTCGCGCTCAAAGTTTTCACGAATGAAGACCAAAGAGTTGAACAGCGCCTGGGTGGCCGCCAACTGTACCTCGGGCGAAGGCTCCTCTTTTCTCGCCCCATGGACCACAGCAGTCAAGATCTCGTTGGCACGGACACTCAAGATATCAGGGTCCTGGATGTGGATGAGCGAACGTCTCGGCCAACAAGAGAAAAAGCACGCACTATTGATTCGCAGATGTACCCGATGGAATTGAGCGTGGCGATCCTCAAAGGCGTGTTAGCAGCATTGTTCACAAAGCCGAGCAAGATCTCAATTAGCTCTGGCCATTGCCCTTGTGGCAGCTCCACAGTCGCGATGGCGGCAACGCATTGGGCGGCAACACCGCCGGCCTTTTGAACAGGGGAATGCAGAGTCATCAAGACATCTTGCTTGATCTTAGCCCTCGTATCCGAGTCCAGAGCTAGCCAGCGATTCGAAAAGTCGGTCTGCCGTGTACTCTCCTGCGCGATAGAAAGATATCAAGATGTGAGGCATATAATTATGAATAGCGCGATGCATACCCTGGCACTCAGAGCGTTCTTCAAAGCCAGCCCTGCGGCATTCCTCACAAAATGCGACGAAGCTTCATTGACGAGCTCCGCCGAGAGCATGAGCATGTACGCGGGCTATGATACCAAGGCATCAGGATGTCGATGTTGGGAGCGCCATTTGGGTGGAAAGCTCACGTAGTTTTCTTGTGCTGCGCTCTCCAGCTTGCGTGTAGCATCTTCACGCGTATTGTGGTCTGATGTGATGAAGATTGAGCATTCCTGGCATGTTCAGAGGGCTGAGACGCGAGAAATCGGTGGCGTACCGGCGGATAGGGTATTGGCGAGCAGTTCCCCAGCATTCATGACGGCGATTGTATTGACGGGATGGGTTCGAGCGAGGATGGAGTTGAATGGGGCGTTCTGTGTTGCTTTTCAGGACGTTGGAGACAAAGACTGACCGAGAAAATAAGATGAGAGATGGAGGTGGTTGTCTTGTGGGTGGGTTGAGGGAAGGAAGAATGGCCTGTTAGCCGCGTCGGGTTTTCAAAAGTCACTCCTTTGCAGGTCACTCAATTCTCCTTAAATCATCTCAATTATCGCTTTGGCCTGTCCTTCCTTTCTATTGTCCACGCAGTCGATCCACCCGACCTTTCGACTCCTCAAAATTCACAACAGCCACAGTGCTGCCACCTTTGCCCACGCCTAGTGCCATGGCAGACCGGGTTCGTTCTTCAGTCCCTGCGCAGCACAGTCTGGTATGTTGTTGTTGATTCTCTCTTGTTCAGGGTCGTGGAATGTCTAGAGGTCGAGGTTCTGCAGGACCATCGCGAGGCCGCCACGGTGGCCCACAGGGACCCCAGCCAACAATGGACAAGCCAAAACGCGAGGCTATCCTCGATCTCTCCAAGTACGTGAACGAACGCATCCGTGTCAAGTTCACAGGTGGCAGAGAGGGTGCGTGTTGACGCGTGTGCGCTCCTCCGTCTGCGCTAAATGCGTCATTACAACACAGTAACGGGCGTTTTGAAGGGCTATGATCAACTTCTCAACCTCGTGTTGGATGAGGTAGAAGAGGCCGTCCAAGGTGAGTACACCATTGACTTTTTTCAAGTAAGGCGATGCCAAACGGGGAGGTTTTAGAACCAGAGCCACATGTTCGCACGTTAGGCCTTGCGGTCCTTCGAGGGCCCACAATCACCCTTCTGAGTCCCGTCGACGGACTGGAAGAGATCGCCAATCCATTCATGGTGCATGAATAGTCACGCGTCTTCAAAATCTAGCTCTCCCTAGGACGGGGGCAGACGTAAATATGCTCAGAGACGGCGATGTAATTTACTCATATCGAGATGTATAAGTATCCGCTCGCCTAGATCTTTCTTGCGACACGGCATCATGCGCATAGTATTGCCATTGCACGCGGACATGCGCATCATGCACGGTAATAGTGTAAACTAATCGAAGTACAACGTACTGTGCCGCAACATGAGAGGCAGACTGAAGCCAATCTGGAGGTTCTGCAAGATGATGATGTACCGGTGGTGCAATATGTAAGGCAGGGATATATAAGGTACCTCGAAGCAAAAACAGTAAACCTAGATGAGGATCGTACGCAGAGGCTCACCAATTTCCCCAGTAAAAATCAATACATGCCGTGATTTGTGGAGATCGATAGGCTATTGTTGGCGGTTTGACGGAGAGTCGGGTAGGTGGTAAGGATAGGAGACTTCCTGGAGGCGTACCACGAACGAATTTGAAGTACTATGGTTCATTGGCGGATTGTGACTGGGAATGTACCGAAGTACTGAGCACATTATCTACCGTTTCATCTTTCTCCTTTGCGCTCGTTGCTATCGGGGGTTCCCAGTTCACAGCATTGGGTTCTTCCAACGAGGTTTCCGAATCTTCGATAAGAGATGGTAGGTCATGCGAACACCTGATCATTTCGACCCCATGAGTCGGGGATGACGGGGAAGTGGATAAGGGAGACGTCGATGCATCGTATTGAGAGCTGTCAGAAGAGGGAGCGGGGGACCCGCTGCCTGCCGAAATGGACTGGAAAGGCGACATTGAAGTTGAACGGTGTACTGCTGGAGGATGATCCCCAGGGTAAAATTGTGCCAAGCGGGGTGATCTCGTCCGCGACCTCGATCTTGACACATCATTGAGCGCTGAATGCACAAATTGTACGATGTTCGGAGGTGGTGTTGGAGCGACAATGGTAGCAGTAGAATGTGAATGTGAGTGTGATGGCGGATGGTGGGAATGCGGAAGAGAGAAATGCGTGTGCGAAGTGGGCGTGGCGGTCGGCGAAGGGATGGAGCCTGCTGTTGACGCGTCTTTGGTCACTTCTAGTATGTTTGCACGACGCTTGTTGGTAATCGGTGCGTGAAGAATATGTGGCAAGTCGTAAGTGCCTGGGGACGTCATCGGAAGATCCTGACGCTGAGAAAGCTGATATTGCTGGAACATCGCAGGTGTTGGATATATGGCAGGGCTGCGGGGTATATGATCCTTGGACCGATCTGTTTCGTAAAGTACATGAGGCAGTTGATTCATCGGAGGACTCGCGTCCAAGGGTGAAGGAGGCAGAGGGGTCATGAGTGCTATCGGCAGGAAGGATGGGGGGGTATTGCGACTCGATGACGTCCTCGGAGGGCCAGATGTCGAACGCCTTGGAGAATTCAACCTGGACGACTTGGCATAACGATCAATACGCCTAGAGGCGACAGCAATGGAAGGTCCGGTGCTCGGACCTGGACCTTCTTCAACTCGCACCCATTGTCGACCCCGAGTAGATGGAGACAGTATGTGTTGACGACTACTGCCCGGGTGATTGTCATACACTCCTATGCCAGTGTTAACATACCTGGGGACGGGTGCCAGTGGAGACGATGGAGACATGCGGGGCAAAGACTCAGAAGTGGGAGATGCTGCGGAACTCCCCATGGCATGCGATGTTCTCTCTTCAGACATCGACTGCACGGACCTGACTTCGTCCGCCTCATAATGCTCTTCGTCAGTGAGAATCTCGCTATTGTTCGACGAAGACGCATAGTACGTCTGCTCTCGCGCATCTGTAGAGGATGTCGCTAGAGCCAGCCCCAAACCGAGGCGATTCTCGAAGGACGAATGATCAGCCAAAGGTGCTTCTGGAGGTGGAGGACTTGTCCACTTGCCCCGCTTGGGCGCCATATGTTCTGGCGGTGATGTAGGAGGCCCGGCTGTTGCGTCGGTAGAGGTGGGTCCTGTGGCGCTAAGCTGTGATGGAGACTTCTCGTCTGGAACTGGCATGTGCACCTCGGATGGGCGCATGGGGCTACTGCTCACAGTATATGGCGTTTGGGGTGGAAGAGACGATAGCGGTGATAGCCGTGGGGGCACAAATGTGGTGTTTGCTGACGCGGCAGGCACGAGGGCTTCGACCCTTTCCTCGCACAGCGACGCAATTGCAATGATAGCACGTTCGGGGCGGGTAGCTAGAATCCGCGAAGCTCGCATGAACTCTCCTCGGATCTTCACGGCACTGAGTGAGCGCTTGGACACGTATAAATAGATCGTGAGGACCGACCGTATACAAGCCGTCTTTTGTGACACAACGGGCTACATTGAAGTCGATCTCGAATGGATCCTTCGCATCCATCAGCACCCGACGCCTATAAAAAGTGAGGCGTAGAAACTTACCTCAATACAGAGGCGATTTGGCTCCCGTGAATCTTTGAATCGTGAATGATCATGCTGTTGGGATGTGAGATAAATAGATACAGGTAGCTGGGGCTAGGAGGACGAACGTCATTCTGCCAGCCCTTGCTCTCCTTCTTAATCAGGCCGGCCCTAATCGAAGCCACCCCAGTATTGTACAAGAAATCGCGAGAAAAATATTTGAAGAAATCGATCAACCTTGATCGAGAGAGGTCAGAATTGCAAGTGAGAAACTGCACAAATATGATACTCACAACTGAGCAACACTCTCATTATTCGCAGACTGCCATCTTTGGCGTAGAAGTTCAATATCATCGAAAAACCTGTAATATGATCTTTGAACTCAGGAACTCGAAGTGCGAAGATGACAGAGTTTATACCAAGTATTATGTCCGCCGATATGTGTATCCTCCTGTTCGAACGGTTCGTTATAAAGATGATGAACAAGACAGAAGAGGGCGTACATGTGATATAGGGCGCAGAGGTGGCATTTGTTGTAGATTCGGAAGAACCGGTGGGTTTTTGACGTGAACAAGGAAGTATATCACTAGCAGAACATAACCATATGACGAGAGAGTCCCCTTATAGGGTGAGTTGATCTTCCTGTTGAAGTTGTTGAAAGTCAGTTGGTCTGGCAAACGGTGTACGATAGTATTCCGAACTCACCGCCGCTTGCACCATACTTTTACTACGCCCATCAAACCCATGTTATTTATAGAGATATCAGATCGTAGGAAGACGCGACTCACGGAAAAGAACCAGTGTACGGACGCGCGTAGGGTCGATCATGGCATAACAGTACAGCAATCGTGTATTCTCCAGAGCCAGTCTGTTCTCGAAACCGATATCGCAGGCAATGCCAAGAGGCAGGCCCGGCGAGGGGTCGAGTGATAATTTAACGATTGGTATGCGAGCATGGGAAAGCGTCTTAACGCGGAACTTGGTTTCTGACCATCGTTCGCATTGCGCATCGTAAGTGGCATGCGGCGATTGAGGGTGCAAGATGCTCACCTCGCTCGAGCAAGTCTCCCAGCATAGTTACGAGATCAGCAGCGCTGAGCCGTTCATCCGAATCAATCAAGCAGCAAAGATCCATGTCTGTGTGAATTGAACAATGAGGATGCTACCTGACGTGCAGCGAGCGCTACACACCCGAATTACGGAGGCTGAAGCCATTCGCAGTGCTTCCGAAGGATAGTAAGCGGCTGTCGGGCTCGATCGTACGAATGAGACGCTCCAGCAGCTTGCGGACGTCCTCCTTCACCGAGAGTTCTCCGGTTGTGGGGAGCAACTGAATGACGAAGTCGACGAGGCATTGAGACAATTCTGTGACGAATCGTTGGCGAGAGGCTTGTCTGCGGGGAATGGGTGGGTTGGAGGTGACAAGATGCTGGTGCATGCCTTGCGAGCTGTGCGAACTCTGGGTATAGACGGCCATATGGAGGCTCCGTAGACGAGAACGATGAGCTGGGTGTTGGGACGAGGAACAAGAGAAGGTCCTTGTCGAGAGACTGCGTCGAGGTCACTGCTGGAGTGCACTGATCGCGGCCAACGGAAATCGTCCCGTTATAGCTCCTCTAATTACAAAACCACGCCTCCTAATACGGAAGCCTGCCTTGCAACGTCGTCCTCGCTTAATATCCCTCGCCCACCTGTACGGGGCACTCACTGAACACAACCTGAGACAACGTCTTCTCACCTGGGTCCTGTTCTTCGAGAACCGAGGTTCCTTAAGCATGAATATCACAAATCAAACATGCATTTCTTTGCGTTATTTCCAGGTCTTTTTTTTCTAATTCTACCTATTTTCTGTAACCCCCTCCCCTCGAGTCCATCCAGACGCATATAGAACATGATGTTAGATCCTACTCGCGTTTATCTGCGTGCCAGTTCACTAGAAGACAAGACAATCAAGACAAGGTTTGAGCGATGATGCAAGGAAGACGTACAAAAACGCGGACTCGACACAGGCCTTGACGTCCTGGTAACTGACGACCAACACGCTCTGTTCGTCGCGTGCGACCAACATTATCCGCTCATCGGTTCCGGCATCCAACTGCTCGAAAAGGGAAAAGACATGGACACAATCAGGGCACGGAATCAATCAGCTGGAGGGGTAAAGGCAGCACACCTTATTCAAGCACGCAAGGACATGCGACAAATTGACGACCGGATTTCCGTGTTCGTCGACTTGATGAAAAACATAATCCCGGAAGAGCTTAATGATGTATCGGTCACCGGTCTCTGACCAACGCGCATCGCGGGCGAACCTGAACGTTCGCTGTCAGATTTGTATTGCATGAGCTGAGGCAATTGTGCGTACTCAGGGCGTTCGTTGATAAAACCAAACTTGCACAGCAACCGGACGAGGCGTGCATTCTCGAGCTCGGACATGAGTTCGCCTTCAAGATGGTCTATTCCACTGAAAAAATTGCCGAGGGCGGAGGTAAGTTTACCACATACGAACACAGATGTGGTTGGGCAGCAGTTGGGCTCACTGTTGCAGATCGTCCATCTCCGTCAGAAGCCTAGATCCGATCATATCAAATACTTGGCCGATGTGCTTCTGAGTCAATGGTCGTCAGCTACATGTCTCGTTGGAATCCTGCATGCCTGGGAGCGCAACGTACCTTATGGAGGCCAGGCTTACTTATGCAGAAGAGCGCCAAAACCTTCAGGTCTGCGCTGTATTGCTTGCTGACGATGTCTACTGCTTTTGAAAGGTTACTGACCGCCGCGACATTGTTGCAACACAACGCAAATATGAGCTTTCCGAGCATCGAAAGATCTTCCAGTTGCAATAGCATCATGACAGATGATGCGGCCTGTGAGATGTTGGTGCTGCCACCATTGCTCGGCGTACCAGGAGTAGGAGGCGCCGCAATGGAAGGATTATAAGTGAGGACGTCCGCGAGGCCGCAAGATGCAATCCGAATCCTGAACGCCGGCACGAACGCGTCATGAGTTAGTGTGAAGGATTACGAATGAGATGCACACACCGGTTCTTCCCAGTGACAAGGATTTTCGTGACATCAATCATACGAACAGCAAGTCCCTTGTCATGAACGGCCTTGATTGCGCTTGCGATCTGTATGATGTAACTCCAGATCGTGCGTTCCGGGAGATGTTGCGAGGCAGCGGTCAAACGCCCGTTCTGAAAGATCGGGGCCTTAGGCTTGATATGAGCATCGTAGAGTGTGAGCGCATTAGGGTGGTATGCGTATGCCACGACGAGAGCTAAGCCAGTTTAGTACAAACGAAGATACAACGTGAAGGGACGATTCCATACAGCTATCACCGAAGGAACGCGTCGTGAAGGCTTCATGAACAGTGACAATATTAGGATGACCTATGCGAGACCATTGCTCGATGGCCGTAAACGCTGCCTGATGTGTAAGGCGGTAACCTTTATGTCCCATCATGAATACTGAACAATCGAAAGAATCTGGTGTTCCACGCACTCTCAATGCGTCTCAAGACATACCCCCTATCGTCTTTGCCGGTCGCACGATATACCGTGCTGTACCATGATCCAAACTTTCGTCGTTCCCCAGTGGTGCTTTCGAGAGGGACAAGAGTATGGTAACCTTGCAATTCTTCTGGAAGGTTGAGCCCCGGAGCGGGCGCGGTGCGAAAAGTTTCCGAGCGCTGTTGGAGATCAGTGCGAAGAGAAGGAGAAATGAAATATGAAGATGGTAGAGACGGCGGGGGGATGGAGTAGAGATGATAGTTGAGCTGTGATGGTCCGAGAATTAGAAGGTAGGAGGAAAAGGAAGGGCTATAGCATACAGGGGCACGCATGAAGGTCGCTTGAGAGGGGTAGTAATCCATGACATGGCCGACTTCATACTCAGGGGGCAGCATCATTTGCGCTTGGGAGTCATGGTCGTCGAAGCTCTTCAATTCAAACTGTACACAGTCAAGACCGTGTTGAACCTCCCGCTACGGATGAGAGCGAGACATACATTTTGCATTTGAGATGCGAGCTCGTCAACAGATAGGCCTTGACCATCGCCACTGTCATAATAAAAGCTCGGATCGAGTTGTGTGTACGCTTCATAGTCAATCGTAGGGTTAGATGATTTGGACCTGAGGTCGATGAGTGATAAGATTCAAAGTGCAGGAAAGGGTAATTGCTTACGCGGTCAATGGACTCTGGGCCTGCGCGTAGGTTGGAGTTGGAGAAGTTGGAGGGATTGAAGAGGCTCTGGGCACGAATACAGGAGCATTGACAGCCTGGGACAACTTTCCACTGGAAGGCGTCTGCGGTTGCGATCTACAAGGATATCAACATACGAGAGCCCAGAGCCCAGAGAGCTTCTTACGGAGGTGCGGGCGGTGGCGTAGCCGTACGCTGCGAGAACTTAAGAACGGGTGGGAGATATATTTGGCAACACATACCGACGGATGGTAATAGATACAGCCTTTATCTTGGAACTTACAGGATCTTGCGCACTATTCGAGTCTCATTCGCGAGAAGATATCAAGGGATACATACCCGTATATGAGAATATTCCTACACTGGCGTTGGGTCGAATCTAAACGTGGGCGTGAGCAGCGCGGCACGGAGGAGGGAGAGATCACCGACCCTTTTTGGAGGCTGACCTGGTCTGGTCGTCTTGCTCTGTGGGGGCAACGATCTTGACGGCGGCATTAGCTGAGTAGGGTTTATAGAAGAATGCCGACATGATGTGGCCGTCGGAGAGCGTCGCGTTGCCTGCAGCGGCGGCAGCTGGCAGGACTTTGGAGTCAACCTTGCGCCTACTCCTCCATCCATCTTATACATCCGCACAAACACACACAAATACCCGCCCACTTGGCTTACCACAGCCGACTCAGGCTCGCCACCGCCGACACAGCTACCGTTCCCTTGTACTCTACTCACCATGTCCATCCTCGCTCGGGATACCGCAGCCTTCAAATCTACCCTCCAAGGCGTCGACACAAAATCGTGGCACTCCGCTGGTCCGTCCTCCCAGACCGCGCCTGCGGACCAGGATCACACTGGGAAGAAGAGGAAACGGCCCAAGTCAAGCATGTCTTGTCTTCATGACTTCCTTGTGATCAAGGTTCATTGACACTGTCGGGAAAAGATATCGTATACTCCCAACCAGCGGATACTGGGACGGGGACGAACGTGAACACTCAATTGCTGTATGCAGTCAACCATCTGAAAGTGCGCTCACATCGCCTTCGTCGAGTGTATGGTACGCTCATGACGGTGTTTATCGTCATGTAGTCTGTCAATGGACCCATGCGATTGCAAGACATAGCCATTGTCACGAATACTCCCTTGGACGTGGACCAAGTTCTTCTTGAGAAATTCAAGTCTCACGAGCGTGTCGAGTTTGACCCTAAGACGAACCTCTATTCCTTCCGTGTGCGTCCTTTTCATCTCCATGCTCTTCACTGACCTTACCTATATTGACCTACATGTAGCACGACTTCAACTTCCGAAACAAAGCTGCCCTTCTGACCGAGATTCAACGGGCCACCCGACGCGGCGGGGGTCTTTCCGTTCGATCACTAAAAGAGTCATGGAAGGAAGCGCCATCGGCTATCGAGGAGCTTGAGAATGAGGGGGAAGTGTTCGTGACAAGGACATTGAAGGATGGACAGATGCGGATGGTGTTCTGGAACGAGGTCAAGGCAGAGAAGGCGCTTAGCGGAGAAGATGCGCCTGTTCAGCCAAAGGGGGCGGATGGCAATGGGACTGGCCTTGCTGTGGAAAAGGGTGAGCTATCTAACGCTGCCATGACGGTACCAGAACTGAACCCGAGCAAAGAATTCTACGACCTCTGGCATTCACTGAAAGTGCCGAACGAGGTTGACCTCCTGAAGCAACTTCAAAATGGTATAAGCCTATCATCCTGTCCCTCTTTTCGTTTCGCAATATATCGTTCGCTGAACGCTATTATCTATTCATCTGTAGAGGGCTTGCAAGCCACAGCAGCCGAGGCACCTGTGGCCAAGGGACCAATGGGCAAGAAGAAGGGACGGAAGTCTGGGCCAAGACAAAGACCAGTTCGGTTGACAAATACCCATTTGAAAGGACAAATCGACTTAAGCAGGGACTATGTTGCTGCTGGCAAGTAATTCACGACGTCGACTGTCCGGCTTTGGAGCTGTTCATACTGTACATCCGTGAACGGCACTGCCTGTGAATGTAGATTATGCAGCGATGTATGATTTTCATAGGCACCGTGTCTTAATATCAGTTGATGGACTCTATGTTGCCTTTGTGCAGTTTGAGAGCACCGCTCATTCCCTATTCGGTTTACTTGCGTGATATCAAGTACACTTAAAGTTACCTGTTCTCAACATTGCAATGCCAACATCAAAGTCTCTGGCTGAGAAATACGGTTCGAAGTCTGTTGACGATAATTCCCACGAAAGGCGTCCATTTCGCAAGATCTATCGCCTGTCTTCATTTTTGCATCTCGACGACAATGCGACATGCTCTTTGCACGGCCTTTCTTTCCTCTAGTGAGTAATAATGAAAATGACATTGACGAAACTCGTTGAAACTGGCAAACTGCGCTGTTCGGGCCGCGAATCACGATGCCTATACTATAAGGGGGTATATTGTACAGTTTTGCTGATGTCTGGCACATTCTGTCGCTGGCTTTGCCACTTGTTATCGCAACCGAACTTCGTAAACGCTGCCCTCTCGGATCACCTGTCTGCGCTTTAACGGTTATATGGACGAGCATATCATGCGACACAAAGAAGGGAGGTTGTTCTAAACTCATCGCCGGCAGCATCGAATGACGTACTGTCCACAGGTAAGTGAATGTACTCGGCTCCGCTGCTTTAAACGTTCTCATGGGAAGTATTCCTTACAGAGTACAAGACCTCGTCATAGGACCTGTCATGCGCCTTCGACGAGCTCTCGTGAAATCTCAGACCGATAAGCGTTTTTAAATAGGCCATCATAAGGACTTGAGTGGGGGTCGCTCATATACCGAGTCCATGCACCAGATTTGTCGACTAGGCTGTTCACACGATGCCGTTTCGTCTCGTGTTTCTGATCCTCACCAATCTCTTGCTTGTTGGATATGTTAAAGCGCTCTGGCCCCTCCCACAACATATGCAGACTGGGGCAACGGCTCTACGATTGGCTAGCGGGTTTGAAATCGACATCTCCTTGTCAACCATCCCGGACGACCTCGATGATGCTATTGCTCGCACACGATCGTTTCTGTGGAATGACAAGCTAGAACGCTTGGTGGTCGGAAGGGGAGCATTCGACAACGAGTCCATCTTCCAAGCGAAGACTCTTCGATCTTTAACCTTGACATTGATAGGTAACGAGCCTATCAGGAGCATATTTGACGAGTCAATCCTGCCTTTGGATGAGCGCAATGAGTCTTATACTCTGCAAATTCCTGACGATGGAACGGGGGCATCTTTGATAGCCAACTCGAGTCTCGGATTGTTCAGAGGGTTGACCACATTCACGCAGCTTTGGTATTACTATGGTGGACACGTATACGTGTTGGAAGCGCCGATCCACATTGACGACTCGCCCCTTTTCGTATGTGTCCCATCATATCTTAACCGAGTCAATCAACAACCACTAAAGACACTTGTTCAGCCGTACCGCGGGTTGATGCTTGATACTTGTAGGAACTTGTACGCGATGCCGGTACTACTTTTTGTCAACGGCTGATGCGCCGGGAAAGCTTTCCTGTGGACGACATTAAGCGTACCCTAGATGCTATGAGCTGGGTAAAAGTAAACATTACACCACCCAAACAAGGTGAATATGCTCACGATAACACCAGATGAGCATCTTCCACTGGCATGTGGTCGACAGCCAAAGCTTTCCGCTTCAAGTCCCAGGATTTGAGGAGGTATCAGAGAAAGGCGCCTATTCTTCGAATTATGTCTATTCACCCAATGATGTACAAGAGGTCGTGTCATATGCTGGAACGGTAAGTCCCGGCACGCTTGGCCAAAAAATCGTTAGTTCCTAACGTTCTATCTACAATCTCAGCGTGGTATTGACGTCGTAGTTGTAACCATGTTTTCTGCCGTGCAACATGCTTTCGGATTGAATCATCTCGTTAGGAAATCGACACCCCTGGCCACACTGCCATCATTTCACAGTCCCACCCCGAACACGTTGCCTGTCCTGAGTCCACACCGTGGTCAGAATATGCCAGCGGTATGTCAAGTCCATTGTCGTTCAGTATTGTGCTGAGAAATATAAATACCTAGAGCCGCCGGCGGGACAACTTCGCCTCACGCCATTGACAACGAACTTCACAGCTTCTATGTTGTCTGCCATTGCCAAACTGTTTCCATCCTCTATGTTTAGCGCCGGTGGGGATGAAGTGAATGCGAACTGTTACGCGCAGGACCCAGTGATGCAACAATATTTGAATTCCACCGGACAGAATCTCGATGACGCGTTGAACGCTTTCGTTCAAAAAACTCAGGCTGTTCTCATCAAGGAGGGAAAGACTCCTCTGATCTCAGAAGGTGGAGCTTCAATTATCCTTCTCACCCAATCATCATTTAATTTCTTGGCTAGAAATGATTCTCATGAACAACCTATCCGTATCCAATGAAACGATTGTATTGTACGTGAAACCTTAGTCCTGTTCTCTCGTGGAAGATAATGATCGCCTTCTGGATCATATAGAGTGTGGATGTCGTCCGATCATGTTCCGGCTGTCACCCAGAAAGGATTCAGGGTGATATATGCGGCCTCAGACTACGTATTTCTCGTACGTGCATCTTATTAGATACTGATGCAATGAGCGGGCTGACTCGGAAATAGGACTGTGGTGCAGGCGCTTGGGTTGGAGATGATGTTAATGGGTACATGATAAAATAGAAATCTGCATAATTTATCGCTAAACGCCGTATAATGCAACAGGAATAGTTGGTGTGACCCGTTCAAGTCCTGGCAGAAGGTCGGTGTCGATATCTAAAATATCTCAGCCTTTGGCTTCTAGCAATACCTTCCTAGACGTACTCCGTTGATCCCCTCGCCAACCTCACAAAGGAGGAAAGCCAACTGATCGTTGGAGGTTTGACAGATTTTTGCATGCTTTGTCACATACACTCATGCACCTCGTACTCATAGGGCAGCATCTACTATGGACCGAGCAGTCATCGCCATCGAATCTTGACCCCATAACCTGGCCCCGTGCCGCGTCTGCAGCAGAGGTGTTTTGGACAGGGCCTGGCGGGAATGTCAGCACTGCATTGCCAAGACTGCACGACGTTGCGTATAGATTTGTGCAACGAGGAGTGAGAGCGATCCCCCTACAACCCCAGTGGTGCGCATTGAGGCCAGGAGCTTGTGATCTCGATGCATGAACATTGTGCCTAGACCTATCAGGTGTGTAATAACTGCAGCATCTAAAAAGAACTCGATATATACTCGCTTCATCTCAAACATTCGCAAGGAATGGCATTTTATTCGTATCTTTCCCGGCGCGGCCATTCATTTAAGCACATGGCGCTCGATAATACTTGTACTTTCTAATGTACTTTTGGACATCCAATAGGCTCAAAGCTCCAGGTTTGGCTACTCAGCGCGACATGAAGAATACAACTTCTTCAGCTGTTCAATTGATCTTGCGCAGGCTGGGTTACAATGTCACAAAGCGTACAACACAAAGCAGACAGTGCCCCTAAACTAGCGTAGAACCGACAAGGAGATGGTAGCGTACCGCTGTGATTGCGAAAGAAAGGGATTACCTCGACAAGATGTATGTGAATATTATTATCTTGATACGTAATGGTGAACCATGCTAGTCGTGACGAGTCGTGTGTGCAATCATTCATTTCATAGAGAAGGGCGAGCCGCTCTTCGATGTGGATTTGGATAAGGGCGTGATGGGTGGAGAAGGTTGCTGAGGCCGCGTTGGACGCAAGCCGCAATCGCGAGGGGCAACTTCCCCGCAAGCTATATGAGTCCTGTGGCAGGTCATGAGCGCAGAAGATGAAAGCATAATCGAAACACGTACTTCAGACCACAGTCGTCGCATTCTAGAACGGGCTTGCGCCCCAGTCGTTTCATACATATATCACATTTTGCACCACCTAGTAGTCCGCTCGAGAAAAAGAAGTCCAGTGGGCCCCATCCCGCCTCAGCAGCCGCAGCCTGCGGATTGTTTTCGCTACGTCGCTTCGCACCAGGTTTGATGAGCGTAAAGCGGTGGACGGGTGCGGGCGTCAGTGGACGAATCGTTGAACCACCCTCGGTTGCCGCAGCGATAGAGGGTCCTACAGACGGAGCTGTATAATAAGAATCCATGGAAATAGTGGAATCGAACGACGGGGGTTCGGGTTCAGATTCTGAATTCAGAAGGGGAGGCTCGGTAACAGAGCCGCCATCCTCGGAAGGACGAACGGTGAGAATAGATGACAACGAAGGTGCCATTGTGTAGATGCTTTGCGTTGGGTGAGATCGGATGACGGTCGTGCTGTACTCAGAGTACGAGATAGAGGTGGTATTGATGAGGGGTTGTGTACTTGTACTGTCGCTGGCATGACCTGCCGACACATGTCTCAGCTATTTTATCAACTAAACAACAGAGCATACGTACTAATAGTAGATCCATATCCTTCATCAATAGTAACATCTTTAAGGCCTCGAATAGCGGTCGCCAGTTCATCATCGCTGTCCTCTTCACTGAGGTGCAGTCCATCGTCCAGATGCCCAAGCCGAATATCGCGCGCGATGCCCACGCCGAAGCTAGGGATACGCGGAGCGACACTAGGACGTCTGTTCCCAGACATAAACTTGATGCTGCCAGTGTGAACATCGTCAGCCTCATTAGGGCGCGCGAGTACCTCGGCCTCAATTTCGCGCAGCCGTTCAAGAATATCGCGAGTCGTGGGTCGAGAGACAGGATTCTCATCCAGACAGTCGAGGATGAGCTGAACAAAGGCTGAAGAACACCCTGGACTAATGAGAGAGCGGATCTCATCTGGATCAAGAGTAAATGAGGGTGCCGCGCGCTTGAAGTGATGGTCGTCTGCAAGGCGGCGGGCTGCAATCTCGGCCAAGATGACTCCCAGGGAGAATATATCCGTAGGGAGGTCAAATTCGTTGCCTAGTAGAATCTCTGGAGACATGTATGCATCCGTGCCACAAAATGTGAGGCGTCGGCTTTCCTCCGCATTTCGTGCTGCAATGCGAGCGAATCCGAAGTCGGTTATCTTCAGGCGTCCATTGGCAGTAACGAGAAGATTCTCTCCCTTGAGATCGCGGTGGATGCATTTACGAGCGTGAAGATATGCAAGTGCACGGGCTATGTCTGTTGCGAAAGAGATGCGGAGACGCCAGGGAAAGGGCTTGTGCTTGTCATGGATATACATGCGCAGATTTCCTCGTGGCAAATGAGGATATTAATGATATAAAATGACAGCTAAACATACCGTTTTCGATAAACTCAGAGATTATGAAGATACGTCCATCTGGATCAGGCGCACGCGAGAGACCAAGGTAGAGAACGACATTAGGGTGGCGCGATTCCCTGTACAACGATAAAATGGCAAGACGCGTATAACAGATCGAATACTCACTTGAGCAGCCTCCACTCTCGCTCAAAATATTTGGCGACGTCATATTCAGTGGAAGGAAGTACCTCCTTGATCGCAACATCAATGCCGAGGTAGGATCCTATGGACCAGCGTGAAACTGGCGCAGAAAGTGGAAAGAACACGACATACCCTTGTAGACGTTTCCGAATGATCCAGCACCCAATTTCTTCCAGTCTCCTTTGATATCCTAGAGAGTGAGTCCCACATGAGACCTATCAAGGCTCGGCGCGAGAGAAGAGACACGGACCTCGAAAGGAATGACATCGAAAGGATCTGACATCGTTGCTTGTTGTTAGAACAAGGTTTCGAGCTTGGTATATAAAAGATGTAAATGCAGGGTATCAGGGAATGAAGATGCGGAACGGAGGAGAGCCGGAAAGAGACAGACAGAGGATCCGGAAGAAGGCCAAGTCGGGCTGACACCACCGCTCCTGCAGGTTGGCGCATCTGCCAGACTGAAACGAGATAAACGTGATCGTCATTTGTCTTCCTTCTCCGACCACACCCCTCTCCACTCACAAGCCTTTGGTCCGTAGTTTGTGATCTCTTCAAGACATCTGGGCCAACGAAAGGTTGTTCGCCAGGTTCAGTAACCGTGACGCGAGACTTCAGTCTGTGAGTTGTCGTGTTCCAAGGCCGTTATCCGGCGGCATTTCCCACTCTACACACGTTGGTAGTCCACACATGTACCCCTTACGACGAGCTAATTCCCATATGCTTGTTCAGAACAATGTCAGGTGAAACACAGTTGCTTTCTCCGGATTTTTTAGACAGCCTGGGGACTCTGGCTGATGACGATGACGTCGTCGAATGGATTAACGGGCTCCTGGATGAGAAAGACGAGCAGGGCTTGGGAAACCCTGATCTCAACTCACTCGACCGATATGTCTCTCGATTGATTCCCTCCCTTGACGTGGCCAGCGAGGATGTCTCCTCGAATCTAGAGAGACTCATTGACGAGATCTCACGATCGACCTCGCGTCTTTCGTACGACCTTCATTTCATGCGAGATGGCGCAACTTCCCTCCAAGACGCGCTGAGTGACCTTGCGGAGCGTTCAAACACCTCTGTATCAAGAGGCACTTCCGAGGCGCTCGACCGACTGCATTCTCTAGACATTATAAAGTCCCACATGATCACGGCCAGAGATGTCCTGCGAGAAGCAGAGAGCTGGAGCACCCTAGAATCCGAGGTTTTGTCTCTGCTTACAGAACAGAATTATGAAAAGGCCGCCGAGAAGCTTTCCGAGGCTAACAAAAGCATGGTCGTCTTTGAAAACACTTCCGATTACGACCACCGCCGCACGCTCATGATCAGCCTTCAGAATCAGCTCGAAGCCTCTCTCAGCTCTGCCCTTATAGCCGCTATCAACAGCCAGGACGTCGCTGTATGCAGAAATTACTATGCAATATTCTGTAACATTCAGCGCGACCTGGAGTTTCGAACTTACTATTATGGGTCGCGCAGAAGTTCCTTGGTCACAACGTGGCAAAATGCTCGGTACGAAGGATCTCACCCACCTCCCTCGCCAAGCTCTCCGGAGCAGTCGTTCTCCGCGTTTCTCTCCGCATTCTTTTCAACGTTCATATCGATTTTGAATGCCGAGCGGACATCTGTTTCCGCTATTTTCCCTGATCCTCAGGCAACGATGGCGAACTTTGTTACTTCAACTCTTGCGGCTCTTCAACCGACATTTTCTGAGCGACTGGCCTCGATGTCGATTCATCACGGTGCATCCGCTTTACTGGAATTAATTGAGGCTTTCAAGGCGACAGAACAGTTTGCCATTGCGTCCGGGAAGATATTGCAAAGAGCAGAGTATACTGGACCTCCAATACGAACCATGTCTGGAGACGCCAAAGACATCGGCATGGCTCACAAATCTCATTCACGATGGCGATCCACACGACTGTCGATATCTCAGCGGATGAATCCCACCACTTCATCTGCAGGGGAGTCGAAGAATTCGATTGCATCCACGACGGCCCTCGACTGGGATCAAGAAGTTCTCGAACCATTCCTTGAATTCCAGGTTGAATATGGCGGTCTGGAAGGGCGTTTTCTAAGCGCAGCGTTGCAGAACATCATGCACACCGACGATACTAGAACTGACACGTCCGTTGACCATGCCCGTTTGCTGAAGGAGCGATCAGTCGACGTCTTCAGCCTAGCCGAAGAAAGCCTGGGAAGAGTTCTTTCGTTCACCCATGGGTTCGGGGCCGTGGGCCTTCTGCAAGCCCTGGAGAATCTATTCCGAAAGTTCATCGATTCCTCCAAGAGTCAGTTCTCCGAGCAGTCTTTTGTATCGCAGAGATCGTTCTCGACACCCAACTCTAGCGATGACCTCGCTGATCTAGATTACACATCGGAGGATTGGACTCGCATTCAAATGTGGCTCCACCTTCTTGGTGCCCTCCGTGTTGTCCTCGACCGGATGACTGTCTTTGAGTCCAAGCTCTATTCTGTTCTTCTTCAGGTTTCGACTACGATCCGGTCCTTATCTCACGACTTGGCGAGTGCTTATATCCCAGGCACTACCAAAGGCGAAGTCCACCTCCTCACCCAGTCGGTGCTCAACTCTGCCAAGCTGCACGCACTTCTCCAGGAAGTCGACCCAGAAAGCCAAATATACGACCCCTCCGTTCCCAAACGCTCGCACTCGATTCGGCAACGAGTTTCGCTCCTCCCAAACGCCCTCGCATCCCTCACCGAGTTCAGCACCTTCTGCCAGACGTCTCTGCAGCACGCGATGCTGTCGCCTCTGCGCAAGCACCTCTCCAACTACTCCGCTTCTCCCCTCTGGACTGCGTCGTCCGATCCGCGAACAAAGCGCTCCGGCGCCACGGCCACGAGCGACGCCCAGGTCCCCGTGTTCTCCCTCTCCCCGACCGAGACCATCCAGCGCGTCGCAGAAGGGCTCCTCAATCTCCCCAGGCTGTTCGAAGTCTACGCAGACGACGACGTCCTCTCCTTCTCCATCGACACGCTTCCGTTCGTGGACAAGGACCTCATCGCGGCGCTTTCGGAGCAAGCTGCGGGCGACGCGCGGCTCACGCATCCGCGCCGCCAGTCGATGTCGCTAAAGAACCAAGCTCTGCCGCCGAAGCCAGCGCCAGAATTCTCGCCCGAAGCGATCGCCTCCATTTGGCTCTCGTCGCTCGGGCTCTCGCTGCTGTCTCATCTGACAACTGCGATCTTGCCGAGGATACCCTTCCTTACGTCCGCGGGCGCGGCGCAGCTCAGCTCGGACCTGGAATACCTCACTAACATCGTGAGCTCGCTTAACGTCGCGAGCGAGGAGCTGGAAACGTGGCGGGAGTATATCCGGCTCGGAGACGAGGATGGCCCGCAACGAGGCGCAGATGTTGGTTCGAACAACGCCATCTTCGCCCAAGTCGCGCGGATGAGAGGCTGGTCTATTGCTTAGTTGCAGTCCATAGCACTACGAAAACTAATTATGTGTGTATCAACTACTTACTGTGCCTCGCGCGCACTTCGTCGCCGACGAACCCACTACCACAAGCTCGTAGATTATCAAAAAAAAAATTGATACAGCACGAAGATAAAGATAGAAAAGACCTAGAGCGAGGGTTCGCGGACCAAACAAAAACTACCGCGCATAAGGGTGGAAACTGTGCTGCCCCCTGCTCATCATCCTCGCAGGACCAGGCCCAGCATTCATACCCCCTGCCCCTCTGCCCCTGCTCGGACCCATCATCGCCATGCCGTGCCTCATGCCGCCAATCATGCCCATAGCCCCACCCATAGCCCCACCCATGGCCCCCATCGGATTTCCTGCACCGATCGCTCCTGCGTTCATCGCACCCGTACCGCCCATCGGGCCCATCCCGAGCCTCATTGCACCCATGCCGGGCATCCCTCCGCCCATATTGTTCATGCCACCTGCAGCCATCCCGGGCCCCATCGGGTTCATCGCACCCATGTTGGCCATACCTCCCATCCCAGCACCGCCCATGTTTCCCATGGCGCCCATGCCCATACCTCCCATGCCGAAACGGTTCATGCCCATGCCCATGGACATCGGGTTGAAGCCGCCCATCATCGGCATGCCCCCGTTCATCATGTTGTTGAACGGAGGGTTCATCTGATTCACCATGCGTTGATACATCATGTTCATTGAATGAGGGTCCGCCTGGGGCTGTTGGGGGGCTATGTTGTAGGGCATGTTGCCTGCGCCGGTGTGTGCTGGGCGTATCTCCCTCTGGTCGTTGTACGGCTCCCTGGTGTTGACGGCCCGCGTCTGATCTCTCTGGTTCCGAGGCTGCGCCGTCTTGACCTCGATCTGAAACGCCAAACACAATGTGCAAATGCGACGTGAACCGTTGGAAAATAGGCATACCTGCTTATCATCAAGGACGAGACCGATCTTGCCCACCAACTGCGCCTCGTTGCTGTTATCTTCAAATGTGACGAACCCGAAGCCTTTCGACCTGCCCGTCTCGCGGTCAACCATGACCGTGGCATCGACGACCTTGCCGAACGACGAGAAGAAGCCGCGCATAGAGTCGGATGTTGTGTGCGGGGCGAGACCCCCGACGAAGTACCGCGTGTTCCTCAGATGCTCCTCACGGGGAATAGCGCGTTTCGGGTCAATCTACGGATGATATTGTTCATCGAAGATCACGTAACCACATCGTCACGAAGACACTCACTGCTTTTCCATCCAGGAAATGCTCCCGGATCATGACCGAGTTCACAGAGGCGGGATCGTCGAATGTGAGGAAGGCGAAGCCTCTCGACTTGCCGTCGGGATCGCGGACGATGGTGCACGCATCAACCTTTCCGAACTCTGAGAAGTAGTTCCTCAGACCTTCTGCTCACAAAAGAGACATCAAACCGCCGCACATCAACGTTGGTCAGCGAACGACTGTATGACATAAGGGGATAGGGTAAGGAACGGGAGGGGACAATGTACCATCTGTGGTGTCCCAGCTTAGGCCGCCTACAAACATCTTGCTATTGAACAGGGATTGTGGTATCCCAGAAAGTACCAGAGAAGGACAAGTGTATTTGGACAGTATAGCGAGAGCGAGTGAGGCGGTATGGCGGATATGAGTGATATGTGATCAGTTCCAGAGTAGCGAGATATGCGACCAGTGGAAAAGAGAAAAGAGACATATTGTTGGTGTTAAAACCTGAGACCGACGAGATTGACAGATATCGTAGCGGGTAAGTGGGGTAGCTGATGATCTCCAGTAGCCAGTACGCATGAAAAGACGCAGTATGACTGGTACGGGTAAGTATCACAACATCACCAAGCGGACCGAGCGCCCAGACGGCACCCAGCCTCGAAGCACATAAGCACCGCCCCAGGTTCTAATATGCACATAGAGAGAGAAAATGGAAACAAATGAGCCACTCACCCTTCGTCCTTCATCTCTGACGGACGAATTGGTCTATCCGGCCGCGCGGCGTTGGCTCCGGGAAGGCCAGACGGTCCGCCGGTTGGCGTCAAATCGACAAACCGGCCGTTCTCGATGCGCTGCTGGCGCTCCTGACTGGGGGTTTGGCGGTATGCAGAAAATTGTTGCGCTACTTGGGCTGAATATGACAGAGATGCGGCTGAGTTGGCTGAAGACGAAGGCTTAGGAGGTAGCGGACTTGGCTCGACGGGTTGCGGTGCGAGATCCTTCTGTGGCTGCGGTTCAGAGGGTGAGACTAGCGCACTTTCGGTGTGAGCAGGAGACTTTGGCGGTGAAACTTCGACTTCAGCGCTCGCGGGATCATCTGTCTGAGACAAAGCGAAGTCCTGTTCGAAGTCATCCCCATACAGGCCTAACGACGATTGTGAGAAATAATCTGGCTTTAAGGTGAAGAGGAGGGCATGCACCATCATAGAGGTTGTCGTCAGCATTGTCAGCTACGGTAGCCATTTCAGTCAGTAGGGAACAAGAAGAGAGGGAGGTGGGAGGGGTAGTCGTCTGTCGCGGGCGGTGTTGTGTAGGTCGTTGGAAGAGTGAAAGGGGAGAAGAGCGGTAGCCCTTTACAAGCGGAGCTATAAGCGTATTCGAAACTCCGCGAGTACCTCGCTGGTTCATCTCCTCCTTCTTTCTTCCTTTACGCAAACCGAATCTACTGTATGTATTGACCGAATTCTTTGCAATTCTTTTTTCTTGTCACTAATGCAGCACGAGCGAACGGAGTGCGAACGGCCATAAAGCTTCAATTACCACTTCGAAACGATCTGTCGGTGACAGAACGCTCTGATATTCGATATGCGGTGATTGTCCAGTGAGTCTCAGCCGTTTAAGCTCACTATTGAGCTTGCTCGGTCATCGAGACATCAACTTGACGGATGAATCTGTCATGGTCATCAGCGATGAATTTTTGCATATGGTGTGTAGTTTGGCATGAGTTGTAAATGAAGCGCTGGTTCTCGCGACTGTTTCGAAGGGGGTCAAATGCTGGGTGTTTCGAGGACATAAGCGCCATCATCGCAGTGCGATGGTTTCATACATACTGCGCTTCAGCAAGCGATTTACAGGAACGGCCGGCTCCATGGGACGAGCCATACAGCCTCGGCGCTCAGGTTCATGAGCCTGCAAGATGGGGCAGGATGTGTGACTGGAAGCATTTTCTGTCAGAATTTGTCGCTGTGCCACACGGTCTCACGGGGACGGCTGCCGTGGTAATTTGAATAGCGGGTGTGGTTCGGCAGGACGATGCTCGGAGTGGACACGCACCGCGACGATTGGGATGGGAAGGACGAAGGGATCGAAACGGACGAGAGCGCTACGAAGAACGGTCAGGAGCGGCCATCAGAGGGGAAATGCGGGCACGTGGGCACAGCCCCCGCCGGTGGAGTGCATCAGTTGAAGACTCTGGCTGCTGCTCTCGCCCTCCCCGTCCTCGCAGATACCAACGCACGTCCGCCTCGTCCTCGAACGATGAAGAAGCTGTTCGGCAGAGACAAGGCAAAGATCACAAGGGTCACGCCCGCCTCGAGGGACGTCCACACCGATCTCGGCTCCGGCAACTCTTCAGAGGTAGCGCCCTTCGCACTCCCATTGCGCGCCCTGTCTGACACTCATCCGAACCCATCCTCAAGGACCTCCACGCCTACTCCCTCCCGGCACCCCCGCCCCAATCCACACAGCAGCCCCAGCTCACTCCTTCCCGTCCCCAGCCCACTCCCCACCACCACCACCATCACCATCACCACTCCTCCCGCGACAACCCGCATTCCCGCGCACACTCTTCTGATGAAGAGCACTGGCACGTCGTCGCTCCGGAACTCGCAACCCCGAACCTCGCTCCACTCGAACCCGTCCGTCCCCCGGTCATCCCTGCATCTCGCACCCCGTCTCTCGCACCCACTCCCCCTGGCGCCTCTCCGCCCGTTCCCAGCCCTCTCGTCCCCCGGTCAAATTCCCCCCTACCCCCACCTTCCATACGCTCTTCCCACACGGGAAATCAGAAGGACAAGGGTGAACGCAGGCCCACCGCCGCGGTCAATATCCTCAAGGCCCTCGATCCTCAGTTTGTCAAACCGAATCACGATCGCGTAGACGAGAGCCAACACACGCACAGCGAAGGCTCAGTTCGTGAGCCTAGAGAGCCCAGAGAGCCCAGAGAGCTCAGAGACGACAAGAAGGAGAAAAAGGGCTTCTGGGAATGGGCAAGCTCTGGAGTAGAGAGGGAGAAGGAGAAGCGCGAGATACGAGAAAAGGAGGAGGAGAGCCATCAGGAGCTCATGCGGATGATCGGTGCGTGTTGTCACTATTCCTCCTCTCTGTCGCTCTTCTTTGACATCCGTGTATGCGCAGGCTACCTGACCGCCACGGCCTCAGAAGACTGGAACGTCGTGCTCGAAGTCTGCGATCGCGCCTCCATGAGCGAGGCTAACGCCAAGGAAGCAGCCAAGGCCCTACGGCGAGAGTTCAAGTGCGCTGCAATTCCCCTCCTACATTCGCACGTCCGCTGAAATCTTGACCGTCAGATACGGAGATGCGCCACAGCAACTCTCCGCCGCCCGCGTGAGTCCGCTTCGTGCATATACCGAAATGCGACATCTCACTTCTCTCAGCTATGGGCAATCATGCTCCGCAATTCCAACGAGCTCTTTGTGAATCAGTGCACATCGCGCAAGTTTCTCGATATCTTGGAGGATGTCTTGACTTCAACGCGGACTTCGCCCGTTGTGCGAGAAAGGCTACTCGATGTGTTGGCCGCCGCGGCATACGCCTCCTCATCTCGTAAGTGCTTTCCGATTCATCCGTCTCATCCGTCTCTTCTCGCAAACCCGGGGACTGTTCGCATCGTGCTACTTGATTTGCATGCTGTGCAGGCTTCTGCGTCCAACTATCTTGTTTTGCATTCGCATGCCAAGGTAACACGTCTACCAAAGTCTTTGCATGCAGTAAACGACGCCAATGCGCTAGACCCATGTTTTTGATATCCGGGACTCGTACGATTTGATTGCACGAGACATCTGACACACTTGGACCCATGTAGGGACAGACGGAAAGGAAATCCGCAACGATGCCTTTCGCGGGCTGTGGAGAAAGGTGAAACCTCCAGGGAAGCCCGATGAGGTGCGCGCACACATCGACCTTTCCCTACAACAGGTTTGCTAATACCCGATCTGATTTTTTTCGTGATTGGCATCCAGGGTGTTCCATTTGATACAGACGACTCGATGTTCAACCCCCCAGAGCCAAGACGTTCATCTGTATACGGCGTCCCCCCAGGGTGGGTACCTGTTCCGGCGCCAAGTCCGGCTGTGACACCCCAACCTCAGAGCCTCTCACCGGTGATCGTAAGTTCGGTATACTCAGTGGGGATACCTGCTTATTAAATTCTACGGATCTAGCCAACCCCTACGCGACCCAAAAATCCAGCGTCCAGACACCGGGTGATCCCTCCAGACGAAGACTTCCGAAGGCTCTTGCAGGAGTGCAAGTTTGCGCACGGAAACGCGCAGTTGCTTTCGGAAGCTTTGACATACGCTAGACCTGAGGACCTAACGGAGAAAGAGATTATTCGCGTCTGTGTTTCTCCACCTAAACCCTTGGTTTTGCCTGACATCGGTCTTTGTAGGAATTTTATGAGAAATGTCGCGCATCGCAGGAGCTCATATGTGCCCAGGTGCCGTGGGCCACCGCTGGCGCCGACCGGTCGCGGCAGGCTCGAGATCAGAAACGTGCGCGGAAGCGCGATCCAGCGAGCGAGGGCCATTCGCCCAGCGAAGCTAATGCTCCGAATGCGCTTACGAAATCGAACACGGTGAGGCATAACGCGGCTTCGAGAAAGGGTGGTGAGTCGCCGAAGAAGGGGGACGAGTCGCCCCTGGAGCTCACCCAAGAGGAGCACCTTCTGGCGGAGCTGTTGGACGCGAATGAGGCGCTCACGGGGGTGCTGCTCATGTACGACGATATCGAGAGAATCGGGATTGAGAGAGAGGCAGAGGAGAGGAGTCGGAGAGAAGTAAGAATGGATCGATCGGTGGGTCTTTGGTGGTCCCTCCGTGCGCTGGTCTCGCGCCACTCACAGAGGTTATCTTGTATTTTAGAAACTCGTGTACGACGAGAGGGAGGGCTACGTGCATCTCGAGCCGCCACTAAACACGGTCGGCTCTTCGTCGAGAACGCCCTCACCCTCGCCTTCCTCGTCACCGTCGCTCATCCCAATATCCCTGATGCCAGCCGTACACCCATCCTCCACCCATCCTCTCCCCCCCATACCATATCAGCATTCGAATAACCCGACCACAGGGACCGCCGGCAATTTCGGCGCCCATGTCTCACAGCAGTCGCTCCCGCCACCGCCACCAGCGCCACACGGCCCGCGCTCCCCTGGTTACGTGCCCATGCGCCCTCGAAGTCGCACGCCCTCGCCCGAACAGTACCCTACGCATCTGATCGCGGACGCGAACGTCAGCCAGATGGAGCTCACTGCAGGGAGGGTGGAGGTGGTGGGCAACGGGCTGCAGAGGCTGAAGATCAAAGGTGGGGGGGTGGACATCGTCGGCGGGAAGGACAGTGCGGAGGAGGAAGTGGTGCGGACGCCGGTCAAGCCCAGTTTGAAAGCGCTCGGAAAACGAAAGGTCGTCCAGTCTGAGGAACCTGATCGTGAGCGCCTATTCAATCTCTGTGTCTTGTATCATTTCCGAATTCTGATTTCGTTTGTCCTTTGAAACGCAGAGCCTTTCAATCCGGATGATATGTTTTATGAGCGTACAGATCGCGACATCCGGCAGGATGATAGCCCAGATTCGGATGACGACGAGGCGCGGAGGCGACCGTGGGCTCCCGTTCACTATGTATATGACGCCGTCGCGGAGCGCACCCAACAGCGTCTGCGAGAGGGTCAGCTGGCATCGTTGGTGAACGGTGTACATTAGCAGCCGGTGGTTATGTGTAGACTTCATCAGGGCTTGGAGGTGCTTTCTTCGTCTGTTCTTCGACTTCATCGTTTGGCAACCTTTTAAGCGATATTTTCATATGTACTAGCAAGGCATCATGTGGTTTTTGTGTTCTATGAGTCCCATACCATCGTATTGTAGCAGCATTCAGCATTAGGCTCGTTTAGATATTCAAGGAAGAGGCGCCGCATAACTAAGTCATGATCGCTCCACCACAGACTGGTACGCGTCCCTTCGCCTGGTCTTCCCCAAAAATCACCTTCGCGGTTGCCGACAGCGCATCTACAGTAAATTCAAAGCTGGCGACGTACCCAAGACCGCCAAGGAGGCCATCCTCATCTCGCATATCTATCAAATCATACGGCGCACAGCTCGCCAGGACGACGACCCTCTCAGGCTTGCTCTGTTTTCTCCTGATTATCAAAACGTCTGTAAGATGCTTTCGCTGCCAGACCGACCGATCAGCGTTGCGCGTGACAAACACCACCGCATCCGCCTCCCGAACGTCGTCAGCTTGCGTCGCGCTTAGCGGTTCGCCGCCCGCGTATACAATATGCACGACGTCTCCCTGGACGAGGTCTTTCACGGATTCCGTGAAGGCCAGGTACGAAGGACCCGCGGTGTTCCTCAACTTACCGTCGCCTGTCCGCAAGACGCCTTCTGCGTCGTCTACGGCCTGATTCAGCGACTCCATCACAGGCGTAAGCACGACCACCTTGCCCCGCTTAGGCAGCGGTATCACCGACCGCGGATTACGGACGAGCGCCACAGATCGCGCGTACGCCTCCCGGCTGAGGCTCAGGTTTGCCTCCTTCAACCGATCCCACTCGCTCTTCTTAAATGGAACGCGGAGCACGTCGTCCCAGCTGCCGGCGAACTGCGCCTTCATTTTGCGCACCCGCCGCCCGCTCTCCAGCAGTGTCTCCAAGGGGATATGTCCGTCGCAGACGGCTTCATACGCCGCCTCCAGCGACCCCTTGTGTCTGTCAAACCGGTGACACACCATCACCACGTCGGCACCTGCTTGAAGGGCATCCATCGCAGCGTGGGACACACCGCCCTCGCGCGCGGCGACGGCCTCCATCTCCAAGCAGTCTGTGACGATGACACCCTTGTATCCCATGTTGTCGCACAGCAGCCCATGCGTCGCCGCGCGCGCGAGCGAGGCGGGCGTGTCGTCGCCCGTCACCTTGGGGAGTGCCATGTGCCCCGTCATGATGCTCGCGGCATCGTGGATGACGGCGCGGAAGGGAACGAGCTCGGTCTGATCGAGCTGCGCGCCCGACTTCTGGATGACCGGGAGGGCGAGGTGCGAGTCGACGTGCGTGTCCCCGTGCCCCGGGAAGTGCTTTGCGGAGGGCGCTACGCCTGCAGACGTGAGCCCGCGACACACCGCTGCGACATATTCCCCAACTTGATGTGGGTCTGGTTCGTTCGGATAGGATCACGAGTCAGACTCCACATATCACTCAGAGTGTTGGCTACGTGCATACCATCGCCGAAAGACCTCACGCCTGGAATTTTGAGTGTCAGCGGCATTATCCATAGTCAGGCAGGCTGACGGACCTATGACAGGGTTCCTTGAGTCGCTGTTTACGTCGGCGACAGGGCTGTACGCCCAGTTGATGCCCGCGAGCTTGAGCTCTCGTCCGGAGGCGGCAGAGACGCGTTCGGCCAAATCTGGGGAGCACGTTGCAGCCAAAGCCATAGCTCCAGGGCTACGAGACGAACGGCGAGCTGAAATCTGACTTCAGCGCAGACGTGGGAGAGGGTTGTACGCACAACTGGGTACCAGCGTCCTGGGTTGTAGGGTGGGTGAAGCCGGATACCAGACCTTCATGTCGAAGGCCAGCGCTTAGCGCACAAGGTTTGGGAGATCCCAATGTCAATGTGCTGGCTCACCATTCTCTTGATCAATACCGATCATGAGCGGACTCTCGTGGCCTGCGTCTTTGGCAATCTGCTGTAGTTTTTGAACCACGCTGTACACCTGTTCTGCGCCTAGTCATGCGAGGACGGGACGCATTAGCCGCAGTGACCCCACAGTAATGGAACAGATATAGGAATGGCGCCACTAGCGACTTACTTCGTACATTTCGTTTCATGAGGATGACATTACTAGACATGTACCATTCAATCGCCGCTTGAGAAAAATCTGATCCTGCAGGGGCTCATGAACGTTACCTACCCGAGGTAATAGTCCCTTATAAGCACTTCGATATCATTGCTCACTTCGTGCCCGTGGAAGCCGAACACAAAATGCTGTGCGGGCAACGCAAGAGCTCGATGAAACCACATCTTTCAAGTAGAGTTGACTTGCTCCAACTCACCTGCCCGACTTCTCGCTTCAATTTTTCTGTAAGCTCGACGTCAACCATTGTTCATAACAGTGAAAGGTCAAAGTCAGGGTCAGATGCAACGCGATCGTTTGATGTGATCTGTGATGCAGCAGAGCCGCCGAAGTCTCTAAAATGGTAATGTTGGGACATTGTTGGGACCCCAGAGCAGCCTAGAGCCTTTCATCTGCGACAAAGACAATAACACGTACTTCAGAGGCCCATACAAAGGATACGGGCTCGACCTCAAAGACAGCACATCATCCTGTCTATGCTCGCTATTCCGCTGAGAAGCAGCAGAAAAAGGTGTTGGCCTTGGTCAAGTCGAGGCCTATTCGGGGTCCAACCGCACGTGATGGCATACCCGACATCACCGAGCCATGGCGCTAACGTCGAACAGAGTGTCTCTCTTCCGTTCTCCCACCACCACCTACCCATCCGACCTCTGCGAGGCGTTGCTGTATTTCTCTCTCTTTATTCCGTTCTTTCGCTCGCCATGCGCTACGCTTTCCTGCTTGCTTTCTTCATCGCGCTCGCTGGTCGAGGTATGCCTCCGACCTTGAATGGAATGATATCTGTTATATTGACTGTGATCGGTTGTCCACCCTCTAGTGCTGGCTTTGGAGATTACTATTGGTGGTCAGAACATCACCGCCGACCAGTTTCTCGAAACCAGCGATTCCACCTTGGCTGCCGATGTGCGTGCCCGTCTCCCTCCCGTTTGCGCCCGCTGAACGAAGGATATCTCTCTTCTAGTGCCAAGAGCAGTGCAGTGGGGGCAAGGCGGCTATTGCGGTAAGTCCTCCTACGTATCTCGCATTGTGTCTCATACACTGACGTTTGGCTAAACACTGGCAGGCCTGCAATGGCGAGAACACCTGCCTCTGCAATAGCACAACCATCGGGATGATTGTCCAGTGCGAGCAATGCTTCTTCACAGACTTGATCGCCAAGAACATCAAGTCGCCTGATAACAAGGCCGGTCTAGCTTCTGCCCTCACTGGTGAGTCCCCCTGACTTGGTCGACCTCTCCGCTCACTTTTTGCCATCCAGCCTACTCGAGTGCATGCAACAATACAGCGAACATCGTCATCCCTGCGACATCCCTTGCTCTTACGCTTCCCTCCGACTGGGATGGACCGATGTCCATTGAGCTGACCACTGCTCAAACTGTGGTAGCCGTCATCGCAGGAGGCGTTCTTGGTGTTGGTGCTCTCTTTGTTGTGAACACCATGTAGCGTATAGATGCGGTGTAGTGGGTTGGCTCGTGTGTTTTCTTGTATTATGCGTTGTTTTCTTGCTTTCTTGAATAGGATGTATCTGTGGTTGGATGGTCAATTTCTTTGTCGGGGTATCTTACGTGATTGAGTTTACACAGCTCAAGAATTGGGATCGCGTCTTCTTCCACTGCCTTGCACTGGCAAGCTTTTTGGCTTCAGCTCAACGGCTTTCATTTCGGCACCCTCGTTTTCTTCACACTCGGAGGGGCTTCTGCAGCCCCCAGCTTGTCACCGCGCTGGCATCCTTAAAATTCTGGGCTGACGTTCGGCTTGTCTTTGCCAACGCCACCACTTTGCGTCGCCCCTCTGTTCTGTCCCTTCAAAAAGAGGGTTCATGCGGCTCGTGTCGCTCCTTGCACCTCACAGGGCTGTCCACAGCTCAATGGCGCCAGTACACTCAATCCTCCCGCTCGCCTTTGTCTCCTCCGTTCACCCGAAAACGCACACTCGCTACCGTCATCCCCTCGCGAGCGCGCTCCCCCCTCTCAGCTGACCTGCTCCTCGACTCTTCGCTCAGCGTTGATCCTGAGCTGCATTCGTCTTCCCTTCCGAGCCCGCTACACGCACCTCTCTCACCAGGCATCTTTTACGATGCGCCAACGGAAGGTGAGTCGCGGTTCGACTGGCGCCTTCGCGCCGCGTCGCGTCGCAGGGCTGTCGAACCTGCACCGGGAGAAAATAGGCAGACACGTCGGTTCGTGCGTCGCGTTGAACCACAGACGTGTGCTGTTCAGCCCGGAGAGCGGTTCCACGACGAAATCGAAACTTATCAGGAGCGGTGCGTCTACCTCCCCTATCTCTGCGGTTCGCGTTGACAGTCTGAATTGTGCGCTCTTCCGAAAAGATTTCTGCCTATGCTGGAAGCGGAGCAGGCGGAAGAGGAAACGGTCCTGCGGGAGCGGCTGGCAAACTGGTCGGTGGAGCGGCTGAAGGAAGAGGGGTACTGCATCACGGGCATGTCGGCCTACTGGATGGATGCACAGGAGTATGGACGACCAGTGGCGTCGTTCATGCTGGGACCCGGTATGGATCTGCCAGATAGCCGATTCGAGTGCGTTGATCCGCTGCTATCTAGCTGTTGCGAGTGCCTTTGATTGAACGAGATTGGCTGCTTGCAGAGGAGGGACGCAGGTCCTGGTTACGCGCCTAGACCCCCTGAAGGAGGAGCCGATGAGGGGCAACGTCCTATCGCGCACCTCCACGAAACTCCAGGTAATCTTCCCGGAACTGTACGACCTCAGCGAGGGGACCTGGAGGTGCGTTGTTCGGATGCCCAGACGAGACTGCTTGCTGACGGCCAGAATAGGTTAGATGTGGGACGGTCGAACATGGTCTACGAGCGCATGCGGACGGCCATCCAGCAGCTGAACCTGGATCCAGCGACGCAAGAAGCGCACATATCGCCCGCCCAGGACCGACGGGAGATCATCCTGCAGGGAACGCACCTGCGCGACGTGCTCCTGCGGTCGTTCTCACCCCAGCGAGCACATGCCCCAGCGCACATCCAGGCCGAGGACGACGTCGCGTATGCACCGCACGAGACGCTGGAGCACCCCGGCCGGCTGCCGGGCGAGCACGGCGGGGCGTTCAAGGACGACATGCGGATCCAGAGCTGGGCCCGGCGGCACGCGGCGCCCAATCCGGTCATAGTTGAGGGCGACCCGGTGCTGAGCGGCCTGAACGGGACGCAAATCCGGGCCATTGCGATGATGATCGGCGAGCGGGCCAGTCTCGTCCAAGGCGTGAGCGCCGTTCTCCCGCCTCTCCGCTTCCTTATTCCCTTTTTATCCGTCTGAATGTGTTTCTCGCTTGCTAGCCGCCCGGCACGGGCAAGACACGGACGATCATCGAAGCAGTCCGGCTGCTCAAGGTCAGTGACTCCAGCTGCATCGTGGCCTGCGCCTGCGCGTGGATCTGACACTCCGATCCGCGACAGATCCACTTCGAGGTCGCGTGCCCGATACTCGTCTGCACTTACACCAACGTCGCGGTCGATAACCTCGTCGAAGGCCTCTTGGCCGCCGGTGTCAAGCCCCTTCGCGTCGGCTTCGGAGGCAAGGTCAGCCCCAAGCTCTACCCGCACACCCTCGAGGCAAAGCTCGAAACGCATCCCCTCAAGTCCGTGTTCGAGAAGCTTGTCAAGGAGCTCGACCACGTCCAGAAGCGCTTGGACAGTTTACAAAAACAAATTCAAAAACATGCTGAGCTGAAGCGCCCTGATCTGGTCCGGCGCCTAGACAGGATGGAAAGTCACGGAATCGCGATGGAAAGGCAGATCAGCGCCGTCAAATCCAAGCTCTACGCCCTCAGGCAAGAGATGCTGCACGACATCGTGTCCAGCGCTGACGTCGTAAGCCCTACTCATGAGCGGGGCCGTGGGCTCTTATCGCTGACTTTGATTCCCCGCGCGCCATAGATCTGCACAACCTGCGTCACCTCGTCGTGCAATGCCCTGCGTGTGGTCGACTTCCCCGTCGTGTTTCTCGACGAGGCGTCCATGTCGACCGAGCCCGCGTCTCTAATCCCAATCATGAAAGGGGTGCGCGCCCCACTTCGCCGTCTGATGAAGAGTCATAATCTTACCGCCCATTCTAGTCACGCCACGTAGCACTCATCGGAGACCACAAGCAGCTCCCGCCCGTCATCACCAGTAGAGAAGCTCAAGTCAAGGGCCTCGGCATCAGTCTATTCGAGAGGCTCACGGAGGAGGGAGGTGCGTGCGCGCGCGTCAAACATACTATTTACGCTGTCAGCAGGCTGATGCTCGCGACCCGATGCAGCGGTACCGTCCATCATGCTCGATCTCCAGTACCGCATGCATCCCGAAATCTCGAAGTTCCCATCGAAGGAGTTTTACAATCACACCCTGCTCGACGGGACCGTCGACGGATTTGGAAACATCTTGTCCAGCTTATATCCACCTTCTTCCGTGCACCTGCAGGCGCATCCTGTCACGGGACATCGACCATCTGTCGTGTTTTTGGACCACGACGGATACGAGTCATTCAAAGACCGCAGTCGAGTGAACTGGAGCGAGGCGCATATAGTGTGCACCGTGGTCGAAGACCTTCTACGCGCTAACCCGGTACGCAGGCGAACATTCCATGTTGTTTTTTTCATCCATTCATTCGTTCATCCATTCATTCATTCATCTCCGACCCTGACGTTGGCTTGCCACGCGGCAGACGCTGAGTGGCGACGATATCGGCATCATCGCACCTTACGTCGCGCAGATTTCCGTGCTCACGCGGATGCTGAACACAGACGTCAAATGGCAGGAGCGATTCCGGAGCGTGCTGGGCGAGCATCGGGCACTGCAGCTGGGACGGATCGAGGTGAAGACGGTGGACGGGTTCGAGGGGCGGGAGAAAGACATCATCGTGTTTTCGACCGTGCGGAACAACACGTCGGGGCAGATCGGGTTTCTGGCGGACCGGCGGCGGCTGAACGTCGGGCTGACGCGGGCGAAGCGCGGGCTGTTCGTGGTGGGGAGCCTGCGGACGCTGCGGGAGGGCCGGACGGGGGCGCGGGAGGGCGTTGCGATGCGGGTGGGCAAGGGCGCGGAGGCGTGGCGGAAGTATGCGCAGTACGTGACGGCGGAGGGGCTGGTGATGTCGGTGAACGGGCTCCGCGCGCGGCGGGCAGGGGGTGGGGTGGCGCAGCCCGGCTCGTGGGTGCCACCTGAGCTGATGGACGGTGGGCGCAAGAAGCCAGCGGCGGATGCGGTGGCGGCGGTGGTGGCGATATGATGTTCTCTGGCCGTTTTCGGTTCATTGAGCGCGCGGGTCTAATATTTTTGGATGAACGGCTGTCGGATGTGCAGTTTGGGGTAATTGTTGCTCGGGCGTGGGGTTTGCTGTTTCGAGAATTAGAGTAGATATGGGCTAATGCAGAGAGACGATCTCCGGTCTTGCTTATTCGTATGAGGGTTTTTGTTGTGCTGCGTGGCGCACAGGTGCTACGTTAGATCCGGGCTGGAGGGTGACTCGGACGTGAGGTGGATCAAGGACTGTCAATTCGGAGGAAAGAGACGAGCGAAAACAGGATGGGCCTTTGCCGGCCAACGTCGGTGTTTGTTTTCCGGAAATCTGACAGGGATTGAGTGTGAGCAAGCGAGCGACGGAGGGCGTCGGCTGGGTGGGACGATCGTCTGCGATCGAGGACATCTAAGTTATCTGGCGGGAGATCTGAAACGGACGATGGATCTGCTGCAGCTTATTTTGGGTGCTTCTCGAGCGTTGCCGAATGCGTCATGACTCCGTCCTCGATTGGGCGCACACGGGATCTTCTACGCTGCACACGCTGCGTAACGGATACTTACGAGGCTTGGCTCGCAGGCAGAGACCAAGACGACTGGTGACTGGTGTGGATGGAGGTGGAGCGTATGTGTCATGGCTGTCCGTATCGGCGACGGCTGTGTGACAGGGATGGCGACAGATACAGTTGTCGGGGTTGCCCGCTGGCAGCTGTTGCCTTGCGCGTCCCAACTGGGGCAATCGACCGCCCAATGTGCCATCCCCGGCCGCGACCTGATCACCGCGTTTATGTGATTTCACCTCGCCCTCTGCTATGCGCCCGCGCCACGCGTCCGATCCAGCTCACGGCGGGCGCGCGCAGGTACTTAGGCCGGGTCACGCATCGCGCGGTCGACGACACGACCGCACCCTCCGTGTCTGCCTGGCTCTAGCTGCGATTGCGCCTACGCCTGCTCCTGCTCCTGCTCTTGCTTCTGCTCCTGGGATATCTGCCAGCCCCCACGCGCTACAGACGCTACGTACGTATTAACGCGGTCCTTCTCTCTCTGGTCCTGCCATCTGCGCATCCGCACCTGCACACTCCCCTCCCGAGTGCCCCGCCGCGCCCCACCCGAACGTTTGCCTTTCAGCGCGCGGACTTGAAAGCGACAGGGCGTTCTAATCCCGCGGAATCCTCGTCCTTGTTCGTGAGTCGACGCGAGTGCCATAAGCCGAGCCGCACCGCGTATTGGCGCGCGATCTCCCATCATTCACTGACGCGACTCCCCTCACACAGCCCCTCCCCTCGTTCCGGCTTTCTGCTTTCCTCCAACGGTCGCCCCTTAGCTCACCCACACCCTAATATAACCCTAATATACGCCCCCGTCGTGCCCTTCCTTGCGTCCCCTTCCATCCGCACCCACCCTCGCTCGCTTCCTTCTCTCTCTATGCTCTCGCTCGCCTCCCAGCCTCCTCTCGAGGACGTCCTCGCTCCCATGCGCATCTCGCTCCCTTCGCCCAACTCGCCCTGCCTCACGGCCCCTCGCTCGTTCCGACCCGACCTTCCTTTTCCGTCTTTCGCGGTGCGCAGGCAGATGCCGCGCCCCGTCTCCCCCGCGCTGCGACTCGGCTCGCCGTTCGCGCTCGCGCCGCTCCTCTCTCCGATGCCGTCCGGCCGCGGAGATTTATCCGGTAAGCATCCTTGTGCCGCCGTGCTCGGTTTGCGTTTCGGTGCCCCGGTGAGCTGACTTGGCGGATGGACGCCCTCGTAAAGATTCGCGCCGCGCCGCGCCGTCATCGTCGTCGTCGCCGTTCGCAGCGGCCAAGGTCGACACGAACTCCATACCCCCGTTCTTTTTGACGCGTTCGAGGGTGGTCCGGGTAAGCGTTCACTCACAGTCGCAGGGAAAAAAAGACGCGGCGACTGACGCAGCGTGCATGCGCAGTTTTTCGACCTGCCGCCCAACCCGTCGGCGTTGCTCTCCAACGTGTTTTTGCCGAGGGCCGGAGGGCGCAGACGGGTACGTGGACGCGTCTCGGTTGGTTTCAGATGGACGCGATCGCTGACACGTGGGTTTTGGGTTTTGGTTTCGGGTGACTCGCAGTCCGTGCCCGCGCCGCCCGTGTCGATGTGGGTCCGCCGGAACGACCGCGAAGCGACGGCGGGCGCGGGGGACTTGGGCGGCGGCTGCGCGGCGCAGGCAGAGGTTGCCGGCTGCGAGAGCGTCTGGGCGGTGTTCCGGACGCACGAAGAGGTGAGTGGGGCGTGAACGGGGATTGGCCACGGCGTCGGGGGAGGAGTGCTTACGTGATGCGAGAGTCAGGAACGAGGGGCTCGCGGCGGCGGGTGGCGGGGCCAATGGCGTGGACGCGCTCTGGAGGGTCCGCGCTGGTCCGCGTCGCCGGCCATGCACTCTGTTCAGATCTCATCTGGCAATTTTCACTTGCTCTCCATTCCAATCCGATGCGCTTTTATTTGCACTGCCGCTCATTTCTTTCTTCTTCTTTCTCTTCTCCTCCTCTCCTCTCCTCCTCCAGGCCTGCGCCGCACTCGCACTCGCCGCACACGCCCTCCCCGTCGCACCCGCACTCGAGGCAGACCTCCAGCCCCTCCACCACCTCCGCCGCTTCGACCCGTTTCTCGGTCTCGTAAGCCGTCTCGGACAAGCGCCTTGGTCGCCTCGCTGACACCCGCTCTGCATTTCCCAGCGTGACATGTACGCGACGCCCCCGCCTTCCGCGAGCCCATTCTCGTCCCGAGACGTCTCGCCTCACATGACGTATCCCGCCCTGCGTTCTCCGCCGTCCAATCCGGACCTCGCCCTTCCATACCTAGGGGCTCTCAACCTCTCCGTCCGCGCCATGGGCCCAGGGGCCTACACCCTGTCCAGCAACCCCCCTGATCCGCGCAAGGCCTTCAGGATGGGTGATTGGATGTGAGTCGCGTCCCTAAACTCTAATTCCCCCGTTTGCTGCCGCCCGCCCGCGAATCTCGTCGATGGCCGCCCCCTGGGCGTTTCCCATGATTTCATCGTCTGCATTGCTGACGTCGTCCCGCTTGATATGCCCCCGTGCATGATCGTGCGGGTGCGCCTGGGAGATCGCCCAACAGAGCCGCTGACTTGCCCTTTCGCTTCCTTCCCACAGATGCACTGCCCACAATTGCGCCGCACACAATTTCGGGTAAGCGATCAGTCTCGCCCATGTCATCATTATGCAACCCTATTTTCTCCTATCTGGGTTTCATTGGCCGTACCGTCCTCCTATGTTAAAGCAAGGGGTCGACCTCGCCCTCTTTTCTCCTTCCCCCTCTTTAAGCCATGGTTCTCACTGACGCGTTCCCTTGCATGATCCTCCATAGACGCAACCTCTCGTGCATTGGTTGTGGTTGCGCGCGCCCCGTTCACAGTCCCTCGACCGTCGCTCAGCCGCTCACGCCCAACGGACCCCCCACCCGCCACCCCTCGCCCCGCTTCGCCATCACCGACTCCGAATTCGGATTCGGCGAGCCCGCGATGTACCCCTCGCAAGCCTCGACCTCCTACCCTTTCGCTCGCCATCTCGCGCCCGCGGTCGCGGTGCAGCCCAAGGTTTCTACGCCCGCACTGCACCACATCCTCACGCCCTCGGGCCGCGAGTTCAGCGTCGGCGGAAGGGTGCAGAACGTGTCGACCGATCCGCTGGCACCGTGCGTCATGTATTGGCCGGACAACGAGCCTCTTCCCGAACAGGGTCAGCTGCGCCCCAGCGGCCTATTGGGTGTTCCGGTATGTTCCTCTCATGGTCCGCAGGTCGTTTTCGACGTTTTTGACACGGCGTCTAGCACCCCCCGATCCTCAATACCGGCAACCGCGGACCCATCGAACACCAGCCTGGTGACTGGGTTTGCGGGAAGTGCAACTACTTGAACTGGAGGCGGAGGAAGGTCTGCCAGACGTGCTATCCTTGTGAGCACCCTCCATTTCCTCGCTGTCTGTGTATTCGGAAATGGACGTTTCGTGACTGCGCAGATGCGGAGGGCAATGGAGACTCGATCTCTGCAGCCGTCCAAGCGGAGCGCATCGCCCTCCTAAGCTCGGTCTTGGTCTCTCAGGTCCAGCAGCAGCAGCAGACCCAAGCCGCCGCGCCTCCGCCGTTCCGCACCGTCGCACCCGCGCCCGCGCCCCAGCGCCAGGGCCGCCTGCCCGCACGCACCGTGCCCCAAGTCCTGCACACCGCCATCCCCCGGCACGCGAGCTCGCTGGACTCGTACCAGCCCCTGGCCCCGCACGCCGTCCCCCGCGCGTACGCACCGCTCGACAGCCCGCCGTACGACGACGCGCAGCCGATCTACCAGACCTCCGGCAGGCGGCAGACGTCCCCGCTCGCGCGCTCGCCGCTCACGCCCCCGCAGAGCGCCGGGTTCCCGCCGACGCCCGCGCAGGCGCAGGCGCCGCTCCTGCCGGCGTTCCTGCAGGACATCGTGCAATCGCCGTCGCTCTCGCCGACGTCGACGTGCTCGGCGGACTTGTCTGCGGACGCGGACGAGTTCGACTCGAGCCACGCGTCGATCTATTCGACGCAGGTGCACGACTATAGCGAGGCCAACGGGCGCGGTCGCGCGCTGCCCGCGAGCGCGTCGGCGGCGAGTCTCGTCGGGAACGCTGGTGGGGGGGCTAATATTTGGAGGCTGGACGGCGAGGAGAGCAAGGTGCTGGGGGGCATGGGGGTGCCGCCGTACCAGGAGGAGTTCGTGCGCGCGAAGAGGATGGGCAGCCGCGAGGGCATGCGAGTCTAGAGCTCGTCGACGCGTAAGTCGGTCTCTTGTTTTCGTGGACGCTCGTTTGGTTGACGGCGCCTCGTGTTATTGTTCAGCCTCGTCTGTTGCGTGCCACACCCCGAGTTCTCGTCTCGTTCAGTCGAAGCAAGACTACCCGCCGGCGAGGGACTCCTCGTCGGCACTAAAAAAAAGATACTCAAAACGGAATCAGATTCTTTTCGGAAGGAGCCTCCTCTGCATATCATACGCCCGCCTCGACATTTTTTGCAATCCCAGCCCACTCACCCACTCATCCGCATCCTCTCTTGACTCCACTCGACTCGCGCTGCCGTTGTTGTTGCTGTTGTTGTTATCGTATCCTCTGTACAAGACGCCCAGTCGGCTTGGTATGTATGCGATCTCTCCTGCCATCCCCTGCCTACCCATCAAGCCGCATATACATATATACATCCATCTCTCTCGTTTTTTTTCGCGTATCATCTTTCTGGTGCGTACTTGGCGGACGCGACCATCGCACGGATATATACGTACGCATGCTGTTCTCTGTTCTCGTCTATTTATCCCATCTCTGCTACCATCTCTCTGTCTCTGGCACGGCGTTTCTATCGTCCCTGGGCGACCGCCTCTCGTCTCGCGCCGCTCCCTTCTCTTATTTTTGACCTATTTTTTTTTTTTACTTACGTTTTTCAGTGACTTTTTTTTTCGCTTGCGCGCTGATTTATGCGCGTCTTGCAAGTGTTTGGTACTGACTGACTTGATCGAACCGGTTGGAGAATCGGGTACTGTAGGGTGGATTGACCGTTTGGTCCGTGGTTTAGCTTACTAGCACCCTGAATATATCGATACTTGGATCTTGGAATGTGGTTGTCGTTTGCTCTGAAATCGTAAAGCATAGCGGTCCCGGCATTGTCGAGTGATCGTAAACGTTTCGATCAAGTCGGAAAGCGGTTGTTGTGGTGTGCTTGCACATATTAGGATCTAAAGCTGATGCCAAACATTGTCTTCTTTCAACTCCATTACCTAATAGATCACGCTTGACGCGTTTGGGCGCGTCTTCCTCGCAGACGAGTCTCCGACGCCTTATGTTTCTTTGACATATCTCTCGACTCCCCTTTCCAAAAATCTCATGATGAGCGCGACTCCGTCCTCTTCCCTCCCGTCTCCCGCCAGCGACATGTCCCCGTTCACACGCTTCATGGACGTCAGACCCGCTCCTGCGATCGCGAAACACGAGTCCGATCTCCTGCGCTCCATCCGCACCGCCCTGCGCGGGACGGACACAGAACCGAGCGGCATCAACACCGTCAAGTACGAATCCTCGGGGCCGGACGGCATCCTCGTCAAGGAGCTCTGCTGGGACGCGCGGCGCGTCGTCGTCAGCGCGGGCGGCGTCGTCCTCCAGCAGTGGTCGTTCGCGCACGAGGGCGAGCCCGTGCGCTGGGCGTGCGTCGGCTGGCTCGAGCAGGCGGGCATCGTCGCCGCCGCGCGCTCCTCGGGCCACTACACCTCCGAGTTCCACGCGGGCCCGTCGCGCCCCGCGGACGCCTCTGAGCGGCCGACGTTCGGGCCCTTCGCGCGCGCGGAGCAGGCGCGCAAGCGCGCATTGGAGCCTGCGGTGCGTGTGCGTGCGACGTTCGTGTTCCTGCGCAGCATCGGCAAGATTTTCCTCGAGAGCGGGATCGAGTACACGTTCGCGCTGCCGTTCATCGTGCGCCGGGCGTGGCCGCTGCACCCGCATGGTGTCCTCGTGCAGCGCGTGCTCGACGCGACGGAGATCCAGGAGGCGGAGATGACGGACGACGAGCCGCTGCCGACGGTGTTCTCGCTCACGAGCCCGCTCGCTGAGCCGGCGGTCGTGGGCGTCGCGGAGGGCATCGTCGGCGGCTTCCATTCGGTGCCTCCGTCGCTGGTGAATGGGCACCACGACGACTCGGCGCTGCTGCAGTCGATTCCGCCGAAGGAATCGGTGGTGTGGGTCTCGAGCCGTGCGTGCAGGGACGACGATGACGTCGTCGTCACTGTCGACGCGGAGCAGCGGCGGCTGAGCATCTGGCGATACACGCACATCAAGCCGAAGGACGCGCCGATATCTCAGAGCCGTCCCTCGACGCGGAAAAAGCGGGCGTCGATGCATGGCGGCGCTGGGGACAGACGTCACTCCATGGGGGGGAATAACTCGTTTGATTGGGCCGCTGCGCCTTCCATCAACGATCATCCTCTGGAAAAGTCTCCAGCAGCAGACACTCGCAAACTCCCTCCTTTGTCTGCCCTTCCTGGAATGCCACCGTCTCTGTCCACAACGACCACCATGGCTTCGTTGGTAGCCGGCGAACCCCCGCCTGGTGCTCAGCTACTGACCTCTCCGCCACCCAAGGCAAGGCGCAATTCACTGGGGCGAAAAGAACTTGGGGCCTCGATAGACCGGATCGCGCTGGGAGGTAGGCCAGAAGTGGATGCCTCTTTGCCGCCCACCGAGCATACGAGAATGAAAGCTGCATTTTGGGTGTCAAAGCTTCACTCCATGGACATACCAGAGCTCGAGTGAGCATTGTTTTTACCGCCGCCGTTTTTGGCTCACGTCGTCTGATGTTGTATGGTGCAGCGCTCCACAGTGGTGGAACATCACGGCCGCGATATTCGATCAACGTTGGGATGGTAAATTGGACCGAACGCTCCTCGGGATCTGTCTGCCAGGCTCCCAAATGCTCCACATCTTCGCTCTCGTCAAATCCGAGGACAAGATGATCAAAGTCGCACCGATGGGACAGCACCCGGCCATGTCGATCGCCGCGATGCGTGTGACACGGAATAACGTGCACGATTTGCTGTTGCTCAGATCCACAGGTGGACTGTTGGCATTGACCCATGGTCTTCGGAGTGTCGCGTTTCCCGGACCGCCGCCTCCAGAGGAAACCAAGAGTCCATCGTCGATGAACGCTGCTTGGAATCCACGTGCGCCGCCGCCCACCCCCAATCCGAGTCCTATCCGTTTGAAGGATGCTCTGTATTCTACTGTCACCGTCGAGTTCTCAGACGGCTCTACTCGATTGCATACTGTCGATTACGTCCCCACTGATCTTCTCACCGAGCAGTGCCTTCAGGTCCTGGCTGTGACGCTGCCAGTGGACTGGTCGTGGAACATACACGTAAAGTTTCTGGATGTGTGGATCCAAGCTGACCGAGACCTCGCACATGAAGTGCAGTTCGAGTGCTTCTGCAGCGCGCTTTGCGATGCCTTTGGTCTCGATCAGTTTCTAAAAGACAAGCCTGAGCCCGTGCGCGACCCTTGGGAACGCCTGGCATCGTCGCCGTCCGCCTCTCGGTTTGCAGAGGATCCCATATTGGCCGGAATGAAGCTGCCGTCGCGCAAAGAGATCTCTCGCCACACAGCTCCTGCCTCAAAAGCGCCGCACAGACTTTTAGCACCTGTGCTCAACGCCTTGCACATGCTCGGCGAAGACATTCGGCTCATGGTGCACCGTTATCAGTCTCTCCTGCGTCTAGCCAAGCTGATATGCCAGATCGCCTCCATTATAAGACCAGAGTGGGTGGATTATTGGAAGCGTATCTGTCCAGATGTAACTCCTGGATGGATCACTGGTGGCACACGTTCGGAGTTCCTTTTATTCCGAGTCGTTGATACTCAGTATACGTCTTCCTCTAGACGTCAAGTACGTGGACGATCGACTGCCTGTGTGGCCCCCAGATATGTCTGCGATCCTCTTTGGAAGGCTCAGCAATCCGGAATGGAAACTTCCGTGGTACGACACTAACAAGCTGTCTGCAACGTTTCATCTACGGCCGTCATTTGCCTACGGTCGGTTGGAGCCTCTCGGATACCTTCGGCAAATAACTGCGATCTATCGATGCCTGGCGGACAAGCACGTCGACGATAGCCATCAGAGGGCAGAGAACGCAGTGAAAATGATGGTCAAGTCTCATCTCGGAGTCGACTTTATGGACTATCTCCCTCTAGGCATTGCTGCGCCCCTGCGGGAAGCGGCGCGAACATGTCAACTCTCCCCAGGTCAAGATTGGGCCTCGGCCGCGTACGAGTTTGTTGGAAGAAATGACTTGGCGCAAGGTGTCCACGTTGATTCGGACGCGTTGGCGACTGGTGGTTACCGTTCTGTCAACGAGTTTCTGGTGAACATTCACGTGTCTTGGGGGACGAGCTTTAACTCATCGTTAATCGCTTAGGGACCCCATTCTCGTAAGACGATACGAAATCTTGTTGAAAACGCAACGGCGGCAGCAATGGGCGAGTACAATGAGGTGTCCGGGGTAGAGCTAAACCTCGATGACTTCACGCACATTCGATTCGGACAAGACAAGCGACTAGAAGAGGTGGCTCGCATGCTCCGATCGTCGGACATCCCCGCAGTACGAATGGTCGATCGTCCTGAGCTGAAGTAGGCGCTGACATATGTTGTGACTCGAGAGGCATTCCTGACTTTTCGTTTCTAAATCACAGCGAACACGATCAAGTCAAAGAACAGCAAAACCACGTCATCAGGATTGCCGAACGGACTTTGGCACTGCCATTGGGCAGGGCCATGTTCACCTTTGGCTCTGTGCCCAGGGTGAATCGCGAAGCCTACACGATTCCGAAGATGGAGTACTCGATACGCTTACAGCCTCAAAACATCATCATAGTGCCAGAGCCATACAAAATACCCCCGGAAAGCTTGAGCTGGGGCGACTTTCATAATGGAGTGGCTGCAGCGTTGCGCATCTCCCCTTCTACGAAGATGATCGATAGTTCCTGGATCAAGTTCAACAAGCCATCTGAACTGACACCTGAACACGCCGGATTCTTGTACGGTCTCGGCCTCACCGGGCATCTCAAAGAGATGTTGACCTGGCACACCTTTGGATACTTGACGCCCAAACACGACCTGACCTCAATTGGTGTTCTCCTGGGTTTATCTGCAGCCAATGTTGGCACAGGAAACCGCCACGTGACCAAGCTGCTCGCCGTTCATACCCCTGCCTTGTTGCCAACGCCGAGCATTGACCTGAACGTTCCGTTGGTCACTCAAGCCGCCGGATTGGTCGGTATCGGCTTGTTATTCATGGGCACCAAACACCGCCGCATGGCCGAAGTCTGTCTCAAGCAGATCAGCCGAGGCGACCTCAATCAGCCAGACCTCAGCAACGAACATCGCGAGGCGTACACGATGTCCGCCGCCCTCGCCTTCGGTATGGTGATGCTTGGCAAGGGCTCTACAACTATCATACCAGCCGACGAAGCTCTGATATCAGAACTTCGGGTTCTCATTCACGGAGAAGCGCCTTCTCATCTGCGCGGTCGGCGGACGAGACCTGCCTTCGACATCAATTTGACTTCACCTGCTGCTACCATCGCTCTAGGTCTGATGTACCTCAAAACAGAAAGTCAAGAAGTGGCCGACGTACTCACTGTGCCGGACACCATTCTTGCATTGAACCGCATCCCTCCCAGCTTCTTGCTTCTGCGGACCTTGTCAAGAGCCCTGATCATGTGGAACAGAGTTCGCCCCAATCAAGAATGGCTGGATTCGCAGATACCCGAGCCGATCTCGAAAGCCATGGACGCTCGCACTGGAGGCAAGCCAGTGGACGATGCGGTGGAACTGGCTTACTATAACATCGTCTCTGGCTGCTGTTTTGCGATCGCTCTCAAGTATGCTGGAACTGCTGGAGAAGAACCATATGTCATGCTCATCAGCTACTATGACTTGTTCAGTCGCTTGGCATACACGAACGGTCCGTTTCCATCATAAGACGTTCTCGTAGTCATCACTTATCTTTCCGTCCCCGTAGGTCCTGCATTCGATCATAGAATCAAACGCCATGCCATTCGTGACGGGCTCAACCTAATCTCTATTGCTTTGAACATGGTAATGGCCGGAACAGGGGAGATCAACTGTCTCCGCAGGCTTCGATATTCTTATGGTATGTACAATCAGGCCATGCGCTATGGAACGCATATGGCCACGCACATGTCTCTTGGCCTGCTCTTCCTCGGAGGCGGTCGCTTCACCTTGGGAAACTCAGACGCAGCCGTGGCTTGTATGCTTGCCGCATTCTTCCCTCGGTTTGCCTCCCTCTCCTCCGACAACAAGTCATATCTACAAGCGCTTCGCCATCTATGGGTTCTCGCGGTCGAACCACGATGCCTGATCGCTCGGGACGTGGACACTAAAGAAATCGTCTATCTTCCGGTGAAGATCAAAGTCAAAGAAGAGAAGGAGACCGGTATCGCTCAGTTGATTTCCCCGACCTTGATTCCCGACTTTGACAGACTGCTTTCCATCCGCGTCGATACCCCAAGATATTGGCCGTTCTATCTTGACTTGGCGCGGGTCCCACGACACAAGGAGTCTCTCCTTCGCAATCAAACGATATTCGTCAAGCGCAGAACGGCGTTTCTCAGCTATTTGGAAGATCCGAAAGGCAGTCGCAGCTTGTTCGTGCGCTCCGGTGCATCCACGGGCGATGCGGCGACGCTAGACTTCCCGCGCCTGACGGACACCAAGGCGCATCCCGCGAGCGACCTCAACCAGTTCATATCCTCCTTCTCCAACGACCCCTTTTTTTTGTCCTTCGCCGACCACTTCTGCCGCGAAGCGGGAGAGACGGAGGAAGAACAGCTGTTCCACGCATACTGCCACGCCAGCCTGCTGGACAGCATCCTCCAAGACAAGCACCAGGTCCTGCAGACGCTCACCCTACTCTACCGCTATCGCACCATGTCGCCCTCGTCGCGGTACTTCCACCTGCGGCTGCAGGATCTGCGGTTCGCGGTGGACTTTTACAGTAAGATATATGACCGCCGGTTCAGCGGCCGCATGGAGGGCAACGCGCGCTCGCCACTCGTCCGCGACAGTACACTATCCGGCGTGCTGCATGCGCTGGACCAGCACCTCGAGCCGATCCGCACCGCGCCTTGGTTCCTGCGCGCTCTGGGCCAGTACGCGCGCGGCGCCCCCATGACAGACCTCGACGTGGCGGCGCAAGACGTGTCGCGCAAGCTGGCGTGGTATCTCCTCCGCAACAACGTGCCCGTGTCGACGATCCTGATGGTGCTCCTGGAGCTCGCGCAGCAGGCCCAGGCGCACTGCCTCCACGCGCCACCGCCCGAGGGCACCTCGAACGCGGTCGGGCTCAGGATCGGGGTGAGGGAGGTCTTGCACACGACGGGGACGCAGATGACCAATACGCTGGGCTCAGGGTGGTCCGTGCGGTCCTTAGACGAGATGATGAAAGCTTGGAAAGATAATCTGTAGGATGCCATAATCTGTTTCGTTCGTTTTGATCGTCGCGTTGTTGCCACACCGCTTTTTTTTTTACTGTCTCCTAGCTATCTCTGCATCATGTATTTCTGCATACTCACTGTATCAATCTCGAAGCGCATTGCATTTCTGAAACCCGTCGACGTATGGGTACATGGTCAGTGTCAGCCACAGGATTGAACAAAGTTTTGTACGGTGGGAACGGAAGGAAGTTGGGGTCGCACCGATACACATAAGTCGAAGCTACAAGTTAATTTGTCAATTCGATGGCCAATGTAACGGGGCGTGCCTAGATAATACTGTATATACAATAATGGGACGTGATGAACCCAGCAAAGGGCTGTTACGGCGAGGACAATAGTGACGAACGACAAGATGATAAATAATGATGAGCGACGTGAAATGCAGAGCTAAGTTGAACGAACGAGACTGCAAGACGGCGAGGGAAATGGCAACGATTACAAGTAAGCTCGCGAAGGACAGATTGAGGTAGAACAGGAGTCTAGATAAAATACATACACATCACATTGGCACATGCGCGATGCGGCCGGGCGGTGATGACCTTTTTTGTGGGTTATAGATAGTTTGTGCGTGATACGGAAGGGAACGACGCCAGCATGGGAGGTGTGAAGCGATGATTGTCAGGCAGCCGCGGTCATCCCCTGCAAGCCGTGGCGGAAGCCCTGCGACTTCCTGACGCCTGCATCGATAAGCATAGCCTTGCGCTCATGAACAGCCTGTGGAGACGGATCAGCCCGTGCTCCAATGTTATGAAAGGTACAGTCAAAAGGCAGGGAACAAAGAATGATACACGAATGGCGAATGACGGGTCATCAGAGAGAATACATACCTCATTGAGACGGTCTAGCATGCCTACAGTGGTCTCCCAATCGACGCACGCATCGGTGATGGAGATGCCGTGCTTGAGGGCAGAGGGGCCCTCGGCGGGGACGTCCTGCCTCCCGGCATTGATGTGCGACTCAATCATCACGCCGGTGATGTTGCGGTTGCCGGCGCGGAGCTGGGTGCAGATATCGTCGACGACCTTGGGCTGGTTGTTGTGATTCTTCTGTGAGTTGCCGTCTGTGACCAGGGCACATACGAACGGACATATGGGGAAAGTCGAAAACAGTCCCAGAAAAGAGGCACACGAAGGAGAGTCAAAGTTAGAACAAGTTTTGAGGGTACTAATGCTTGATGGCACTCACGACTGCAATCGATCATGATGGAGGGGTGGTTCTGGGGGCGAGCCTTCTCGATGGCAGATGCAGCAGCCTTTACGTGCTCCTCAGAATAGTTTGGACCCTTGGAACCACCGCGGAGGATGACATGGACGTTCTGGTTTCCGCGAGTCTTGACGATCGCGGCGATGCCCTGCTCCGTTACACCCATGAAGGCGTGCGGATTTGAGGATGAGCGCATGGCATCGACGGCGACGGAGACGCTGCCGTCGGTCCCATTTTTGAACCCGATGGGGAAGGAGACACCCGAGGCGAGTTCGCGGTGGAGCTGAGACTCGGTGGTGCGCGCGCCGATGGCGCCCCAGGACATGAGATCGGCAATGTACTGCGGCGAGATGGTGTCAAGCAGCTCGGAGCCGACTGGGACGCCGAGGTCGGTGAGGTCGCAGAGGAGCTGGCGGGCGAGACGCAGGCCCTTGTTGATCTGGAAAGAGCCGTCGATGTCGGGATCATTGATGAGGCCTTTCCAGCCGACGGTCGTGCGCGGTTTCTGCGGAACGTAAGCGCGTTAAAAATCGCAATCGGAGTATTCGAGGTAAAAAAGCGCGGGGCAAACGCACCTCACTGTACAAAATAGGCAAGTCAGCCAGATGCACGGGAAACAACGTTGGGAACGAACGCACAAGTAGGCACGCATGACAATAAGGAGGTTAGGCCACGTCGACATCTTCTCCTTGAGAAGTCGGGCGTACTCCATGGCCTGCTCTGTCGAATGGATGGAGCAAGGCCCTACGATGACAAGGACGCGATCGTCATGACCAGCGAGAACCCTAGCCGCGTTGAAGCGAGCGGACGCGATGGTGGTTTGTGCCTTGGGGGAGGATTTGATCTCATGGCGAAGGAGGGCCGGTTGGACGAGGGGGTCGTACTGGCAGAGCATGAGCGATGGCTGGACCCGGAGAGAGAGAGAGAGAAAGCTAGGGATCGCGAATAGAGAGACATACGCCGATGACACGACGGTCCTGAATGTATTTCTGCAGGTTGTTATCATCCTGGGGGTCAGGGAAGGGGGTGACCGAGTCGAAGCCCATGTCGAGGTCGGCAGATGTAACCTCTATGGAATGCGAGAAGGTGAATGGGTGAGAGTGGGAACGAGAGGTGGGATGGTGGGAAGAGTAACGACGCTCACGCCTGAATTTATAGAGAGGGCTTTTTTCTTGAGTTCCGGCCATGTCGCAGGCTACAAATCTTGTGAATTGGCCGAGGAGGTGTTGTTTGATGAGTTGCGGTCGAGTCAATGCCAGATCGGGCGTCGAGCACATTCCGATCCATCTCCAATAGCCGCCAGTGCACGTGCCCGGCCACACACGTGCATCACCATCCCCTTATTGCGCGCCTCTCACCCGCGCTCTCCCATGGCCTCCCTCCAGATCTCTCTCAAGCCGTCGCCCGCGTTCTGCATCAAGTCTGCAGCCCTCGAGCCCGGCGTGTTCAACGCGCATGCCTCGCCGCAGCACCCTCGCGCTCTCGCCGTGCCAAAGGGGCTCAAGGTGTTCGTCAACATAGCATGGGATAAGAACGCACCGCCGCCACCAGAAGGCTCTGAAGAGGCCATACAACGAGCGATGCAAGGACAGGAGCTTGATGGTCTCCACCCGGGCGACTGGTATGTCCCCGTCATTGTTTCAGGCGGGAGAGAAGACAAAGACAAAGGTGAGCTCCATCGTCTCGACACAGATAGTCCTCCACCGTTATAGCATCTGCCTCCACTCTGTCGGGCGCTATGATCATCTTTCTTCATCTAAACGCGCATCTGTCGAGGTTTTTCTCCCCGGCACGGTGATTCATTCCGTTTCCTGCGCGTGCATGCACCTCTCGTGAAACACTCGACTGTCGTTGTGGTTGCTGATTAATAGATTGGGCTGTCATGTACACCACGAGCGCCCAGGCGTTACGTTAAGGATGTTTGTACCTGGCAGAACGCGCTCTGGCGTGGCGCGCAACATTCTGATATCGGCAGTCACTTTGCCATTTCTCGTACATGATACGCATTGGCCTAGATCGACGATGTCTTCGCTCCATTGCCCAATCGCTTGCGCTCACATCGCTGTTACGCCGGAGCGCCTGCGTGCCCTTCTCAATGAAATCGTGTCCAAACCAGTCCTGGTGCCGTCCCCTCATTCCGACTCTAGACCGTGGTCCCGTTGCAGCCATGTAACTCATATAACGCACCGCAGCGGGCAAATCGGCCCTCGTCTTCGACTGTGTATTTAACTCGTCACTCAAGGGTCGCACGCTCAAAGACCTAGCGTTCAAGACCTTCCTCATCGGTGCGTTTTGTCCTCGTCCACTCAAACGCCCCGCTCGGGCTTCTAGCTTACAACACACGCTCTACGCCTCGCGCCGGTTATCATGCCCACGTCAATGTCGTACGCGCATCCACTCGTATCCCGATCTGCCGGGCTGCCTTTGTACGACTTTGGCGATCCGTGTGTGTGCTTTGTTCCATCCCACTCCACGCGACTCCGTCCCTCTGGACGCGCCGTGAAGAACTCGCGCTGCAGCGCATCGAGGCCGAGAGCTCGCTCCTGCTCTCCCGTACGCTTGGAACCCCGAACATCCCGTCCAAGGGCGCGCTCCAGCCCCGTACCGTCTCCGTCCCGGCTGCGCTCTTCCCACCCTCGCACCCCCTGCGCCAAGCCGCCTCGGCCGCGCCCGCAAAAAAGCTCATCGAGGAGATCGCCTCCCCATCGACCCCGCCCCCACCCCCACCCCCTGCCGCTTCGGCACGACCCAAGAAGGGAATCCTAAAAAACACGGCGCGCGGGAACGCCGGCGCGCGCCCGGACGCGGCTGGGTCGACAACAGCTCCCGACGCGGGCACGCGCGCGGCGCAGGACCTTGCGCTCGAGACGCCCGAGTGGAGCTGGACGCCGCGTGACGACGGGCGACTGTGCATCGCCATCCGGGTCCCCAAGCTGGTGAGTGCGCCCGTCCGCATCGAGCAGGTCTGTCGGTCCCGTAGATAGCTTCCATAATTGCCTCGCTTGTCTCTCCTACTGTACACACGACGCCATCGTCAGACGCCCCAGTGGGTTCTCCCGCAGCGTCGCGTGTCGCACGAGAGACCGACAGCGTCATGCGCCGGTCGCTTGACTCTTGATCCTCTTTTCCTCCTCACGCCCGCCACCCACCTCTTCCTCATCCGTCACGCACGCACGCACGCACGCACGCACGCTCACGCACCCGCCCTTCCCGCCCCACCCTCCCATACAGACCCACGCCGACGTCCCCCGCGCCGAGCTCGACCTCGAGCCCCGCGCGATCCACCTCCGCGTCCCCACGCTCTACGCGCTCGACGTCGACCTAGACCTCCCCGACGCCGCCCTCCCGCCCTCCCCGCCCGCAACGCGCGCCGCGCTCGAGCTCAAGCGCGCACGCGACCTCGACGTGGACGGCGCGCGGGCCGAGTGGCGCGTCGCCGAGGGCCGGCTGCTGCTTTTCGCCTGAAGGCCCCACGCCGCGGCGGCTTGACGTGCCCCCCTGTGCCCCCCCTCCATACTCGTGCCGTACGTTTTCGTGCTCGCGTCTTCCCTTGCGCGCGGCTCGAGGCGTAACCTCAAGGTTCGAGAGGCACGATGCGCGCGCGCGCGCACACACACACATATCGTCATGGTCGTCATCTTCATCGTCATCATCAGGGCAGTAAAGCACCGCGTCCACATAGGTCCACATACGTTGTACTTGGTCGAACGCGAACGCACGTGTGTGCCCCGCTTGCGCCCACCCCGCATGTACCTGGTACTCTATCTAACCTATTCGTCCCTCTATCCAATACCCAGTATCCAGCATCCAGTATTTTGTATCTATTCTATCTACCCTATTCAATTCAATTCAATTCAATTCAATTCAATTCAATTCAATTCAACTCTCTATTCAATTCAATTCAATTCTATCGAGGCAAGGCGCTCGTCATGTGCCGTCTGTGCCGGTACAGCACAGCGCGTGCCGCGCTATTCATAGCAATCGACCGAGAGAACCGAGCGAGTGCGCAGACTGTGCACAGACGTTACGTGCGTGCCGCCACTATGCCGCCGCCACCGCAACGGGCGTGGTTCGTGGACCGGCGGCACTCGTATCACACCGCAACGAAGGGAGTCGCGCGCCGAGCATCCAGATAAACGGTCGGTCGGGATAGAGGAATAGACAGGCGCATAATTAGGCGGTTGGTCGGACACTTCGACAGACGGGCAAGGCAGGCAGACGAGGAGACGATCACGGTTTGGATTTGCAGCGGCCGCAGCCGCAGTCGCGATAAGCATATCCGCAAGTCGTACTAGCGCTAGCGCAGGACGGGACGGGACGGGTAACAGTGAACGGTAGACAGTAAACAGTGACAGTGGCGGTGACAGGACGACACGCACAGGACTAGCTAGTTAGTTACCAGAACGAAACGAAACATAGACAGTGAGACAGACAGTGGGACGTCAGATAGAGTGACACAGAGACAAAGAAAGAAAGAGGTGAGAGAGTGAGATATAGAGCCGGTGGAGCCGACGAGTGGAGATGGAGGTGGAGAGAAACAGTAAGAAGTATAAGATAAGCGACACAGTTGGGAATCGAGACACACGAGAAAGAGAGACAGAAGCAGATAAAGAGACAAAAACAGAAACAGTGAGAGAGTAAGCAAAGAGAGTGGAGGGTGGTATGAGGTGAGCGAGTACAACGTATGATATATACACCGGTCAGTATTCAGCATTCGGTATGAGCCACGAGCCACGAAACCAGAAGAAACAGAGAAACAGAGAGAAGCGGAGAGAAACAGAGAGAGACAGGAACGGAGGGCAGAAGAGTGTTCTTCCAGCAGAACCGCGCGCAGCCCGAGTGCGAGTGTGAATGCAAGTGTGAATGCGAGTATGTTCGCGAGCGCGAGCGCGAGTGAGAGCGGAGGGAGGGAGGGAGAAGGTATCGTAGATGCGCCCGTCCGCGCCGAACCACCACCGAGCGCTAGCGCGAGTCGAGTCGAGTCGAGTCGAGTCGAGTGCCGAAGGGAGACGCGTGGGGATGCGAGGGGTGGCGAGGCGAGTCGGCGAGTCGACGAGACGGCGTGGCCACGCCAACAGGGGCCAGACGAAGTTGCGGACGCGAGAGTGTGGAAGAGTGTGTGGCGGTGAGAGAGAGAGAGAAAGAGAGGGTGAGGGCGAGGGTGAGGGTGAGGGTGAGTGTGAGTATGATACAAGACGCCCGCGCGCCCCAGACGACCATAAAACCCAGAAAACAGAAAAACAGAATAACGGCGCGGGCGGGCCGCGGGCGACGGGCGGCGACGATGGCGGGCGACGAGGGCGAACACGCATGCGGACGGGCGGGCGGACGCGCGCGTGGAGGCCGATGCTGTCCCGGCCGACGCACCCCCGCAAAACGCAGCCCCCCGCGCCGCGCCGCACCGGCCCGCCCTCGTTCGTTCGTTCGTTCGTTCGTTCGTTCGTTCGATTCCGACGCCCCCAACGCTGCAAATCCGCCTACTCAGCATCCGAGCGCCTGCCCGCCAACCGACCGACAAGCACGCACGCACGCACACACGCACTCCTAACCCATCGCGCGCATCGCCCCCGCCCCATTCACTCCCGCCGCACTCCCCACCCCCGCGCCCACCTTCGCCCCACCCCCGCCCGCACCCGCGCCCGCCTCCTGCTGCTGCTGCTGCTGTGCGCCCCCTGCTCCCTGCCCGCCCTGCTGCTGCTGCTGTTGTTGTTGTTGTTGTTGTTGCGCCGCGCCCGCAGGAGGGAACGGGTCCAAGAACTGCGCCCACTCGCCCTGCTCGAACCCGCTCGACGCGCCCCACAGCGTGCTCCCCACCACGCCCACGCCCACCCCGACACCCACGCCCACGCCCACGCCCACGCCCACCCCGACACCGACACCAGGCGCATACACCCCACCCAGCGCCCCGTCGTCGCCCACGCCCACGCCCACGCCCACGCCCACGCCCGCGCCAGTATACATCCCCACCTGCGCAAGCTGGAACGACTGCACCTGCTGCACCTGCTGCTGCACCTGCTGCTGCTGCTGCTGCTGCTGCTGGGGCCACCCACCCGCCTGCTGCTGCTGCACGTGCTGCTGGAACGCCCGACTCTGCTGGCCAGGACTGCCCCCGTCCGTCTCAGGCGACCCATACGCGCCGGGCGCGTACCCTTGCTGGCCCTGCTGCTGCTGCTGCTGTCCCTGCCCCTGCCCCTGCTGCTGCGGAGGCGCCTGCGCCTGGCCCGCAGAGGTGGACGCGCCGCCCGGCGACGTCTGCACGGGCGCCCAGCGCAGCGACGGCAGCGTCTTGCTCTGCGCGGACAGCGCGGCCGAGAGCGACGACGAGTGCGCGTGGTGCGCGTGCGACTGGTGCGACTGGTGCGACGCCTGCTGCTGCTGCTGTTGTTGCTGCTGCTGCTGCTGTTGCTGCTGGTGGACGTGCGCGTGCGGATGCTGAGAATGCGCGTGCGCGTGCGAGTGCGAGTGCGAGTGAGGCGCGAGGTGCGCGTGGCCGTTGCCGTTGGCGCCATTGACGCCGTTGCCGTTGACGCCGTTATGCATCCCCGCGTGCGCCGGGTACGCCATGTGCTGCGGCGTCGGCGGCTGGAGCGCCATCATCGGCGCCTGCTGATACCCCTGCTGCTGCATCCCCTGCTGCTGCTGCTGGTCCGCGCCAGGCGTCAGCCGCCCCGCCTCGGGGCTCGCGCCCGTCGCGCTCGACGGCGTGGTCGGGCTAAGCGGGCCCACGCGCGGGCTCTCCGCCGCGCCAAACGGCACCGCGGGCGAGTCGTGGTACGGAAACGCGAGGCTGCGCACGCGCGCGAGCACGGTGGCGCGGGTGCGCGCGCGGTCCGCCGCGCCCGCGCCCGCGCCGCCGCGGAGGTACTCGTCTGCGTAGAGCGGTGCGAGCGCGCGGAGGATGCGGAGGGCCTTGTCTGCGACGGGCATGCCGCGGCAGCCCTCGAGGGTCTTCACGGCGAGGAGGACGCTGGCGCGGCGGGCAAAGGCGCCGCGCTGGTCTGGGTTGTTGACGAGCTGGAAGGAGAAGAACATGGCGGCGGAGAAGACGTGGGCGGGGCCCCAGTTGAGGTGGCCCGGGACGGAGAGGGCGGCGTGGGAGAGGATCTCGGGGCGGGCTTGGGCGACGAGGGCGATGAGGGCGTCGGCGGCGGCGACGGCGGTGTCGAGGCTGGTTGCCATCTTGGGTGCGGCGCGGGCGAGGCTCGCGTACGGGCGGTGGAGGGTGAAGCGGATGTGGAGAAAGGCGGTGCGGACGATGATGCTCTGCACGCCGACGCGGCGGACGGCGGTGGCGGGGGAACCGAGGCTGCGGACGAGGTGGTAGTCGTCGAGGTCGAGCTCGGGCGGGAGGGCGTCGAGCCAGTCTTGGAGGACGCGGTCGTTGGCGAGGACGGACTCGTAGGGGACGGGGCGGAGCGAGATGGCGTCGTCCATGATGGTGCCGAGGATGTAGGCGAGCTTGAAGAGGGCGATGTTGGCGACGTAGAGGCGGCCGGTGCCGTCGATGGCCGGGTCGCAGTAGGAGGGGAGCTCGGTGTCAAAGTGGTGCGAGGCGATGGCGAGCGGGCGGCCGAACATGAACGCCTGCCATCTGGCGCGCACGAAACGAGGTGAGAAAGGGTAAGGCTGGAGGAGGAGGAGGAGGAGGAGGAGGAGGAGGAAGCGCGCGCACCTCTCGAGCAAGATGACGTGCCACCAGGCCCAGCGCCTGCGCTCGGCGAGCTCGAACGGCATCTTGTTCCTGCCGGGGTCGCGGTGGAGGCCCATGGCGGTGGCGACGGTGACGAGCTCGCCCTTGACGCACCAGATCTCCTCCGAGTCGATCTTTGAGAGGGAGAGGTAGTGGCAGCGGACGAGGAGGAGCTCGACGAGGTCGAGGGTGTAGGCGCGGCTCTCCGCCTGGCGACGCTGGAGGGCGACGCGCATGACGTTGTAGAAGCGAGTGCCGAGGTCCTCGATGTCTGCGGGGAGGCTCTTGCGGAGCTCGTTGTGGGCGGGGAGGTAGTGGAGGGCGACGGCCATGACCATGCAGGCGGTGGCGAGGACGATGCGGTCCGCGCCTGCGCCGGACTTGTAGCGGGTCCAGGCGGGGACGAAGGAGGCCTGGTTGACGTGGCGGTATATCCAGTTGCAGTACTCGAAGTAGTAGTCGACGAGGCCGTCGATGATGGACTCGTGGGGGAGCTCTGCGAGGAGGTCGCGGTCGTCGTCGTAGGCGGGGGGGATTGCGAGGGAGGCGGGGGAGGACCACTGGGAGGGGTCGGGGTCGAGGGCATCGTCTGTGTCGTTGGCGTCCTGGAGAGGGAGGTGAGCACGGATGGGGAGAGCGAGCGAAAAGAAAAGAAAGAGAGCGGGGCTTACGGAGGAAGAGAGGTGGGAGACGGCGCTGGTGGGGCCGGCGTAGAACCCTCCCTGGCCGGAGCGGCCGCGTGCGCCGGGGGCGCTGGCGTGAGGGGGAAAGTCGGGGTCGAGGGACTCCTGCTTGAGGAAGGGGTTGGGGAGGGTGCTCGCGGGGTCTGGGACGGAGAAGAAGGGGTAGGAGAGGGGGGCGGAGGCGGGGACGCCGGGTGCGGAGGCGATCGAGGACGGGCGGTGGGCGAGGGCGAGGTGGGCCTCGAGGAGGGAGAGCGACTGGCGAATTTTCGAGAACTCTGCGGAGGGGTCGAGGGCGCGTGCGGGGCTGTGGGGCGGACCGGTCAGAAGGGCGGGGGCGGGGGGAGTCAGGGCAGGGACGACGGACTGGAGGACGTCTGGGCGGGAGTGCGCGGACGACAGGTCCTGGTTCTGGTAGCAGTGGGCGGCGGTGCCTGCGGGGGAGGGGGGAGAGACCGTGTGAGCGGGACTGCAGGGCGGGGCTCTGGAGCAAAAGGGGAAGGAGGGCGGCGGACCTCTGAGGACGCACGACGAGCACGGGCGGTTTCTGGCGATCGGCGATCGGCGGACGAGCGGATGAGCACAGGCGCGGGGCCACCACGGGGCGCAGAGGAGGGGAGGGGGGGGAACTCGCCTGTCGCACTTGAGCTTGCTGTTTCTGCAGGGCTCGCAGTTGATGGCCTTGCGCGCGCGCTTGGCGGGGGCCTTGGTGTCCGAGTGGAGCGAGGACGGGTGCGAGGGCTGGTCGGGGGAGCGGGGGCGGACGTGGGGGGCAGACGTGCGAGCGATCTTTTTCGGGGGGAGGATGTCTGTGTCTGCCATTGCTCGGGTAGGGGTGGACAGACGGAGGGAGGGGGAGGCGATGGGGAGGCGAGGAGAGGCCAGGGAGCGGCTGAGACTGCGTGCAGGAGCCCGACATATGAGAGCCTCTCCGCCCACGCAGAGCCAGTCCCCCGTTCCCCCCGCTAGCTGGGCTGACACACCCCTCCTTCCCACGCTCCCATCCCTCCTCTCCTCCTCTCCAGCCGTCCGTCCCCCCTCCAATTCCAATTCCGCCCTTCCCTTACGACACCCCACCACCGCCCCCGACCCCGCCCCGCGACCTCAAATCCATCTTCCAGGCCCCGTTGGTCCACCCGATCCTGTCCCCGGCCCCCCATTGGCCCACCCCCTCCCGTCCAATCACGCCCCGCGGCTGTCCCCGGCCCGTGCCATCTCGTCACTCCCTCCTCCCCCCCCCCCGTCCCACAAACCCATATGTCCATCCCTTCGCCGATAGCCCTCCCCCGTGCCCCCCTCCGTCCTTATCGCCCCCTATAGTCGCTCGCACCCTTCCCGTGCACCCACCCCCCCGCGCAGAACCGGCAGCCCCCGCCTCGGCCCCCCACCACCCCCGGCCGACCGCCCCTCCATACCCGGATCGTCTCTTCCATATCCGTGCCCCCTCCGTGCCGTCCGATCACCCGCGCGTGCGTCCCACACGTCACCCGTGACAGCCCCCGCCCAATAACCAAGAACGGGTCCCAAATCCAATCTATCGCCCGATCCCGCCACGCGCGCCCGCTCGCGATCCTCCATCCGATCTAATGAACCCTCCACCCCGACAGCTTGCAAACCAAACCACCCTCCCATCCCGCGCTTCCCCACCGCGCTTCCTCGAAGCCTGTCAAGCACCACTGCCAACCTGACGTCGCCCGTCCCCCGCGCCCTTCCCCCAGCCCCAGCCCCAGCCCCAGCCTGCGCACCCGACCCCCGTCGTCCCCCTTCTTCTCGGCCGCGTCCCAGATCGCCCGTGAGATCACGCTGCGTCCGCGCTCCACTTACCCCGCACACGCCAATCCGACTCCCTTTTCGGTCCCCTCGCGGTGGCGTCAGCCCTCGTCGAACCTCGAGCCTCGACTGGGCCGTTCCGGATCCGAACGCATCCTCGCGCGCAGCCAGCCCAACCCAACGCGGCCCAACCCAACCCACCGCCGGCCTCGGTCCCTTGCGTGCGTGCGTGCGTGCGTGCGTGCTCACGCTCGGCGCTCATCTCCCGGTAACTCGTGTGCGATGACGATGACTGATGGCGGCAGCGTCTGTCGCCCCGCACGACCAGCCCCGTTCAACAGCACCCGCGTTCCACGATGTGCAGTAAAGTACAGTACAGCAGAGTATATACACGCACGGTCCCGCACCGCAGCACGTCGCAGCACGTCACGTCGCGTCGTTGCACCGTTGCACCGTCGCACCGCACCGTCGCGCCGCGTCGACGTCTCGACGTCGTCGCACGTCACCCGTCTCGTCTTCCTTACTTCCCTCCTTCCTTTCCTCACTTCTTTCTTTCTTTCTTTCTTTCATACTTCCTTCCCCCTGCAGCGGCTCCCTTCCCACATCCCGGCTTCTCCCCTCCCTCGCAAATGCGTCCCAAATGCGTCCCACTGACCCCGACCCCGGCGGTTCTCCCACCCGCGCTTCGCTTCGCTTCCCCATCCGCACCACCTTCTCCCTTCCCTGCTCGCTCTCGCTCGAGACCGCGCCCTGCATGCTCTTACGCACTCGCTCCTTCGTCCTGGTACGGATCATGCTCAGGCCGCACAGCGGCACAGCGCCCAGACTCGCGGTCCGCCCGTCCGTCCTCGCACGCCGCATGTTGTATTTAGTCTGTGCACGTACACCTACATACGCAGTGTATCATCGCGAGCGACCTGTACGGCGTCGAGCGCGCCGCCCCACAATAGATCTCACATGATAACCCATCCACCTCTCGCGGTGCGCGACTCCAGCTTCAACGGCCTCGCATTTCTCCATATCCAGACGCACAAAAAGATCGTCGCTCGTTACCCCGTCCCGTCCACTCACGAACCACGGACCGCAAATCACGAACGAACCCACTCACGAACGACACCCTGTTCTTTTTTTTTTTTTTTGTTTTCGTGTGTGTCCTGCGTTTTGCTCCCGAGATCGCACCGGGCCGATCCCGTCCAATCAAAAAACGCGCTCGACAATTTGCTTCCTTTCCTTTCCTTTCCTCGAGCGAACTGACTGTGAACTGTTCCCGATCCGCTCGATCGACGGACGCACGGCCGCACGGCCGCATCTCGCTTGGCGCCGCGCCGCGTACGTAATTAAATCGGCGCCCGGCCAACGCAGCGCGTCGCGAACTCGCCGGCTGCATGCAGTACGTTCTACGAACTGCTAGGAATTGCCACGATTCGAGGTTCATTGGCTGGCTGGCTGGCTGGCTGGCTAGCTAATTGTTTGGGGCAAGGCGTCGCCGAGCGGGCGTAGGCGCCCACCATGGCGTCTGATTGGACGTCTGGCCGGGCCGCCGCGTCTCGTTCGCTCGTTTGGTATGTGGTTGGTTGGTTGGTCGGTTGATTGGTTCGTTACTTTGCTGTCCACGACCCCGGGGATCCCTCGCCTCCGACGTTGCAAGTATGTACTTGGTAAGTGGCAGCCGGCTGATGTGTCTGATCGCTGATCTTTTCTTTTGTGGTTCTAGAAAGCGCCGCGCGCGCCGCGCAGGTGGCCGCGTCGGTGAACGCCGCCGCTCGTGCAGGTGACCGCGTCGCCGCTCGCGCCTCATAGCCGGTCGACGTGCAGCTGGCGGTCAGTACAGACGCGTCCCCGACCGCGCTCGAGACACGATAGCTCGAGCGCGATGCCCGAGCGCGGGTGGCACGTCACGCGCTCGGCGCCTGCGCTGCCCGCCGAGAAGCGTGCATTCGGTGCTTGCGTGGCGGCCCGCCGCTCGCTCGCGGTTTTTTTTCCGCTGCACAGTCCGCCTTCTCCAAGTGCGGGTACAGTAAGTAAAAGAACGGGCGGATCGACCGCTCGCGCCGCCTGTCTCCCACGCACGCAAGCGCGCGAAGGGGGGGCCCTCCATCAAAAGAAAAATTCAACCACCTCCCTCTTCCTTTCTTCCCGGCCTTCTCTACTCCACGCAATAAAGCGACCTACGTGGCCCAACCGACTCGCGACGGACGTCCGGCACCCGCACGTAAGTAACGACCCACGCACCAAATTACGAACCTCGCGCGCGCCGAGTCCGCCCAGCCGAACCGCGGATCCTCCCTCGCATCTGCAGTCGGGCAGACGTCGAAGACGCGCGGTCGCGCTGCCTGCGTCTTTGCGTCGGCGGTCTTATACGCCGACTCGGGGCCCGCGCGCGGCGAGAGCCCGAGCCTAGAGCACGGTGTGGACCGCGCCAGGCTCGCTCGCGGCGGCCCGCCCGCTCAGCTGCGGCTGCGGCCTCGTCCCGCCTCGCCTCCCGCGACGCTTGCTTGCCTGCTCGCCCGCTGTCCGCCAGCTCGCCAGACGCTGCGCGCGCGTGCGCGAGTACATAAACCACGACCGCTCGCAATATGTGAAGCGCGAGCGTGACGTGCTCCTCGCTGGCGGTGCCTGCGGATCCCCCCGTCACCATTCACACCGCCACCCCAGGTCGCTCCCCCGTTCTCCATACACGTGTGCACATGTGTCATTCTGGCGCTTCACGACCTTCCGTGTCACTTTGCCCTTCCGCCGCTTGTGGGTCGTGGGCCGCGCGGGAGGGGACGCGGAGGCATCGTTCCCGCGCGCCGGTCTCGGAGACAGCTGCAAAGTCGAACGACCAATTTTTGCACCGGCTCTGACACCACCGTAAGTCGGAGGTCTCTCATCATCACACGGCAGCAAAATTAATGCTATTTTTTATCCGCCGCCTCCCGTCGCAGGCCCAAATAAAAAAAAATAAAAAAAAAGACCGCTCTAGAGCGCTCCCACCCGCTCCGCCGATCACGCTTTGCCCCCGACGCCCGTTCCGAGCCCGAGTCCCACGCCGACCTGGGACCCAGCACCCAACTTGCTAGACCCAAAGCGGCGCCTGCGTCGAGGCGTCGTCGACCCCCTCGCGCGCGCGCCGCATTCCAGTGCCCGAGCTGCCCTACGGCCACTCATTCTTTTTCTGCGAAGCGGCGGGTTCCTCGCGTGTGCCCCTGGGCGCCCTATCTTACGCACGGCGTACCCACGCACGCTTCGCCGGATTCGCGCGGGTTGCGAGAGGCGGTGCGCACGGCCTGGCTCGCGGACGGTCGTGTCGTACACGGACAGGATAAGGAGGGATGGGGATGGGGATGGGGTTAAACGTACGTGCGCGCAAATTGCGCACCGTGCACGCACGCCTGTCGATTCTGTCGGAAAACACATGCTTACTGGGCGTCGATCCCACAGGCTGTTTAAAGGTTGATCGGGATCGCCATTGGCGAGAAGCTCGTCTGCCAGGCTGCCTGGTGCCCGCCCAAGCATGAGGACGGGCCGCAGAAGATGAAAAAGCCCACACGCTCGCGCTGCGCGGGCAGCTGATGGGCGGGTTCGGAAACTCGCAAACGGGGCAGCACCCACCTGTCAACTTGAAGTGGAACAACAACAACGACAGAGAAGTTCCGCCGAGAACACACGAGGGCTCTGAGAACGCAAGGCCCAGAAGGCGTGCAGCAGAACACGCGAAGCCGGCCGACACCTCGCGGCGGCGCGAGTCGCGTGCGCATCTACAAATGGGCGTAGGGTGGCGCCTGGCCCGGCCGCCTGCATCCTGATCGACCTGGCTGTGGCGCTGCTCTGGCGCGCTGTGCAGTGTGAGAATTCCCTCGCTCTCCAACACCCGTTCTCTGCACCCGTCGCGCGCGCCGGGCTTCGCAGCCAACCGCAGCGCGCGCTGCTTAATGAAAGAAACCCTCGAGGGTGTGATCATCATCATCGCCCGTGGGATCCCGGTCTTCTCACCTTCCCGCTGTGCGCGCTTTGCATCCGTGCGCTCTGATTCCATTGGCTCGAAAGATCGTGCGGCTGATGGGGTCTGCAGTGCTCCTCGAATATCCAATGTATGAAAGCGAGTAGCGACAATCACATGCCCGACGCGCCCATGTCTGCCTTGTGCCCACACCGTGCAGAACGCGTCGAAAACGATATCTTTGGAGCTGACGTCGCGCTGCGTCGGACCCAAGTCGGATTTGACTTTTAATGTCGGGCGTTCGAAAACCACGGCGGGGCAAGCAGGTCGGGCGCATGGGTGGGTGTCCCTGGGGTCCGTCAGATGCCACGCCCAACTCCGAGAGCTTCTGCGGATCCCTCGTCACTGGGGGGCTGGGACGGGTGGGTGGTGACTCGACGGGCCTTACACATCCGCCCGTACACACTCGCCCACAGCGGCAGGTGCCCGATCGGGAACAAAGTCCCATTTGGACGAGATTTCGATTCGCGATTGAGATGAGGGTTCAATTTGCTGGCCGGCAGGCTCCTTCGCGAAGCCTTGGGGGGGAGCCAATCCGCGCGGCGAATCGCAATCTGTGTGCGCCTTCTGCCGTGCAATCAACGGCGATGCGGAGGAAATGGTCATCGCGAAAACCACGTCGAGGCGGACCTGGGGATCTGATGGGGATCGCCACGTTTCGGACCCCGCCCCGAGCGCGACGCGGGCAAGGCCGCTGATTGGCTGGGGTGGCGTCGGCCGGGTGGCGCAGGAGCGGAAGCCGCGAGTTTGAGCTTGAAGTTTTGAAGACCGACCGGTGTTCAACGCCAGCGCGTGGCCATGGGCTTCATCTATGACGCGCCGTCGGCACCTACTCCCTCCTCTCCCTCGCCACCTCGAGCGCCCGGCGAGCTGCGCCACGTCTGTAAACGGCACCTCGTTATCAACGGCCGTGACGCGCGCATCGCACCATCGCAATATCACAATAATCGGGGCTGGTCGCGAATAACCCTCGATCTGCGTCCGTGCCCAGCGATTAACTGGCAATTTCCGCCGCTCGTCCACCCGCACCATCTCGTCTTCTCCACATGCGTCCGCACCTTTTGCTCGGGTCCAATTACGCCCGTGACGCCTAGGCCGCGCTGTCCCACCCTTCCACGATCTTTCTGTCCCCGCTGGCTGCTCCGCCAACCCAAACCCATTCTGATGCGGAAACGCAACGATGGGTTGGCGATCTTCCCTGTTCACTGCCAGAGACGGAAAAAGGCAATCTAAGCGTGCGGGATCACGAACCTGCCGCCGCCTGCCGCCGCCCGCCCGTCCATCCGTCCGCTTCGCTTCTCAGCTTCCTCGCTTCGATTGCTCATTCGTTCGCTTCCATGGCCCCGGCACCGTCTTTCCTAATCCTGCATCTGGCCACGATCTGCATCCTTCCTTCCGCGCACCGCCATCCTCTTCAGTCCTGTCCACCGTCCGCGCGTGACGCCATCTGGCCACGAGCTCGCATCCACCGTCTCGCATCAGTTCTCACAATAATCACGGTCGATGTGCGGCGGTAATCCAGTACACTCTTGGCTCGCTGGCTCGCTGGCCACCTGGCGCGATGTACGTGCGATGCAATGCGATGCTCCTCCTCGCGCTGCATGAGCCTGCACCCCTCTCCGCGGACCTTCGGACTTGATGATGTGACCCCCACCACGCCGAAAAACCGCACCAGTCGCAAGCCAAGGGTTTGTATGCGACACTGAGAATCAAGAAGTCGGGGCAAATGAGAGAACTCGGTGATAGCAGCCTGAGGGCTCGTGTCCATGCGCGCGCGTGCACTGTACAGCCCTGAGAACCGCGTCTCCACTCGCGGACGTACATACACGGACGTGCGTGCCCACCCGACTTGAGTCGAGTGTGCGCGGCCGACGTGGCTGGCTCGTTCTATCGGGCGGTCGGGCGGTCGGAGTTTCTTGTTTATCTTTGGGTTGCGGGTCGCGGCGCGCGTGTGCCTTCATTTGAAGCGCCTCGACCACGAAGCACGACGGAGGAACGTGATGCGCATCGTGTCTCGTCGCGCAGGTGACCGGCGCTCTTTCCTTTCCTCCCCACCTGTGCCAGCCTGGCGCCTTCCGCCCTTCTGTGCCAAAGTCTCCGAGTCCTATCCGTCGCCCTTCGCGCACCTCCCATGACAGACGAGTCTGGCGGCACGATGGGGGTCGTTCCTTTCATCCCGGCGGCGCTTCGCTTCGCATGACAATAGACCAACAATGCGGTTATCGTCGTTCCCGCGCCGCGTGTGTGCTTCCGTTCTGATGCTTATGTTCTGTGGTTGCGGTGTGGACCTTGACGTCGCCTAGTGGCTCCCTCCCCCCTGCGCCTGGCCGACGCCCAGAGCGTCCAGGATGCCCCCCCTCCTTGACCGACATCAGGCACAGCTGAGACCCGCGCTCGCAACTCTTTTCCACCTTTGGACAGCGACTGTGGTCTGTGCCTTGCATGAGTCAGTCTGGGACGCATCAACTGATGTCAGACCATGCGTGGTGGCCGTCGGCGGTGGTGGAGAATCCCCCTGTCGCCTTTGTCGCGGCAATGAAACGCCTCTGCCGGCCGTCAATGTGTCCGTTTTTCGAGTTCGCTGCGGATCCCTTCCTTTTCTTGCGACCCTGATTTAATTTCTAAGCGCGTGTAGCATGACAACCATTACCATACTATTCAAACGTACAACAAAAGGATATTAGAAAAAGTCGGGCAGAGGGAGAATTGCGCTCGTTGCTTCGGCTGATGGTCATGTGGTGCGTGCTTGCACTAGTACAGGGACAGACGGTGTTCGTGTCTTCCGCACACATCGCGATTCTGACAAAACGTCTCTCCAGCTCGACTGTCAACCCGCGACACTATCGACGACCTATTCTACCCCCTCTCCGCGCCCGTTCTGAACTACACCCAAAACAAACCCATCCAGCCTTCGCTCCTCGGCCGCGTCCCAATCCTGGCGGCGCCCACACACGAGTCTTGTCCGCTTTTGTCACCACTCGCTCGGCGACATGTCTCCGAGCCAGATATGCAGCCAGCTGCGATGGGATCAAGCCCGTGCTCGAGCTTGCCTGCCGATCCGTGTCATCAATTGCGCGTCTCCGTTTTGGCGGGCTCAAGTCTCTGCCCGCGGCATCCCGTGGACGAATCCTACTGGCTGTCATCCCGAAACGCCACACGCGAGCGTACCACATACTCCGGCGATGTACGTTTCACCCGCAGCCTATCGTGATGCGCAGTCTGGGCGCCCAAGAGAGCAGGGGAGGTGTGTGATGGAAGCTGATTGGCTGATTCCTAGAGACCTCATAGGCAGATCCGGTGCCCCAATAGTAGGCCGTCATTTGCGATTCCTGCCAATCACGGTGTGGACCCAAAGAAGGGTTCTCCTCCATGGAGAATGAGAAGCTTTGCCTATTTCATACCGCGTTTCCGGGTGCTATGGGCTGTGCTCGCAAAGGCCGCAGCTGACTGGCCCAGCGCCGTGCAGCCAATTCAAAGGCGACCGCCCAGATGGCGGAAGAGAGCGTCAAGAAGGGTGCGTCTCGCAACGGCAGTCATCGTGCAGTGTTATTGAGGGCAAATTAATTCATTTGGGGCGAGAGTTGATAGGCAATATGCGGAGCTTCGACGTTGATGCGCCTCCCCCATTCGACGGTCGATGGACGAGGACTGATTTGACCAATTAGGACAGTCGTACCCCGCGACTTAGCGACCAATGGCTGGACTCATTCGCTCTCTTACTTCCGCTCAGCTTTGACAGAAATTTGTCGGGATCACCCGCCGTCATTCGTCATAGCTTATGTCTAAGCGCCTGCACTCGTCACGCTACTTACCAGCTCTGTGCCTATCACGACTTCCTCGAAGAGGTGGAATGACAAACAAGTGTGCATAGAGCGTCCGACATTGCTCAAGTGCCGCGACCCAAACGCCTTCTGCCAGTCTTACGTGCGAGCTGCTCTGTTCTGTATCGCTCATCATCTCTGTCCGAGGAGCTACGGACGTTTCGGTGTCTGATCCTCTCAGCCTGATTCACCACTGGATGCGGATGTCGAGCGTTGCAGCCTCGTGCCCTTCCACTTGTAAAAAGATCGTTCTGGATCAGCCTTCGCGGCGAGGAAAGAAGGGAGAAAGTAGCCACAGGAATCCCCGAAGCAGCGTCTCCTTCCTTTCGTGTCGCAGGGTGCTCATATCGTCCATTCATTGACAGGCACGTCGAGCCGGTCACAGCCTTCTCTTCTTGATATCTATCTACAGTGTCCTTAACGCGACTGCACCGACTTTGCTGTGCTCGGCTGCATGCAGCGCACGGCCTGCCTATGGTGCATCCTCTTCCCTGATCTCCGCAACCATCTTGCACGGGTAGGTGGAGTTTCAACGGTTCATCACATGTGTGCAAAGATGCCGTCAAAATGAAAAGCTTCGACGCTCCCTGTGCAGGTTGCCCATGCGGGCGTGAAGTCACAGCGGACCCATTTCGTCGACCATTTCCACTGCCAACGGGAGCTCGTCCGATCGACAGTACTGGACAGAGCAATTATGTCTCCTCATCCGCAGGTGGCACCATGCGGGGTGGGCTTCCATTGCATCATTCATCATCAGGTCAGTACGCACAAGTTTGCGAATTACAGATTCCCAGTTCGTGACGGTATAATGCAGACAACTGCAAGGACGGCAAATACAAATAGTGCTTGCGGCCGTACGTCAGCTCACCGAGGCAGCCGAGCAAGAATTGGTATGTACCCTCCCATGCTTGTTTTGCTCTGCACGAACATTGGCTCCCAGCGCTGTGTGTCAGCAATAGCTCACCTGCACCCTGTTTCCGCGGAGCGCCGGAGATACCGTCTATGGCGTGCAGGTCAGAATTTGATCGGACGCCACCACTCTGAGTCCAGATCCCATGATAACTCAGTCCTTGCGGACTGCATACCGTCATACAGTAAGCGCAGTGCCTGGAGCAAGAACTCTCGGGTGTACATCATGGGACTTTGCGGGAGGCGATTATCGAACAGATAATATCGTCACCCGTGATCTCACGACCGGCGGCTGTGGATATATTCTTTTCCATCATATTCTGTTCCACTCTTGTCGCACACACAACTCGCTCATACATTCCTATAAGGCGTCGATTTCGACCATGCATGTTCTGAGGAGCGCCTGTCGCGGCGGCTGTGTTGTCCAATGATCAAAGTATGGTAACATGTTTGCGGGGTGGGTACCATGATACAAAGATCGCTCTAGGCGGTTAACCGGATATCCTCACGCATGTTCTAGAGCACGTCATAAATGCCAAAGATCTTTGGAGGCTCTTGTGGACTCAGCGTCACCGGAATACACCACATTTTCCGTGTTTTGTCACCGCGGAATAACATAAATTGGAAACAGGGCATCATATCGCAGCATGTATGTGGAGGTGAATATGTCGCATTTTTGAAGGTCCAGACTCTTGTTACAATGTCCCAAAGTGGGTCGGCGCACCTGTAGCTCGCTTCGATATCGTTCTTTCCGTACAATATTGAGGGCGGTAAGTGTCTATCACTGATATCCTAGTAGTTGGATACTGATCTATTTCATATCTCTGCCCAAGTAGTCCAGCACAACGAGCTAGTGGACGATTTACTCCTCAAAAATGTCCGAAAAACAGGGTGACGAGTGCGAGGCGCCATTCAAAACATGGAAGTAGCATCTACAAATGTTGAGTTTCAACTAGCTTAAGCGATATGTGGACAATCCCACCTCGGTGATCGGAGCACGCGAGTTCCGCAAGCATGTTTCCCGTGATGACCTGACCCCGAATCGATTCTCCTCGAACGACCACGTGAATATGGAGTCCGATCTCCGCACATTTCTATTCAGGCTAGCTTAGGACCAGAGGCGTTTTCCTCGCAGTGTATCTCTCAAACGTATGCCGATGACTTGAATCCCCCAAACCTTGCTTTTGTCCTGGTGATTGACCGGATATCAACCCCTTTCTCAACTTTCCGCGCTAGCATTGGAGCATGGTATATTGAAGTCAGCGAAGGCGATTAGAAGACCAGCGGGGCCGATGTCCTCGATCTCGTACAATGTTTTTGGAGATGCATCCCTGCATCAACTTGTTAGGCGTCGGTTGTTCCCATGTCTACCCCAAGGAGAAACCGCTCGATGCGAAACAGGTTGCGGATATATCCTGTCCCAATATCGAAGTGTGTACACATCAGTCGGAATGGTACTGAACGGCACACAGGTCGTGGATGCCGATCTTCCATCTTCGTTGATCCCATCCGCCTGGCCACGGTGTAGCACCGATGCGTTGCGCCCCACCATCGAGAGAGTTGCGTCGATAGCTCCGCTTTGGCTGATGTCCTTGATAGTGAAGCCAATCACTACGACCCTCGCGACTTCGCTGGCCGGACGGACACCGGGTCCATCGCCGCAAAGATTGACATACAGCCTTTGAGTGCGAGCGCATGGTTGACTCTTGAGATATACTTTCTAAATGAGGCATACACGGAGCTAATTCTGCCCTGATGCAGAAGGTTTTGTCACTAAAGAACTCGTTGAGAATAGCCCGAGAGGGCTGGGATATGGCCGGTGTATACACATTGAGACTAGTGAGGTCGGTGGTCCAATCTATCGTCTTCCTTCCGGACCTAGGAAATCGCCTGCGATTGCTTTCGAAGGCGCTGGATATGTTCGGAATTCACCGTATATGCTTCCCAGAGTGGATGTCGACCGTCTGACAGCTTCCCTAATGAACCTCTGGGCGCCCTGAATGTCGTAGCTAATGAAGGGCGAAACCCGACCCGACATAGCCATAGAAATGTACGCGCCAGATTCATCTGTCAATTTAACCGGCAGCATGGTCAGATCTACAAATACTATTCAGTCATATATGGAAGAGATCCGACTTGCCATCGGAGTGCCATCGGGCACTTTTTAGTCAAGCGCGCATCTTCGGACTGTTTTCATTATGAATCAGAGCGCCTCCAGCTGCTGCAGGAGAACATAACACGGGGATACCAAACTCGGAGAAGATACAAAAGGCGTATAGGAATATGTTAATCTAGTCCAGCATTCAGTAATACGGAGATCCGCAAGATAATGCGCATCAGAAGATATTATGTCGTTGTTCTCGCCCTCTACTTCGCTACCCAAGATGCACCTTCCTAAAACGCATACATGACTTGCACCAGGCTTATCCACCTGCCTTTCCAAGGAGCGCGTAGCCGCTGCCTTGCGGCCCATGAAACTGCGCAGACCAGAATCGGTCAGCAACCGCAACGCGATCTGTACCCAGTGACCTGATGATCAGTGGAACACCGAATTGCCATACCTTGCTATAACACCTGTGGCACATGGGCTGGCCGTCTTTCTCCGTCAGACGGCTCGAATCAAGTAGCGTATTACATTCGACGCAACGAAGACACGCTTTGTGATATGTCTTTCCCACCGCTTTCACCTGCATAAGCGAAATATTGCTCAGTCACTGCTTAATTCAATTCAAGGATCAGCGACCCACCTGCTCCGCAAAGTAAACACTCTTTCCACACTTGGGACACTGTGGCGTCCCACTGCCCCACTGCCTCGGAGAGTTTCCGGTCGGATTGCCTCTCACGCTTCCCATCAAACCTGCACCGTATCTTGTCCCAGTCGCTAACGGCACCATAGCCGCGCGGCCCAACGTCATTGTATTTGCCCCGCCCGTGGAGGACGAAGGCTCGGTGACAGGATGATACGAAAGAGGAGGCACCGATTGAGTGCTTTCGGGTTTGGTTGGTGAACCTACACGGTCTGGCGTGAGGGGCACAGTGCGTGGCAGACCACCCTGTGAGCGTCCGACATGAGTGGGGATTGACTCTGCCCGAGGACGGCTGGGCGTAGCTCCGAGACCGAGGTTCCTCGCGTCAGGAATATATTCTTCACCAACACTATCGCCAACAATTACCCCCTTTGTATCACCGAGTGCATCCTCCTCGGACTCCTTCACTGCGTCGAAACTGCCATAGATCGGAGATGTAGCACCAAAGGTCGCACGATTTGGGCTGAGAGTGCGGGTGGGTCTAAGAAGATTGATTGTTCCGTTTCCTGTGTCTGCACGGCCAACAGTAGCGGGTTGAGTAATTCTGCGACCCGGGAGAGGTGGTGGGGATGCCGCGGAACGTCGCGAATATGTGGGCGCTTCAGCGGTGTAACGACGGGGAGAAGATGATTCGGGTGGTATCGCGGTTGAATCACTGGGTAAGGAAATGCCAGTGCGGGTAGGCGAGAGCGGCGTAAGGTCAACACGATGCGGGAGATTAGCCTGGCGAAGGTCGCGTGTGCCGAAATTCTTGCTATGGCAGTTCTTGCTGTGGAACGTGAGATGTATTACCAGGAAGGTGGTCATAAATCGACTTACCAGTACGGCTATACGGGTAATAACGTCCAGTTTATTTGTTATGTCTCTGCTATACACTTGGATAGAGAGCAGTACATACCTCTTGATCGTGCTCTAATAAGCTCAAAGAGTCGAGTCTCTTATTACAATCTGTACATGTTAAGCATGGCTAAAAGATTCACTCCATATCATTGCTCTCAGCGTGCTTGAATAACCGAAATGCTAACTTTATGATACAACTGGAAACAGGATGTTATTGAAGCTATATTTGACAGGATGCTCTACGCACCTTCCTTCCTGGACCCATCGTCTTAAAATGCGTGAGCGCACGCAAGTTCGGATGAGTGACCCTTGCTCTCTGTAGAAAGAAGCTAGGGTATTGTACGTACCTGCTCTGCAGCATAAACAGCCTTGCCGCATCGTGGGCATATCGGCACACCTCCGAAAGGATGCATGGTTGAATCTTAGAAATAGTTAGAAATATGAATATCGATATATATCTTGCGGTGTATGAACAAGAATGCGAGGACAAAGAGAATATGTGGTTGAAGCTGAGGTTCTCTAGCTGACGGAGGTGACCGGCGTCGATATTGGCTTACGTACCGGTGTTGTCAAGAAGATAAGATAAGATCCTCTAACTTCGAAACTTTAGAACACTGGCTCGAAAGATGTAGCTCAATCAACTGGTGATGCATGTTAGAAAACCTGGTTGTACTTATGACTTGATCCTAGATACCTTTTAGTGCCATAATAATCCAGCACAAGAGGGCAGAGCATCCACATATTGTGAGCCATATATTTTCACAATTGATTTGTATATACGCAAGCGTAGCGTGTGCATCACGATGCACGAGGCACCAAACAAAATGTGGGTCTAATAGTTTTACTAGATAATATGAGTGACCTAGACTGCAAGGAGCATTCAATTGACCAAAGTAGCTTCTGTCAAACGACCTAGTGGATGCTGCGCTCCGGAACAAGAAAGTCATGGCATGTACACGTACAAGGACCGCACATGCCAGAACTTGCAATCCCTTACCAGAATGAATGGTACCGGCGGCCTTCCAAGCGCAGCCGCAGGAAAGAAAGGGCGACATTGACGCCAAAGGAAGCCGCTGCGCTACTCTGCGCTACAAGTGTATGTTTGTGGGTAAGATTGGAGAAAAAAATGCTGTCAGGAAAAATCCATCCTTGTGGATGGTACGTCGTATATCTACGTGCGAACCCCTTCGACGTCGAGACAATTTCGCTCCAGAGGCTATAGGTGCTCTGCTAGGTGGCTGCGAGGGCGGTGCCGGATGGCCGGATTGTCCCAGCAGGCGGAGATTGAACTTGATTAGACAACTCTGATTTTTTGCATGCGGCGTCAGTTCTTCCCATCTTTTCACCTCCTCACCTCTCGTCGTCCTCCCTCAAAATCCACCATCTAGATTGCCATCATGTCTGACGACGAGCAGCACAACCAGACCTTTGAGCAGGTGCGCATGTCTCCGAGTTTACCGGCGGTTCCTCAGCACGACGCTCGCTTGTACTCACTTTCTATGGTTGATCTCCAGGCGAGTGCTGGCGCCTCTGCCACCTTCCCTATGCAATGCTCGGCTCTCCGCAAGAACGGTCATGTCGTTATCAAGGGTGTGTTTTGTCAGATTTTTCAAGAGATCAATCCATCTGACCCGCAGATGCGCGCAGGTCGCCCCTGCAAGATCGTCGAGATGTCGACCTCCAAAACTGGCAAGCACGGTCACGCCAAGGTCCATCTTGTCGCCATCGACGTGAGTGGCCTTTCTTTGCTGGGGTTTGCTATGTACTTATATTTGTCCAGATTTTCACTGGCAAAAAATTGGTACGTATTGCAGTCCAAGCTATTGCAAGGATAGATATGAACGCCCCGAACAGGAGGATATCTGTCCCTCCACCCACAACATGGATGTCCCTAACGTCACGCGTAACGAATATCAGCTCGTACGCACTTCTTTCTCTTCTCATTGTTGGTTCGACATTGACTTCGTGTAGGTCAACATCGATGATGGTTTCCTCAACTTGATGACACAGGACGGTGCTGCCAAGGACGATGTCCGCGTCCCCGAAGGTGACCTTGGCAAACAGATTCAAGCCGACTTCGATGACGGTAAGGATCTCTTGGTTACCATTGTTTCGGCCATGGGAGAAGAGCAGGTAAGTCTCATCGGCCGATTGGACGCTAGATGTGAACTGATCTGTCGGGGAAGGCTATCACGGTCAAAGAGGCTCCCAAGGGAGGCAACTGATTTTGGTTCGTGATTTCCACGTGGCCCTCTGATCTATCCCAGCTTCGCAGAATTAACCATCCTTTTCCCCCTTCGGTTTACAGGTCCTCTCCGTCGTGCATCTGCGTCTATTTTCTCCCCTTCTCTCATCTGTGCATTCGCCCGTCTTACACGTCTACCATCCTTACGGATGTCATCCCTTGTGCATGTACTCTTTCAAAGCTCGAGTTGGCTTGATCCCATGTACTGCATTAGTTCTCTCGTTTGGAGTGTCAAGTTGTCTGTCGCAGTGATTCAGGTAGCAGTGGTATATTTTTTGACTGTGAAGTAGTAGTGGTATCCATAGACCAACCATCAGTGGTGGTTTTGATGTAGCTTGAATGTTGATGGTATCATCGAGAGCATCGAGAGTCCAATGATAGCGAGTTGAAAGCGAGTAACAAGATACATACACGTGTGAAACTAAGAATTTATATGACGGTCAACCAATCCTACTCTCACTTCTTGCTCGTCCCACCGCAGACACGCTGGACAAGTTGCTTTGAATGCTTGCCTGTCTTGCTCGACGAGGAATCGCGAGCGGCTCTTTAAAGCTCTTCTGATCGTACTCCCAAGTCGCATACATGCGTGCATCCGGTAAGGCCTTTTCTTTCCCTGCGCCTTTCCCGTTGGCAAGGCCGTTAGCAAGTGCCTCCTTCCCTTTACCTACAGTCGGCGTAGGAGCTACTGGGGCAGGCATAGGACTCGAATTCCATACTGCGCTAACGCCATTGCCATAGATGAGCTGTTCAGAGCCGCGTTTGAGCACGCCAGGATGAGAAAGCCGCATGGTCCGTTTTTGAAGAGGAGCCTGCAGAAACGAGGCATGATCAGAATGGCGCTTGTTAAGATATATGTGCAAAAATGCCTTACCGAAAGCACTGCTCTGGCCAATTCTGAGATGCGGGAGTCCTGATAGCTGACAAGAGATGTAAGGCGATCGGGAGCACCGACGGGTCTGCCAAGCATCGCGGGGAGATTCGACTTCTTGGAATTCTCGTCATCTTTCTTCTCGTCGAAGGTAGGGGGTTCTGTGCCGATGGGTACGGGATAGGTCGGGCCAATCGCCGCGACGGTGGGGGCGTTTGGGACGTTGGAAGCATAGAGGGTGGCTACAGGCTCCCAACGAGGATTGCGCTGCACTTGGTGTAGGAATTGCATGGCCACTCTGTGGCGAGATGGGTTGGCGGCATTGGGATTCGCAGGAGGAGGGTGAGTGAGGATGTGGTGGTATGCTGCGAGGAGGGAAGGCTGGACTTGAGGGACTGGTAAGCGTGAGAATGAAGGGTTGGAAAATTGAGGAGTGTTTAGTGACGGTGCGTGGGGTAGATGCCATTCAGGTGTGGAAGACAGAGCAGAGAGAGAATATGGAACGGCGGTCACATAGTCTCCTTGCGCACTGGAAGAATGTCGGGGAGGCGATGCTGGGCGCTCAGATTTGATGGTTGGGGGAAGAACAGACGATGAAGCTTCAGCTGCAGGTGGTAATGCGAGTGGCTCAGGTTCTGGAGAAGAGCGGTCATTTGGGAAAGGAGGCAGAAAGTGAGGTATATGAGATGGGGGATGCCAGTTGTTAGTTCGGGGTCGTTTTCGTGCAGGAGACGATGGATTGGATACTGGGGATAATGGTAGAGGAGGTGTATGAGGTGTTGTCCGTGGCGAGACAGGTGTCGCTATCCTTTGTAGGGGTGGTAGCCTTTCCAACTTCGACGTTTCTGCCTCTCCGTTCACCATATCCATGGCACTTTCGACGACATCATCCATGTCCACATTAGTGTCATATGGCACTGGAGATTCACCATCTTCCTCTTCTTCCTCTGGTAACCATTCGGGCAAAGAAGCATAAACCAATGGTATTGATTCGGGCGCTGGAAGCCCGTATACTAGCGAAGCTAAGGACCAGAGCAATTATATCAATGAAAGCCGTGCATGCAGCACGACTCGACTGACCCTTGAAGTCATTCAAATCCTCTAGACGTTTGGTAGAGTGGCCGGCATACCGCGCCAGCTCTTCTCCTTCATGGCTACAGTATTCATTAAGTTCTTCTACGTCGATGCCCAGCTCATCAAGTGCACGAATGGCATCCCGAGCCGTCAAGTTGGTACGCCCCGCGTGTTGCGCGTATTGTGCGCATGTCGTCGAGAGAAGGGCGATGTAGCGGGACAGCAGATCGGTCAAGACCAGTGATGCTTGAGTCGAGGAACGGGAGAAACTGTGAGCATGAAGAGTTTTCAAGGTCACAGACTCAAGAAGTTTGAAAGCATTGCTGTCCATTGGTGATCGTTTGGTGGCTTATTTATCACGAGAAACGCGCCGTCGTCGAGCTCGACGTGCTCAATGTCGTGGTGGTTGGGAGCAGCTCTTGAGGCGGCGCTTGAATGCTTCGGTCTTCACCGGTGACCGCCACCCTGCATACTGCTACACCAGCCTACGCCTGCACTCGGTTGTTGAGATGTGCTTATTGTTTCTGGAATCTCAAGGACTCTGTACATTCACATAGATTTGCGCTCAATATGTATATGTATATACGTGGCCCTCTCCTGTTTGCCTGATCTGTAATGTGATTCCCCTCACCAATAGCACGATGGAGGGTCCGGCTCAGTAGGCTCGTAAGCGGCGGACATTGGGAAAAGAAACACGCTCTCCACATAATCCTGCAAGCAGTCAACACACCCATGTCCGCAATCTTTGTAGACCACAACAAGGTTCTTCAGGCCCAGTCCGACCTCCCGCCGTCTTGACAAAAGTGTCTTCAGGACCCCAAAAGCCGGGGCGTGCGACTGTGAAATATGAGGGCATTCTAGCTCCAGGCCGTCGAGGATGAGCGTCGTGAGATTTGGAAGCCAAATTTCGTTTGGATTGTCTAGGTCGGGAGTAATGGCTGCGAGGATACCCAAGCTGTCACGGAAGATGGCTTTCAAAATACGGACCTCCGGCATGAGACGAAGGATGGGTCTCCATGCATCAGGATCTTGCATACGCTCTTCATATTCCAGGCTTTCGGCATTGGGCTTCCGGTACTTCCAATTCTCGCTCCTGTAGCTGGAAAGTGTGAACGCGGTCACGTCTGTCACGGCAAATATATGTTCGCAAATACACAATATATCGTGCATAGCTGCGGGCATGCAACCTGAAAGATGCTCGTACCCTGCGACTCCCACAGCAAATGGCGAACGGCATAGATCAAACAGGCACTCTCGACCCGATTCAACATAGTCTGAAGGCAAAGGTTCCGGCGTGTCGTGCCCACATTGTTGATCCCATCCCGACGTATTGCCTTCCAAAGCCAGCTGTTTCCAATAATGTTCGTCGGAGGAATTGGTGGGGGGACAAAAATATGTCTCAGACGCGGGGTGCCAAGACAGCTTCCAAGGTCCGTTGCTAAGAATGAGGCATATATATGCAGAGCTCACGCCTTGACTGAGCAGAGAAAGATGAGGGAGGATCAAGTCAAGTAGGCATGACCACTGATCTTCCCTGGCGGTTGACACTTCGTCGTAAATCATGACTTGAACATGAGCCGTTGGGGGAAGCAGAATTTGTTCTAAAAAGTCAAGAGCGTCATACGAGAGTGTGGTTGACATATGAGAGAGATGCGGAAGGGAGACAAGTCCGGTGACGGGCTCGATGAAGGCAGAGAAGGGATCACTTCTGAAGCCGTCGATTCTCAGTCTCTCGAGGAAAGGCGTATTCTGTAGTGCCGTCAGGGTCTCGTCGGAAGACAAGGTCTCTCCCAACTTGAGGGAGCGAAGATTATGTAAGATGGGCGAAGTAGCATCTATTGCGCCCCCGGTGGTGAGCCATAGGCGACGTAGGCGAGGGGCATGTCCAGCAAACAAGTTCTCCATGAATGCATTCGCAGCGTAGACGTCTAGGACGGCACTCTCCAGCAGTGGAGCGGGTTGAATGATCGCGTCGCAGAACGGCAGCAGCAAATCGGTGTTAATGTCTTCCGGCAAAGCGCTCCCCAGGTAAAACTTCTCGACTCGCCCAAAGTGCGGTGCGAGCAGTCTGCGAAATTCGTCCGCGCTGATCTGCGTCGAGATGTCGAGCTCGACCACCAGCGGTCTCGTGCGGGAGCGGCAGAGGTGGGCGCTGATCCAGCCGAGGCTGAGATCCGTGGTGATGAACGTCCACATGCGCGGGCAGAGAAGGGAGATCTGGCGCCAGAGATGGCAGACGTATGTGATGGCTATCCACTGAGGGGCCATCCCAGCGGGAAAAAAATCGCGCTGCACCCATGTGCTTGGAATATAGGTCCCTATCGAGCAATCGAGCAATATATGCTCCACTACCTCGACGGGAAGTTTTTGTATGCCACTCGACACAGCGAAAGGAACACCAGCTGGAGCGAACGGGGCAGCGACAGCGACGGGGCCGAGATCGGGAGTGTCTTCGTCCATAGATCTGGGCGCAATGCGATGAAGATGTGCCGGCAACACGATTGTGAGACCTATACCTTGAGAATCAGAATCAATCACAGCGTTGTGGAGTCCTTATATGAAGAGCAAGTCGTGAGGTTGACGAGTGCGCTGTGTCTGACGGGATAGTCTCCGTGGCTGACCTTACACAGAATATAGTCGTTCTGTGTATAAGACTGATGGGGGAGAAACAAAGCAGTATGCCTAAGTCTGCACGCACCGGCGTTATATATAGTCCACAGACCTCGCAAATCAATCCAGAACAAAAGCAACACCGAGGCCCAACTGAGGGGGGCCGACCGAGCTCAACCTAGATTTGGCATAAAGCGCGCGAACGAGGCGACGAAGAGAACAAGGTAAAACCAGACAAATGTCATCGACGTCGACGACGCTGATTTACTAAGTCTCCCGAAAGGCTAAAGCAGCAGCGCTGGCAATTCTCCTTCACCCTCCAACATAGTCTGTGGATATCTGCATCTGAGCGCGCGAGCCTAAAGGACAGTAGGAAGACAGTCGCTTCGTGTACAAGCTTGAGCTCAAGCTCAGGCCCAGTGTTGTAAGATCAGAAACCGCATGATATTCGCTACCAATGACTTCGAGACTTTGCGAAGCCACTCTCCCGACACTCAATACTCAAGTACTCAATACCCACGCAGCAAACAATATCAACACGGGCTCGTCATCACGTTATCCACAAGCACCTAACCAACCGTAAAAAAAAATTGCAACGTAAAAAAAACGTAGATAGACAATGTACAAACAACGATTCAAAAACGATCCAGATTCCAGCAAACAAACACGACAAAAAAAAACGCATGACAGGTATTACTCGACGACAGGATGGAGAGCGGAACGGGAAACTTGGGGGTGTGCGTGCGTGCGTGTGGATGGTGGTGGTAGTGGTGGTGATAGAGGCTGTGAGATGAGGCGATGGATCCGGAATGTACACGATGGGGCAGCAGAGGAGAGGTTGGGGAAAGATTTATATGTCCAAAGCAGAAGGAAAGGTGTAGTGCGTTGCGAAGAGCAAAAACGAAAATAGAGGGGAAGAGAGGAAGGAAGGCGAGACGGGACGTAGGTAGCTTCACTGGTTCGTTTCTTTATATCACGAAGACCGCGCGGGAGGAGTCCCATGGAAGGAAAACCTGCACCGCGCGATCAGATCCTGTCAGATCACTAGAAAAAAAAGGAGACGCTCGCAAAAAAAGTGAGTTATACAAACAAGAACAGGGTCGTGGAAGGGGGTAGTAGTAGTCATCATCATCACGGGAACGGGAATAGCTCGCGGAGGGGCAGGCCAACGAGGAGATCATCTATGCCTGCCCGCGGAGCAGGAAGGCGAGTCGCAAGAGCATAGCATACAGCTGAAGAAAAGCGTCGTGGATCCGGAGGAGAGAATACACAAGGGGAAGGGCGAGCAGACGCTGCGCCGCAGCGTAGCCCCCACTATGCCGCCTGCTCAGCGCAGCAGAGTCAGCAGCAGGAGGGGGAAGCACGAGAGCCGTCACCGGCACCGGCACCATCGCTAAAGGAGGCGTCGAGTCCATCGCAGGAACAGCAGAAGGCGGGGTGGCGTCAGCAGCACTAGCAGCAGCAGCAGCAGCAGCGGGCTCGGCACCCGAGTCAGAAGATAGTCAATTCGAGGTCGTGCTGTCGGCGACCCGGTTCCAGGACACGTCCGAAGGCGAGGTCACGACGGCCGAGAAGACGACCGCGTCGTCGTCGTTCTCGTCGGTGCCGCTGTCGTCCGCGATCGGGCTCAAAGGAGTCTCGGACGCCGGTTCGGGCGCCGCGTTTTCGTCGTTCACGACTTCGGCGGCAACAACGGTGGTGATGGTGGTGGCGGCAGCGGCGGCAACAGCTGGACCGGCGGCGGCAGCCTTCGCGGCGTCCTCCTTCTCTTTCTTCTCCTGTTCTTCGCGTTCCTTGGCCTGCGGCACCGTTTCGAACCATCCGGTCAGTAAGCACGATAGGCCCAACAATACTCCAGCGGCGACCTGGGAACGCACCTCTCTTTCTTTCTTCTCCTTCTCCTTGACTTCCTTCTCCTTCTTGAGCTTCTCGCGCAACTCGCGCTCGCTCACGACCCAAGCGGCGGCCTCCGCCGCCGCCTTCTGCGGGCGCGACTTGTTCTTGAGAAGGTCTGCGGGGTTATAAAGGCGCGGTCAGCATCTCAACGCAACGCGACACGCACCACCAGCCCCAGCCCGGCCCCGGTAGCCAAGAAGAACGAGGATCTCAGAACCCGGCAAAAGGAACAACGTGGTCCGGCAGACAACGATCATGCATCAAACAAGAAGAGTCTAGCCATCATATCCACACGAGCCGACGAAGACGGGGACACTCACAGCCTTGCAGCGCGGCGACGCTGAACTCCTCGTCCGGGATCGAATCCGCGAATTCCTTTGCGAGCTCCGCGAGGCGGCTGCTGCTCAAGGGTGGTGCCGAATGCGCGCACGCCGCGATATCTTCCTCGATCGCTGGGGGGAGATAGGCCTCGTTCTTGGCCCCGGCGCCTGACGGCCGGCTGACGCTGTCACTGCGTCTGCTACCTGCCCTGGAAGCAGAAGCGGACGACGGCGTCGATGGCGAGCGTGTGCCCGAGCCGCTCGACGCAGTGGATATGCCCGACAGGGCATCAGAGAAGAGCGAGCTGAGCGTGCTGGACGCAGGCGAAGGAGGGATCGGCATCTCGAGCCCGTCGAGGTCGCCATCGATGGCCGGGGCTGCGAGGTCAGTGTCGGACGACGGGAAGAAGTTGCGGAAGAGCGCCTCCGCCTGCCATCTCGAAGCATTCTTGAATTCAACCCAGACGTCCATTCGGCCCGGACGACACAACGCGGGATCGAGGCGCTCGAGATGATTCGTCGTGCTGCGCGATCATAGCGCTCAGCGCGCGGAATGGAAGCAAGGCGTGCGGGACTTACGCGAACAGGATCCGGCCTTCGGCAGCGGCGACGCCGTCGAGGGCGTTGAGCAGACCGCTCAGGCTGAGCGTGTTTACGTCGGAGAGCTGCTCCTTGTGCTTCCGCCTACCGCCCCGGCCGTGCGAGCTCGACGACTCGCTGTTGTCCTCCGTCTCGGAGCTCTTGTCGTTCGCCTGTTCCTTCTTCTTGTCCGTGCGGGTGAGCGAGCGCGTGAACGCGGCGTCGAGGTCCTCGAGCAACACGATGCAGCGCGAGGGCACCCGGCCCATGAGCGTCGTGAGCGTGCTGTCGTTGATCCAGGACGACGAGAGCGACACGACGTAGATGTCGAGCGTCAGTTCTCCGGCGATGGCGTGTATAAGCGACGATTTGCCGGAGCCTGGGACACCGTAAAGCAAATAACCTCTGCGGAATGGAATCCCGCGATCCGCGTACCACTGCATCATGATCATAAATCAGCCCAACAGCCCGATGCGGGACACCGAAAGACGAGCGCGCGCACCTTTTCAGACTTTAGGAAGTCGTGCGTGTCCGAGATGAGCATCTCTTTTACGCCGGGGTTGAGGACGATGGAGGACATGGGCCGCTTATGGCGCGAGTCGGTCCAGCGCCAGCTGCCGTACGAGTCTGCGAAATAGATCTGTATGCGGTGGACGGCCTCGGCCTCGTACTCCTTCTTCGCCTGGAGCACGAGCTGCTTCAGGATCGAGTTGTTCCTGGCCACCACGCTGCCGGCGGCACCGACCCCACATGCTGAGTCAGCAAATGCCATCGGGGCGGACGGGGTCGTGGGGGTGTGGCGCGAGACAGTGCGACGGGTGACATGACATACCTGATGGACAGCATCTCGTATCCGTTGCTCTTGCGCCCGCGGCGCACGCGCAGCCAGTGCCCGCGGTAGAAGATGGTGTGGGTGGTGTCGGCGGTGGGCTGGAAGACGACGCGGGTGCGGGTTTTGCCGGGGGCGGCGTCGGGGTCGTCGCCGTCGTCCTCGTCCGTGAACGAGTTGTCAGTTTCGCGATAGCCCCAGGAGCCCTGGTTCGAGGAGCTCGTCGTGGTCTCGAACTCGCGGGAGCGCTGCCACTCTGGGCGGCGGGAGAGCCATAGCATCAGCCACTCATACGGGTAGTCCTCCTCGGAGAAATGGGCGGTGAGGAAGAACGCTGCAGAAGGGTATGTGAGAACGAGGGAAGAGAGGACGGCGAGGCTGAGGCGGCGGGAGGTGGGGTGGGGCTGGGCTTACAATTGACGAAACTCGACCTGGGTGGCGGCTGGGGGGTCAGTGGAGCGCGGGACACGAGTGTGGGAAGGAAGCGAACCAGGCTGAGCTGGAGACGCGACGGGCGGTCTCGACGGTCCCACCGAGGACGACGAGCTTCATACCGTCGACGACGGAGTTGCTAGCGACGTTGCCCACGAAGGGCTGCACGAGAGACTTGAGTGCCTCCATGGCTCGAGCGGGGTGCTGCGTTGATCAAGCCAACGCGAGATAGGGGGCAGCGGGTGGTTGAGGGGGCAGGGAAGAGAGATGGGTGTGTGGTTCGCAGAGGATGGTGATCTTATATGAGGGCTGTGGAGAGCGGGGCCTGCGGAAGCGCCTGGGATGACTTGTGTAGTGACTCAGGATGAAGAGTCGAGGACGGGGCGGTCGAGCACACGCACGCCTTATGAGAGAGCGCTTGCGAACCCTAACCTATGCAGCCCTCTGGCCAATTGCAATATCTAGGTACATCACAGCCTGCCCTCCTCACCCTCCGCCCATGTACAACCCCTCCACCGCCACGTTCGCCTGCCACAGCCCCAGCCGCCGCACCAGCCGCAGCATCCACGGCGCGGGCAGCACCAGCGCCAGCGATACCGGCACCACCACGACGAGCAGCAGCGACAGCAGGAGCGTGATACTCGGCTTGATGACCAGAAAGTAGAACAGCGCTTGATATGACGTCGGGTCCGTAAACTAATACACGACACGCGTCACCCACGTGTTCGATCCGCCGTGACATCAGAAGGAGCAGCGAGCACCCACCATGGAATACGTGTTGCGATAGAAAGACCGCTCTCTCACCGCTGGGAGCCCCGCCTCGACCTCCCCGGTCGTGGGTGCCCGTCGCCGCGTAAATATAGGCGCCAGTGGATACTCTAATTCGTACGCCAGGGGCCCATGGAAGGTCTTTTGCAGCAACACCTGCTCCACAACAAAAAAAAAATGAGCCATCTACTGGGAACGCACAAAGGGGCTTGGATGCTCGCCTCGCCCCGCGCAAGTGTCCGAGCACCGAGCAGGTCAAAGAAACACAACACCGCGCCGAGCGGCAGCGCGACCAACAGCGTCGTCCCAAGCTGTCAAAGCAGGCCGTGAGCTCGATGAAAAAGGCAGAGAGCAAACAAAGCATCCTCGCGACCCACCAGCGTGAACACGAACAAGAACACCGACGCCACCAGCGCGTACGGGAAATTGATCACCAGCAAATGGAACAACGCCGCCCAATACGCCCCGCGCCCCATCGGCCGGAAATACCGCCTCCACCGCCCCCGTCCGCGCCCCCGCCCCGCGCTCCTCGCGTGCTGTCCCGCGTCCGCGTCCGCGTGCTCCTCACCCTCGCCTTCGCCCTCGCCCTCGCCCTCGCCCTCGTACCCCGCGCCCTCATCCCCGTCCGAATCCATCCCCATCCGAAACGCACTCGCCACCGTCTGCGCAAAGCTCGGCGACGCGCTCAGCCCGCTAAACACCGTGCTCGACTGCGAGATCGTCCGCCCGCGCTCGTGCTCGTGCTCGTGCTCGTGCTGCGCGGGAACCCGTCCGCGCTCGTGCCCGCGCGCGGGCAGCAGCAGCGGCGTCGTCTCGCCCGCCCACTCCCCCTGCTCGTCTACTTCTAGCGGAAACGCATACGCCCGCGGAGGTCCTACCCCACCACCGCCGCCGCCGCCGCCCCCGCGCTGCCCGTCATTATCCTCCTCCGTCCCACTAGCCTGTTGCACACGCGCCGTCCCCGCGCCTCCACTCCCAATCCCACCACCCACAGCAGCAGCCGCCCCGCCCGTTCCCCGGCGCCCCCTGCGCCCCGCACGCGCACGCCTCTCGCGCGAGGGGTACGGCGGCGGGGGGTCGTCGAGCGCGAGGCTGCTCGGCGTCGTGCGCAGCGGCAGCGGTGGCGGCGGCGGCGGGGACGTGGACGTGGGGGTGGGCGTCGGGGGCGGCTGGAGCGGATCAGGGGACATCGGGTTATCTACGTGAGAGTGGTAACCCCGTAGCCAGTCAATCAACAGCTCGCTCTGCTTTCGGTGGAGTGGGGGACGAGGGGTGTCGCTGTAGTCGGGGCGTGTCGATGGATGAGGAGGAGGGGAGAGACGTGGGGCGGAGTGGAGTATTGTGAAGAGCGGGCGTGAAGCTTGAAGGGCGTCGCTCTTTACGGACGGACGGCCTCGCCCGATCTTATCTCGCCTTGTCGCGCCACGCCTCCGATCGCCCCGTTACTATCTCACGCTCTCCGGACGTGCGCACACTCGGGCGCTTCAGCTCGCGCGACGGGCGTGGCCAACACGGCCGACACTGCGGCAGCAGCAGCAGGGCGCAGGCTGGGCGACCTCTATCGGGCGCACGCCGGCGCCCAGCGGACAGTGTATAGACCATGCGAGAATCGAAACACACACGGCCTCTCCACAAAAGCACAGAAAGAAAGAGACAACGTACGTGCGTGCGTGCGTGCGTGCGCATGCATGTATGTACGTATCCACGAGAGTGTCCACGCGGTGGGTAGGTACAGGCGCACGACGTAGATAAATAGATAGGGCTCGGGCGAGAGAGACAGAGAGAGAGATCGAAAGAAGGAAATAAAAGAAAAAGGTAGATAGAAAGTGATGAAAGAGGGTATGATGGCGGGGCAGGGCAGGGCCAGCAAAGCTTGAGCAGAGCGGACGGCGACGGCGACGGCGACGCAAGCAGACCATAGAGCGAGATGAAAAAGATAATGACAAAAGAAAGAGCGAGCGAGCGAGAATAAACCAAGAGGACAAACCACCTCCCACCACCTCCCACCACCTCCACCAGCACACACGCGCACGCACGCACGCACGACGCCCGAGCCGTGCTCACGACCCAAGCGCAAGCGCCGTCTCCAGCCCCGCCTTGCTCACGCGGCGCATCGGCTGCAGCGTGTTCTCGTCCACCGGCGCGCGCCTGAGGTGCCGATAGCGCCCCGACGCGTCCCGGATCTCCGTCTCCTGCCCCACGTCCCCGACGCCCTGCGACAGCGCCTCGACGCCCACGCCCCCCGTGAACGCCGGCGGCAGGCTCTCGCGCATATGCGCCGTCCGGCGCGCACCCACCACCGCGACCGTGTAATTCCCCTGCTTCGCCCCTCCCCCTCCTCCTCCCCCACCCCCACCGGGCGCAGCGTCCTCGCTCGCACCGGCGGCGTCGGCGTCCGGCTCGGGCGCGGGCTCGGGCTTGACGACGCCGACGGACTTGCCGCCGAGCTCCTGCTCCTCGAAGTTCATGAGCTCGGACACGAAGCCGATATTGGGCGAGATGCCGCGCCGGCGCTCGAGCACGAAAGTGTACGCGCGCGAGAGCGTCCAGTGGTTCGCGTGGATCAGGTACGCCATCACCGCCGTCACGGAGCGCGACTTGCCCGCCTTGCAGTGCACGTACGTCGGCGACGAGTGCAGGCTCGCGTCGTCTACGCGGGCGCGGGCGCGCGCGGTCAGAGCACGGTCACGTCGGAGAGAGTGTGGGTGGGCGCGCTCACCGAGGATCTCGCACACCTCGCGCACGCCGCGCGTGATGTTCTCCTCCTCGACCGTATCGCGCATCGGGATGCGCACGTAGCGCTCAAAGCGCTCGCGCAGGCGCAGCCCGCGGTCGTCGTCGCACTCCGCCGCGATGTTCACGATGCGCCGCACGCCGAGCGCGCGCAGCGCAGCGACGTGCGCCTCGGCCGTGATCTCCGGCCCGAGGAACAGGAAGTGCGGGAGGATCGTCGAGATGGTGAACGCCGGCAGCGCGTCGCCCTCCCCCGACGAGAGCGACGAGAGCGACGACGACGAGGCCGGCGAGGGCGCGGGCGCCGCGGCGGCGGACGCGAGGGCGAGGGCGTCAAAGTCCGGGCGCGCGGTGCGCGGGGACGGGGGGAGGCCCGTTGGGGTGGTCGGGGTGCGCGGGGTGCGCGGGTGGGCGGGGTACGACGGGGACGGGGGCAGGAGGAACTCGGACGAGGCGGCGAAGGCGGGCGAGTGCGGCGGCGGCGGCGGCGGGGGGTAGAGGCGCGCGGAGCCGGGCGGGGTGTGGTTGGAGTGCACGAGCGTGAGGTGGGACGGCGAGTGCGCGCGCGGAGAGCTCGGCCAGGCGCCGTTCATGGGGGGCGCGGCGAGCGTCGCGGAGCGCAGCGGGACGGTGCGGACCTGGAGCTTGGGGAGCGCGGGGCCGCCGCCAGGGTGGAGGCGCTCTGCGGACCTGGTGTCGATGCGGCGGAGAGCGGAGAGGCTCGGGCGGCGCGGGGGCGGGGGGCGGGGGAAGACGGACTGGGAGGGGGGCGGGGAGGGCGAGAGGTCGCTGATGTTCCAGGAGCCCATCATCATGGGGAGCGGGGACGCGCCGGCGCTGCGCTCGAGCTCGGGGAGCGGGGTGTGTTTTGAGGCGGAGGTGGTGTCGAGTTGGGCGAGGCCGAGGCCCTTCTTTGCGGGTTTTGGTGGGGGTGGGGGCTGGGGCGACTGGGCGGGGGCGAGGGCGAGGGCGGGGGCGTCATGCGGTTGTGGGTCGCGGTCGTGCTCGCCCGAGGTGACGAAGCGCGAGAGGTCGGGGTGGGCGAGGGCGGCGCGGAGGCCGCCCTGGAGGTAGTCCGCGGAGCCCTGGAAGAGGAGGGGGTCGACGACGGGGAGGAGGGCCCAGGCGGTTGTCTGGGCGGCGGGCCTGTCGCGCTCGTTCATCTCGTCGTCGTATATGACGACGTCGCCGTCCCAGGGGCCGGCGGGGCGCATGAGGTGGTCCCATGTGTCCTTGCCCTGCTCTGTGGTGATGAAGGGGCGGAGGGCGTCGAGGGCTTGGAAGCCGCCTGCGGGCTTGCGGAGGCGCTTGAGGATGAGGGAGGGGATGGCGAGGTTGATGCTGTGGGTGATGCGGGAGGCGAGGTAGGCGGCGACGGGGCGGGTGTCGAGGAGGAGGGGGCGGCGCGGTGGGTCGGCGGCGAGGGCTCGTGCGAGGGAGGCGGGGTCGCGGGGGCGGGCGGGGCTGCGGGGGCGCTCCGGGTGCTGTATCTCGAAGGCACCGGGGCCGATGTAGTGGGCGCTGGTGGGCGGGGAGCGGGTCGGGGGGTCGGATATGGGGGTGTAGTAGACGCTGGAGCTGGGGCTGGCGGAGGGCTGCTGGCTGTAGTCGGACCAGGTGGAGGAGGACGAGAGCGGGCGGGTGGTGGTGGCGGAGGCGTAGGCGGAGGGGGAGAGCGGGGGGGTCGGGGCGCGGATGGGGCGGAGGCGGAGGTTTTTCTGGACGCTGCGGCGGAGCTGCTCGACGACGGCAAAGTCCTTGATGAGGTCGTCGTGGGCGACGGCGGAGTCGAGGTCGAGGCGGGGGTCGTAGATGGGGGTGGCGTAGGCGGGGGACGTGGGGGACGGCGAGGGGAAGCGGAGGGGGTCGTCGTCGTCGTCGGGGTCGTCGGGGTCGTCGGCGGCGGGGATGTCGAGCTGGAGGACGGAGGGGAGGGGCCGCTTTGTGGACGAGGCGAGGGCGAGGGCCGGGGGCCGTGCACGCCGTGCGCCGAGAGGGGCTCGCGAGGACATCGCGGTGAGCGCAGGCAGCCAACAACACAAGCGCCCAGAGCGCGCGCGTGCTTATGTAACACAGTCGCCGTCGTCGTCGCCGTCGCCGGCGTTGGCGTGAGCTGGGGCTGGGGCTGCTGCGCTGCTGCGTGCACGGACTCTGGCGAGGTGGCGAGCTGCGCGGTGACAACGGCACGCACACAGGTGCTCGCGGATACGATAGGGGGAGGAGGCGGGGGCGTGCGCGAGGCGAGAGTTGAAACTCCGCCAGCCGCAGAGGGTTGCAAGCGCGGCGTCGCAGCAGAGGGCCTTCCATCCGCCATGGCCTCCTCCTACCAGTCCACCCGCTTCCGCAGAGCAAACCCGCCCAAAGACTCCCCCGCCCCAGACCCCCTCCGTCCAAAGATCGCACAGCTCCAGGAGCTCTTCCCGCACTGGTCCGACGAAGGTCCCTCGCTCTCTCTTCATTTTCGCTCGTCTCCCCGCTCACGCTCACGCTCACTCTCCAGATCTCCGCTCCCTCTTGACCGAGCTCAACGGCGACCTCGAGCTCGCCGCAACCAGAATCACCGACGGTCCGCCCTAAACAGCCCCCATCCATCCGCCTGCCCTCGCTGACCACCCCCCCTCGCCAGGTACCGCCGAGCAATGGGGTAGCGTCACCCGCAAAAAGGACAAGCGCCCCTCCGCCCCTCCTGCCCACTCCCGCGACCCCCTCGCAGCAAGGGAAAGAGGCGACTCCCGCGGCGCCAGAGGTGGCCGTGCAACCAGAGGCGGCCCCGCTCGTGGCGCTCGTGGTCCAACACGTGGTGTCCATCGCGACACCCAACCCGTCCACACCCCCTCCACCAGCCTCTCGGCCCTCCCCGCCACCACCACCACCACCACCACCACCACCACCACAAACACTTCTTCCGACTCGGCTCCCACCACTTCCTGGGCCGACGTCGTGGGCGACGCAAACGGCCATTGGGGAAACGACGCCGCACAAACTGACTCTGCATCCACAACCGCATCCGTCGCATCCTCCACCGCAACCTGGGGCACAGACACAACCGTAAACGGCCCCTCGTCCCCTCCCGTCGTCTCCCAGCCCGCCCCATCCACCCGCCCTCAAGCAAAGACACCCGCAACGTCAAAGCTATCGTGGGCTCAGGTCGCTCGGTAGCTTGCCCTCCCTTGCCCAGATACTGCGTTACTCCGCTCACCCTGAACCTTTTTTCCATCCAGCCCCGTGGAAAAACCCACCGCACCCCCTCCTTCCGCTCCTTCTGCCGCACCCCCTCCTCCCCCAGCTCCCGTCTCCGCGCCCCCGCCCGCACAGGATTCCGCCCCACCCCCAGAGCCAGAGCCAGAGTACGTCCCCGAACAGCAAGGCTGGGAGGAGCCCACCACCGTCCAGCCCCCCACCTGGGACGACGAGCCCCAGTCGAAGCCATCCATCTCCGCCACCGAGCCCTGGGTCACCTCTGTCGAGCCAGAGACAGCCGATGAGCCCATCGTGCACGAAGACGAACCGATCTCGCCCGTGGACTCGGCACCCGCTTCCGAACCGGTCGAGGTCTCCCCCGCACCACAGGTGCAGGCCCCTCAGCCCGTGAAGGACCACGAAGTGTCCGTCGAGTCTCCGCCCACCAAAGCCTCGCTCCCTGCCGTCCAGGCCCGGCCCCTGTCGGCCGCACACCGTCACAGCGCTCGCTTCAAGACCGACCAGGCCGTCGTCATGCCCAATCACTTCAGCACCGCCATCGAGAAGATCGGCATGCAGTTCGGCAGCCTTGGCCTCGGAGGCGACGAGATCGCGGACGCACAGCCGTAAGTGAACGCATACAGTCCGCCGCTCACGTGTGTGCTCACTTGTTTCTTTGTCCAGTGAGCCGGCCGTCTCGGCCTCTGAGCCCGCCGAGTCGCCTGTCGTTTCGGAGCAGCTACCGCAACCCGCCCCTCCCATCCAGGCTCCGGAGCCTCCCCCCTCTGCGTCCCCGTCGGTCCCGTCATCCCTCCACTCCGCACCCAGCCTGTACCAGCAGGCCATCCCCCAGCAGGCGCAACAACCCTCCGTCTCCCAGCATTCCATCCCCTCGTCCATCTCCCAGCCTGCCGTCCACAGCCAAGTGGCTCCGCCCTCGGCCCCCATCGCGGCCTCCCCCATCACCGCCTTCCCCCACCAGCAGAACGTCTCCCCCCCGTCGCTCCCCACCCACCATCAGCCTTCCCACAGCCAGTCCCAGCACCACCAATACGCGCAACACGGCCTGCCGACGCACTTTGATCCCGCGCAGAGCCAGGTGCAGCACTCGCCGCACCTCCCGCAAGCGAACCAGCCCCAGCAGAGCGTCGCCGCGCACTCGTCGTACTTCCGCCAGCCCGAGGCCCCGTACTTTCACGCGCCGACGCCGCCCGCCGGCCAGGCCCAGGAGAGTCCCTACGGCTCGTTTGGCCAGCTGGGCGCCCAGGTGCAGCACCAGGCCCAAGCCTCGCACCTCGGCGGCTTTAGCAGCGCCGACTACGGCTACGGAGACAGCCAAAGGGTGAGTCCGCTCTCCGCCCCTCGATCGTGATCGTGTGTTGCGGCCGCTCACCCCTGCGACGACAGAGCTTTTACGACTCGTACGCCCAGCAGACCGGGTTCGGGAACCGCGGCGTGCTGACGCACGACGACGTCAAGGGGCTGCCGGGCCTCCAGCAGCAGGGCCCCGCCTCCGCGGGCCTGCCGCCCAACTCGGCACAGGCGGCGGCGGCGGCGGCGCAACAGCACGCGCAGTCGGCGCAGGCAGGCGCGCAGCCGCAGCCCGCGGGCGGGCAGGGCCCCCAGCAGGGCTACCCGCCGCCGATGCCGTACTACAACCCGTACCCGCAGAGCCAGTACTACGGCACGCCGTACAACTACGGGTACGGCGTCCCGCAGCCGTTCGTGAAGTACCCGACGATGTTCCAGCCGGGGCCGCCTGCGCCGGGCTCGGCGCCGTCGCCCGCGCAGAAGCAGGGCCCGAGCGCGGTGAACCCGCAGTCGAACCCGTACGGGCAGGGCCTGTACGCGCAGCAGCAGCAACAGCAACAGCAACAGCAGCAGCAACAACAACAGCAGCAGCAGCAGCAGCATCCGTCGGCGGCGTACGACGACCTCAGCGGGTACCACGCGCAACACTCGCACGCGGCGAGCGTCGGCGGGGGCATCCCCGGCGCGAGCGAGTACACGAAGCAGCTGTATGGCGCGCAGGCGATGCAGGGGTACCTCGGGCTCGGGCCCGCGGCGGGCGGCCCTGCGGGGGGCGCGCCGATCGGGCAGCGCGCGGGGGGCGGGGCGTCGCCGGAGAACGCGTACAAGCCGTACGCGCAGGGCGTGAAAGACGTCGGCGCGGGCGTGGGCGTCGGCGTCGGCGTCGGCGTGGGCCAGGGCGGCGTCGGGGTTGGGCAGCCGCAGGGCGGGCGCGGTGTCGGGCAGCAGCAGCAGCAGCAGCAGCCGCAGCACGCGCAGCACCAGCAGCACCAGCAACAGCACTCGCAGAACGGGTACTATGGCGCGACTCGGTACGCGTCGGGCGGGGCGGGGGTCGGGGTCGGGCCGCAGGGGCAGCAGGCGGGGGGGCAGCAGCAGCCGCATCAGGGGGGGCAGGGGGGACAGGGGCAGGGGCAGGGGGCGCACCTTGGGTATCCGCAGGGCGCGTCGGACGGGACGGCGGCGTTTTACGCGTACCAGAGGCAGCAGCAGGGGTATTGGCAGTGAGCGTGCGCGGGGGCGGGGTGGTGGTCGGCCCGGCTCGCTCGTTTGGCGGTGGTGGCGACGGCTCGTCCTCGTGCGCTCTGGCTTCGGCGCTTTTCAGGCAACTTTTTCCACTGTTCCATCATCGTTCCAATTTTTCTTTTTCTTTCTTCTCTGTTCTCACTTCTTTTCTCGCGCTCTCTCTGTGCATCTCTCTGTGCATCCGTCCGTCCGTCTCTCTCTCTCCTTCTGCTCGCTTGTCATCGTACCGCACCGTACCGTACCGTACCGTTTCGTTTCGTTTCGCTTCGTTTCGTATCGTATCGTTTCGTATCGTAACATACCGCACATCTCTGACTCGACGCTCGACGCTCGCGCTCGCGCTCCTCATCATCTTGTAACGTTTATCGCCACGTAGCACGTACGTCGCGCGGGCCGAGCCCCCGCGCGCGTGCGTAAAATGCATGAACACGACGCAGCATGCGCACATCGTGATGGTGATGGTGGTGTGAGTTGGGCTCGGACGGCGTGAGACGAAAATGCGATCGGCGGTGCCGATAGAGATAGAGAGAAAGTTAGAGAGAGAGAAAGAGGGAGAGAGAGAGAAGACGGCGTGCACGGATCTTAGCTCGTGCGTCTCGCGAGTGCAAAGGGGGTAGATTGTACAAGTAAGTAGGATAAGATACAACGAGCGGCGAGCGGTCGCGGCGGTGGTACGGAGCGTGATGGTGTCGTGGTAGAACGCGGGATGAGAAACGGAGCGATGAGCGGGGGTGCTTGAGCTGCAGTAGATCACCGAGTTTGACCGCGGAGTGCCGAGTGCTGAGTACCGAGCGCTGAGCGTCGTCTTCGTCAGGCTTTGGGAAAGAACGCCGTGATCTTCGTAGGCGTGGGAGTGGGCGACGACGACGACGCGGGGCCGACGCTCTTGTTGCCCTTGTCGTCCTTGCTGCTCTTGTCGCCCTTGCTACTCTTGTCACCCTTGTCGCTCTTGCTGCGCTTGCCTGGCCGCTTCTTGGGCGGAGGGGGAGGCGGGGGAGGGCGAACCGGCGATGGCGGCGGCGATGGCTTCGTCTTCGTCTTTTTCGACGGGAGGCGGTGGGCGGTGCTCGTCTGCGGCGATGGCGAGGCGGTGCGAGGATGAGGTAACGGGGGAAGGTCGGGGCGGGCGGGTGTCGGGCGCGACCCTGGGTGAGACCCCAGGCGCTGAGCGGGGTTGCTCACCTGGTACGGAGGGTCGACAATTTCGACGTCGCTGTCGCTGTCACCGGCGTGCGTCCTTGGATGAGGAGACGGCGACGCGCGGCGCTTGCGTTTGCGCGGCGGGGAAGGGTGGAGGGTCGGGGATGCCGTCGGGGACGTCTGCGTCTGCTGCTTGGCGAAGAGCGCCTCGAGGCCGTCTTTGCGCCGCGAGATGGGCTCGACGAACGTGGAGGATTCCGCGCCGACTTTGCCGACTTCCTTGGGCACGGGGTAGCTGCGGCGTCGGGTGCGCGACTGAGTACGTGCGCCTGAAGGAAAGAGGGTGCGCTGTTCGCGCGTGCTCACCATTCGAGGGGGGAGGCGGCGTCGTGGTAGGGGTCGAGGAGCGTGTTGAGCGCCGCGGTCCACGTCTGCGAGCGGGTGTCGAGCCAGGCGTGGATATCGGCCTCCGACGTGAGGATCACAGGCTGGCGGTCGTGCAGCCACGCGAGTTCCTTGCTCGCGGCCGTCGTGACGACGGTGAACGTCCACAGGGGGTCCGGGGCTCCTGCGCGGCGGTCGGTCGGCGTGCGGTCCTCACATCATGATCATCGCAGCGCGGCGGACGGACACCTACCCTCGACGGCGGCCGTGTCGTACAGACCAGCCAGGAGCATCAGCTTTCCGGTCTTGTGCCGCGTGAAGTGGGGGACCCGCTCCGTCCCCTTCTTCTGCCACTCGTAATAGCTGATGGATCGTAGGGTCTGTGTCGAGTGTGCGCGCGTGGAGTGTGTAGCGGACGCACCCTTGGGCTGGGACGACACACCGCTTCCTGCTCTTGATGCTGCCCCACATGCCGCCCCCTTCAACCAGGCTCTCAGAGCGCGCGTTGATGGTGTTCAGGGTCTTTGACTCGCTCTTGCTCCAGTGCGGGACCAAGCCCCATTTCATGGTGTGCAGGACGAGCTTGTCGGCCCCCTCAGACGCCGCCGCTTCGCGCCGGCGCAGCACGGGTGCCTGCGACCGCGGAGCGACGTTGTATCGCGGGACGAATCGACTTCGGTCGATCCACTCCCCGACCTGCTGCCCGAGCGCGGGGTACCCGTGGAGGTGTTGGATGTCGTCTGCCTGTGAGCGGCGTCCTATAGCCAGGTTCTTTTGACCACGAGTAGAGATGGTGGGCTCACAGGCAGTCCTAGAGAATATCGCCCGCACATGGTGGTGGTTGTGGTTGAGTTGCGGGGCAAGTTCGAGTCGATGACGGTCCGAGGCTCAGGAGTAAGCAGTCCGGCTGTCTGGCGCCTGCGAGCGCTTTCAAAGTCCGCCCGACTTCAGAGGGCCTGGAAACTTTCGCGGCAGCGCTGCTCCCGATGCTCTTCCACCAGCCCTCCAGCTCACTTTGTTTCGAGATGCATTATGGATCGTTGAAAAACCGTTTGACGTCGGTACACTGCTCATTTATCTGGGCTCTCAGGGAGCCACGGCACAGAGTTACAATACAGATCTGCTCATTCACCGTTTTGTTCAAACTTTACAGACTTGCCCAAGTGCGGCTTATTGGCAGTGTCCGATATTGATCCTCTTTGAATGACTCACGATCACTTGACAGGTATTTCAAAGCGCATACAGGGCTATGCAGCGTAGACACGTGAGTCGGTGCCGTCAAGACTTCGGATGTTAGACGGCGAATAATTGCCCGAGCATCTAAAGAAACTGGGTTGAAGGCTCTCGCGGCTTATTCTCGCCATTCACTCAGTGGCTACCATCACCACGAACAGGGACATTGTCCACCGATTGGTGCAGGAGATCTCAATTCCCTTCACAGAAGCATCAGCTCTAGTACGAGGCCGTACCCCTTGCCGTCTTGTTCTTCCAAGTATTACCCTCGAAATATTATATAAACACGAAGTCACAGTTGTGTTGGATGACCCACCCACCCCGCACACACCTTTGCTCGGATTTCTGTCATTTGTCTTCATGTTTTTCACAGCCGCTCTTGTCGCGTCGCTCGCGGCTTCTGCATCCGCTCATGCCACCTTCCAGGAGATGTGGGTCAACGGCGTTGACCAAGGGAACTATTGCGTCCGCTTGCCCGCAAGCAACTCGCCAGTCACATCCGTTACCACCAACGTAAGTTCAACGAAGGGATCCAAACGGGATCTGACAGGCGCATCTGTAGGATCTTGCCTGCAATGCAGGCGCTTCGCCGTCAAGTGGGCTTTGTGCTGTGAACCGTGAGTGACTCTTGACGACGATATGAGGACGTTGAGTGCGAGTATCGTTCAGCTGGCGACAGCGTTACGGTTGAGATGCATCAGCAGCCTGGAGACCGCAGCTGTGCGACTGAAGCTATCGGCGGTGACCATTACGGCCCGATCAATGTAGGCATCTCATGATCGTCCACTGGCATGGGAGCTCGCATTTATTAGTTGCGTTGTTCCAAGATTTACTTGGCCAAAGTATCTGATGCCACAACTGCGGTTGGCTCAAGCGCCAGCTGGTTCAAGGTACGTCGTACAGACGTCGTTCGAAAGCACGGGCTTCCACTGACAACGACGCAACGCAAAGATTAGTGAGATGGGTCTCCCCAGCTCCGATCCCGATTATTGGGCAACCGAAGTGTTAAACGTAATATACTTTCTCATACATCTGAATATGCCCCATTTCTGAAGGCACGTTGGTCGACAGGACAACTGTGGTCATTTTACCTTCACCATCCCCACGGGTATCGCTCCTGGTCAATACCTCTTGAGAGCTGAGGTCATTGCTCTCCATGTCGCATCAAGCGTTGGCGGCGCCCAGTGCGTTCCACCATTCTCTCATGTACTTTTCGCTGACCAGGCGCAGATTCTATATGTCTTGCTTCCAACTCAACGTTGGAGGATCTGGCACTGCCCAGCCATCAGCTGTCAATATCCCAGGCGCCTACGGTGGTAAGCACGAACTGCAGATGTGTTCCTCTATTGCTCAACCCTTATATATACAGCATCTGACCCCGGTATCCTGATCAACATATACCAGTCCTTAACTGCCTACACCAGTGCGTCCCTGATCTCATTATCATTCTTCTGCAGTGCATTTACTTCTGGGTGTGCAGTCCCTGGCCCGACTCCCTATGGAACGACTTCACCTACTGTCGCCACCACCGCTTGGCCGACGGCCGCGACATGGAATACTGCTGATCAGCCTTCCACTGTCCCGACCGCACCTGCTGGCTCAGCCACTGCGGCGCCTACTTCATCTGCTGCGGCGCCCTCCTCGTCGGCTAGTGCACCAGCGAGCAGTGCCCCTGGCAGCTCGACTGCAGCCACGCCAACGTCTTCTGCTGCTGGTGCTACCCAGACCAAATATGGTACGTCCGCGCCCACAGTGTCTCAAATGCATCTGCGCTCTAACTGTTTTCAGGTCAGTGCGGCGGGATCGGATGGTCAGGCCCTACGGCCTGCGTGTCCGGGTCGACGTGCACCAGCTCGGGCGCATATTACTCACAGGTGAGTTGATTTTTCAAAACAACCCAAGAGCGCAGCTGAAGTAACCCTTTCTGGTGTGCAGTGCTTGTGATAGGTCATCCGACCACTTGTTCGATCGCTGTCAGATTGGGATGTAACATTACCACATGCTCAATGAAATGCCTCCTTCCACCCATTCGCAGCCGAAACCGGGCCCGAGTTTAGTAACTTCGATGCCTTTGATAAGAATCGTACACTAAAAATCAGCCGACTGTATTCGCTGAAATATATCCCACGGGAACATTCTTGCTGATACGACCTCCATTACTCAGTATGCCTCTCCATGGGCCGGCAAACCTTCCGGGAAAAACTGCTTGAACAAATCCGGATAGTGACGCTGCGCAACATCCGGATGGCTTCTGTAGACGCCGTCGGATGTGAACATCACCTCTTTCATTAGTTAGATCGAATCGAAGGAACGAAGACGTACTTGATTCGCCCAATGAGGGCGACGAAGCCAGAGGGTTCGCGATCATATTCTGAGAAGTTCACGGCTAAGAAGGTGGGGACGTTAGAGCGGGGGAGGTCTCGGGAGCACGCGGTACACACGCACAGTCGCTCGTCGCTGGCTCACCCCGTTCTTCTTTCAACTTCAATATCTCCGGTGGGACTGCTCACGGTGCATGCCATGAATCGTCCGCATGAACATCCGGAGGTGCGAAGTGAGAGTCTATTACGCACATTGCAACGCTGACTCGCTGAGTTTGAATCTCTGTCCGATGTTCTGGAAGAAAGGGATGGAATATCGAGGTGTAGAGCCTTTGGCAGGTGACAGCACTCGGTGCGATGTTGCGCGAGTCAGACCTTTTGTAGCAGTCTCCAGAGCTTGGCAACCATGAAAGATTAGACATTTCGACGAAATCATCAAGAATGCATTGACGAGAGCCGCACCCTTGCCGATGTTTATGACAAAAGTGTAAGGAATAGGGGGCACGTCGATCCATTGGCCGGCAAGGTTTTGGACTTGAAGGCCGGGATGAGAAGAAGCTTGAAAGAGCTATGGAAGAGGCGAAGCTTCAGTACTGCATATTTCTGCTCGAGCATCTGGAAGGAAATTTAGAAGATCTCATTTCGCGTACAAATGTAAGCTAGAAGGGAAAGGAATTCGATCAGATTCGCGCATCTATCTCAACACGATAGAACAGAAACGGGGAAGGAGAATACGCACGAAGCCCGCGTCGAAGTGAGGGCCAACGCCCTGATCAGAGGAGACCTCGTCTTGAGAAGGATATTTGACAATCTAAAAGAATACATTATCAATGCGAAGGGTGTACAAGAAGCATGGTACACGTACCTTAGAACGATGCTGCATGAACTCATCTGTGTCATAAAACCGGGCAAGTCCATCGGGCTGTAGACCAAGCGCTTCGGCGATGAGGCTAATGAACTCGAAGCTGAGTTTCTGCACTTGATCAAGATATCGCAGTACAGTTTCTTTAAACCCTGGTAGTTCCGCCTCCTTAGGCCACTGTGTTGTTGGAAGTGTCAATAGTCAAGACGTCGGACGCGCCAGCACACCGACCTGCGACGGTCCCCAAAGTTTCAGGTACTCTGGCTCTCCCTCTGTCCACTTGTTGATATGTGGAGTCGCGAAGTCGAATTGCTCTCTCTGATCCAACGCGCGCTTGGTCCTCTCTACACCCAAGCGCGAATAGCCGAGGAAATGTGGGGAGTTGGCCATCTGGATCGCATCCTTGCTTTCCTGGGGAAGAGCAAAGAGACCTGGAATGTATGCGACAAGTGCATCGATGTCGCTTTGCGAGACCGGAGGATGGGAGAGGTAGAGGAAGCCGACATTGATCAAAGCATTCCGGAGCTGAGCGATAAAATCAGGCCGGGACGTAGGCGACGAGAGCAGAGCATAGTCGAGGACGGGAACGTTTGTGAAGTTGGCTGTCATGATTTCTTGACTCCAGATTACGAACAAACTTCAATTGCTTGTCTTTTTAACAGGTTGGGAGATGTTCCCATGTCTGACTCGGTCATGACGCGATACGAGTCCTCACGAAGCTAATTTGTTCTCATCTCGCGCGAGAGCCGAGACCTGCAAAAGTGCACTCTAAAAATGGCTAGAAACGAACACGAGAAATTATAGTGTAGCTGTGTAGCTATACGTATAACAAATAACCTAAGGGTTGACAAAACCCGAAGGGCATCAAGATATCTTCCCAAACATCACCCTACCATCTACAACCGTCGCCAAAACCTTCGCCTTCAAAATCTCGCTCACCGGGACTTCTTCGCTAACGATGTCCCGGTCTAACACGACATAGTCCGCCTTAAAATGGGCTCTTAGCACCCCACGCTCGTCCTCGCCAAACGAAGCGTATGCTGCATCCCGCGTCATCCCGCGCAAAGCCTGAATACGGGTAAGAGCCTCTGCAGGATACCTGTGTCCTATAAGCATTGGAGGGGCAACCCAGGGGCACGGAAAACATACCATCCAGAAGTCCCGTTCGGTGAATCGCCGCGCACAGATAGCCGCGACACAGCGGCGTAGAACCCAAGCAATGGATTTATGCCTTCCACAGGAAAGTCTGAGCCAAGGGGTAAGATATTCTTACGCGATGCTCTGTTCGTGACTCAGAAATATGATCGATACTGGCGGAAGAAAACGACGAACTGTAGGAGACTTTGATAAGCATATGCGCCTTTGATTCTTTCCGGCCCCTGCAGTCAGGAGTGAGGCATCATTCAATAGAAGACCAGGTAGAAGGTGTACGAACCAAGCGATCTTCAGCATACCACATGTCGCTGGTGCTGTATCGGTGTCAAGTACCGCTGTTTCAAACGCGACATGGAAAAAGCCACTTACGCATGCGTTGGCTGCACGCTGGCGATTACTGATGATAATTTAACATCATCAATCGCTCCCAACGAAAGCTAACGTACCCCCCAGTCGCCCAATTCTCTCCAAATCGGCCATTTCCATGATTTGCGCGTGCTCGATGCGAGGACGCCAATGATCCACATCGATAGATCGAGACTTGATTATGCTCTCAAATATATCCAGGACAATCTTGTTCGCACGATCACCGATACAGTGTACATTCTAAGCTCAATAAGGTATTACATGAGATTGAAGATAGAGAAGGCGAGACGAACAAACGTACCACCTGCCAGCCATCTTCATGGAATTTCTCTACCAAACCCCGTAGGGCATCTGCTGAGCTACGCATGAGCCCAGCTGTAGTGGGGTTGTCCGAGTAAGGGGCTAAGAGCGCTGCACCCCACGATCCAAGAGCACCTGGGTTCATTGTGATTTGGTGTGAGTATGAATTATATGGAGAGCGTGTAAGAAAGTGACTCGCCATCTGTGAACAGTTTGACGCCTCGGACATTCAAGCGTCTATCACGTCCATAGTCGACGAGACGCGGGATTTGTGGGCCCCAATACGTATCAGACTCGACATTTCCCATAAGATATAACCGGATCTGATAGTCTCGCGTCAGCCACAATTACACGAAAAACGACAACGAGTAGAACGAACCGGGAGTGTTCCCTCGTCTGCGACTCTGCAACAATATGGTCCAATTAAAGAGCGCCAGAACGGAGGACAATGAGCGGTACCTTTGAAAGAATTGTATAACTTCGGGAGAGCTTGCAGCATCGTGCACACTTGTCAAGCCTACGCTCAAAGCGTCGTGCATGGCAATCTCAAAATAAGCCAACATCTGCGCTTCAGACCAAGGGGGAACAGGTACGAGTGACATCGCATTGTCCACGAACACGCCTGTGTAGCAACATGTTGGATTCAGTCTATGGCTAAAAGAGCCGAATGTGTTCCGTATACCAGTAGGCTTTCCGTTGTCATCACGCATGATGACCCCGCCATCGACTTCACGAGGAAGCTCTCCCATTTGGTTGAGGACACTGTGTGACACCCATGATGCGTGTACATCGATGCGAGATAGAGCAATGGGACGCCCACGCAAGAGTGGGTCACGGTCGAAGTCATCCTGCAAGTCATTTTAAGCGTCAACCTCAAGGGACGGAACAGGAACGAGCTACTGCAGTAGGAAATTTGTTAGTCGGCCATTTGGTTTGATCCCATCCCAGTCCTTGAATCCAACGCGTAGAGTCGCCCAAGATATCAGGGTGGGCATAAATGTATCCCTTGATTTTCGCGATGACCTCTTGTCTAACTCGATGAACATCCCTGGGCGCAGTTAAAAGTATGACTCACCATCTACCGACCGACAGTCTTCGAGAGGAAGCTGTTGCTTAAAACCCCACTCAAGGACGTGCGCGTGCGCATCTGCCAGATGGCATCCATTCAGGCCCAGTCAAAGATAACACACGGCACAAAGCCTGACCTGAGAGACCCGGAACAACGATGGACCCAGGCTTGGTGTAGAAGGTCTTCAAGTCTTTATCTGGATTACGAGCAACCCAGACAGAATGAAGATCCTCTGTAGCACGTCAGGTGTGAACGTTGTGAACCACGGCTTGAAAATATCACTGCGCACCTTCACTTCCTGTGGCTATGATCGTGGGTCCATCAACAAGGATGCAATCAACTTTGGAATCGAAGTTGTCCACGGTGTATACACTGTTCGACGGCGTGCATAGAGCATATGCAGACGGCATGTCACTGTCAGTTATATAGATAGAGGGCGCGTGCTTGTATACTAGTGCAGCAGAAATCACAATGATGAAAATCCATCGTAGCCGCCTTCGAGTAGGAAACTCGTTCAGTCGTTGTTGATCCTGAGACTTCTCCATGTCGAGAGAGGTCAGTCTCTCGAAGACAGCTTTCTCAAACGTCAGCCACGGAAAGATATTGATGATTCTCGTTCAATCTCCGACGTCATCTGATAGTGAAAGTAACTCAACAGGTGGTAAGCATTAATGGGGTAGTGGTAACCTGGGTCGTTGTCATCGACCCGCCGGGGGTTCACTTTCCACTTGATGCATGGATCGTTTTGCGTTTGAAGTTTTTTTCAGTCATTGCGAAAAGAGATCACTAATCGTTACTGTACTAGTTACTGATGAACGTCTATCGACGAAGGCCAATACATTGCTTTGAGAAAAACAATTATGGACATAAGTACCCGTACACACACTGCGATTCGTATTTACTTTCAATTCAAACAAGGCAGTAGGGAGAGACTTCGCATCTACGGAATCAAGGGCCAGTACCCTTTTCCTCGTAATCCGATCCTTGTGCCATGAGTTCTGCATGACCCATATTCTCAAGCTTTTTGTCAAAGTCCCGTTTGCGGTAGCCCTTGACGATGCGCTCAAGCAGTGAGGATGTTGATACGCCCGGCGTTCGTCGGGTGGGAATGAATCTGCCTGTCAGGTATTGATACCAGGTCAGGGTGCGGAGCTATACATAAATAGATGAATAGGCGCGCACCTAGGCGCTTCACGAAATCATAGACGTCTTCGTGGCCTGCACTGACGTACGGGTCCTCGTCGTGGGCAACATAATCGATCTGGTATCTCTCGACGAACTCCGCATCGATTACCCAGGGGGCCTCGGGGACAACTTCATCGACCCAGCGGCAGTGCCGCGCAGCCTCGCACCTGGAAAATTCGATTAACCAAGAACGTAAGATGCAGAAAATGCAAGGTGCTTACCGTTCGGCATGGCTCATTACGCAGCTGAACTTGTGCTCCTTCACTAGTTCATCTGAGCAGACGCCGACTAGGAGGTAGACATCTGGGAAGGACAGCTTGGCTTGACGCAATTGCAGTGCATGACTGAGAAGGACTCCATTTATTTCAAAACAGCTTCAATCAACACAGGGATCATTAAAATTCACCCGAAGTGGAATAGATCATAAACGCCTGCAGTGTGTTATGAACGAGGAGTAAAGGTGAAAAGTAGAGACATACCATCAGCATAGACTCTCACAGGCCGACCCACCGGCGGCTCGTTGATCTTGTATTTGCGATGCAGTTCCCCGTCGATAGCCTGACGCACAAATGACTGAATATCATCTGCAGCGAGAGCTGCAGGATCAAAGGCCTCTTGAGCGGCAGCGACTGGTTCTGGCTCAGACGGAGTTGTATTGATCGCATGGCGTCTTGTTACAGTGACAGTGACAGGCTCGACGTCGGATGACGAGGCTGTTGATGGCGCGAAAGCGGTGACAATCGTCGGACCCGCGTGGAATGGTGAACCACTTGCATCATCAGGGAGCGCATGGAAGACTGAGACAGGTGAGGTGAGGGTCGAAGTTGAGGAAGAGCGAATATGAGATACGGCGACAGCAGACGCTGCTTTGGAGTTCTCGCGGTCCGGCCCAGCTGTCGTGCTGCTCTCGATGTCACCATCGTAGGTAGGGGAGTCTACACCGTCATCTGATAGGACCGCGGAAGATGCGAGATAGTGTTTTAGACGAGATTTCGCTGCAGAAGGGACGGCGTTGCTTTGAGATGCAGCAGCACTTGAAGCTCGAGGTTGAGACGTATTTGCTGAATGATTCCGAGATGGAGCAGGGATGGAGAGTGCAGAAGCGGCATCGTCAGTGAGTGGGTCGTTGTCCTCTTCAGAACTACAGAGAAGCACGATGAATTGTCGGACAAGTGGAGTAAGGAAAGGAGCAATACTGACGCATCATAAGCTGGTGAATCGATTTTATGAGGGTACTTGCCAAACGACCGCTTCGAATGAAGTGTCTTTTTGTGATGTGCGTTCGGTTCCGTGGACTCCATCGTTGTCGTCGTGGGGCAGGATGCGGGCTTGGAACGTTTATGAAGAGCCCTCTCAAAAATCCGTTCAGGTTCCCAATCGGAGATGGCCGCTTACGGCTATCTTATCTACCCCATTAAGTCCCCATTCCAACTTTGGTCCGTCGACATCAATTGACATAAAATGCAATAGCCTGTCAAAATCATGGAAGCCTGGTCTAAGGCTGTACAGTAAGTAAGTTCGAATTTCAGGGTCCTTCCGGGATAATACAAGACACTCAGAGTATGGAATAGGTATATATGAACGACAACAGTGCGCAGTGGAATCAGGAAAGTGCATATATACTGCGTACTCAATTATAAATAATCCAAAATCTCACAACCTAGGGTCGAGAGCCAATGACGAAAGACCCATGAGAGTCAAAATACGATCATGGATCACAGCAGATCACCATGAGTAAGGCGCGATGCGTCGTATACAGCGGGGCGTCATGTCATCTGGATCTTCCAATGGGGAGAATGGCCACGTAGGAATGTGGCACATGCTCTGAAGAAGAGGGATCGGGGACTTAGAATAACGACACGCGGTTGAAGACAGGGGAACATACCTCCGGCCCACACTCGGGATCACATCGGATCCAGATCGACCAGTCGAGCCAGAGCATGAGGCCCTCCACTTGATGCTTCCATCCGTTCACCAACTCGGATAACCTGTCGTCACCAGCTGACTCGATGTCAAACGCGTCGACCCACATCATACTCAGAGCCCTGCAGATCTCATGCAAAGTCTCCTCCACAGCGCCCAAGATAGTCAACTCTTGCGAAGTCAAAGTGTCACGTCGGATGTGCAGCGTCTGCGTCGTGGAGCAGTAGTGTACGACGGGAGCCATCCATGTCGTGTCCGAAGAATGGGCATCCGGCTTTGGCACGGCTTGGATGACCATGTATGGGTTCAGCATGATCAGCAATTGAGCGCGGAAGAGCTCTGCTCGCTCGGTGACGTTTGAAAAGCTCGTCGGTTCCAGAATGTACTTCAAGAGCTCTAAACGTTCTCCATAACGCTCAACGATCACCCTCGTCACGCTAGCCCAGTCAACGCCGCTTCGCGTATCAGAGTCTTTCCGCGTGAATACCTCTTCGATCCTGTCTCGCACGCGTGCCGAATCGCTGGTAGAGATATTGATGAGACGATGCTGGGATCGCGTCTGGCCGCGACGAGCCTCTACTAAGCTGGAAAGGGAGGTGTCATAGAAAGTGACCAGTCCAGAGTAGTCAAGATGGACGCGAGTCTCGCCCGGAGCACGATCGTGCCAAGAACCAGCGTGGACGACCTCGAACATGCTGGAAGCTATGGCAGGCAACTTTCCCTTCCAACCCGCTGGAGGATCCTGAGGTGTCCAAGGCGGTCGTCGAGGACGACCAGGGCCACCTGGACCACCTGGACCACCCGGACCGCTGGGACCTCCAGGATGTCTAGGAGGGCTACCTTCGAGACCCGGAGGTGGAGAGTCATCATGACCAAGGAATGCAGATGGCGGGGGACGTGTGTGGTCAGGAATCGTCTTCAAGAAACGCCCAGGGATTTCTCTGTCCGTGTTTAACATGGGCGACGGGATGCCTACGTGCGCCTCACTCCCTATCGGAACATGTGTCGGGGGCGAGTGTCTAGGGTCATCCCCAGCCGCTATAGGAATAAGATTGAGGAACGAGACAACCTCGAGTCCGGCTGTAAAGTCGCACAGCATCGTTTCGCTATGTGTGTGAAGAAAATACAATAATAACTCAGCTGAGGTAAGTAGACACAAGCCCGGAAGACACGCACAAATGCATTTCCATCCTGACGAAACCGTCGATGCCATGCTGTTTCCCCCATTGACACAGCTCGATTATCCTCTCGCGCTCCGAGAATATTTTTTCCTCGCGCACATATCCCCATATAAAGATGTCTTGAGAGTCCATTGAACCCGTTCGCGTCTTCGCAGCGCTGGAACCATCGAAATACACCAAACGGAGGTCGCGCGTGGTGACAACGGACAGAAGCCAGCATTCCCCTCGACAGAACAAGTACGCATGCTCAAAGTCGAATGCGAGCCATTCGGGGAGTGTAGGGATCTGGTTATCGCTCCGGCCGTGGTATAGAATTGTCCCTGCGGGGATTGTGGCAGGCATAATGGTATGACCTTATACACGAATATGTCGATGTGCAAATTGATGTCTCAAAGGCCTTCAAACGTACCATTCCTCCAATACGTGTTCGGCCATCGCTGCAACAGAGCGTTGACATTGTTAAAAATCAGATGGCCTGTCGCATTTGTGGATGGAGGAGCACTCCAGTCCACGGGGAACGGGTCGGGGTTGTGATGCGAGAACACTTGCTGATTGCGTTTCGAGACTACGAAAACGGCGGCCGCCAGTAATACTAGCAGGGCCCTCATCGCTGAATGGAGGATAGAGGCAATGGGTGGGAGATGGACGGAAGGAGATGATAAGAAGAGGCGCGCATGCCTCGATGGTTTATTTTTGACATCGTCCGCCGCGGTGTTACAGGGCGGGAGTGCGAATGAGCGCCTTGATGAACTTGCTGCGGCGTGGAAGGACTGCGCAGCGGGCCGAGTTGATTATCCTTTTTCGGCTCCCTGGAATACCACAGCTCTCCGGGCACAACCTGGTATCATGTTGCTTTTGACTGCGAAAACATATGTACGACTCAATTCCCTCCAGCTCATCTGCTCAAGTTTTTTGTCCGCACTGATCATTTGAATCACCGGTAGGTTCGGACACAACTGGACAATGCAAATTCCGCTGCTCCAACAATAGCTCGTTTGAGCGCCAGCCTCAGCAGTCTGCAGGTATAGGTTTTTTTTCCATGATGTATCTTTCACAGTGAGACTCGAGAGCAATAGGACAGCAAAGTACGAGAGGCAGTGGTAATACATGTCCTGTGATTGACTAGCACGCAGGTATCGTAATTCCAAGAAAAAAGCAGCCTTCATACATTCCATTAGATTTCCCCTCCCGTGTATTATTTCAAGAATCGTTCTTGAAATCCGATGTATCTTCCTTTTCCCGAACTGAGAAGTCGCCGAAGCCTTCTTTTTCGTGTAAGTTCGATGTGGGTCCGTGGTAATGCTGACGGCCGCTACAAAAATTGGTGCATGAGAACACTGAGATGATCAATGGTAATGGAAACGTACCCAAGAATATACCATGCGCTGTGTAATCAAGGAAATGCTAAGGCACGGAGTGACTCGATGCATGAAGGAAGGACGCACCAAGCCAAAATTATGACACCGCCAGTGATAACGGAGGCATAGTTCATGTTTTCTTTCGTCACAGGTAACAACGTCGGGATTGAGAAGATGACGGTCACAAACAGCGTCCATAAGATGCAGTTGATATTGACGGCCCATCCGAGGATACCATTTCCCATGTAGAACGGGCCTGGTTTGAATTGTACTTCTGGGTGGTGTTCGTACACGCGGCGCCTATTCCAGGTGTATACTGATAAATTACGGCTAAGCACGAGCATTTTGCCCCACTCACAAGAAAATCGGAATGATATAACTCAAGTCCAGGGCCATAGCAGTGAGGGAGAAGATGGCATTGGCAGCGACAGGACTCGCAAAATCCAACAGGCCGGGCAAAACACTCAAGATGGTGGTGAACCAGATAGCACGCAGAGGGGTCATCGTCCACTTGCTGATGTGCCCGAAGTAACCATGATCGGGTAGACCTATTCAAAATCGGCATCAGGACGCATCGACCGAATGAATTGTGACAGACGTAGCGCACCGCGGTCACGACTGAATGCATATACAGTTCGCGAGCAAGCTTGCAGAGCCGTTTGGCAAACAAAGAATGCTGTCAGGCAGACGAAGGTCTGGACCGCAGGGTAAGATAAATGTATCTAAATGTAAAGGTTCGAACACATACCCAGAGAAAGAGCGCTCCGCCTTTGCCCATGCGCATAGTCATTATCTGTTCAAGTGTCAGTTCAGACTACTAACATGGATGGGGCGCATGAGAATACCTGAAGGAATGCTGACCCAGAAGGTCCAGGTAGATCCTCGCTAAAAAGGTTTCATTGGCTGATGACTGAATTAAAAGAATGTTTCTGACTTACAATGGTCCGGAGCACAGAATCATGACAATATTGAGCAGCCAGCCGAGAAGACCAGTACCAATCACTAATCAAATCATTTTTGGGTCTTAGGATGAAGGCAGAGCTACTGGTAAGCATGCGCTCGTACCTGCAATAAAGATGGCAGCGGGAGCTATACATCATCAAATCCACGGTTTAATCAGCAACGGATCTTGACACCTGTATGCTCAATTGGCGCAAACAACAGGAAAAAAGCACTGTACCTGCGTATGCGGCGCGCTTGACTTCCTCCCTAATGAAAACGGGTCAGAGTGAGAAAACATAGAAGATGAAGCCTAAGTCGTACGATATATGGGCCGTTGCGTCGTAGTCCTTCGAGACAGTTCAGCATAAATGCGCGTGATACAATCATGAAACTTACCGTCATCTAAACAACAAATATAGATTGCATTTGTCAACGGTTCACACTTCTTGTTTTTTAATGAGAACTTACGGTCCATTGAACACTGAGCAACCCAAACAAAAACGCAAGTCCATCGTTCCAACCTCCGGTCTGATTAATAATCCCTTCAGAACCAAATACGTAGCTAGCAGAATGCATCTCATGACGCGGGGTTGTCGCGAGAAGAACGATGATAATGACTTTGTGAAACCGACGTAAGAAAGATTGTAACAAGAATAGTCTTAGCACATACGAGCAGTTGCACCAAGATTGACAAACACGAAGCCTGTTGTGAAGCGCGCAAGGTAGCGAGTGGCAAGACAATTCTTTCGGTCGTGACCCGCTATCAGTTTCATCGACTGCCAGTGAACCTACAGGATTACTCACAAGTATGCCGTGGAATATGAGAAGGCCAACGAAAAGGCCCACAACCTTACCCTGCGTGACTTCGTACGCACCGTCCTAGACGGCATATGGTCAGAGCTTTCTATTAAAACTCAAGAGATAGCAGGGCCCACCTTGGCAATGACGACAGCGGCCCATATCATGTTGGCTAGACCAAACTCTGTAGATGAAAGCCCCGCAATCTGACCAAGGACTGACAAACTATATCAGGGTCGCACTCAAAAAGGCAACGGGCGGCTGATACACACTGTTCATCCACCCTACCACCCACCCAACGATAGGGCGATATTTTTTTGGGCACAGCTGAGCAGATGCCGTATATCTGTCATGTGCCACTGATGAGTGAGTTTGTCCACTTAGGGGTTGATGCATACATACAGTCCTCCGCAAGTAGGATACGCCGAGACAATTTCAGCAATGGACGCGCCTATTTTTGACGCGTCATTATCAGCAACAGATCATGAGGCATGGTTGCAGGGGGTATGAGGATTTTACCTAAGGTGAAGCACATAGTTGCTCCCAAAATCCAACACCAAGTGACCTACGGGACGCACGAATGCTAAGAGCTCGATAATATAGACGGACAATATAGTACGCACAGACGAAGGGCCGCCAAGGGTCAAGGGAGTGTTGAACGTGGTTGCTACCGATGAGCAGAGGCCCTGCACATTGCGAACAGATTCTCTGATTATTCCCGGGAAGAGTGACTTCAAATACGACGAACCATTATACTAAAGGCGAAACTGATCTATAAACCGAAAACAATGACGACAAAAGCCAGTGAACAACATGAGTTACAGAGCCGTTCAACATGCGGGACGCACCGTCGCAAGATTGCTGAACTCCCTCTTGAATGAAGGGACGTATCCCATAGCTTCGAGGTTGCGGTCGTCATCGCTGTCCATGGAATCCCCTCGTCCGCGCTCGTTGTCAGTCATCGCCCTACTAAGCAGGAGGAATGATTCTGGGATGCCCACGAAAAACCCGACCGACGGTGGAGTAAAAGGAGCGGAGAGTTTTTATGGTGGATTGAGAGGATCAGGAACGGCAATTGACTCTCACCACATGATTTCTGCCTCTAACCCCGTGCAGCCCCGTGCTAAAGTGGTGCCTTCGGCAGTGCGTGCCTTTGAACAAAAGAGGTTTGTCATATATTACAATTGTAATCCTAAGATATGCCCGCCTAGCTCAATCGGCCAGAGCGTCAGACTTTTACGGATTCCCGATTCTCAGGACCTGTTAATCTGAAGGCTGCGAGTTCGACCCTCGCGGTGGGCTTTAGCCACTTTCGAAAGTTTTGAGTTTGAGAAAATCGCCATCGACCAATAGATCAACCTGTTAGCGGGTCATAACTTTTTCAAGACTCCGCTCACATATGTACGCTGTTTCTTTTTGTGGCTCATGCAGCGAAAACGAACCCACTTCATCCCGTTAATGAGGTCTGAACGAGTATAAATCCTGAAGCAAACTCTGAGATTGGAAGCTGCGGTACACGAATACAGATGGACATCGACCGAAACAAATGCAGGTGATATGCCCGTAAATGAACTCGAGATCTATAACCGCTCCAGCACAAGACAACACCGCCCAATGAAACAGCTGCAGCATCAAGCAGAGCTCAGACAAAACAGAAGAAGAACAACGCAGAAAGGAGGAGGAGAATACTATTGCCAACTGGCTCGAAGCGAATAACGTTAGGGAGAACGAGGGTATCAACATGTGCGCATCCAATGAAGTGAGGGGCGTAAGGAGGTAGATGCAGAGACGTCAACATCAGATGTTAGTCAACATTTATGCGTTCTTAGCACCGATGGGCTTGCGGGCTGTGCCAGTTGCAGCCTTGGAGGTCGCAGCGGCAGCAGCCGACGTGGTGGACGCAGCAGCATTGTTTGTCGCAGCAGCCGTTGAGTTGCTAGCACCGGCAGCAGCACCGGCAGCACTGTCAGACACCGTGAACTGTGCGATCACAATCACCGGTTAATGAATGTTCGACACCGAGCGCGTGCAAATCGGCAAGAGCCTTAAAGATTTAATGAAAACTCACGTAGACCATGTCATCGAGAGAACCATGCTGCGCGATAGCAACGAGGACAGGCTGGTGATTCGCCGCGGCGTTGATTGAGGCCAAGCGGTACACACCCGCGGGGAGACCCGCAGTGACGTCTGCACTGACAACGCCATTGACCGCAGCGGAGTTGATACCCTTGAAGAATGCGAAGACGCTGGGGTCCGCAGGGGTGGTCTGGTCGATCGCGTCCAATTTTTGAATGACGACGTGCGTGTGGCCGATGATGGTGCCCTGTGCATTGACTTGCTGGGGCGCGGAGTAGTAGTTGGCCTGAGCGTTCACGAACGTGCCGGTCTGGATGTTGTTGATCGCCATGTTGATTGTGAAGGCCTGGTTGGCTGGAATCGTACCGAAGTTCGTTGGGAACGTGAACTTCGAGGACGGCATGTTCGTCGTCGCAGCGATAACACCCATGGGCGCCTGCCAGGTGCATGAGTACGAGTGCAATAACGGCGCAAATAAGATGAAGTACCGGGTTGCAAGACCCTGTCTTGATTTGTTGACCGTTCGTGATAGGCACTCCTGGCACGGTAGCACAGAAGTTGATGAAGTTGTTAGTCGACGTGAGACTGGCAGACTGCCCGGCTGTCGGAGTCTCCTGGCCGGTTTTTGCGAACCCAGTAGCAATCACTGAACTGTCAAGGGCTAAAAAATGGGTCAATAATAGCAAAGGAAAAGAAGCGTTGCTAGCATACTTAAGGAAGTCTGCAAGTTGTTGGAGGTCGCGGCATTGTTGGATGCCGCAGAAGTAGTCGCGGCAGCAGCGGCAGACGACGTGGTAGCTGAGAGAAATATGAAGTGTAAGCATGGCAAGATCATACATATTGAACTGCAGGCACAAGCAGCAAACAGAGTATCGACATACAGCTGCTTCCCGACGCTCCCTTTGAACCCGACTGTGAGCCTGAGCCGGTTGAGCCGGACTTGGTCCCGGTGTTACTGGAACCAGAGCTGTTGCCAGCCTTGGTCCCGGTGCTACTAGAACCAGACTTGGTGCCCGAATTGCCTGCAGCGGTCCCGGTGCTAGCATTATTGTTTCCTGCAGCGGCTGTCGATGAGGCGGCGCCAGCGGTGGAAGTCAAGGTCACTGTCACAGTGGTCGGTGCCTGCAGAGTTATCAGACAATGTTAATCAATCAAAACGGGAATTGGCCAAACGTACAGCACAACTCGCGGCTGGCGCTTTAGCAGCATTGTTGTTGCTGTTCTTGAAGTCAAAGGTACGAGGCAAGGCCTGCGCGGTGAAAGAAGAGAGCGTGAGGGACAAGAGAGCTACGGAGAGGGCCTTGGTGAACATGATGGCTCGGATTCGAACAAGCGTGGACGTCGACAATTATATATTCAAGGGGGAACGGGTGAAGCAAAGGAAGGAAGTGCGTTGAGGGCTTGGTAAATGAGAGAAGAAAACGACACCAGGCCGGGGCGTTCGTGAAGGTGTGGAGACGCACTAGGCGACAGCCAGAGAGAGCTGCAAAAGGACAGGAAGATGAAAGAGAACGGGTTTGGACGTTCCGTCGGAAGATCTTCCTTTATATACATCTTGAATGAGTCCATGTGCATGTTCGGCCCTCGTGCGGCTATTGCCATCCACATCCTCCGTGCCTGGATTCCCTGCATCTGCCGCGCTGTCAGCTCCACCTCCTGAGACCAATCTGCCTCTGTCCGTCGATCCGTCTGCCGTCGCATTCCGTCGACCCGTCAATTGTCACATCGACCGCTCGCCGTCAGTATACACATAGCGCCTCTCTCTCCCGAATCACTCTGGCGTCCAGCAACTTTTTCCTGCAGCATGTCATCGCATTCGCGGTTTGATCCTCCCTCACTCCGCTGATCAATCACACACCTCCGCGACGTTCCGCCACCCCGACTTTATGCCCTTCCGTGTCCATAACAACTCGATAATTGCCTCTATATATAACAGGTAGTTCTTGTCCCTGAACCGGCATGGGACGGCATCGTCAAACTTCTTGCCTCGCTCCCTCCGGTGTTTGTGACCCCCTGCAGCAAAACATGCAAGGACGAAGCTGAACATAGACGCCTCGTACGACTCTCGTACGGCTGTTGTTTGCCGTATCTGGTTATTTTTTGCGCGTTGCTAAACGCTCGTCTCGAACGGCGTGTCCTTGTTCGTTCCCAAGGTAATTGTCTAGCCTCGCTGCTCGTCCTATCACCGTGCTCACTACTCAGTGCGATGTTTTCGCAAGTACAACGTCTGTGACACAGCTCGCGAGGCGGTTCGATGGCTGCTCTGTAAAGAAGCTTGTATTGATATGGATGCACCCATCCATGACCGCTCTGACAAAAGTATGCGGATAGCGCTTAGAGTGCACCAGGTAGGCAAACTTCTCTGCACGAATCGGGCTATCACTGTCTATGTGGGGATGCGTCTCGAATGGGATTCAAACGCAACTGCAGTCGCATTCGATCCTATGTAATCGAGGGACTTGAGACACTGTTACCCTCCACCGAGTCCATGCCGTACCAACCCCTCATTGGACTTCCGACTTTTTCGCGTGCCAAGTCCATCGCATACTTAAACGCATAGTAAGTACCTGTAAGTACCTGCTACTAGCCGCTACTGCTTGCTTCTCTGGCAATGACGCATCGAGGGCCCGGCGGTATAACCAGAATGACCAATAAGCTTCGGTTACTTCCTCCAAGAGGTCCAGCAGCTTCTCCAGCGATCGGAGGTCCTGTGATCATTCAGACGCATTACAAGCTATTACACTGCTGTTGCCTGTTGCCAGCTACGAGTTTGCATCGACAAGATATCGGACTGATATCGGAGACCCTACTTCTTCGTCATTCGCGTCCCATAACGTGGATCTTTACATCTCGAGGAAGCCTCGACGACCGAAAAGTGCGGTATCCTACGGGGCTTCTTGCTACTCCATAATCCTTTCAGATTTCTCCGCGCTGGTGCTTGCTTACTGTGGCCTACATGCTTCAAATGATGTGGTCTCTCCTGGTCTGTCGCTAAGATCAATCTGCATCCACGATCTGACCTCATATGCTCACTTTCGGCTGCTATGGGATGTCCCTCGGCCATCCAACTGATGCTGAGATTTACCTGCATGCGAGACTCATGTGGGCGGCAGGACCTGGCAGGACCTGACGTTGTTCCTTGCACAATCGTGGCTGATACACTCTGAGGGATCAGGATGCATCACATATTAATATATGCTTCATCAAGGAGCCTGCGAATGCAGGGGAAGGGGCACTGATCAGTGTGGCAGATCTATGATCTACGATGGCAGTACGAGAGAGTGAAGATTGATTCTATGATTGGAACGGCTCCCCTCGACAGAACCTGGGAATGTTCTGAATCTGACGTGTCTCTGTGTCTCTGTCGGTCGAACGTCGGTCTACTATCATTGTTCAATGACTTGTATCTGTCTGCCAGCGTCGGTTATGCTCGTCTTCTTGCCAGCTCTCACGAGCCTCACCTATCGGCTATGGATTACCTCGTACCACCCATGTTCTTTCAGTCGCACCTCCATCGCTTCGCTGCTCTTCACCATTCCATTCCTTCTTGCGAACCTCTAGCTCTCTGTCATATCACCAACGTCCATTCTATCTGTTCCATGCACCTACGCTGGCAACGCCTCAAGGCAGCGGATGATCTCCATGTCAACTAACCAGCACAACATCTCCTCAATGATTACGTCGACGACCCGCCGCCCAACAGGCCTCAGACGACAACGCAGGTGGTCTAATCACGGTCCCGAAATGTCGTGGGAGGCCTGCGTCCAGAAAGGTATAACGACCAACGCTCAGCCCTTGCCTGATGGTGAACCCTGAAGATCTGACGTCGCTCGGATCCGTCCTATAGACACTGTTGTGCAACTCCGTTCAAGAAGATGCGATTCCGCACACAGGGCGAGCCGAATGTGCCGTATCGCGTTCGTCACGTGATAGACGCGTACTTGTCGATGGTCGCGACACCTCCAAGTTCTTCCCCGTTCTTCCAAATTTGCGCTCGTTCACTCACATCAGATGGTTTATGTCGAGCACCGTCGCAGTATCAGCCGATGAAGCATATCGCGACCAGTGATCGTGAGCAGCATCCTCACCGACATACTGCTGTAATGCGAGGGACCGGAGGAATGACTTCAGCTTGTTGTTAACGACTAGGGTGTAAGGTAACTCATATTCTGCATCACAGCTTGGCCGTAAGACCTGGCCTGATTTTCACTCTGGATGCCCCCATCCTCTCCTAGATCCCCTCTGCGATTATATATTGTAACCCTTCGCGTCTTTCCGTGGTACAATGCTATGGCGTAGAGCCAGTAATTTTCATAGAGGAACGACTTGCATGATGCGACAGGAGTATCTGTGTAATGAGAGTGTGTTGAGCGTCGAGCGACGAGCATAGACGGTCAGGGACAGAATGCAGACATAGCCGATTCTGAGGCACCAAGGCTTCTCAACCCTGGTCTATGGTTCGGCATCATCGTCAGGACACAACTCCCACCGCCGCGTCCCAAGGACATGAGCCATGTCTGGCCCTCGCCTCGAACGTTCTCTGCGACGAGCTCGCTGTCTATGCAGACGCGCATCTCACCCTTCGTCAATTGTTGAAAACTCTATACCACGCCTACACACACCATGCGTGTCTCAACGTCCTCATGCCCTCCGACACCACTCCTCCACCGCGCTGCGACTCTCTCCTCTCATCGACCCTCTCACGGGCCACGACTCGGATCCCCACACGCAACCAGAGTCGAGCCCCGACACACCGCCCGAGATCTCAGATACCGAATGGGACCTGCGCACAGGTGCGCCACGCCGCTGTGACTTGCATCTCCCCCGCCTCTCTCCGCTTTTGAAACATCTTCAGCCCACGTTCTGATGCCCCGCCCGATCCGGTAGGACGGGCCATCGACCTGCTCCGCTCGACGCTTCCCACGTTCTTCAATACGGGGCTCGTTACCCGTGCGCCGCCCGCCGTATCTCCGTCGTGGAACCTCACTGGCGCCGACCTCGCGAGGGATAGCATGCCGACCACCGCCAAAGCGCACGGAGACGACAGCAAGTCGATCTACAGCCCGAATATCTACTTCTCCTATACCCCGCCGCACGCACTGCCGTCGCCGTTCCCGCGCACGTTGCACGTCGAAGGTACGTCCTGCTCTTTGCATGTGACCTGGGAAACTGGACTTCTGAAGTGCACGCAACGTAGGTTTCCCTTTGTACATCGCGTCCTCTGTGTTCATCCGCCACACGCTCAACGCGCTCTACTCCGATTTATCCGTCGACGTCCACAAGCTCTCCGTCAACCCTTCCCGGTCGTCACGTGCCCCGCACACGCCGTCATCGGGGCTTGAACAAGACAGTGCGCGCAATCGCACGCTCAGGCGAGAAAAGAGCCTTTTTGTCGGATTTACAGTCTCCGGGAGCGCGCGCGTTACCGGCAGCGAGACGAAGTGGGAAGTGTACGTGCCCCATGTTCACCCGACAGCAGAGCGTGCGCGTTGACCAGAAGTGGGGGGGCTGCAGCAACTCGACGTACACGTTCTCGCCCGTGTCGGGCCTCATCCACAAGCACACCATCGACTCGATCCAGCCTGCGCCGCACGAGGCCGTGTTTGACCTCCTGCGCGCGGCGCTCGCGAAGCTGCGCATCGGGGTCGCGGAGCCTGGGAGCGGCGTCGGCGTCGGCGGTGCAGCATGTCGCACACACGCCAAGGGCAGTGGAATAGGGGACGAGAAGGGTTGCATGTGAGTGGATCAGTCGTGCCCACACTGGACTTTCAGGATAAGTGCGGGATCGATGGTGCGTGGTCGCGATTGCTTGTAGACGGTAGGCCCGCGTACGGGATGCGTTTTTGTTGACGTTATGGACAGGTTGTGTCGTTCTCCCCCCTCTCAGATCAAATAGCTACATATAACTGTGCGCTGGCTCTGCGGGATCTCTCCGGACCAACCTTACCCCCTCTCACAATATATGATATGATGCAGCTTTTTAGTGAATTTACACGCGTGGTCTCTGAGTCTGCTGTACGTATCAATGTCGCAGACTGTCGCCGTGGCCTTCCGTATCCTTCCGAGTCGGTAAGGAGATGATGCCAACGCAGCCTGGGCTGGACAATATACCAGAAAAGGGAACAAAAGAGGGCTGAATATTGATGGGAGCCGGGAAGATCAAACAGAATTATGCATGTATCACGATTCGGAAAGGCCGTGGGCATTCTCCGGATGTCAGCATGGGCCAGTCATGGGCTGGAGTGGAGATGGGTTGAGGGAGATGCTGTGGAAGGGAGATGCTGTGGAAGGGAGATCAGAAGAGGGATTGCCAGATCCTGTCTGTCGGTGACAGGTCGCCCCATGACATTCCATTCTCGTCAGCGCCGTCAGCCCAAGTTGGGTCCGCACTCACAGCGGCGCTGGCCACGCGCAGCGACCGTTGACCTTCGCCCTCGGGTTCCTTCGCGAGTGCGAGCACGAGTCTCCAGCTCTCCAACCCCCTGTTTGGCACGCGCTAGCTGCGTTTCACGGGACCGCAACCGGTAACAATGTCCCACGATCATCACCCGATCCCAAGGATGGAGATGGTAGTACCGCCCTCGCCCACAGACACCTCGTCCTCGACGTCCCCGCTCACCTTCTCCTCCCACACCCTCCTCTTCGACGACGACGACGACCAAGACAACTACGACCTCCCCGACCCCCAAGACGGCCTCTCTCAGCCCTTCTATCTGCGCACCCTCTCCATGCCTCCTCCCTCTGATCCCGTCTCCCGCTCCGCCTCGCGCTCAACTTCTCGCTCGGCCTCCCGTTCCGCCAGCACCAAACGTGATCACGACCACAACCGCGCACCACCCACCCCCGCCATCCCTCCCTCCGTCGACCGCTCCCTGGTCTCTCCCGTTGTCCAATCCCCATCCTCGGCGCAGCGCGCCCAGCCCTACTTCAACGGCACTCACTCCGCCACCGCCTCCACATCAACCCTCAAACCCCCAGGCTCGCCCCTCGTCCGTGCCCCCGCAGGTCCGCGTCAGCCCTCCACCTCTTCCGCGTCTTCCCGCCGCTCCGCCGTCTCTGACGCCAGCACGAACGCCAGCCATTCCGATGTTTCCTCTGTCCGTCGCCTTGCCGCCCTCAATGCCTCCTCCTCCTCCCTCCCCACCAAGGAGCTTCCCGCGAAGCAGTCCAAAGCAACTTTAAGCTCTGCCAGCGGCGAGCCCGTCCCGCGCATGCGTACGATCCCCCATCTCCCGCACAATCGCGATGCAGAGCCCGCGCCCGCAAGCGTCATGTACTGGAGCAGGGCCCCCGTCTGGGGGACACTGCCAACGCACGGCATGCGCGCGCACAGCGTCACCCTCGTCGACCACACCGCATGGGTCTTCGGCGGGTGCGACGACGTAGACTGCTTCAAGGACGTCTGGTGCTTCCACACTGGTAAGCACGCTTGCCCCGTTTCGTCCACCTTCCGCATCTCCATATTGATCCATCGTCAACTCGCTCCGATATCGGAACCCGCACGCTTGTCTCCCGTTGCGCCGTGTACGCGCACGTGCAGAGACAATGCAGTGGACGCGCCCCGAGATGCAAGGCGAGATCCCGCCACCGTGCCGCGCGCACACCGCGACGCTCGTCGACCGCAAGCTCGTCGTCTTCGGCGGTGGCCAGAGCTCGACCTACTACTCCGACATCTGGGTGCTCGACACGCAGATGCGGCGATGGACCCGGCCAAGCTTCGACGTGGAGGTCGCGCCTGCTCCTCGCCGCGCGCACACGACCGTCATGTACAAGGGCAAGCTCTGGATCTTTGGCGGCGGCAATGGCGAGTTTGCGCTCAACGACCTCTGGACGCTCGACGTCACCGCGAACCTCGAGCGTCTTAAGTGGCAACAGATCGAAGCCGGCCGTGTAAAGCCCAAGCCCCGCGGGTACCACACCGCGACGCTTGTGGGAAATATGATGATCGTCATAGGTGGGAGCGATGGACACGACTGTTTTTATGACATATGGTGCTTGAATCTCGGTGAGCCATTTCCCTCTATTACTTTTAGCCGTTCGCTCAACGACGGATATGTGAGGTAGATACGTGCCGGTGGAAAGAACTCAAGACAGATACCCAACACCGCAGGCTCTCTCACTCAGTGACACAGGTTGGCTCCTATCTGTTCGTTGTCGGCGGTCATGACAGCCATGATTATACGTCTGAGCTACTTCTCTTCAACCTCGGTTTGTGTGCCGTCTATTTTACCCTGAGTAACTTGCTCACCGCGCACCCCATAGTGACTTTGCAATATGAGCCGCGACGCACGCTCGGGCGCCCCTTCCAGCCGCGCGGGTACCATGTCTCGCTCCTTGCCGACTCGCGCCTGTTCATATTCGGCGGGCACGATGGACGCACCGTCTTTGACGACGTGCACATCCTCGACCTCGCGGCCGCTGCGTACCTCCCACAAGTGACAAGCTTCCAGATCGAGACGTAGCGCGGTGCGCGTTTCGTCTGCGGTCGTGCTGGTCGCGTGCGGAGGGGTATGATGTGGTGTGGTGTGGTGTGGTGTGGGGGGATCTGAAAGAGGTCCAAACTATCTTAAAGGATCGGAGGCGCCGGTAGCTCGGGCTCGGGGCTCGGGGATGGCGGGGATCGGGCTGTGATCTTGCCGAGTGACGTCGATGGGCGCTTGTGGGCGTCGGTGGATCTCCAGATCTTTCTGGGTCCTTAGTTCTCGCACACTCGCACTCGGGCTCACCGGCGCGAATGTAGAGATAAAATAAAAAGGACACAGCCCAGGGTGGTTGGGTCGCATGAGGACCCGAGGCTGGTGGTGTATAGTGTTGTATATGCGGGCACCGCAATGCGGCAGTCCCCATCTTCCCGAAATTCGTTCAACCTTCGTTTCTCTATTCTTTCCCATATTTTCCTCATAGTGTTTCCTATCGCCTCTTCGTTCTCCCCTCCCCTCCTTTTCTAACCTTTTCTCTCTCTATCCTGGCTTTAGTCGCCCCATGGGCTCCCGAATCGCTGTCTGTCATCGCCCAAACCAATCCTCACTGTCGCTCCTCGTTCTAACCATTTCCTCTCGAGCCATTGCGCTCTCGCGCTCTCCTCTCTCGCTCACTCGACTCCCACTTTCCCTTCCGTGTGTTTTTCGCCCAGTCTGCTACCGCTCACTATTTTCTCGGCCTGCCGTTCTATTCGTTTGCCTGCAGGACTCGCGCGCGTGCTGCACATACTTGTACAATGTGTACACCTGACGCGGAGATCGGACCTTTGGAAGATCCTGCGGTGTTTGCCCGGGCCGCCGATGGGGGGCCGTAGTAGCCCTCTCGGAGAGAGGGGAGAGGGCAGAGATCGTGTAATGCGCGCGACGCGTCGCTGTGGTGAGCGTCGAGTGTCGATTCGCAATACATGCCGTTCCGGAAAGTAGAGCCTGTCTCCGACCGATTTCTTTATTCACTCTAACTCTTACTCTTACTTCTACCCTTACTCTTACTCACAAACTCGCGGAGGCGGTCACTGCACCTAGGCCCGTTGGCCCGTGTGGCAGGTAGAGCTGTTGTGGAGCGTTATCATTTAACTGGCCGTGCATATTACGCTACTGTAAATCCACCAATATGCGATTTTTACCAGTTGGTCGGTAGGTCCCCCTAGGGCGGTCACAGATAAGTCGCGTTCTCGTTTCACGGTGATGTGGCTTGCGGTGCAGCTGCTCTTCTCCATAGCCTGGAGATGCTTGTTATGTTTGTTCTTGATCTGAGGGCAGCCACTAGCTATGCATGTACCCGGCCGAAACTAATGGGGCCCTAGCACAGCGCCGGGAAATAATGCGACGCGGTTGGCCTATTTTCTAGCTTTGTTATTGGCTGTTATTTGATGCCTGCGCTGGCACTATTGACCCTACATATCAGCGAGTCTTTAAAGTTTCCATAATACGTTGTATTTTGGGCCTATCCAAACATATAGTACTATCACTCCCCCGGAGTTGCAAATGGGACGTGAAGATCACATTCCGTTTTTTGAAAGCAACACAAATCTGTGTGCTTCAAAAACATTCATGGGTGCTCTCATAGGCCACCATTAGGTGCATAAATTTTTTTGAGAAAGAAAAATATGTGCAAAGGCACAAAAACGCTAAGATACTGGTGTGGAGGAGGAATTTTCAAAGAGATGCTCAAGACTCTTCAGATCCTGGTGTATAACTATCAATCAAAAAAATAATGAGCCATAAAAAAGTTCTTAGGACAGCTATCCGAGTATTTTTGATTCGATTTGAAGTGTCTCACATCCCACAGCAAAATATTTGCGACGGGCAGTGGAAAGGGTGACAGAAAGCTCATGCTTTTGTTCAACTCCGCCGCGCGTTCCCTGGAGTCGCAACTGCGGGGTCCAATTATGAACGTGACAGCGTGTGACCCGATGGTCGGAAAAGTTGCAACTCCCTGTTTTTACCTATGCTCAGACACTCCTTTTCATTTGTGCCTCAGCATCTCGTTCTCTCATTTTAAAAATAGGAAAAAATAATAGGCTACATTTCAAAAAGCTATAGTAGGTATGTGCCAAGATCGGAGGGGAAAGACGCTGATCTGAGGCCGCTATGAAGGAAACAAAAAAGTTTTGCAGCTCCGGGGAAGTGATAGTACTGGTTCAGACATCATCATCCTCATCAATTGGTTCAAAATGTTCTCAGACATCGTGGGAATTAAAGCTGACTAATGATTGTAGACTTCCGGAACATTTCAAGCAATGATTCGAGCCGCATAGCATGGATATAATGTGTATGGCAAAACTGATGGATATTGTTACTACCTTTGCACTCTCCTAGTGTTTATTCTCATCTTGTTTCTTCCCCCTCTTCCAGAGGATGGCATGTTTTAGCCATGGTAAACTCCACTAGCCCAACAGATATCCAAGTTGTGGCCTATAAGTGTCTACTTGTTCAGTTTGTTATCCTACACAGTGACTGTGATTTGCCCAATATTCATCTGCAGAGGTGCTCATACAAACAATGCATATCCTTGATGGTATCTACATATGCCTCTAGCAACTTTACCACATTCTCACTATGTTATGCCCAGCTATCTGGAAAAACCTTCTTTCTTAATTAGATCTAATTATTTAAAATGTTAATCTGAGCAAATTAGAATATATTATCCACAATCAACTTTATGATCAAATTTGCAAATAAGAGGATATTGTCTATATTAATACAGTCCTATTAAAATCTATAACCCAATTACAATTTTACACATCTCAAATCTGAATTGTGTAAGTGCTATAATTTTATTTTTAGTGTATTATTTATTTCCTATTGGTTTACTATATTATTGTCTAGTGTCTAAATTCAAATATTAAAAGCCCTGATTTTAGGGTATTTATTAACCCCTTTATATATAGAATAGATAAATGATGAATATGTAAGAAGATCAGAAATGTTGAGATTGCCTTATTTGTATTGTTATATTTAGGTTACTAGGTAAATGACTTAGATCTTGTGGCTTAGTGATTTAGAGCAATGGTCTAGAGGCATGAGGTTATTGATTTAATTCTGGTGATGGGCAAGTTTATTATAAGGTGTGACTTTAGTTTGATTAGTGAGCTCTGTAGATACTCTATAATTAAAGGTGTAGTAATAGTAGAGAAACCTAGGAGTGTGTTGGTTGCTATTTTTCCAAAAATCCATATGATAAATTAGCTTTAATTAGCTCTAATTAGACCTTATAATTTTAGAATTAGAAGAGGGGTAAGCTAAAAATCCTGAATGGTAATTAGCAAAAATATAGCTATATTAATGCTTATCTGTAATTAATTTGATGTGGAACTTTTCTCTAATGAATGTGTTGTGCCCCTCCAATATCTTGATTGTGGCTTTAATCTGTCACTGCTGAGGTCTGTAGCCAGATATCTTCTCAGTTGCATTGACTCATTCTGATCTTGTCAGTATTTTTGAAAGCTAAGGCCATTTTTCCCAGTAGATGGTTGTGTTGTGTTAGGGGTGAGTTCTTGGATGTTTTGTGTTTTTTGATGAGGCAGCAGCACGCACACAATCTAATCTTTGTCGAAAGATCTGAGATATTAGATAATCAGTGATGACTCTTTCGGGATTCGAAATGATTTGTAGCTAGCATACAAGATAACGCGCCACCATGCGGACCCCCTTAGCGATCACTACTTTGATACAAGACCCTTCACCACATGAAGGTAAGTGGTCTTGGAATGAGACTAGAGCCTCACATGCGAATTCCCCCTTGACGGCATGGCTCATTCTAGCAACTCTCATACCTGAGTAGTAAGGACAATTGTATGTTAGATAGTAATACAACAATACTTTGTCACAGTATCTCGCCAGCTTAGCGGTACATATCGCATGTTATTCATACACCCAGCGATCTGCATCCTCATTGAGCTGAGCTTATTTTTTCTTTTTACCATCCATCATGTCAGCCACCTCAATCCAACGTTTTGGCACGCCGTGTGCAAGCAAGATATCCAACGCAACCTTGCTTTGTTTTCCTTGAACCATCACCTCTTCACCTTCTTTGCGATCGGGTGCGGGGCTCACTGCATAGATAAAATTGTGATACAATGAGGAAAAAAAGCGAACAGACAGTCATGATCAGATAGACCAATAAAAGGACATGTGAGGATGGACATACCTGAAGTCGACGACTGACATCGAGCACGCAGTGCATCCGCGATTGCGGTCGGGGAGAGCAAGAATGGCTCGACGCCCATGATAAGAGTGACCGCCTTGTTTCTACGGGCTTTGACAATCACCGATATGGGCCGCACGATCCCTTTACTGCTTGCGCATGCATGCATCGACACAAACCGGGAGGGGGGGATAGTCAGTCTCAGTCGCAACAGGAAACGTCGAGGGCGGAGAGGGAAAAAGGGAGAGAAAAAAGCATGCATACCGTGTAATCGGCTCCTCGCCCTCTTTTTCAATACGGTACCACGCCTGCATCCGAGCACACAGTCCGTCTATGACGTCATCACGCCGCACCCACTCTCCAGTGCCAATGCTTGACTGATTGGATGCTGACACAGAGGCAGAGCCGGCGAGCGGCTTGGATGATAACACAGCGCGTAAAGCGGCATCAGCGTGTGTGTCGATGTATTGTTGGTCGACATGGCTAACAAGATCGTGGGCTGTGAAATATGAAGACAGGAAGTCCTTGAGGTCCGTGCGGGTATATAGGGTGCTAGTTCTGTAAAGATGCACATCAAGTCGGTCAGCACGCGCCAGTATATCAAACCGTAACATCGTTGCGACGCAAATAGAGAGGGAGGAACGTACGACAACCCTGCACCCTCGAACAATTTCACGCCGGCACCCATAGGTCTCCACAGCCTCTCAACTTGAATATCGCCACCCGTGTTCGTGTTCTCCTTCACCCTTGCCTCCGTCCGTTTCTTCTTCTCTTCCGTGTCTTTCACCGTGCGATACTTCTTGTGCGCGAGCACATCTGCGTGTGCGGGATTTACAGAAATCACCGCAGCATCGGGCCGCGCATCTTTGAGGCGGAGTAGACCAGCGCGCTCGGATGTGCGGAGAAAGTGAGAGAGCGACTTGTGGGAAGAGTGCTTGATATCGATCGGCGTCTGCGGTGAGGTTTGCGCCGACATCATTGAGGCGGCGGGTGTGGACGAGGATGCTACAGATTCCGAGCTTGGCTCAGCATCTGATGCCAAAGGTGCTGATGATGAAACTACATGAGACTGTAAAGACGAAGACTGTGATGTTGAGGACACGACAGGAACGTTCACAGGCCGGAAAGGCAGAATATAGCTCGTGTAAAACGTCGTCGCTGATATCGGAAACGCTGATGATGGGAGTTTGGACAAAGCCGTTGCGAGGGCCTGCAGGAGCGCGGTACGAAGGAGAGTGGATACTTCTACAGTGATATTTCATTAATTCCCAAATAGGATCGGGGTATAAGACAACGTCGGGCGGTGAACAAGAGAGTTGCGTACCTTCAGGCGATAACGTGTGCACGAGAGGATCAGAGGGAGTGGATAGTGAGGAAGTGGGATCAGTGTTAATAGGTCTATCATTAGATTCCAACTCTCTTCTGTCTTTCAATTCAAGTACCTTGGTAGCTGAATGCCCCTCATCTTGTAAATGCAGCACAGTCTCGTCCGCTCCTGCGTCTGTGACATCTTCTCCTTCCTTATCTCTGCTTTCCTCTTCTACCTCTGCTTCCTCACCGGCCGCAACCTCGACGGCTGGCGGTACGTCTCCTCCTTTTCCCATGGCCCATAGATGGTCCTTCCACGTATGCAGAACGTATACTGCGCGTCCCTTCTTATCCTCGCTTGTGGATTCCGCGAGCACAGCGGCATCGAGTGCCATACGTCCAACTGCGAGTGGCGGTCCACGTACATTGAGAGAGCGCTGATATTGCGTGATGGAAACGAGCGCATTTCGTTGCAGAGATTGGGTATGTGGAATGTGGACGACTAGATTACATGCGCAGTGGATCGAGCGTGGGTAGAAGGAGATGGTGTATCATGGGCGTACCTCCAGGAATCATAAGGTCTGCGCCGCCAATAAGAATCGGTATAACAGCCGATGGCGTGGACAGGGTAGGGAGGAGAGTAGGGTGTTTCCAAAGAGTGTACACTAGGTCCCCATCGCCAGGCATATCAACTTAATTGTCCACACCGAGAGATGGGATGCATTGAATCTCAAAGTTGAACATACCTGTCGGCACCAATTCATCTGTACCCTTTCCAACGGTGAACCAGAGCGGATTGCGCATGCTATCGGGCGAGAGGTACAGCATCTGAAGATACATGCCGCAGATGAAAGGGAGGGTGCGCAAATAACAAAGAGAAGAGACGCACACCATTCTCTCCAGTATGTGTGCTGTATTTCATTGCGAGGATCCCATCGGGCACAAGGATATCGGCAGCATCGGAGTCGAGGGAAAAGGTCTGCACAACGCGCTGCTTGAGCTTGCGCCGGTCGGAGCTGCGAAGGGGAGCTACAAGTAGAGCATGGGGGAGAGTGACGGATGTGAGGATAGATTACATTCAAATCGTGAGGTGGATGAAGGGTTGTGGCGGCAGGGTGATGAAAGTTGGGGTTGCGCACCAGAGGTCTTAGTGTTTCCGAGCGGTTTTTTGAACATTATGAGGGTAGATATAATGAGACGTTTTCTGAATTCATACGTGGATCTTTCTCGAGCGGTGAACAAGACGCTGCAGTCATGTAAGTGGCGTCGAGTCCCGGCTCCGCCTCCGTCGATCGCACTGCAGCTATGGGTTTTTCCGAGGAATAATATAATGAGTGTATGATGTTAATCTCCTCAGGAAAGGGCGAAGATTTCTCCAGTTATTCTGCTTTTGCCGATCAAGTTGTAGCAAAATAATGGCATTGGGTCTAAGAACTTTCAGTGTTTGTCCTTTCCGACAGTCTCTCTACAAGATTTTGATGACCCACGAGGCCCAAGTTGCCCCGAGCAGCTGCAGCCTGCACCAATTTAGCTTGGGACTGTCCCTTCAAGCCTCTAGTGTCTATCTCATCATGTCTAGCCAGCGTATTGCTAAAGGGAACGATGCGAAGATATATATTGCTGCCAATTAAAGTCAAGTCTGTCTCAACCCCCTCCTCCACTCTTCATACTTCTTTGGTCATAGCGTCTGCTCCTCTGAAAACCCCTAATTTGACTTACCCCCTGATCATCTAAGACCATCAGTTCGCTTCCTAAATGAGCTTGATAGCGACGGGCGATATAACATAAGGCGAAGCTTCAGGGTGTCTTTTGTGCGTTGTGTTGATTTCTGGCTCAACACCGTGATGGCTGAAGGAAGATAGGTATGTAGTTGAGTATTATATGACAACTTGAAGGAGTACTCACTTCCATTAAAAATGTTCCTCGATGCTACCAGGTATTGTGAATGCGGGACATACAAGACAAATCCATGGCCCTGTTCGCCGATACTCGTCCCATGACGATTCAGCAGTTTTCAACTCGAGCACTTTCGCCATCTTCGTTTCTGCCTTGGTCGCTAGTCTCTACTTCAGGCCTTCACTACGGGTGTGGCTGTGAATTGCGTGACGCACCTGAGAGTCGTGAAAAGAATTAGTTACGGTGGAATGAGGGTTCTGTCGACCTCGACCCTTAAGAAAACACGACGCGTACCGCGGTCCTCCATCCCATTATGGCAGCCCTGCATCTTGATGCACACATCAGACAATGCACCCTCACGTCGAGTTTGTCCATCTCTCCTGAGTTGGTACAATTCGGGTCGACTTCGCACAAGCGCATAGGATCCAAGGCTCTCATAGCCGCAGGACGAATGCCAAGGTTGTGCCTCAACTTTGTGTGCCTGCATGCATCCATCGCAGCATGCTCGTATACCAGAAGATCCATAGCCGAGGCCACATTGCCGCCCTTCGGAGGAGGGAAATAAGTTTTGCCATGGCATTTGTGGACGAAGACATTGTCATATGTCAAAGCGGGAACGCTATCGCAGTCCATGCATGTGAATATGGCGGCAGGGTGATCAAGTGTGTCAAAAGACTTGAGGATGGGAAAAAGGATGCGGAACCTAGATGCAAGGCTGGCTTCAACATCGGTCTTCCACTGAGCCCATATAGCAGGAATGGCTTGTCGTAAACGAGCAAAAGCGGCATCAGTAATCGTTCTGCTCTCTGGCACGTCGAGGACTTTTTTGACTCGTGGTGATAAAATCACGTCAATGTACCGGCTGGTTCCAATTCCTGGCAAGTCCTGCGCAATCTCGTCGAGCATCAATATCACGGTGGCAAATCTGTCAATGAGGACATCTTTTCGCTCGTGGGCTCTGACGTTGGCTTTGGTTTGATTAATGAAGTTCGTCAATGTTTTTTTGATGCTCCTTCACTCTAGCATTGATTCGGCATGTCAGCTTATTTATGCCAACGATGTACTACAAAATATCAGGCTCACCTGTGTCTGCAAGTTTCTCGGGCACTTCGAAGAGCTCATGACGCAGGAGAGCCCGCCGAAGATTTGGGACGCCAAGCTCCTCTTGAAAGCCTGCTTTCACCAGGTTATTGAGAATCCTGCGTTATGATCAATGCGCATTCGTACCCATATATAGATATGGACGTACATTTTCTTCCTCTGGCTTCTGACCTGTTTTTTAAGTGCCACCTTGTCTTCTTCCTGCTTCTTTTGTAAATTCTTATACTGCTGAATGTTACTGCGGAGGAGGTCATGATGCCAGACATTCATCTACATGATCTGTCGGTTATGAGACAAATTTGTACACAAGATAAACATACCAAACCATGTTCTGTATAGTACGAACTTAGCTGTTCGATAGCCGAATCATACTCGTTTTTGGTAAGAGCCGGTAGTGACTCTCGAAGAAGTCTGACAGTGGGCTTGTGCCAGCCCTCTCCCGAAGACCGGTAGCTTCTTCGAGTGGGTTGCCATGGTATTCCAGTAATGATGCATCCCATAGCCCACTGCCACACCTTTGAAGAGATATTCTTGAGGGGGCTTGGGAAGGTCTTGTAATATTTGTAGGACACTATCAGTCATACGGCGTGCACCCAGCAGCATGAAAATTGATTTACTGCTCAGCCATGCATGACTCGCAATATCTTGCGTTGTCTTCTGATATCAGGTGACAAATTCCCTTGTCCATGCATTCCTGAGACAGTCAATCGTTGATTGAACATAAAGTACAGAAGAAAACCCAAATCCTCACTGTGCAAAACGAATCGAACATGAGGGCAGCATAGCAAAGCACAGACATGTCGCTTGGGCGAGAGGTAAGCTATCAACACGCTTTAAAGCATTGAGCCAAAGAAATTCTATTCTTCGATCCAGAAGAATGGCACGCAGCCATTTATTGACCCTCGCCAGGCTGAGCAAGTCATCTGGATCTGCATACGAGAACACCTGTGCACGAAATGAGTATCGAATGGGTGACATGAAGGAGAACAAACCTCTAAAAGTAATTCAAGAGGGAACACAGATAGACTAGGAAAGTTGCTGCCTTGTGCCACGCTACTGGCGACCTCTGCATGTTCAAGTTGAACCAGGTGCTCTTCAGGATTAGCAGGTTCTGCGATGAGTGTATCATTCTTGCGCCTTTTCGTTCGGAGAGGAGCCATGGCTATGTCTTCGTAAAATAGAAACCTGTGCCTTTGAGAAATGTTGTCGAATTGTCTGACGCGAAGCGTGAAGAGATGGAGACAAGTTGAAGAGTTGACTCTTCGAGATCGCCCGACTGTGCGGCCCCCTCACGCCGTTCCACAAGCACGTGAGGATTGTCACACCTGCAGTGCTTCTTGCGCATCGCGTTTGGCTCATTTGGTGATCAAGCTAACTTATTAAGGCTTGGCAATTAGAGACAACGCTGCTCGGCCCGGATGCGAGGTGAATACAAGTAAAATTGTGCTACGACTGGATTTTTATATAATCAAATCCATTTATTGTCCTGGCAGAGTACAAGAAACGACTGCCATGGATATCAAGGATCTTTGCCTCATCTAGACATCATGAGTTTGGATCTCGTTCCGACTCTCGCTCCAAGTTTTTCCTGCGCTCGAAGAACCCTCCATAAACTCATCACTCTTACCGCCCTCAAGCGCTGCCCCGGTCAGCCTACCGTTCCTTTCGATCCATCTACCGCTTTCTCTGTCCACCTCTATTATACCAAGCCCCATATCCTCTTCCTCTGCCTGCTCTTGCTCTACCCTTGCAACAGGATCCTCTCCGAATTCATCCACAACCCTTGCATGCGCTGCATGAAATGCGGAGAGCGTGTGATGTTCGCGCGCTTGGCCACCTGTTCTAGATAGTGAAGCGCTGCTATTTTCGGTATATGCACGAATGTGGAGGAGGAAACGCGCAGTGAGGAGACCAGAGACCCTGATTGAGAATCCAATGCACAAATGCAATTTAGTCCAGTTAAGGATGCGGGCCTGACAGAGGCTCACGGGAGCGTAAAGGCGTTCAGTAGGCGTTGAAAGAAGCCACCCTACGGATTGGAGAGGGTCAGTTCAGTATACTGGCCAGCACTTCAAGCAAGGGTACGCACGGATGCACGCTAGGTATTTAGGATACGTTAGCAATACATAGAATGATTGACATACAAAACATACAAAGTTAAGGATCACGGCCGCAATTGTAAATAACGATACCACACTAAACACCAGAGAGTCACCGGTTGATGCTCGAGATACCAGTAGCAAGAACGTCTAGTACTCACCCGAAATAGAGCACACCCTGTTCGAGCACTAAGTAATGGAATGTATTCTTCTTATTCCGGCTCTGACCTTGCGCGTGCAGAGCTTGGACACTCCGGAAGACGGTTAGTGAAGTTGCGATAGACTCAAAGACACAGACGAGAATAGAAAGCAGGGTGTTCGCTGTAGTGATCAGAGAACTCAAGATGGTCACCAAGGAGTTATCAATGCGACGAGGAACAATCCATACCACTAGCAAGTGCAGATCAGATGGCTGGATATTACAAAGAGATCACAAGACGTACATTTGTATGCTGGAAGATCCATGGCATCGCAGCCCTGGAACGTGTAACTGAAATAATAAGGGCTCGATATGAGTAGTAGCAGAAGGATCAGACATAGCGAAGCCACTGACACAATCGAGAACCACACATGTGAGCCCAATGGCTCCCAGGCCATACAAGACCAGCTTGCTCTGGGCGCAAACAGCATAAGTTCTCATCGCGAAGACGGCTGCAAACTCGACTTCAGCATTAGGGAAATGTACAATAGCAAGAGCACTTGCTGATGACCGAAGCTCTGCCAACGACACTGATAGCACCGATAATTTTGTACCATGTATCACAGCTGTTGAAGAGAGAAGTATCATTTGGTTGTTGAGTCTAAAATCATCGCAGAAAGATAGAAACGTGCTATGCATAAGTAAAGGTTGACTTTAGCATGTGCGATGATCCCGAGATAAGTAGGTGGAATAACGTACCCTACTACCCAATTTATTCGCGATAGCGAGCAGATAAAGCAGATTTGCCGGCAGCGCATAGCGGCAGAAGATGTAGAGGAAGGTCGACACTTTCCATTCTTTCGACCTCCACATATACCTGACCTCCTCTGGGAACGTCAGACCATAGTCATACCATAGGAGAGCTATGTTGTAATACATGAGAAGGAGAGAGGATTGAAGTTAACAATGCCGAACTTGCCGATGCTGGAATATTGAATCCGAAACTGAAGGAAGCTTGATAGGGAAGTAGTTAGATGAGACTGTGGGGGAAGGTCATATGCGCTCACTGTGTCGCAGCTGTGCTGACTGCATTCGGCATTTTGGAGAAGAAGGATACGATGCTGTTTTGAGAGCAGCAGAAGGATTTTATAGACGGGTGTGACTCGCCCCTCAAGAGAATGGGGAAGTAGTATGCGGCGCTGGAATGTTCGAATCAGAGATATCATCATCAGTTGCTGAGATGGCCGGACGACGCTCCATGTTCGCACAAAGCGCGCGGCTGACTCCTGGTCCGTGAGATACATAAGGCCATGGACGTCTGTGCTTCAAGAAGAGCCAATCGCGGGCAGGCCATGAGAAACGTTTGCGGACAAGCTTTGTTTCAGACCTGGCTTCGTCGTGAGTACGGTCATATGTCACCCAAATCCAGGTCGTCTAGCCCGTGAAATCCTTTATCCGCAATTCTATATTGAGAAGACAGACGCTGCACTCACACGCACCGGAACACATCGACCAAAAGAATCATCAAACTACATGGGGCATGCACCAAATATTGCCTTATGTAACGTTGCAGCGCAAGTTGAGCATCATGAGCTACGCATAGCATCATAGATCAAGATGGCGAGACAGACTCCATTCTGCAAGTGAACGGACCAATGACTCTGTCTCGCAGAGGACCTCAGCGACTCCATCGATGCCTTTATGTCAACAAAGCTTCAGGCTCGTACTGGTAGTGTAGTCAGCGGGGAGAGCCTCTGTGGGTGGAAGAGATAACTAGACAATAGAAGCTCACCACAGCGGGATCTGATGGAGCCAGCGAAACGTATTTGTTGCGCAGTCCCCCTTCAATGAATGATAGTATCGCACGAGATGATCAGAGCCGAGTCAATCCAAAGCAAGACCTTCTTCAGAGAGCTGTGGCGACAACGAATTCCAGTGACATGATGATCGAAGAGACCACCACCATCGCTACAGGCTATAAAAGGATGTGTCCATGTGTCGAACCCCAAAGGGCATGGGAAACGATGATAAGTGTGATAGATCCTGAGAGAGATGGAAGATTCCTGGCCAGAAATAGGGATGGTAAGACCACAGGTGTCAGCGGGAGATATCTCACCGCGAACACCATATAACGCCTAGACAACTTCTACCGCCAGAGTTGACCCCGAGATCCGCCTCCATTCAATTTGGTCTCTAGCTCCGAGAATGAGCGGGGTTAACAAGACCAAGGGTCGTAGTCGCGAGAATCACTATTTTCCCAGGAGTGGGGTGAGTCCGAGCCATTCAACGACCGTTAGCGCCAGTATCTTTAGGTGTTTTTGCAATGGGAGTTCAAAGTCAAAGAATTCAGATCCAGCGAAGCGAAGTGCCTCAATTTGAAATTCATACCTCACGAGGTCAGTAAGAAGGTAAGAGTGTCTTGGAGAGATTGCGATCAACAACGCCACGAACTAAATCAACTTTAAACTAAAAGCCGATTGACTTTAATATTCTCTTAGACGCTCTGCCAAACATAACATCTACAATGTAAGAAATATGGAAAGATGACATGGTAACATCATGCAAATGAATATTCTACTACAAATATGCTCAACTGGTGCAGTAGTTAAGAGTAAACCACAAGTATGACAAGATAGACAACAGATTTCGAGGGTCCTACTATTCAATCCGATTTCACAACAATTGAACCATACAATAGTTACCAAAGGTGAAGCACCACAAACAAAACCTCAATCGTGCTCTCCGATATCTTCACCTCTACCGCGCTGAAGCGTGGCATCGCACATAGTGGTATGTTCAGGTGCTGCTTCGATATCGAGCTCCGCTCGCGTAACAGGGTCTTCCCCAAAGTCGGAGACCACGTGCCCACTGACAGCTTGAGAGAGGGAGAGTGTGTGCACCTCCGGGGCACGTCCATCGCGAGAGATGTAGAATTTCTTGGTATCGTAAGCACGAATGTAAAGCAGGAACTGAGCGGTGAGAAGACCACATAGTCTGGAGGCCAAATAGATAGATCGAATATAGTCAGAGTATGATCATTCTATTGAAGTTATGGCGTACGGGAGGGTAAACACATTGAGGATATGTTGAAACGAGCCACCCTGCGCACGGAACCATGAGCTCCAGGGCTACTTAATTGCATGAAAGAGGAATTTGTACAGGCGACCGCTATTCATGCGTATTTAGTCAATGGACGCTATCAGATTGTGACATCTAGGACTTACAAATCCCACAACCACAGAAGCTATGGTAAAGAAAGATACGCCGCTATAAGAATACCTAATTCATCATAAAGTGAAACTCGAATGTGGCGTGATATCCACCAGAAATAGAGTACACCTACATGCGTATGGTTATTCGCAGATAAAGCCAGCCGAATTCGCAGACATAATACGGAGCTCACCTTGTTCCAACAAGAGATAATGAAGCGTGTGATTCCGTAGCTTGCCTTTGCCGCGTACTCGGTTGGCTTGGAAACTCCTGATGACAGTAAAGATGGCTGCCACGGATTCGAGGACGCAGATGAGGATGGATAAAAGTGTGTTAGCTGTTTGACGAGTGGTTGAGCAAAATGAAGGCAGAGCCGAAAGTCTGTGAGATTCCCTACCACTGAAAGAACAAATGAGTAAATAAGTGTTCGGCGAATTGGAAGACACTTACATCTTAATGCTGGAAGAGAGCTGACATCGTAGGCCAGGCACATGAAGCTGGAGGATACACGTTGTAAATCAGCCATCCAGACGATGAAAAGAACCCACACAATCAAGGACGACACATGTCAGCCCGATCGCCCCTAAGACGTAAAGAATGAGGCGGTTTTGAGCGCACACAGTGTACGTTCGCATTGTGAAGACTGCTGTGCGGTCGTCTATGAAAGCTTGAAATCAGATAGTCCGACGTGAAACCCACTGATGACCGCTGCCCTGCCAATGACGCTGATGGCCCCAATGATCTTGTACCATCTATCACAGCTAAAAGCGCCCATCTCAGATCACTACTGTTCCGTGCCCAATGTTATCGCTCACTGTGTAATTATATGAGGGTATGGTTCATTCAAATATCCTTAGTATAAGCTTACCCTGCTACCGAGTTTGTGAGCGATTGCCAATAGATAAAGGATATTGGCTGGCAGGCAATGCATAGTGACATGCTATGTAGAGGAATGTTGAAAGCTTCCATTTTTTGTTTCTCCACATGTACTTGACCTTGTCAGGAAAGGTTAGGACGTAGTCATACCAGAGGAGAGCTGAGGAAAGTCTCGTGGGAAAAGCAGCACTACAAACCATTTATGAGGACAACTCACCGATAGTGGAGTATTGAACGCGGAATTGGAAGAAGCTCAAAGCCAAAGTTTAATTTAGAGACTGAAGAAGATGCAGATATTTACTCACTGAGTTGCAGCTGCACTTACTGAGCTGACCATCTTTGTGCGGGGGAGTGGGATGCCACGCAGCTACGGTTCGAAACATCTTATATGTCGAAAAATGGGCATGCATGGGAGGATAGAATAGAATGCATTGCCACTCTATCTCACCGGAACTCTATCTTCGCAGAACAAACTCACATCGGCGCATCAGGCTGCATGGTGCAAATCGGTGATAGCCAGCGAGGGAACACAGGCAAGAGTTGTCATCGAATGTGGGCTCAACCCAATCGCACGCTAGAAACACGCAACGTTTGTGGCAACCTGCCACTGCGAAGACGTCCATCCCGATTGTCTAGTGAGTTACCGCTCCGCTAATGAATAGAGGGGACAGCCTAGATCGCCCAAAGCATCAGCTACGCGAGCCATAGGTAGCCATGACAGGCAAGATGCTCACATGGATTCCGAGTCTAATCCATGTGCACTGAGTAAGTCGTCTCGTGCTACTCCAAATTCACCTACGCAGAACGATCGATGCTTGAAAACACTACATCTTGTGAAGCCCTATTGGACCGAAGCAGAAAAATGAAGAGGTAATGCAATTGAAGCTCACCGCAAGGTACTACGAGGCCACAACCGCACGATGAGAACCAGGGCTGAGGAAGAGGCTGAAAATTTCGTTCGCAGGAACAATACCACAAGAATCAGGTAGATAGCGCACAGCAGGATAGAGGGCTTTGTATCACTTTGCGAGCTCTTGTCCCTGCATGGCAGATAGAGGGTACTCCAAATCAACTCTAGTTCAAGCGTTCAATGCTCTGTGTGCCGCGCATGCCTCTTGGGAATGTTGCGTAGCAATAATCAATCTGTCTTGTTAGAAGAGTTTGATGCTCCACGAGATCTGCTTGTTGAAAGGGCTAAATTCGTGCTTGAACTCCCACCGTATATCGGCGGTCATCGCTATTGTGGGACCTCTAACTGCAAACGTGATCATCAAGATAGTTTCTTGTTCTAGAGCATCCTTATATTGAATCCTTATATCTCGCGCTCGTTCGGGCGCATGCTCATAGCTGTACTGGAGCAACAGAATCAGATTGATTATCAGAAGTCAGAAAAAGATTCATCAAATCACAGAGCAGGTATTACTTACCTGCCGCGACTTCAAGGCATCTAAAAAGGAATCCGATTGGGACTCTGAGACCGTTGCTGCATGTTCGTCGCTGCTTTCAGCAGATATGATATAATTGAAGGGTTCAACATGAATGATAGTCTTAGTAAGCAACACAAGTTATTGAACACAAAAGAAAGATATTGGCTCCATTATACTCGACGCACCGACACATATGTCCTACTATACCGACGTCGAGAGTCGAGATATCAAGCGATCAATAGGTCAAATAAGCCTCTGCCTAACTCCGAAGATCAACTGTTCGAGGTCCGAGCTGCCCACAGGTGCAGGAAGAATGTTGGCAGATTCGGGAGGTATTGATTATCAGAATGCGGTGGAATCAACTAGTCCCTTCCAAGGAAGATGGTCAAGGTTTATGATTAATGTAAGAAGGCTGGATTGTACTTCAGGGTGTCCGACAATCAAATTACTGGCGTCAATGACTGTTGAGAATAAGCGTTCGGTGACGATGAAGAGGTCGTCGTCGATGGCTCAGGAAGAGGGGCTAGATGACAGAAGGACATCATATCATTGGCTTGAGATGGGAATCCTCAGCTGCTCCAACCACATCCGCTGACCCAACATCTTCCATTTCTCTTGCATCCGGCCTTCCGTCTCCTACAGGCGCGCAGGAGGACCCTGCGAACCAGATGTATGCAAGCGCGCGCCAATCTGCTCCTCGGATGAACTTTGCTGCTGTTTCCACTTACGCCACGCCAGCCTCCACCATCTGTCCAGTAATTCGGTTTCTGTCTCAACGGCACGCACAACGCTCCGCCTCGCATCACTGACCTTTCGATCGCCCCAGCTTTGCGCGGCATCCAGAGTGCCCAACAAGCGCACTAATTCCTCCGCATAGGCGTGTACAGCTGCATTTGTAGGTGTATACGCCAGGTGGGGGCGCTGCTCCTCAGCCTCCTGTACATTTGAATTTGCCTGCAGTGAGGAATCCTCAACAAGAGATGAAGGTGTATATAACGCGGGAACCGATGTGATCGATTTATCAGCGCCTTCGTAGTCTAAAATAGAAGGGCACACGAAGGCCCGTTTCAGCATCCCAAATTTGTCGTGGACCGCTCGGACGGAAGCGAGAGCCTTGTTGCGGCGGTAGAACGCTGCAATCTTGGCGCCTGCTTCCCGCTGCTCTTCGACTGAGGGTGGCAGCTCGGACAGAGTCGATTCCTGAGAAAAGGGCGATGTCTGCACAGGGGGAGACGGAAGGTGCGAATCATTTGAATGGGATGATGTTCGTGTCGTATGCGGGATGGCGTGTGACGCGTGCGATTCTGTGAAGGTGCTCGTCGAGTAGCGGCATGTTTGGCCCAATCAAAGTCAGACACTGCTCGTGAAAAATTGTGGCTGGAAACATAAGATATAGGAGGATACATACTTGGGCTCTTTCAGCTCCGCATCCGCGGTCCCCATGATAAAATGCCTCCAGCACCTCCTAAGTCTGACGTTCAGACTCTGCTTCCCTCCATCTCAGTGCCTCCTGCGCCATCTCCCTCTTCTGTTCTTGCATCGCCCAATTGCCAGAGCTTAGCCTCCCGTGATATTCTGAGTCACAAACGTCATCTTTATATAGGTCGTCACCATAACGGTTTAGATATGCGCGCGCCTGACGTTCCCGCAGCCGTTCAAGATAATCCTCCCGCGCCGGCTTTGCGATTGCTGGAGAATGAAATGAGTGCACTAGCTTTGAACGATGGCCTGAAGGTGCAGGGTTATGCGAGGAAGGATGACCGTAAAGCCTATAAGGCTGATCGTAATTGTAGACTGAACGCGAAGGGCTGTAGTATAATATCAGCGATTCTGAGCGAGAAGGAGGTAGAGAAGGCAGCAGGCGAAATGGGTTGAAATGTTTGACGATGAGTCGGAGAAATGCGGCCGGAGCCCACAAGATAAATACACATCACGACATATTTTCCGGAGAGTTCTGTCTTTCGAAGAGGAGAACGGAAGCGGCGACGAACATTCATGTCCGTGATCAAATTCTGGAATTTGGTGCGATCTTCTGTGACCAGTCTATGACGCTTTGTGATCTCATGTTACCTCGTGTGACCGAAGCCCATAGAAGCCGTCATCCATGACGCGTAAGCGGAACGTTGCGACAACGTTGTCAGCGCAATGTGCACCTCCGAGGATTATTAGCAATTTGATTATGGTGGACCAAAAACAAAAAAAAAACGCAGCCGATTATACTGGCACAGCTATTGATACATGGATTATCGAACGATACACTAGACAGCATACCATGATGCAAAACGAAGAACGCAAAAGCACGAGAGAATTCTGTACATCCCACCTCCCAGAGGCAAAGAGAAGAAAAACGAAGATAGTCCGTGGTCTAAAACCCTCACGCCCTGTCATTTTGGTTTGTCATCCCATGCCCTGCCGAGTCATATCTTCGCTGAGACATCCTCGTCCTCCTCTCTGATAGAATCTAACGAGGGTACCCGCGAGTGCACTCGTCTCCCAGGGGATGCCTTGACGGGCGCAATGGTAGATGGCGATATTGACGGAACTGGCGATGAAAAGGGTATCGAGACAGGAGAAGGGGGGATATAGCCGCTGATGCCAAACGAAGTCTGGGACGAAGTCGAGTTTGGGACCGGGGTACTGTAAATCAAGTAGGGCTCTTCATCGAATAGGGGCAAGTCGGGCTCGGGCTCCTTAGAGCTGTAGTATAGGGTATCGGGCGCGAGTGCCGATGGCGACGGGGTATAAAAATAGTGATGATGATCGGCCTGTAGAATTGGTAACACGGTACGGTCAACAAGGGTGCTCGTCGTTGGGGAAGAGATCCAAAATTCGCTGGGGATAGGTGGGAGAGGGGAGGGACACATACGATGCCAGAATTCACGTGGTCGACCCAAGCGACCACTCGCCGCATCCACTCTCGCTGCCTCAAGAACTCAACCTTTTGATGTCTCTGCACCTCACCTCCTGCCTGCTGTCCTCTCTGCTGTCTAGAGGAGTGTTGGAGCTGACTGTAACTCCTATCCCCATATGTTCGCGCGGACTGCGGAACAGGGCTGTGACTGTCTGACGATGAGGACGTCTGGATGTCGTCGTCTTCAGCAAAGGGGTCGAATGTGAATGCTGAGGGACTATAAGGGGGGTTGTACATCTGCTGCGGCAGCTTGCTGGGAGAGGAGTGGGTGTGGTAGTATTGCTCCATTTCAGGCTCGGCGAAGGACGCAGGAAAAGAATCATATGAATGAGCGTCAAGCATGGGAACGATGCTCCTGAAAGATTCTGTTACTAGGCGTCCGAAAATATGGACGAAAAGGGGTGTTGAGGAGGTGGAGAGTGGAGGGCAGCAAACGGAGACAAGCAAGGAATGTCGGGTTTATATGTCAGGCAGTGCCGAGACACACGGCGCGCGGACTCGCACCGGCGCTAGGAGGAGTTGACACTCAATCGAATGTCAGCATCCCGAACGCCAGATTCAGTTCGATATGGCCTCGTGGGAGCCTCTCAACAAGTGCCTGGGAAACGGTCGAAACCCGATCTTTGGCAACCCTTGCCGAATACGTAGTAGTTTGTGCTAAATTGCCAACGTATGTGAGCCTGAATCGGTACTAATCTACTCGCGTTTGTCGGATACTCGGTTTCGCACGCATTGTTGATCAGCATAGCCACATCCCCCTGACGCGCTGGCCCAGAACAGTCCACCCGACTCGTTCCTTGGCCAATGCTGAACCACTCGTATTCCTCGTGGTGTAAGATAACTCACAGAACAATGTGCAACTCTCGGTCACTTGAGCTCTGCACTCTCAGGAGGACTCAGCAGATCCCAAGCTTACCAAGGACTGCAGAAGGCGCTACTACAAAGCATCTTGGGCGCTTTTACCAATCTCGCCCTCCTCCATGCAGGTTGCATCAAATCAGTTCCCGAGGATGCCGGTTCTGCCTTACAACAGAACAACACCGCCGGAGGCGCCGAAAAGCGAACAATGCACGATCCGGCCTGCCTCAGGCGCTAAGTTGCGCCAACAATGTTCACTGGCATCAAACCCATCTCACTTCACACAATTTTCACAGTGATCAAGAGTGACTACCGCTGTATATCTCCGCTCTACTGCGACCGAGATCTGCGATTGACGTTCCCGTGCGGCAAAAGGATAGTCGACAATGGAGGCCCCGTCTCTTTGTTTGCCAAAAACAGTTCATAAAGCCCGTCGGGACTCGGCACGGCGGCGCGCGCACACGCTTCTGCGCCGCAGCCGCGCGCAGGCCCTGCGGGATCACACCTATTACACGCTGCAGATCCGGCCCTGATGAAGTGACGACGGAATGAGTTTTCGGCAAGCTCTCTCAGTGCAGCCTACACTTCTGCAGGTCGCAGCTGTCGAGTAGTTGTCGTCACTTGCGCGCAAGGCGGTGCATAGCAACGTGGCAGGGGCGAGTAGGGCAAGCCTATTCCCCACATGTGTTTCAGCACATGCGACATCGGCTGCCAGAAGGACGGTGCTACGTGGAATCTCGACTCGAGTCACGTCAGCTCAACTGCATCATTTCGGAAGCGAGACAGCTGCGTGGGGAGGATTGATCTGCTGAAGACTTGCTTTGATCAGAGCAAGAGGTATGTGTATGTCCCCTCGCGGAAGTCATCCTGGATTGAATGCTGGCTCGTGTGAGATAGATAAATGGAACATGTGGAGTCGACAGAATGTTCCTTCACGGAGGGCGTTCGTGCTCTTAAATCAACAGGTGTTGAAGTAAATAGTCTGTGATTCTCATGACTGGCGCTGATCTGCCGAAATGTCGCGCTTGCATGGTGCTATGCATTGTGTGTGCGCGTTGATCGCAAACTCCGGGCGCACCCAACATGTAAGCCAAAACTGAACGGCCCCGGTAGGTTAAAAAGATGATCTGACGCGACCAGAGGGAGGAGAGGGCAACTAGGAATTGAACGTTGAATGATGGTACACATATAGCCGTTCTGCCCTTCAACCATTGGTTACGAAGGAGGTATTAGGACCAGATATATGTATTGGTTTGAAAAGATGTGTTGTTTGGAGTTTAAGCGTACCCTTGTCTTTGTCGACAATCTTCATTTACAGACTGGAGGAAATCATTGTGACATCATTACCCTCGTCAAAGATTCACGCGTCAAGCACCAATTCGCGAGCAACCAAACACATACCATGGAGCAGGAAACGTAGAATTTTTTTGTCGATTCCGTCCGCGCACTGCAAATAAGAATTCTCTCGCAACATTGCCCCTTTTTTTCAATTTAGAGCGTTAAGATAGCAGTATAATACAATTTCATACAAGAAATAAGGAAGGCGTCCAATTTTGTGAAGGTGCATATTGTCTGCGTGCAGAAGTGTCCATCCTCAGCCAGCCTGGTAAATCGCGGGGCCGGCAACAATGTGCGGCTCAATCTGAGACAAGTTGTAAGGTGTCACGTATGGCGCCGCGTCTGTGATCAACAGATACCTGATTGGGGACAGAGTTGTAAGTCTGGCTGAGGCAAGAAAAAGAATTACATACATTGTGCCATTGATCAACGACGAAGTGCTGTTCTCAAACACGGTGCCGCCAGGTTGAATGGTCGTAGCATTGGTTCCGTTGATGTTGTTCAGAGTGGTGTACGTAGTATTGAGTTGCGAGATCCAAGCAACAAACTGCAGAAGTAACACCCTGAAGATGAAGTTCCGGACCAATGACGGCAGAACTTACTTGAGGTTGACCAGCTGTCGAGTTCGTCGTGAAAGAGTTGTTGAACCCGACTTGCTTGCCAGGCGTCTCCCAGCTGAGGGAAACTTCGCGCCCAGGGTACGTAACTTGGCTGCGGTTCTGTGTGATCGCAGGCTGGGAACTGTTGTCGAGCGGAAGATCAGGCCAGTACGGATTGTTCTAAAAATGAAGGTGAGGCGCCATTACATGACCAAAGGGCGGAAGAGTACACATACCAAAACAGTGAGGGCGGGGAAGTTCTGCCACTTCACCGTCGGATTGCCCTGGGGGCAAGATTGGATGAATGGCGCCAACAAAGTCCATGCCATACTTTGCGTGATGCTAGGGACGAAGTCATACTGCAGTAATGATGAGAACACTGTAAGCGGGGAGAATAGCTAGACAGCGCACAGGCATAGGGAATAAGCCTTCAAATTGACGAAATATCATCTGTTGACGTGCTTCGGTCGCGATGGAGTCCATAAGTAAAGAAGCCGTATCTTGAGCGTTGAGATGGCCAAGGAAACCGTAAACACCAGACTCTCCCCATCGCGTAAGCTAGAAAAAACTAGTGAGCATGCGCAGTGAGATAAGATTTGCCAAAAAGCTCACCCTTTGACAAAAGTCAATGTAAGCCCGAAGATCCGTGAAGTTCGGATAGACGTATGTGCAAGGCTGCGTGACATTGGCTGTACATAATACACTCAGCGAACTTCTCGGAAATAGCGCGGCGCACAATACTCACGGTACAAAATATTGGAGATCAGCGTTGCATGAGCTACTTCTTGATTTGCCATAAACTGCAGCAAATACATATCCTGAGCATTCAAGCCCGCGTTCGTGAAGTCGGTCTGGTTGTAGACGGCAATGCCATGACGGAAAAGATCGAGCTCGATGAGCTCTTGATGCAACGCAAGATTCAGGCTTTGGAAATCGAAGTCCGATTGAGGTTTGTAAGAGGGCGTAGAGTTAAATCCGATACCCCCCTGAGGCGCGTACACGGGGGTAGGGCTAGGGGCGGCGGATGCAGAGACCGTCGAGACAGATGTCGTAGACGAAGATTGAGGGGAGGAGGTAGCGCTACCAGCAGCGGCAGACGAAGCGGAAGAGGACGTAGAAGAGGAGGGAGAGGAAGAAGAGGCTGACGATGAAAACGATGAAGAAGCGGAAGAGGATGACGGGGCTTGGGAAGAAGCAGTCGATGACCCTGCTGTTGCGGAGGATAGGATGGACTGGAGGACAGAGGTGACTTGCCCGATGGATCCTGTAGCGGGAATGGAAGAAGATTCCTGGCGGCGTACGGGGGCGTGGTATGCCCCGCGCGTGAGCGACAGGAAAGAGAGCACGAAGAGGATTTCCTGAGATCGCATGGTGCGTGAGAGAGGAACTTTCGAAACTCAACGTTGCAGCGCGCAGGATTTTGAGAGAGCAGGGAGCAATGACGTCCGCAATGACATCCGCATTTCGCGCGACCGAGCCCACATGTTTACGATTTCATTTCACGATGGTAAGCACGGTAATTGAATGGGTCTGTGGCGGCGGTGTCTAGATCGACTAGCATTCTCCAACGAGGTCGGAAACAAGTGCCACGTGATGGACTGGAGCTAAGTGGGGGCAGAATGCGCGAAATTCGCTCGGCAGGATGTTCCGATGAGAATGAGGGGGAAAGGATGCTGAGCTTGGTGGTAGTGCGGATGTCTCGAAATGGTCACAGGGGTCGGCATTGTGCGCGCCACAGCCTTAAAGCATGGCCATAGAATCTCCGTAAAAGGGGCCGCTTCCATCGTGGAAGACTGAGTAGAGTTAGGCGGTGCAAGTTTAGGGAGGAATGTGTAAAAAAAATCCGTCGTCATGGTATGGGGATGCATTTTTCGAAGCTTGATGCACGAGGGTTGACACTCGTATACATCACTGCTATGTGCAGGTGTGGTATGAAGAATACGAGCGGAGGTTGCTGGGACGTACCGGTCAAGTGAGAAGTTCTGCGAGTGGACCATGTCTTTCCCGGGCTGAGAGTCTACGACTGACCTTCAGGAAAAATGTGAGAACAAAAGATGCTGATTAGGTCCGAAAACAACCATGGATTGACATTGCGAGCCAGATGTCAAGTCGCTAGCTGGTCTGCATTGCAGATAAACACGCTTTCTGCCTGGAATGGAAGTGAGCTGTTCGAGTATTTCATCGATGCGGCCATCTGAGAGCACCGCAGGCTGGATTTGAAGTTCAAAGACATCAAGAGATATTCAAGTGAGATCAAGAGTACGCAAGGAGATGTGCCGCGGTACTGCAATACTTTGCTGAGGTGGGAAGAACGAAATGGATTTCATATGCTAAACGCGCGATGCACGTTGTGCGACGCGTGTCGGCTGCAGGTGGCGCTCAACGTCTCAACCGCCCCCACCGCATATCTCACAAAGTACATCACATTGCAACGACCCGCATTCAGACCTCTTCTCTGGACACCTGTCCCCTGACTCTTGAACCCACTTACTAGTACAGGGAAAACAACAACTTCTAGTCTTCAATTGGACCTGATCGCGATCAATACCTGCAAGTGTATCAAATATATTACCGTACGTGACACTGTCCTCGCTGTGCACCCTGCTTCCAGTCCCATGCGGATATTCTCTGCTTGTATGTGTTTGTTTCTGATGTGTTTGTCCTTCCGGATGATTCACAGGTGTCTTGTAGCTCAAACCATATAGCGATGTCCGCCTCCTGCGCCACTCCATACCTCCAGGCCCTAGTTGACTGTATCCCAGTGGAATATAAAGCCGCGACCCACAACCTTATAAAAACCAACTCAACATCTATCCTTGTTGACAACATCCTTCGCCTCGCGACAAACAGTCCATGTCCATCAACAGCTAACTCACAAACACGCGCCACTTGGTCTCAGAACCAATCATCCTTCCACTCTGCCCTCCAAACCATCACTGATCGATCACCTGCATCGTCGCAGGCTACATCGACGAAAAGAAAACGCACTCCGTCTCCCCCTCCAGCGTCTAAGAAGCCTAGATTACCAGACGTGTTGCGCCCAGATGCCGCCTCCGGTCTCAGTCCTATGGAGGACTGTCCGCTGTGCACCCTGCACGCGATTTCGGTGATATCACCTGTACGGAAGAAAGTTGACATCACCTTGGGTGCATGCACGCTTCGCCTTACGCATCCCATCACAGGAGCGGTTGAAGCATCTTTCCCTGTGGCTTCACTTGCTCGCGCGTTCGTTCTCCCCACGCGTGGTAAAGTCAAACCTCACTGGACGGTCGTTCTTATGTCTCACGACAACCCTCCACGTCCTACCCGTTCAAAATCTAATACCTCTCCCGACCACTTCCAATGTATTTTTGGTCTCGACGCGACATGCACTTCGGCCATGACGGTCACTAGATACGAAGGCCCTGCCGATAACGCTGAGATATGCAAAGACCCTTATCCGCCGAAGTCGTTGACTCGCGGGGCCATCGACGCTTTATTGAACTGTCTCCCCACATCGTGCCCAGTTTTTGAGCCGAATCCTGACACATTCCGCTCCAACTCAAAAGAGCAAGGGATTGCAGCGTACCGAGGCGCGAAGGAAGGCACGCTATGGTTTTTGAAACAGGGCCTGCTAGGGGAAAGCAAGCCCTGTGAGTTTTGGGCCCTCGACGACCTGAAAGGAGGAGAAGCGCAGGGAGGAGAAGCAGTGCGGCTGCTGAGCGCTACAGGCCGGACATGCTCCGTTTTCGTTACTCGAAAAGCTGCGAAAGAAGGGAAGGAGAAGGGCGTGGACTCAGAGCAAGATGAAGAAGAGGGTGACGAGACAGAATTTGGCATGGTCGATGGGCGCGAGCAGGACAACATACGCGAGTGGGTGCGGAAGCACCGTCATCTGTTTGGTGGACACACACAGGGAGGAAAGGATAAGGGCAGCACAAACGGGGCTCCCAGTTCCATTAATGCACAGGGGAAAGGGGCAGATGAAGAGGAAGGCGATGACGTGCTTCGAGACTCGGACGATGAAGATTCCGATTTCGAGGTGTCGAGCAGCGATGGTGGGTCACCGTCGAGCGAGAGTGGGGGCTCAGGCTCAGATAATGACGAGGGTAGTGGGGACGAGGGTGGTGATGAGGATGAGGGAGCAAGGAGTGAGAGTGGATCTGCGCGCTCTGCCGAGGACGACGTCGGGTCGGACGACGAGGAAGAGATGGACCCAAAGCATCATCCGCTCATGCGTCCTGGCGCGATGCCGCGAATGTCTCGCACTGCTATGGATGTGGCCGTAGGCATGGTCGTGAACGATTTGATTGGTGGTGGTGGCGGACGACCGAAGCGTACAGTCGAGGTAGACGTCGACGAAGAGGAGGAAGATGAGTTAGATGAGTAAAGTTGAGCTCACTTGTTGCCATATTGTAACGGGCATGGATATTGGACATGTCAACTTCCATTGTTGCCAATCTGCCACTCGGATCCTGGTGTTGAGAATGTGCCATGGTACACATCGAGAAATTGTATCCAGTACGTGCTTTTGAGTAGTTTGCCTTCCTGAATCCTGATACAAACACTGCGGAAGTCATCCCAAGGCCTTTTTTGTCGACGACGGTCATGTTCCACGAACTCTCGAAAGGTCTTGAGTGTATGGGCAGCCACGTAGACTATAGCATTCTTTATGGTTGGCGATGCTGCAGGCACTCTGTCACTTACCAACATCGTTCTTGTGGACCTGTCTTAACTCTGCGGCTCTCCTACCATTTGGGTCAGTCAGGAAACACATATAGTCTCCCTCAGGCTTCGCCTCCTGACCTGCAAGTATTGGCATCAATTTTTGTTTCTTATGCTCACTTTGTTCACTCGGGCTTCCTGTCTCTTATACATTCATTCATTCCATTCTATGATACCAGACTGTCTAGCCCTATAGTTCTCTACCAGGAATGCGTGACTGAGTTCGCGCTATACCTCCATCTAAACATGGTCAATCCCATGTTTGTAATACCCTAGCCATCGAAATAAACGCGTGCGGTCCTGCGAGCGCGAATTTGGGACATGCGACTACTCATCAGCAAACCTGTAACCGGTCCCAGCCAGTCCCAGAGCCCCAGATGCTCCTAGATGCTTAGGTCATCTGGGGATATCTGGCTAGATGTCTGTGTATGGCCAGATCTGGGCAGATAAGGTGCGCTATCAATAAGCTGACTAGGAGCACATTTCCGGAAGGCAGAGTATGTAAGATTCCCACAGTACCGAAAAATCAAGAAATACATTTGTTGGACTTCAAAGATTTTAATTGACATTGGTAGTATCTGTTAGATTTCAGCTTGTGAGTGGTATTGGGATACTTCCCTGTATCATAGCATTCAAATGATGTATCATATGCCATCATTCTTCCATGGATAGATGCTAAAAATGCGAAAATAGATAACACCTCCTTCTGCCTACTCCGACACAGTCGCCTTTCTTCAACAACAGACAGACCTACCGAGACAGTCAAACTTGACCTGACAATATTTAGAGAGGGCCCAGGGATACTGATGCAGTGCCTGCCAGAATCAATGCACCTATTGTGAGAGGAAGCAAGTGCTGTAGCAAACCCTAGTAGGGGTTTTGTCCCAGATATTGTGGCTCCTATGCCTCATGCTCCTTCATCCAATATTTTGAATACAATTATATAGCATGTGGTAGCTCAGCTCCTCTTTCTAAATGCATTATGAGTCTGCAGAGTGAAATGTGCACTCTTACTGCTGTGACGTGACTGTGACTGTGCATGCAAGTGACCAACATTGACCAATTTTCTTGTGCTGCCTCTCATACTGGCCGATGCTGTTGCTCGTCAGATTTTTGCACCATACACATGCATCATGAGCTTAGGTTAGCTTGCTTGGCAACACATAACTTGACAACACATTAGGCTAGGCTGATCATTAGAGCTGGTTCTACGAAGCTGCCATTGACTGCTATTAGGCTGAGCATGCCACTGACTGAGCTTGGGCTTTCACCTATACACTCGGATCTGTGGAACTTTGGCTACCCCTCTTATCATGCTCTGTGTGCTTCTGTGAAGCTTGCCTAGAATCTCATACAGGGTCCTCTGTTCTAGACTGCCATGCTGAATGCCGGATGGTGCTACTATAGTAGATGTAAACTCATTCTCTTTGACAGATCTCAGTTCTTACCTCAATGGATGCTATGGGAATTCACTCAAGGTTTATGTACTCTGAGGTCTGCGGTATGTGTCAATCATGATACCATCCTATTGGGCTAACTCGTGGCTGTTGATATTGCCCTAGATAGATGGTAATGCAGTGTCCAATAGAAGGACAGCATGTAAGGCTTGTTAATCTGGTAAGTAATGTTTTTTTAGATTGGTATGTGCCCTGCACCTTATAATGTGTTACTTCTGCTTCTAAGTAGGGGGCTGCGAGGACGACATGTATATACAATGTACTGTTGAATAAAATATTTATTTGTTTATTTGGTTTGGTCGCTGGGATATCTTGTGGATTGATAAGGCCAAATAAAATATTATTGAGTTTGATGGCCCTAATGGGTTTATCGGATGCTGAGTTTGCGAGGCTGAGAAATTGCTGGTCAAACTCAGCACAATGCTGAGGTGGTGTCACGAACGGCTGTTCGGGACGAGAGGATCCTAAGCCACAAATAATATGAGAGGATTAGAGAGGATGATCGGGACTGATCAGACTAATGTCCCAGAATCAGAGAAGACTGTGTGAACAGCAGTTCTTAGATTGGACAGAAGTGGATAGCCTAGGGCTTCCACACTGCGCCGCAGTATCTATAAATATGTACAAGCAGATGCACGGACCAAGTATCAGTGGAACAGGAACGCGAGGTATAGTCGGGAGAAAGGTCCTACGAGTCCTTATCAAGAAGGTGGGAAGAAGTGAGTAAGCATAGGTGGAACGTTTCGTAACATTACCCCCCCCTCTAGGCCGTCAGTGCCAGAGACGGTAAGTAAAAGTTCGGGAAAAACATAAGCAATGCGCGTAGTCCGAGTCGTACAAAATAATACTTAGGGCACATATTCTCGCTGCCCACAGTCGAGTCATGACGCGATAGCCCTTGAGTACGGACGTCATGATACCCCACCTCGTTACCAACCATGCGGGGACTGCGTTCTAGAGCCGAGTCCCTCTTCTCATCATGGCAGTGGGTACCGGCCCAACGGATTCGAACCGTCATCTGCCCCGGCAGTTTTACGTCGTACCGGACGTCAGCGTCTCATTCTTCAAGCACCTCGAGGATGCAGGACGATGGGTTGGGTGTCGGACTCGCTGGAGTCATACTCGACGAAGGGAAGGGGAGGTCGAGTTCGGGTAGAAGGGCGGATCAAGCCCAGTCGTGCGGGTACGACGTGGTAGCGAGGTGATATTTGTGCGAATCTATAGACGTCCCTTCCTCTGCCGCGTTCCATGGGGTAAGCCCCCGGCATTGGGCGAAGTGGCGCTCCATTTGAGGCTGAAGACGAGGCACGAGATACCACAGCCGTGGTCGGCATGTGATATTCGGTGACAGGGGTGATGTCATCGGCGGGATGAAAGGTGTCCCGAAGGGGCGTTGTTTGGTCTAGACCTATGAGCTTCCTCTCGCCTGCATTAATGCGGGCGATGAGCGTTCCCTCTCTGATCTGCAAGGCTCATTGTGCGTGTCGGACGAAGCTCCTTTCTTCTTCCAGGATCTCCAACGCCCTTTGAATTTCCGGTCTAGTTGGTCCTGATACAAATTCGGTGTTCGGCGTGCCTTCGATAAGCCCTATCATGTAGGCGACGGGAGTCGTCAGATACGTTTCTCTGTCGGGAAATACGATCCCTTCGCTTGGTGTGTGGATAAGGGGTGGTGGAGAGGGAGAGTGGGAAGGTGAAGGTCTGTCGAAGTCCTCCGTGAGTAGTCTGATCATCTCATCCTGTCGTCGTTCGTCCTCGTCCAGTCCTTCTAGATATTCGCTGAATCCCTCTTCCGCTTCCCGCGCTGCTTGTTCTTCGTCTGTGTCCCATGGTACGGACCGTTCTTCTATTATGGACATCTCGGGGGTCGAAGGAATGGAGGGTTCGGTGGAGGGTGTTTGTTCGATGAGAGTGTCTTCAGAAGAGGGGTGGATGGACTCGTTGGAAGACATGTTCGTTGGGAGGATGAATAAGTGATTGAAGGAATGAAGGAATTGTAACAATTGAATTTGGGCTTTTGTATGTTTCTGACTTTGTTTGTCCAATGTTTGCAAGGGCTGCCCGTAATGGTAAATTATGATGTCGCGTGTCATATGCTTCCAAAAGTTCTTTAGCATTCCCTAGGTTTGCTCTCGTGACCCATTCATCCGCGGAGCTCGGGTATCCTTTCCAGTGTACTAGGTATTGATACCCGCGTCCTCGTTTCCTCTTGTCAAGAATTTCTTCGACTTCGTATTCCTCCTGTCCGTCTATGAGGTCAGGTGGTGGTTGTTCGAAGTTGGGGCCGTGTGCGGCTGTTTCTTGATAGGGTAAGATTAACGAGGCGTGGAATACGGGGTGTATTTTCCATGTTGGCGGAAGTTTTAATTTGTACGTCACTGGTCCTAGTTTGCTTTCTATTTCAAATGGTCCGTGTAGTTTAGGGGCTAATTTGTCCTTCGGGTGTGTAGTGGTAATGTTTTTTCCCGAGAGCCAAACTTTCTGCCCTGCTTCTAACTTGACTTCGTTCTCGGCGGTTTTTCTTTTCATTAATTCTGCCGCGACTTCCAAGCTGGCCTTCGTTTCTTTTCGAAGTTGTTCTAGCCTTTCTAGCCTTAGTTCCACTCCGGGGATGTCGGACCTTGGTGTGATTTGGGGTGCGAAGGTCGGATTGTAGCCGTACATGAGTTCGAATGGTGATTGATGCGTGGCTGAATGTTCCCTTATGTTATGTGCGAATTCGGCGTATGGTAGTAGTTCAGGCCAGTTTGTTTGCTCGTAATTGCAGAATGCTCGCAGATATTGTTCCAATTCTTGGTTTACTCTTTCTGTTTCACCATCTGTTTCGGGATGATAAGCGGTTGATAACGCTGTCGTGACTCCTAACTTCTTCCATAGTTCTCTCGTGAATCGAGCGGCGAATTGTGGACCTCTATTGGAGATGATCTTTTGTGGGAGTCCAAATCGTCTCCAGACATTCTTCATATAGAGGTCAGCCGTTCCTTCGGCGTCTATGGTTTTGTCGCATGGAGTGTAGACGACTCCTTTAGTGCTTCTGTCCACTGTTACGTGTATCGCGTTATATGGTCCGACTTGTGGAAGATCCGTAATGAAGTCCATGGTGACTATCTGCCAGGGTCCTTCTGGTATTTCGTTAGGAATGAGTGGGGTGCGTGTGGGGTGTGTGATATTCTTGGTGTATTGACACGTTGCACATCCTGTTACGTACTCTTTTATGAACGTGGACATTCCTGGCCACCAGAAGTTATTGGACACTAAGACATAGGTCTTCCATCTTCCCGGGTGTCCCGCTGCTGGTGAATCGTGGTACATTTTCGTGATTTGTCTTTTAAGTCCGTCGTCTGGTGGGACGTATATTTTTCCCTTGTGCCAGATGAGATCGTCTTCATAGTTCCATTCTTGTAGGCCTTTTGAGAGTGCTCTGGGTCCGGATGCTTTGATGAGTTCCATCGCATCTGTTACTTCTTTATCTTTGGCTGTGACCTCTCTTAGCTTTCGTCTCAGTTGGCTGTCAAGCATTTCGATTGTTCCTTGTCCTATTGCACTTTTGACGAACATTTGAGGTTGTAGTAGTACCTGGTTTTCGTTGTCAAATTTTACCCCCTCTTTCAGGTCTGGACGCCTGGACAGAGCATCGGGTCGGTGAGTAACGCCCGGTTTGTGGACGAGGGTGAAGTCGAAGCGGGAGAGGAAGAGTGACCAGCGTGCCTGGCGGCGAGAGAGAGTTCTGGCGGTAGAGAAGTACAGGAGATTTTTGTGGTCGGACCAGATCTCGAATGGGTGTCGTGCACCTTCAAGGTATATGCGCCAGTGATCGAGGGCGTGGATGACGGCAAGCAGTTCCTTATCGAAGATGTCGTAGTTCCGTTCGGCCGCATTAAATGACTTGGACAAGTAAGCGACGGGGTGCCATCCGTCATTGGGCGTTTCTTGTGACAAGATGGCTCCCGAGGCGAAGTCTGAGGCGTCGGTCTCAAGACGGAATGGGCGATTACCGTCCGGATAGACAAGGACAGGAGTCGACGTGAAACAATGCTTTAGTTGTTCAAATGCTTCGTCCCTTTTGGGAGTCCATTCGAATGGAACATCTTTCTTTGTAAGGTCGTTGAGGGGTCGGGCCGTCGTGGCGAAGTCTTTGATGAACCTGCGATAGAAGTTTCCAAAGCCTAGGAAGGATTGTACTTCTTTTAGGTTCTTCGGGGTTGGCCAGGCAGCGATTCCATTAACCTTGACGGGGTCCATAGATATATTGTCCGCAGAGATAATGAATCCGAGGTATTCAACCGTGTCCGTTTCAAAAGTGCACTTGGAGGGTTTCAGGAACAAGTCATTGTCCAAGAGTATTTGCATGACTTGGGTCGTTATGCGTCGGTGTTCTTCGATGGTTTTTGTGAATACCAAAATGTCATCCATATAGACTGCCAGGACTTGTGCCACAATGAGGTCATAGAAAATGATATTCATCATTGTTTGGAAAGTGGCGGGTGAGTTACAGAGACCGAAGAACATCACGAGACATTCAAATAGGCCGAATTTGGTCATGAAGGCTGTTTTCCATTCGTCGCCTTCTGCTATGCGGATGTTGTTGTACCCCCATTTTACGTCAAACTTAGAGAAGATCCTCGCCTTCGATTTGGCAATGGTTCTTATTACGTCGCCAATCAGGGGTAGTGGATATTTGTTTTTTATGGTCCATTCATTTAGTCTCCGATAATCTTGCACTGGTCGTAGACTTCCTTCCTTCTTTTTTACGAAGAAAAAGGGTGACGCTTGCAGAGATTTAGATATCCTAATGGTTCCTCGTTTTAGGTGCTCTTGGAGCATCTCGTGGAGTTGGTCTTCCTCCTCTTCCATCAGCGGGTACAGTTTACACCCCGTTGGCTCCCATCCTGGTTTCATATCGATCTTATGGTCCCATTGTGAGTGTTCTGGGAGTCGCTGTGAAGCTTCCTGACTGAAGATTTTGGCGAATCGTTTAAGTATGTACGCCGGAACGATTTCCTCGATAGGTCGTTCCGTTTTTGCCTTGTTTGCCTCTTCTGCCAGCTGTTGCGATTTGTTTCCGATGGAACCGATATGAATTGCTTCAAGGGGGTGTACTTCTAGTGGGTTTTGATAGTACCATTCCTCGTAGAATTCGGAGAAGAAGGTATCTTCAATTTCGTCTTCTTCCGGATCGTCTTCTATTCTGGAATATCCGATTGTTCTGTTTTTTCTTTGCCGTGCAGGCGTTAGTGCTTGTATGGTAAACTTGGGTCGGCTGACTAGACACGTGGTAGCGCAGTTTGAGAACGTAAGGTTGTTTTTTACCCAGTTTATCTGTGGGTTATGTTCATGCAGCCAATCTGTTCCCAGGATCACGTTTTCGCCTCCTAAGTTAGCGGCTAGTAGTTCGCATTGTTCGTCGTGATAGTCGCCTTCTTTATTTGTTATTCTCATAAGCACGCAGGCTTTGTCGGTGATTTTTCCTCCGTCGTTGGCTGTTCCGTCTACGTTAAACACAGGGATAGGCCTGTCGATCTTCTGCGTTGGTATGTTATTATTGAGGCAGAATTGTTTGTCAATGAGGAGTCCTTCTGCTCCCAAATCGATCAATACCTGGGCTTCGGTGGTTCCTCTTCTGTGTTTTAGATGCACGTTTACCCTCATAGACGATTTCTGATTGGATTTCGTGAGCCGTACGAATGTTTTTACAGGGGAGTCTGGGATAGGTCTACGGTACACCGGGGCCGTAGGCCTATTTAAAAATCCGATTCCTTCTTCTTACTCATCTCGCTTAACTCCTAGAGGAGTGCTTCCTGTTCATCCCATCTCATCTTCCCGATAACCCTTTGGATCTCTTCTCGGCTAATCTCATGCTCCGTCTCACGTACAGGCGCATCCGGTCCGGGTGCGTGGGCTTGGCGAGCTGCGAGTTGGGCTCGGAATGGGTTAGTCGTCGCCACGCCTCTACCTTGCGTCGCAGCGCCTCCCTGAGCACTGCCTGAAGTTCCTGCCGAGAACGCTCGGCCATAGCCGCTTCCTCCGCCTCCCATCCTGCCGCCGGTCTGAGCCGAGCGGTTCCCCATCGTTCCACTACTCTGTTGAACATATCTAGCTGACCCTTCATATAACCTAGACGAACCCCTGACAGGGCATTGGTTTGCCATATGTCCTTTCTGGCGACAGTAGAAGCACCCACCCTCCATCCTGAGGCGGTTGCGCTCTTCGTCGGTGAGGGTTGTTCTGACCGAGTCTACGGCCATGGGTACGACGGAGTTGTTCATGGAGGAGGGAGCGTTGGAGGAGTTGTAGCGGAATGGGTTGCTGGATCGAACGGTAGCTGAGGGTACGGAGCTTTTTATACTCTGTAGCTCTCTCCACTGGTTATCGAACCTTCGGGTGTACTTTACCCAATCGTCCATGGTCGTCGGCATGTCAGGAAGTCTGTAGATTTGTTTGAGGATTTCCGGGTGTATGGCCCGGCGGAAATAGTCGACGGTGGATTCGAGATCGAACCCGCTTTCTCCTGCCTGTTACGAACTGCTCGTTCGGTAACCCCAAGAGTAGGAGGTTCTTCCCTAGGTCACTTGTGGAGGATGTGTGGAACGATGGTCTCGACTGTACGTGTAGCACAGGAGCCAAGGGTGTATTGCGATATAGCAATGAAGGCTGTAGCAAAGAGGCTACAGAGAACGAAGGGTACTATAGGAAGACAGTACTGAACGAAGAGAATAGACTGAAGAACCTCAGCCTACTCTATGGGCCTTTTATACTACTTTAGAAAGTAGGGCGTGAGAATACCATATATGTATCCGTAGGTATACTCGAAGTCGTTCTCTCTCAATAACGACTACTCTTGTGCTTCTCCGTTAGTCTCCTTCCGGCCAGGAAAGACTAGGAGCTCAATGCCCGATGTGTGAGTAGTTTGTAAGGCGGTGTTCCATGCCCGCTACGCAATAGGCCCGTGATACTCGACCAATGATAGGGTGATCCGTTGGGAGTGGATGACCAAGGTTACTATCTGTACCTTGTTGTACGCCTCACCTTGTGAGGCCGCTTGATATTTGTGATGATCGTGTCGGAATAGACCGCCATTAAGGCCCGACAGAACGTGATCATAACAATACCCCCTTTCTACGTCCTATTCGCCTGGTAGGACAGCGCTTTGCGCTTCATCGCCACTCCATATACGATTTGCTTTCTTGATCCAAAACGGCCTCCGGATGCGACTTCCGGGGCATGACTTCGTTTTCTGGGAGGAAGACCGACTTACGTCGTTTGATCCTCTAGGAGTTTTCCATCTCCGTTGAGCTGTTTGTTTGTCGAGTCGCGAGGGTATCCAAGCCTCCGCTCTGTGGGATGTTCTTCCTTCACCCCTCGGTTGTTGTGATCTTTCCTGGGTTCTCAAGCCAGGATGTCAGTCCGGTCGACGCCGGACAGGTGTCAAGAAAGGCGTATAAATGCGAGTGGTGTGTGGATGAATAGAAAACTCTAGCATGTGGGTTCCGATTCGTGTCATCAGGTTCTTCTTCTTCCTTCTCCGAGGGCCAAACCTCAGTGTTTCCAGGATAGTCATTATCCTCGTGATTTGTGTTGTTCCTCTTGGCGTTCAGAGGATGGCGTCCACGGGCAAGTAGGTTGATCGCTTTACAAAGGCTTAGGCCTACTTCCCCAGACTACCATCTTAACGTCCCAAGCAGTATCGCTCCCATATGGTGAGCTCATCTCCGGTGAGGTTGCAGCCATAAATCCCAAGCAGTATTGCCCCCATACGGTGGGCTCATCTCCGGTGAGTTAGTTCGACGTCCAGAGTTTGTTTGATTCACTATGCGTATTGGGTTTGAGGCAAGGATGTGAAGAGAATTAGACTTGAAGGGTGCCGTGAGGAGCAAGGAGGAGTCTGACTCCTTCTCCGGATCGGCTCGTTCGCTTGCACGAATGGACATTAAGACCACAGCTGATATATTGGTCGGGTCGCGAGATATATCCACGACTAGCAGTTTAAACGTCTTGCTGGACGTTCCGTAGTTTATCGTCGTTGCGGACGACAGTAGTTTTACATCGTTTCGGATGTTATTAAGGCGCCCTGCGCTGCCTTGTAGTTTACTTCTAGGTCATTTTCGGACCTTCTTCATCATCAACATGGAATATCTGTGGGAAAAAGATGTTTCTGCACGCCGGACCATTCATCGGTTATGTGCATAGGGCCCTAGACCAGACTTTGTCCCGCAGGTTTCCACTGAGGCATGATGGGAACGGTTTATACTATATCAAACCGGATAACTTATACGTCTCAATATTAGGAGACCGCTCAGTTTAATGCCGTGAGGTAGGCATCCTCGCAGTTTAACGCCGTGCGATAGGCGAGCTATCGTCTGACTATGTCCCTCGAGTCACGATAGGCTTTTCCTTCCGAGGATGAAGGTAGTTTACCATCATTTCGGACGTTGTCGACATATTCTCGTCAAGAATGATGTCGACCGATGATCCCTATACTGAAAAAGGGACGAGTAGTTTAACGTCATCTCAGACGGTTGGTGACCACGGTCTTGGTCAACAACCACAACTCCTATTCGGTAAGGAGCACGTAGTTTAATGTCATTTGCGGACGATTGACAGCATGGCGGTCAATCCACAACTCCTATTCGGTAAGGAGCAAATAGTTTTCCGTCATTGCGGACGCATTGGTGTCCAGGGGACTGGACGTCAATGACAACCCCTAGGTCCAGGGGCACTAGTTTAACGTCGTTATGGACGCGCGGTATCTTGTCAAGATCGCCACGCACAATCCCTGTACTTGAAGGGACAAATAGTTTATCGTCATTTTGGACTAGGAGACATCCCAATCTTGAGACACATCCTAAGATCCCTAGAACGAAGGGATAGTAGTTTTTCATCATTTCGGATGCCCGTAGTTTACCGTCGTTGCGGACGTTGACGCCATTTTCATAGCAAAAATGGCCTCAAACAATCCCTATGTGGAAAGGGACAATAGTTTATCGTCATTGCAGACGAATGGGCATCTGGTCGAGATATCCATTACAATCCTCATTCTTGAGAGGACAATAGTTTAGCGTCATCGCGGACATTGTTTCGCCACAAATATTGTGGAAAAACAATGCTTAGTTTAACGTCATCCCGAACGGTTCGTAGTTTATCGTCGTTGCGGACGATTGGGTGGAATAGACTTTGGGTGAGTGGCCCGCTCTTGTCATTCTTCCGCTATGTGGGCCAGATGAGAGTCGCATGACCTAGTCCCTTCCTACTAGATCCTCGACTCGAGGCACGTGTCCTAGTTGCCTCCTGACTAGGTCTTGGAGCGGAATTTCTTATACTTCGGCTCCAGGACTAGACTGGGCGCTCCATGAAGAGATGCTTGCTCTTCCATGTCCCCAGACCCCTTGCTTGGAATTGAACCAAGTCGACCCGATATTCTTTTACCGAAAAGCGAGTGAATATCAGAAGCGCTTCGACCTCTTATAGGCAGGGTTCTGCGACGCGGATCCTCCCGAAAATCCGCGCTTCACCAGAATGCAACCACGCTCCCTGGGTCAATGGTAGTTTTACGTCATCTCGGACGAGGATAGTTTTCCGTCGTTTTGGACGAAGACTAGTTTAACGTCATTGCGGACCCTAGTAGTTTATAGTCATTGCGGACCAAGCCTTTGGTAGTTTTACATCGTTCCGGATGTGTTTTATGGCCTCGCATCATTATAGGAAGACTTGTGAAGTAGAGGCGGCCCGCTCTCTACATCATCTCATGCGCCAGCTGTAGGATCCCCTAATGCGGAAACAATCCTGTAAAACGGGAGATCCAAAGTGGGACGTCCCAAAACACCAGTCAGACCTTGACTGTGAGGGTTCACTTAACGAGTTGTGCATCATAATTTCCTGACTCGGACTTGCAACCGGTTATGTATGGGCACTTCGCTGTACCAAGGCGAAGAGCCGGCTTGTCGACACCTACGAGTAGAGTATATGTCATGTAGAGGGCTCCCTAATGCAGAAAAAACCCTGTAAAACTGAGGATCCAAATGGGACGCTCGATGCATCTGTCAGATTAACTCCTTGACAGCGAGGATGTGAAAGGTTCCGCCGTAGGTCGTACGTGGAATTATGCCCGCTGTTGTCCTTGATTCGTACCATCATTTGAACCTAGGACTAAATGGTCAGGTACTTCCCCTGCCTTCTTATCTTTTCACAGTTTTAAGACATGCAGGTCCGATAGTTTAGACGTCATTCCGGACGCGGGGTAGTTTAACGTCTCTTTCGGACGAGGTCGTACAGTTTAACGTCTTGAGGGACGATCCTAGTTTTACGTCGTTGCGGACGATCGATAGTTTAAGGTCATTTCGGACCCTAGTAGGGGTAGGAGTTCCTCAACTTCCTTACCCCCTTTCTCGCTCCGCGACTGCCCTTCTCTAGTAGTCATAGGGTCCTTGGTACCCATCGCCTCCTTCATCAGGCCGATAATACGGATCGGCATCGTCGTAATTTCCAGGGTCATCTAAAGCGTCCCATGCATCGAGCTCGGATCGAGTCCAAGAGCGATTTCTTCTAGCCTCCGAATCAGCGCGGCGAGTTCTGCGGCTACTTCGGTTATTCTGTCCCTCGTCTGTACGAAATCGAGCACTAGGAGGAGGCGTTCCAGGCCGGTGTCGAACACTCCCGCCAGTAGTTGTTCCGCGGCGGAGGGTTGCCTGGGTTCCTCGACTTCTTCTTCCCTCGTTTCTTCGATAGACGGGCGGTTCCTCCTCGTCGGTACCCCCATGGGATAAGGGAAAATTTCGTACCCGGTGAGAGGGGGACGTCGTGGGATTGCTATGTGTTGGGCGACTTTCCCGTGGCCTCGGCGAAGGGCGTTCCACGACTGTGCGCGGAGCCCTTCTTGGATTTGGTACAGCCGTGGGATGTTCTCCGGGACGTGGTACATTCCAGACGACAATGCGGAAAGGGTCGGTTCTACTTGGTTGGACGGCGCCCAGTTCTCTGGTGAAGAGGAGAGCTGGAAGGAGCTCTCTGTTGACATACTGGGAGAATTCGTCGGGATGGATGAGGAGAGCTCGTGGCCGTCCGTCGTTATGTTCATACCAAGAGGCGGTGTCAGGGTCTGTTTGGAGGGCGAGTCCTCTGATCTGGAGACTGGCACTAGCCAGTCGTCGAGGTATGTCGCTATGCTCATTCCCGGGTTGCCCTGCAGCGAAGTTAGCGAGTCGTTGTAGGGCCATGGCTGTGGCCATTTGTATTACCGCGGAGATAGTGCTTCGCTGGAGGAGCGCGTCCGCGTGTCGCTCCAATTCTCCGGCGTGAGGATTTGTACCAAGGGTAGTTCTTCCCATGGAGTGGGGAATCTGTCCACCAGTTGGTACTGGCGGAGGTGTAGCTCCCTGTATAACTGGTATCGATTCAGTTTCTCCATGGCTTGGTAGTTGAGCTGCTGTTCTTGCTCATAGTCCCGAGGGACCTGCAGTTCCAATGCTTGCCGCGATTGTAGCAGGAGGTGAAACTCCCACTGGTACTTCGTCAGAGCCCGGTAGGTTTCTGTCATCAGGGTTTTCATTCCGTGATGCATTTCGTGGGGCCCCCTGGGATGACGGTCGGCGAGTTCTTTCCCTTTCTTTGAACTTGGCGTAGTCCTCGGCGTCGTCATCTGAGAAGTTATTGAGGTGTGGAGTGAGGGTGACGACGGCAGGCTCTGGATGGTGAGGGCTGGTTCCTCTATCAATTCGTCCAGCATTGCTTGGGTGAGGACTGGTTCCTCTATCCACTCGTCCGATGTCTGGATTGGACACCATAAGGACGACATCGGGGGAGGAGTTTCTGGATGGTGATGAAGCATCGTGGTCTTTGTGAAGGAGCATTTGAGTGAAGGAGAAGGAGCTTGAGAGAAAAGTGGGGAAGATGTGGGAGGATGGTCTGTTTTGAGCGCTCTGGACGCTCTTTTATAGGCTTTTCCTTCCGCTTTTCAGGGTGCTCCCGGACGAGGTTTATCAGGGTATTGGTCATGAAACTCCTTCATAGCTTCTTCCGCTGTCCCTTTTAGGAGAGTGTAGGGTTCCCAGGTGTTGTCTGCCTCGGGATATCCCATCCATTTGACCAAATATTTGGTTCCCCGTCCTTGTTTCTTTGAGTCCACGATCATTTCTACTTCATAATGTTCTTCATCGTTTAATACCTCCGGCAATGGTCTGGCGAAGTTTTCTCCGTGTGCCTCGGTTTCCCTATACTTGGTTAGCGTTGCGGCGTGGAACACCGGGTGGATTCTCCATTGTTGGGGAATTTGAAGTTTGTATGCCAGGGTTCCTATTTTCGCTAATATTTTAAAGGGGCCATACCTCCTAGGAGCGAGCTTGAACTTTGGATGGGTTGTCCGGATATGGGTTCCTTCTAACCATACTTGGTCTCCTTCTTTCCATTGAGGGAGTTTCCTGTGGAGATCCCGGTCCTTGGCGTAATTGCTGGCTATTTGTAGGCTGGCTGCGGCTTCTTCCTGGACTTCTGTGATCACCTTAATGCGTTCAGCTACCGCGGGTACCTTTGTCTCCAGCGCAGTGTCGGCTGAATAAGGGGGATTGAACCCGTATAGCACTTCGAAAGGAGATTTTCCGGTGGCTGAATGTTTCCGCGTGTTGTGCGAGAATTCGGCAAACGGCAAAAGGTCCACCCAGTTATCTTGGTGGTAATTGCAGAACGTTCTCAGGAACTGTTCAATCTCCTGGTTTACTCGTTCTGTTTCTCTGTCCGTCTGGGGATGATAAGCCGTGCTGAGAGCGGCGGTGATTCCTAGCCGTTTCCAGAGTTCTCGGGTGAACTTGGCCACAAATTGAGGGCCGCGATCGGATACTATTTTGGTCGGCAACCCATGTCGACTGAAAACGTTGTTCTGGAAAAGCACGGTTGTTTCTTCTGCCGTGATCGTTTTCTTGCATGGGGTGATGACTATGCCTTTGGACAGACCTTGGTCCACTACCACGTTGATTGAGTCGAAACCCTTGCTTTCGGGTAGGTCCGTGACGAAATCTGTCGAGATGAAATGCCAGGGGACGTTGGTGGTTTCCAAAGGGTGGATAGGAGGGTGCGTCTTGTGCGTCAGATTCTTGGTTGATTGGCATACCGCACATCCGTCCACGTATTCATGGATGAACTTTGTCATGTTTTGCCACCAATAGTGTCGTTGTACCAATTCCAACGTTTTTGTTCTCCCCGGGTGTCCTACCGCGGGTGCGTCGTGATGTGTTTTGACAATAAGTCTTCGTATGGCATCGTCTTTTGGGACGCATATGTGGCCATTTCATCTGGTGATTCCGTCTTCGTGTGTCCAGTGTCCCAGTAATCCTTTCATTCCTTGTGGCCCTACTCGCAAAAGTTTGGCGAGGGCTACCCTTGTCAGGGCATCATGTTCCGATTTTGAGCGTTGGATGAGGGAGATGAGGTCCGAGGATGCAATTTCTGTGGACTTGATATGTCGTGTCGGGGACGGTTCTACCAGAGTTTCGTCGGATTTGTTAAAAAGGTTGGCCGGGAGCAAAATTTGAGCTTTGTTGTCAGATTCCACCCCCTCACTTAGATCTGGACGCCTGGACAGAGCATCGGAATGATTTGTTGATCCTGCTTTATAGCTGAGCGTGAAGTCGAATCTGCTCAAATAAAGGCTCCAACGGGCGTGTCGTCGTGAGAGATCGCACGCCGTTTGGAAATGTTCCAGGTTCTTGTGATCTGTCCAGATCTCGAATGGGTGTCGTGCACCTTCGAGGTAGTGATTCCAGTGTTCCAACGCTTTTATGATGGCCAGGAGTTCGCGATCATGGACGTCGTAGTTCCGTTCTGCTGGTGAAAATGACCCGGAAAGGAATGCGACTGGGTGCCAGTCACCATCTTTTCCTTCTTGCAGGAGGGTGGCTCCGTAAGCGATTAGTGAGGCGTCCGTTACTAGTCGATATGGATGCATGGGGTCCGGGTAATTCAGAACGGGTTTGCTGATAAATGCCCTTTTTAATCGTTCGAAGGCTTCCTGGCACTTCGAAGTCCAGTTCCATTTTGCATCCTTTTTGGTGAGGTTGTGCAGAGGTCGTGCGATAAGGGAGAACTTATCGATGAAACGCCTGTAGAAGTTTCCTAGACCTAAAAAGGAGCGAATGTCTTGGACGGTGCGTGGGACTGGCCAATCTTGTATAGCGTCCACTTTTGAGTCTTCCATTGCGACGTGGTCTTTTGAAATTGTGTATCCCAGATATTGGAGTTTTTCTTTATAAAACTCGCACTTTTCTGGTTTCAGATAGAGGTCGTTGTCGCGCAAGATCTGGAAAACTTGGTTCAGGACCTGGATGTGTTCCGCCATGTTTTTGGAAAAGATGAGGATGTCGTCCATATATACGGTTATTTTCCGGGCCGTGATGAGCTCTCTGAAGATCATGTTCATCATGGCTTGGAAGGTGGCTGGTGAGTTGGTAAGGCCGAAGAACATCACCGTGGGTTCGTAAGAGCCCAGCGGAGTGATGAAAGCTGCCTTCCACTCGTCGCCCTTCTTGATTCGTATATTGTTGTATCCCCACCGTACATCCAATTTGCTGAAAATGGTGGCCCCTTTGATCACGTCCAATAGTTCTTGGATTAGTGGAAGGGGGCACACATTTGGGATGGTGTACGAGTTCAAATGGTGATAGTCCTGTACCGGGCGCAGTTTTCCATCTTTCTTTCCTATAAAGAAAAATGGGGCTGCCGTTTATGAGGTGGATCGACGGATGGTCCCCCGAGTGAGGTGTTCCTTGATGAATTTTCCTAATTCGTCGTGTTTCTCTGGGCTCAAGGCGTAGATTTTGGGTACTTGAGGTTTGAAGGTCGGTTTCAGATCTATGGCGTGATCCCAATAAGTGTGCTCTGGGAGTCGCTGCGACTTTCGTTCGCTGAAAATGTCCAAAAATTCGTGATGCGCCTTGGGGACTCTTTCCTTTAGATTGGTGACGACGATTTCGTCTTCCAAGTCCTGGTCGAAGCTGGCAAATCCTGACGGTTCGGGAGCCAGTTTCCGAATAACTGGTTCCTCTATGGCCCGTTTTCCTGAGTTTTCATATGGGAGATCAGGTTCTCCCCCGTTTGGTGAAAGAGATGGTTTGGCTTGAGCCTTTCGTTTCTCTTCTGCGTATTTCCTTATGTCCTGTAGGAGCCATTTCCTTTTGAGGTATGCTCGTAGTTGGACACCAAACGTTCCGCTGTGATCGCAGAGTCCTACATCTTCCGACAATCTTCGGAGATGTTCTAGGCGCTGTTTTTCGCGCTCGTTAATGCGTGGTTTGTGCCGTGGCTCCACGTCTGATAACTGCCTATTGTTTTGCGGTTCTTCCCTTGCCCTAGTGAACCCATGTGGTTGCTGGCATTTCTGGGGGCACCGATCAAAGTGCACTTCACGTCGTCTCCACTCGATGGAGGGATCGTGGTATTTCAACCAATCTGTTCCTAGGATAAGGTCGTCTTTCCCTAGATTGGAGATAAACATCTGGACGCGCTCAGTATGCGTTCGTCCCCTGATGTCCCGAATGGTGAGGTTCACATCCAAGGCTGATCGGATGAGACCTGCTTTATTAATGGTGTCATCGACGTTCCGGACGCGAATGGGGTTGTTGAGTGTGTAGGTGGGAAAGCGATGTCTCCTGACCCAAGTTTCATTTACTATAACCCCCTCGCATGCCGAGTCGATGGTTGCTTTTGCTCCAGCGTATTGACTCCTGTTTGATACTTTCACGTTCAGGAGTATGGGAGTGATGATACGGTCGTTCATTGCTCCGATACGAATACAAGTGCGGGCATCAAACTCGGGTCGTCCTTGACCTCTCTCCTTCGCTGGTGAGGGAGAGGTCAGGAAAAACGCTCCGCGTGTCCCAAGATCACTTCTCTTGCTTCATCTTCCCCTAGTTCTCCGAGCACTGCTCCGATTCGAGCAGAATGACTGACGCTTCCGTCTCCCCGTCGTTCGTTAGGTAACATAGCGCGTTGCCCATGGTTCGTTTGGGGTCGTCCGGATGGGGCAGAGTGAGGACGTTCCATCGAAGGACCAGGTTGTGGTATCCGCTGGTCGTTGCGAGGAACGTCCTCTGTCTCCATTCCTCGATATATTCCCACTTGGTTTCCCATAGCGGGTGCGTAGTCTTCTCCTTCCAAATCAACCGCGCGGTTTCCTCTCCCTGTCGTACCCAGGCGTCTCTTCGAGTTTCCTCGAACTGGTGGAACGCCTCTGCGGGCCGACCAGCAGTTAGCGCCAGAGTGTCCTATCTTTCCACAGTTTGAGCAAGAGGTGGTTCGCTTGCCGTCAAATTTTCTTTTTTGACTTTGGGTGTTACGCTTCCGGGTAGCGTCGATGTCCATATCAACCACCTGATTATTCATCTTTCGAGGTGCGTTTGTGGAGTTATAGCGGATAGCGGGTTGGGAGTGGAAACGGTTTAGATAGTCGCTGCGAAGGATGTGGAGTTGGCGAGGATGGCTTTTTGAGCAGATCTAGCTCTGAGTCGTCCGTCTATTTCGCAGGCCGTGTTAATCCAATCCTGAATGGTGTCCTTTGGCTGTACTTCTTTGTCATATATTTTGTCCATGACACGCGGGTCTAACCCGCGTTGGAAGCAAGGGACTTGTTCCTTGTCAGAGATGTCGGCATCGGCGGCGATGAGAATGAATTGGTTGGAGTATTCGTCAACCGTCATTCGTCCTTGGGAGAAGGCCATGAGTGCGCTTCGCGCTTTATCGGTCTTGCCTGTCTCCCCAAATTGGAGCTTGAACTTTGTTAAGAAGTCCCTCCAGGTTCCTAGATCAGTGGGAGGGTCCGCTCCTACTGATTTGAGGAGGAAGTTCTCGGCCCAAGCTCCTGCCGTGCCGTATCTCATGCATGAGAGCACCAGGGATATCTTGTCTTGATCGGTCTTGTACCGATCGGATTCTGCTGCGAAAAGAAGGAGGCATTGGAGCATGAATTTCTGGGATTCAATGCGGTTGCCTGTATAGTTGTCTGGGAGTTTGACCTTTCCTCTCCCGGGTTGTACTGTCGCGGAAGGGGGGTCTGTAGAAGTCGAAGCTTGTCCCGACATGTTGGCGAGCGATTCGTTTCGGGTGTTGATCGGTGTTTGGTCTGGTGAATTGGAGTCTGATTCCGAGGTCGTTTCCTCTTGCTCCGAGTCTTCGGGGATTACCGGCGCCGGTTCCCTGTATTGTGGGGCTAATTCCCACTGAGCTTCTGTTTCGTTCCAAATATCCTCTTCTTCTGTTCCGTCTTCAAGGGTGAAGTAATAACGCCCGTTTTGGTATGAGCAGTTATCGTAATTTGGAGGGGCGTATCTGTTGTTGTCTTCGTAGACCCAGAAGTCCCCTTCGCGCCGGATCGGGCGATTGTTGTGACGGAGTTGGTTATTGATACGTCTAGTGCCGGGTGGGTATTCCTGGCCTAGGTCTTGCTCCAGAGTGTGTGCAGTAACGCTCTCTTAATGGGGGTCTATTATCCCCACCAAGGAAGGTTATGAGAGAGAGTGTGGTAGCAAGCTAGTGCGAGTAAGGTAGGGGCAGAAGAGTCTATTCTAGTGTTACGAACTGCTCGTTCGGTAACCCCAAGAGTAGGAGGTTCTTCCCTAGGTCACTCGTGGAGGATGTGTGGAACGATGGTCTCGACTGTACGTGTAGCACAGGAGCCAAGGGTGTATTGTGATATAGCAATGAAGGCTGTAGCAAAGAGGCTACAGAGAACGAAGGGTACTATAGGAAGATAGTACTGAACGAAGAGAATAGACTGAAGAACCTCAGCCTACTCTATGGGCCTTTTATACTACTTTAGGACTACTCTTGTGCTTCTCTGTTAGTCTCCTTCCGGCCAGGAAAGACTAGGAGCTCAATGCCCGATGTGTGAGTAGTTTGTAAGGCGGCGTTCCATGCCCGCTACGCAATAGGCCCATGATACTCGACCAACGATAGGGTGATCCGTTGGGAGTGGATGACCAAGGTTACTATCTGTACCTTGTTGTACGCCTCACCTTGTGAGGCCGCTTGATATTTGTGATGATCGTGTTGGAATAGACCGCCGTTAAGGCCTGACAGAACGTGATCATAACACTGCCGTCATAAGATAGTCCGTGACAAATTCGTCTGCTGACCGCTTTCCCATTCTCATCATGAACAATTTCTGTCTCGCCTTCTGTTCGAGACTTTCATCTTTGAATGCGGCGGCCAGTTCTTTCAAGAAGTCCTTGAACGTTCCCCATGCTTTTCTCGTCTCCGTCGGTTTGTACTCCCGAAGTTCCCTGTCGAAATAGTATTTCTGTGCAAAAAGTGACGCCGTTCCTTCCCTCATGTATGATAGCACCATCAGGGTTTTATCCTTGTCGGTGTCATATTTGGTTGGGTTGGCGAAGATATACATGTGACATTCGTATATCCATTCCCTATATTTCGACCTTGTGCCATCAAAGTCCTTCGGTTTGTTTCCTCTGTCTGACATTTCGTCTTCGTCGTCTGTGGTGTCTGTTGTCGGTAGAGGGTTTGGTTGTGGGTTTGGGTTTGGGTTTGGCTGGCTTGGTCCTGCTACAGGTTCCGGGTCTTCTTTGTCGACCGGGGTTAATACTCCTGCGGGAATTGGGGTTTCTTCGATATCTTCTTTGGGGATATCGATCGGTGATAGAACAGGTTTTGTTCAGATGGGGGAGTCTATGGTTCTGAGGGGTGCCTTCCTGTCTTCCCAGGGTACTAGTGGGGCGTCGACTGTTTTTCCGCTGTTCTGTCCTCCTACGTAAACCCAGTTTCCCTTGGATGTCCTTCTGATCGGTTGTCCGAAATGGACAAATGTGTCAGAATGTTTCAAGTAGTCGGTTCCGTGTGGAACTCGCCCTACGCTTCTTCCTGAGCCTTTGGAAGTCGTCTTGTTAGATCAAAGAGCCCGCGCTAGTCTCGACCTGATCAAGGTTCGAGGGTCAAGGCAACAGCAGCTCGTTCTGGCCGGGTACAGTATTTCTGCTTCTAGTATAGTACCGTACGTAACATCGAGTGCAGTTGTTTCGGTCGTACCTCCACTGGGTTGATTACCAGATAGAAGTATTCTACAACCTGAAACGACCCACACTGAAGTGGAATCGTCCAACCGTTCGCTCGAAGTGTATAGTAACTACTACGGTCGACGGACGCTTGTCTTTTGGGACTGCCTAGCGCCGTATGTATCTAGCCGGTGTTCTGCTGCAAGGAAAAAAGGTGGAGTAGGATTGTGTGTGGAGAGGCTATCCAGATGTCACGAACGGCTGTTTGGGACGAGAGGATCCTAAGCCACAAATAATATGAGAGGATTAGAGAGGATGATCGGGACTGATCAGACTAATGTCCCAGAATCAGAAAAGACTGTGTGAACAGCAGTTCTTAGATTGGACAGAAGTGGATAGCCTAGGGCTTCCACACTGCGCCGCAGTATCTATAAATATGTACAAGCAGATGCACGGACCAAGTATCAGTGGAACAGGAACGCGAGGTATAGTCGGGAGAAAGGTCCTACGAGTCCTTATCAAGAAGGTGGGAAGAAGTGAGTAAGCATAGGTGGAACGTTTCGTAACAGGTGGTGCCATAAGGAATAATCTCAGAATTGATACTTTGTTGTGATCTCAGAAGTAATCGTATGTCACACAGTTGCTCACAATCTCAGGATGATCCTGAGTAATCTGCTGGTGGTGTATGTCTAGACACTGGCTAGAAGTCATGGTGTCTGTCTAATTGGGGACTTGCTAGGGGCATCTAGGGGCTCTGGACTTAGCTTAGCTCAAAAATTAACACTTTTACATCCAAACTTGACTCCCTTCCCTATCTGAAACTATTGTATGCTAGTGTTGCTTGCTCTGTATCCTCTAACCCTTGCACAAACCCACCCTTTGCCTGCTTTTACCAATGCCACTGCTGCCCATACAAGGTTGGCTATTATTGCCCCTCAGAATACATCCCTTGACCTTATCTTTATCTCTAAAGATTGCTGCTATTTGGAAAACCACCCTCTTGTATTAAGCTCTAATTAGCTATAATTGATGCCCTACTACACTAAATTATGAAGGATTAGGATTAGACATTTTTAGCTTACCCCTTCTCTAAACCTGTCCTAATTAGACATAATTTTCCTAAATTAAGAATTATTAGGATTGATTATAACTTGAAATTTCGGAAAAATCATAATAAATCAAGCATCACAGTTCTCATAGCCTTCCTATAGAGTCATGTCTATTAAAGCACTAGTTAAATACCTATACACAGAATATACCTTATAACAAACTTGCCTTTTGCCAGATTTGAACCAACAACCTCATGTATACAAGCACCCGGGACAGATGCTCTAAGCCACTAAGCCACAAGATCTAATATATAAACTTGGTAATCTAACCAAGTAGACATAATATAGGCAACCTCAACATCTCTGATTTTATTCAACATTTATCTTTCCTCTATCTAATAAATAAACAGGTCAATAAATACCCAAAAAGTCAGGTTTTTCAGGATTTAGTTTAAATACCAGCTAGCTTAGAAGATAATAAACTAATGGACAATAAATAATACACTTTATATAAGATAAAAACAAATTGTGGTACGTATACAATTTGGAATTAGAATATGTAAAACTATGATTAAGTATAATATTCAATGGGACTCTACTAGTACAAACAATGCTACCTTAATTTGCAAATTTGATCAAAAACATGATTATGAATAATTGGCCATAATTAGCTCAAATTAGTATCATTAATGATTATCAATAATTAAGATCCAATAAGAGAGAGGGGTTTTCCAAGTGGCCGCTAGTGAGGTAGAGGGTGGGGACAAGAATATATATATGGCATGCCTATATATAAATAAGCCTAAGATTGTTAGAGACGATCTTAGTATGCTTAGTGCACATATTTCCTACATAGCAAGCAAACATATTATTCTGGCACTACATACCAACATGACAGTCTTTTCCATAGCCCAATAGCTAGAGAAAAACACTAAGTTTAAGCATCTTCTATATAATAAGACAATAGACAGTGTGGATGGCACTGAGAATTGTAATATCAATAGTGGTGATGATTATGTGCTGCACAAGACAGTATTAACCACTGAACTAATATACAAGGTTTGCAAGGCTGCATATAGCACATCTGTTATGATCATGTTCTGTCGGGCCTTAACAGCGGTCTATTCCGACACGATCATCACAAATATCAAGTGGCCTCACAAGGTGAGGCGTACAACAAGGTACAGATAATAACCTTGGTCATCCACCCCCAACGGATCACCTCATCGTTGGTCGAGTATTACGAGCCATATTACGATGGGCATGGAATGCCACCTTACAAACTACTCACACACTGGGCATAAAGCTTCTAGTCTTTCCTGGCCGGAAGGAGACAAACGGAGAAGCACAAGAGTAGTCATTATTGAGAGAAACAACTTAGAGAATACCTACGGATACATATACGGTAACCCCACGCCCTATTTCCTAAAGTAGTATAAAAGGCCCATAGAGTAGACTGAGGATCTTCAGTCTATTCTCTTCGTTCTACTGCAGTCTTCCTACTACAGCCTTCGTTCCGCTGTAATCTTCCTACTACAGCTCTTCATTGTTACATCGCAATACATCTCTGGCTCCTGTGCTACGTGTACAGTCGAGACCATCATTCCACCCTCTCTCTACAAGCAACCTAGGGAAGAACCTCCTACTCTTGGGGTTACCGAATGAGCAGTTCGTAACAACATCCCTAAGCCCAACCTGCATATTGTGTCCTGTAATGACCAGTAGCAAGCATTAGCTAACAATGACAACTTCAATGATCTTGTGTGCAAGGCCAAGGTACTAAGGTCTTCATAGTCTCTTGTGGCAGCTACTAAGCTGCCAACAAAGTAGCTGGGGCATCAATGCATATTTCTTTCTTTCTATGTCCCTTGTAAAAGCAGCTAGAAAGTTAGCAAAAGAGCTACAAGATAATGGTGCAGGCATATATGAAGAAGAGTAATATGCTGAAATAGTATGAGATGTGCCACATTTTTAGCTTCTCACTCATAAAGCAGTAGTACTTACTATTTCCTACTGCTAATTAAAGACTTCTTGGTATAGAATTAGTGCTGATATTATAAAATTAGAAACCAATCCAGTACTCATAATATATTGCTCCTAATTAGGAAATTAGACACTTTTAGATGCTATTAACACTTTTAGATACTTTTAGACACTATTAGATATAATCCAGAGCTAATACAAGGGGGTGGTTTTCCAGATGGCCTATGTCATCCATGTTGAATACTAGGATGAACCTGTCAATTTTTTTGAGCAGTATATTCTGGTTCTGGAAAAATTATTTATCTACAAGGAGTCCTTCTGCTTTGGAGTTGATTAGCACTCTTGCTTTAGTGTTTTATTCCCCCTTTGTGTTTCAGCTATACATTTATATGCATGGATGGATTTTGATTTGATTTTGTGAGTTATTCAGATGTTTTTACAGGGGAAGTCTAAGTAGGCCTAGTATACACCAAGAATACAGGTTGAATTAAAAATCCATTTCCAATTCCTTTTGCTTACTTCCTTTGCTTAGCTCTTGTAAAAGCGCTTTTTGTTTGTCTCATCTTAACTTTCCTATAAACCTTTGGATTTTTTCTTGGCCAATCTTAGGCTCCTTCTGACATAGAGATGCATCCTCTTGGAGTGTAGGTTTGGCATGCTGTAAGTCTAGCCTAGAATAGGTTAGTCATTACCATGCTTCTACCTTTTCTCAGAGTTACTTCTTCACCACTGCTTTGAGCTCTTGCTAAGAAAGCTTAGCCATAGCCTCCTTCTCTGCTAGCCAATGCTCCACTGGTTTGAGCTAGGTGGTTCCCTATTTTTCCACCACCTGGTTGAATATGTCCAGCTGCCCCTTCATATACCCTAGACAAGGCCCTAGCAGAGCATTGATTTGCCATGTGTTTCTTTTGATGGCAGTAAAAATACCCACTCTCTAAGTGGAGTCAAGATCTCTTGTCATTGGTAAGAAGGGTACAGACAGTGTCATTATCATTGGTATGATAGAGTTGTTCATAGAAGGAGGGGTGTTAGAGGAATCATAATGGAAGGGGTCATTTTACTGTAGAGTGGCAGAGGGGATTGAGCCTTTTATACTTTAAAGCTTTCTCTATTGGTTATCAAAACTTTAGATGTATTTTACCTATTTGTCCATGGTTTTTGGCATTTTGGGCAGCCTGTAGATTTATTTGAGTATTTCTGGGTATATGGCTTGGCAGAAATAGTCAATAGTAGATTCTAAGTCGAATCCACTTTTTTTGGTGGTAATACAATAGTCTGTGACAAAGTCATCTGCTGATTGTTTTCCCATCCTTATGGTAAATAGCTTCTGTTGTACCTTCTGTTTAAATCCTTCATTTCTGAATGTTTTAGCAAGCTCTGCTAGGAATGCTTTGAATGTTCCCTAGATTAGCTTCATTTCCATTGATTTGTACTCCCAGAGTTCTTTGTCAAAGTAATACTTCTGGGCAAACAGCAGTGTAGTTCCTTCTCATATATAAGATAGGATAAGCAGAGTTTTGGCCAGGTCTGTGTCATACTTGGTTGGGTTTGCTGTAATGTACATATAACATCAATTGACCAAATATCAGTATTTTGACCTGGTTCTATTAAAGTCTTTAGGTTTGTTTTCTTTGTTCATCATTTTGTCTTTTGAGTCTGCTATGTCTTTATTGGGTATTAGGTCTAGGTTCAGTTTTGGATTTTCTTCATCAATAGGAGTTATTACTCTTACAAGGATGATTCCTTCTTTAATATCTTTCCTTAGAATATTAATTGGTATTAGAGCTAGTTTTGTTTGGGTCGGGGTTGTTACTGTTCTCAATGGTACTTTTCAATCTTCCTAGGCAACTAGTAGAGCATCAACAGTTAGTCTACTGTCTTGTCCTCTTACATAAACCCAAATTCCTTTCAAATTTCCTCTAATTGTTTATCTGAGATAGACAAACAAGTTTGAGTGTTCCAAGTAGTCAGTTCTATGTGGAACTCACCCTACTTTTCTTTTCTTTTCTTTGGAAGCCATGGTGATTTGATCAAAAAAGCCTATGCTAGTCTCAACCTGATCAAGGTTCAAGGGTCAAGGCAACAGCAGCTCTTCCTGGTATAGTACAGTATAGTATTATATGGAGTATAATATCAAGTGCAATTGTTTCAGTTGTACCTCTACTAGGTTGACCACCAGATAAAGATATTCTATAACCTGAAACAACCCACACTGAAGTGGAATCACCCAATCATTTGCTTAAAGTGTATAATGACTACTATGGTCAACAGTTGCTTGTCTTTTAGAACTGCCTAGTGCTATATGTAAGTAGCTGGTGTTCTGCTGTAAAAAAGAAAAGGAGTGTGGAGTTGTTAGGATGCAATCCTAACATGTGCTTTGCATGTGATCAGGGCATGCTATCAAGTGATATGCATAAGCTTGGGGTTTAGACTATTAATATGATTGAGGTAGCAAACAAAGGCTGACTACTATATATATGCTTCAGCATGAATGCTTATGTATCGGTGACTCATTTTCAAGCTTCAGCTTGAACACTTATGTATGCCCATTATAATGCATTCTAGATCGGCTCTTGTTTCATCTAGAAAACCACCCCCTTATATTAGCTCTATATTATATCTAATAGTGTCTAAAAGTATCTAAAAGTGTTAATAGCATCTAAAAGTGTCTAATTTCCTAATTGGGAGCAATATGTTATAAGTACTAGATTGGTTTCTAATCTTATAATATTAGCACTAATTCTATACTAAGAAGTCTTTAATTAGCAGTAGGAAATAGTAAGTACTACTGCTCTATCAGTGAGAAGGTAAAGATGTGGCATATTCTATACTATTTTAGCACATTACTCTCCCTCATATATGCCTACACCATCATCTTGTAGCTCTTTTGTTGACTTTCCAGCTGCCTTTAAAAGGGACACAGAAAAAGAGAAATGTGCATTGATGCCCCCAGCCACTTTGTTGGCAGCTTAGTAGAGACTATGAAGACCTCAGTACCTTGGCCTTGCACACAAGATTATTAAAGTTGTCATTGTTAGCTAATGCCTGCTACTGGTCATTATAGGACACAACATGTGGGTTGGGCTTAGGGATATGCTATATGCAGCCTTGTAGACCTTGTATATTAGTTCAGTGTTTAATACTGTCTTGTGCAGCACACAATCATCATCACTATTGATATTCCAATTTTTAGCACTATTTTTATTGTTCATTGCCTTGTTATATAGAAGATGCTCAAACTTGGTGTTTTCCTCTAGCTATTAGGCTGTGGAAAAGACAGTCATGTTGGTATATGGTGCCAGAATGATATATTTGCCTGCCATATAGGAAATATGTGCACTAAGCATATTAAGATCACCTCCAATAATCTTGTGCTTATTTATATATAGGCATGCCATACATATACTCTTGTCCCCACCCTCTACCTCACTAGTGGCTATTTGGAAAACCCCTCTCTCTTATTGGATCTTAATTATTGATAGTCATTTTTTGATCAAATTTGCAAATTTAGGTAGCATTGTCTGTACTAGTAGAGTCCCATTGAATATTACACTCAATCATAGTTTTACACATTCTCAATCCAAATTGTGTAAGTGCCATAATTTGTCTATATAAAGTGTATTATTTATTGTCCATTGGTTTATTATCTTCTTAGCTAGTATTTAAACTAAATCCTGAAAGACCTGACTTTTTAGGTATTCATTGACCTATTTATTTATAAGAGAGAGGAAAGATAAATGTTAAATAAAATCAGAGATGTTGAGGTTGCCTATATTATGTCTACTTATTTAGATTACCAAGTTCATATCTTAGACCTTGTGGCTTAGTGGCTTAGAGCATCTGTCTTGGGTGCTTGTATACATGAGGTTGTTGGTTTAACTCTGGCAGAAGGCAAGTTTGTTATAAGGTATATTCTGTGTATAGGTATTTAACTAGTGCTCTAATAGACATGACTCTATAGGAAGGCTATGAGAACTGTGATGCTTGATTTATTATGATTTTTCCGAAATTTCAAGTTATAATCAATCCTAATAATTCTTAATTTAGGAAAATTATGTCTAATTAGGACAGGTTTAGAGAGGGGGTAAGCTAAAAATGTCTAAACATAATCTTTCATAATTTAGTATAGTAGAGCATTAATTATAGCTAATTAAAGCTTAATACAAGGGGGTGGTTTTCTAGATGTTGATTACTGATGCGGACAGACATTTGATATATTTACTATATATAGCTAGGACAGGGCAGCTGTAGAGTTCAAACTGTGACTGTAGATTACAAAGGTCGATTGCTGATCATACTTACAGCTAAACAGCACAGACCATATATCTGCTTTGCCCTAAATAGCCTATACATATAAATAGCCAAGCTGAGCTTCTTAGTAGACTTAGCTTGTTCACTTCATATACATCTTGATCTCTATACTGTACCTAGCATCTGGCTCCCTTTAGCCTATGCATTGCAAACTCTGTTAGATCAATTAAACCATACCTAGTCCAATAAAGCGCTGGATCTGTCTCAAAGCTCTCATCATCCTCCCTTCTCTATTACTTATCAGGGGCTCGCAGCCTACCAAGTCATTCACTGGGATCCATCAAAAGTCATCTGCTCTATTAGAGAAGACTTGTTTGTCCTAGATGAACACCAACACATAATTAACAGCCACCTCCTCCACCTCTTCAAGGACCAGATTGATAGTAACCAAGACTTCTTGGACAACACATGAAGGAGAGCAATAGTCTTCATATGTTGGGCCATCAATATCAGTTTTAGCCTAGGGAACCCCTTTAGTGCATAGTCACACAAAATAAGCCTAGTGGCTTAACAAGAGTAGGATGTGGTGAAGGCTATCCAAATGTCATAAATAGCTGTTTGGGACAAAGGAATCCTAGGCCACAAACAACAATATTAGAGGGGAGGTGAGGTAGATGATAGAAGACAGGGGTCCCAGGGTTGATCAGACTGGTGTCTTAGAATTAGGGAAGACTGGAGAACAGCAGTTTCTAGATTAGACAGAAGTGGATAGTCTGAGGCTTCCTCTACTATGCCACAGCAACTATAAATATGTACAGGCAAAAGCATGGACCAAGTATCAGTGGGACAGGAATGTGAGGTATAGACTTGAGAAGGGTCTGATGTGTCCTTATGCAGATCATGGTAAAAGTATAGTAAGGGAGCTAGTTCATAACAACCACTGGCATAATTCCAGAAGTGACAGAGGGTATTCAATGTACTGAAGGTGAAAGGGAAGACAAGCCTAACATTACTCAGTCCTCATCTCAGCTTATGCCTGACCTCAACAAGTGCAGCACAGCACTGAGCTAGTGGAGTCAGGTACCATTTAAGCATATTTCAAAAACAGAGACACTGATAGGTGCCCATGGTGTGCATCTGAAATCTCTGCCATCAAATTCATGAAGCCCCATCTGAATGGCATAGGAGCTCACTACAACTTTGCAAGGACATGCTGCTACCACTAAGAAGATCCTAGGAAGAACCAAGCAGGTAAGCAGGGTATCAAAGTCATCAAAGCCAATGATCTGAAGAAGACCCAGACAGGTGATAGGGAAGCTCACAGATAAATCTGGGATATAGGAGCGAGAGCCTCTAGTGTGAAAATGTGTTGCAGACCATGTTCATGTTGAACAGATGATCAAGAGCTCTGTGTACAATGTTTTCGAGTGAGATAAAATGACAGAACAGGGGATGGTTCATGCACCAGGTTGAGCACAGATAATCGCAGTAGTGATTGAATCCATTGAACAACGAATAATTCAGATTGTTGTGGGATAGCAAAGTCTGAAACAGATCCAACCAGCAATATTGAGGAGCAGGCTCAGCAGGTCGAGTGGAAAGTCGGACTTGCCTGAAGGGTCCGTCACGACTTGCGGCGTTTGCCGAGCTTTGCTGCTTGTCATTTTCCCCTTCCCCACGAAAACGAAAATACAAGCACACTAGGACAAGCTACCTAGTCCTTTATCAAAGACCGCCTATCTCGTGAAAACATCTTAAAATCCAGGACTAATATGCCTCGAGCAACTTCTGATCGTTTCACACGAGCACACCAGCCCTCGGCAAAAGCGAGTGTTTCAAAAGGTCAAGGAGAATCTTCTTCAGCCACACGCAATCCAATCTTCAATACCGAACGATTCGGCCAACATATCCTCAAGAACCCCTCAATAGCACAAGAGTGAGCTCGCATGAACATGTCACCGAAATTCATCTTCCTGATATGATGCGTAGAATTGTGGACAAGGTTGGTTTATTAAGGTCTTGCCAATATATCCTGCCTTGCTGATATGGAGAATGTTTTGAGGCGAATCTAAGACCAACGGATAAAGTGCTTGAAGTCGGGCCCGGTACTGGAAACTTAACTGTAAAAATTCTGGAGAAGGCGAAGCAATGCACTGTCATAGAGATGGATCCTCGTATGGCGGCGGAATTGACAAAGCGTGTTCAGGGAAAGTTCGTCAATTCAGTCATTACTTTTCTTGGAGAATACGATCCACTCAATGTCGACTCTAGACCAGAACAACGCCGCCTCGAAATTATCATCGGTGACTTTGTCAAAGCTGACTTGCCTTATTTCGACGTCTGCATCTCTAACACGCCCTATCAAATCTCCTCTCCTCTCGTTTTCCGCCTGCTTTCCCATCGACCATTATTCCGCACTGCAATTCTCATGTTCCAGCGCGAGTTCGCCCTCCGGCTCGTCGCGAAGCCCGGATCAACACTTTGGTCACGGCTGTCAGCAAATGTTCAGCTATATGCAAAGGTCGACCACATCATGAATGTCGGGAAGAACAATTTTCGCCCTCCACCGAACGTAGAGTCGTCTGTCGTCCGTATCGTCCCATTAGATCCACCACCACCCGTCAAGTTTGAGGAATTTGATGGTTTAACGAGGATCATATTCAGTCGGAGGAATAAGACAACTCATGGTAATTTTCAGGCCAAAGGGGTGACGGAGATGCTGGAGAAAAATTGGCGGACGTGGTGCTCAGAGCAGAACATGGTGCGTGGGCGATACGTCTCTTATCCCTACCTTGAACTTATCATCTGTTTATTTCATGAAAGATGGTTGAGGACGTCGTCAACATGAAAAATAAAATAAAAGATATCTTGGAAGAGACAGGATTTTGCGAGAGCCGTGCTGCCAAGATGGACGTCAACGACTTACTCAAGTTCGTTGTCCGTTCGTTGTCCCCTTGCATGAGTATCCTGATGCTCGCATTTCCAGGTTACTGTCTGCCTTCCATGATGGAGGCATCCACTTCGCATGATCTTGTCGGTATAGCTGTAGCGGCTCAATGCCTTGCTTGTATTCCTTGCTAGGTTATCTTATCCCTTTGTTTTGGTCGCCATGCATCGCCGCCCGAATCCTAGGTTCCTGACAGGGTGTCATTCTGCCGCAGGTATGAAACATGGAAATTTGTTGCTAAAATCTCTGACAAAGAACACTCCAACAAGAAATAGCGCAACTGGTACGTAAATCCATCCTTTAGTTCCCAATTCATTCAATCTAATGAGCGGAGAGGCCAACCATCCAATCGATCGCTTCTTTGAAGTCATTTTCAAATTTTTTCGACGCCTTGAGCTCAGGGAAGAGTGAGTCCACTCCGTGCGGTACGCCCGGATATCTGTACATCGTTGCCTATCAGCTGTTTCCTCGAAGGGAATTGAAATCAAAATGATGCACATGTGCAACTTGGTCTTGACGCCTTGCTCCTTGAGAACTTTCTCGTAGAGTAGCCCTTCGTCGCGCAGGGCATCCAGCCCGCACACCTGCACGCACGCTGGAGGCAATCCGGCATGTGATGTCGCCAGGAGAGGTGAAAAATCAGGATCGGTTACTGGCGGGTTCAGCAGATCTACGCAATATCATAGAACAATATTGACAGTGAGATAGGCAGACAAGAACATCTGGTACGCACCGATGCACCAGTATATCATATTTTTACCGATAACCGGTGCGTCTTTGTTTTGTTCCATAGAGAGAAGTTCATCTTTGTATCTTTCGTTACCGGGTCAGTTCTAGCGGCGCACAGGAACAGACAACTAGCCAGTATTTACCTTTCAGGATACGCATCGGGATGGCACACAAGTGGGTACTGCAGCAGTTGGCCTGTAAGCGGCAGGGTAATGAAAAATGGGTCGTCTCGCGCTCGAAGTGTCATAGCTGCTGCAAGGTTCCCGCCAGCTGAAGACCCTCCTACCAAGAAACCTTTCAAGGGAGAGGTCAAAAGCGTCTCGGCGTTTTCGGCTGCCTGAAGATTCGATTGATGAAACAAAGTGAGCACTGCGCTGTCGATAAGTGATGAAATCATAGGTACGGACCCATTTGAGGGCAGTGTAGCTATCATTGGCGCCTGCCGGGAACGGATATTCTGGAGCGAGTCTATATATGCGCAAGGTTGAGCTTAGCTCTTGCAGAGTCTGCACTTGAAGATCGTTCTCCACCTGTAGTCGACGCTCACAATCGAGATATGCCTCTCAACGCATACAATCCGCAGGTTGCTGTCGTCCATGTCAAGGTCTCCGGCCACCCATCCTTGATCAATCGGATTCAAGACAAGGTCATCCGTCTACAATAGTGAGTTGGACGCACCTCCGCCATGATACCAAACTAACAGCGGAAATATCCCGCCCGCAACAGGCGTGGGCATATAGCACCTTACTGTGATTTCGCCCCCCTCAACGCTTATCTGGCGGTCCTCGACGCGATAATCGTGATCTGCGTAGAACTCCTGTTATAGTCTTGCACCCTTAACTTTGAAACATGTCCATACCTGCAGGAAGACTGGGTGCCGGGCGTGCTGCTCGCATTTGTACTCCCACAGCACGCATTGTAAGGAGATCTGGTTGCATCTGCAAACTTGCTTTGAGAGCAGCATACTCAGGATCGGGGGTGGAGAGGTGGGCGTATTGGGACATCTTTTGTATAGAATCACTTCAATCATGTATACGTATTTATATGAACAATGGACAGATCCGATTATCCAGGTCATGAGTCTTACGAAGTCATGCTGATCAAATGCCGCTTCACCCAAACTGCTGCAGCGTCAGGTGTGGTCAGATGATTGTGAACCTGCGCGCTGCGTGCTAGCCTGCACCACCATCTCTGACCTTCTATAACATCACAGTATTGCTTCCTGGTGTGCATACTCACGAGTTAGGACTTCAAATGACACTAGAGTTGCAATGGTGGCCAGATGTGAGTATCAATTGTCTTATAGTCTCCTTGTTTGTGCCGAAGCTTGCATATGGGTGTTGCACACCTGACATCGGACTGTCCACATGTTCATCACCAGGATCATTTGACCTGGTAAAATTTTAGTCGAGCATTTTGCTAGATGATAAAACAACCACGCTGCTGACCACACCTTGTGACAAGCTCATCTTTCCCCAACTTGAACCTCAAGGAAGGACTATATCCAGACACGAATTCTAGCGCTCGATAAGTCCCTATATCAGTCCCTTTCTGCTGATTCTGGATGTGAGAGCAGATCGTCAGCCTCGACATTAATGCGCTGTGTGGCTGCGAAGTCGATCATGCATGTTTCTCGAGGTTGATGGTAAACGAGGCTATGACAGTGACTGGAGACGTTCTAACTATATGCAGACCGAAATCAATCAAAAATTTAGGAGCTGCCTTTTTGTGCGTCCTCATAAGCGGGTTTGGCTTGTGAGGAAAAACTCTATGCATAATGAAGTGACAATGAAGGTGGGGTGTCTCCTCGTGACATGCCCTGCCAATGTCATGCTGTAGTCAAGTCAGTGTTATAAGAAGTCGGAGATGGCAATTAGATGATAATGTCATACTGAGATCCATTTAGCACCTATTGCGGTGACTAGCACAATAGCGTATCATTTTGCGTGAAGCCCCTCAATATAAAGACACATTGATTGAAGTCAAGCCTTCAGGGAAGTGAGGAAGAATCAATAGTCCCAGCCAGTGTGGACATCGTCAAGGGAAATTCCCACAGGGATGTCCGACTCATGCCTGCAATAATCGAGATCGCGCGCATGACTAATTTCCCCTTTGGGCCTGCTTCTGTACCCCTTCGACTTGGGTGCACGACTGGTGCACGTCCTTGTTCTCGCTTTTCTTGTCATCCTTGCCTGAGCACCTTCACCGCCGTTGCTCGTGCCCTCAGGGCCTACTCTTCACATTGAGGGTGCGTTACGTGTATGGTCTACACCGGCCTGACCCAGATACTTGGATAGCCTGTGCTGATCCGTCTGCAGCTTCCGAGTTCCACTCTTCCGGCCTTCGTTGATGTTGATGATCCCGCTCACGGGCCCTCTATTCCGGAATCTTCCTGGTCTGCTCTAATTCGTGGCTCCAGACTACTCGTCCAAGATGGTGGCTTGGAGAGATCCCAAGACCGTTGCAGATCAATCATGTGCGTCGCGTTTCCATTTCCTCCGCCTCTCCTGATCTCCTCGCTATCGGGTCGACTGATGGACTCTTTTCCCTCCAAAGACACCTTGATCAAATTCATACACACGTTGGATGGGATTTTTCTGTGCGGCGTGTTACACCTGTCGGTTGGGATATCCGCTTATGCTCTGGATGTAGCTGGGAATTTTTCTCCACCATTGGCTACGAATGGGATATTGTTACGCGGAGGCGGCCTTGGAGATGGAAGATGGCCGTGCGCATTTCTCTTTTGTATACTTCCACCCTGCGCGTGCTAAAGCAAGCTTTACAGCTCTACATCAGCTGTAGATTAGCCACTCTGACTGCCGTTATTTGTGACCTCATCGGGTTCAATGTGATGCAGGCATTTAACTGTAGGGTACGTGGAATCGGACACCTTCACCATTGACTGCGTGTTCTGATGGATGACCATCTACAAAATGATAGGCATGGCTACTTTCACTTATGGTAAATCGTTTGCTCGTTCTTTTGCTGCGCATGGTACTGACGTATCGTCCCATTCAGTTTTTCTCGAGCGCGGGATTAGCACTCGCTTCGTTCTTGGTAATTATGCGCTCGTGAGTGCATTCTTACGTCTCCGATACGTACTGCGATGATATGATCTTCGCTCTCTAGAATAGCTCTCTGGGAGCGTCGAGCCGTCGTCGTCGGGACCTTGTTCGTGGTATGGCTCATCAATGTCGCCTTTTTGATTTACGGTATGCTATCTACCTTTGAAACTTTTCGTCTACTCAACGTCACTGAACCCACAAATTAGGAATGACAAAAGCAAGCTCTTTATATTTTGTGATATATCTTCATGTGATCACTAACTTCAAATCAGGTGGATGCGCATTGGAACCAGTCGGAGAAAGTATGTGCGATCACAGGATCTGAAAAAAATCGAGACAGTGTTATCGTGACGTTATGCGCCGACGTAGTCTTTTTGTTGGCTATGCTAGGTGGCGTCGTGCGACAAATAAAGGACGGGCCAATTTGGAGGATAACATATTATCAAGTGAGCTTTGGTGGCAGCTTTGCTCCGCGGTTGGACACTGACAACAAGATGTAAATTTAAAGGGAGTTATATGGATTGCGCTGGCTACGATATCGCAAATTCTGCCTGTTGTGGGTCACCTTCTCACCGTAACAACATTATGTCTCTGAGCTCACCCTACCTCCATAGACATTTTTGAGTCTCAACCTCAATGGTACGTAAAAGCCTCGAAACCGGCGGCCTTGAATGCTCATCGCGATGTCTCTCTACCTGTTTTTGTAGCCCCGATGAACCTGGTATGTTATCTTAGAGCTCTTCGATTAAGAAACACAATTATTTTCTGACGCAAAATATCCGCCACAAATGGTTCATAGATGTTCCAAACTCCTGCATGTAGGTTCCCTCCTCCCTTTTGTCTAACTTAAACTGCCGATACCTAACATCGTTGGTGCAGTGATAACCACGTACGTTACTCCTGGACTGTATTTATTTCAAAAATTGTTCACTAGAAGATCATTCACCGCCGATTGCATAGGACGATAGCTGCCACTCGAATATATCGCAGTTTGCAACAACGTGCCCGGAAGCCTGTCATTGGGTAGGTTGTGCCTTTCCTGTGTCCTTTATCTTCGCTCCAATTACCTGTCCCGCTTGCTCACCACCTCTTTTTAGCGCGTCTTACCTCTCCGATTTTCAATTCGCCACGAACCCTGAGTTCACGCTCGATGTGCGGAATCGCACCACGTTGAACATGCGATCAGGCGCCACAACGGGGACATTTTCGAATCTCGGGCTGAGCTCACTTGACGTGCAGTTTCCAAAATCATATGGGCGATACCGCGAGGAGGACTTGATGGAATATCCGTTGACCCCGATCAGCGAGTCCGCAACAGGACTGGAGGATCTCGTCCTCGAGCATGGTGGACAAATCGCAGAGCCCAGGTCAGGCCGCTATGGGGATTTGAGTGAGGATCTTGCTATGGAGCTTGGAGAGCCACCCCGATATTCCCAGTATGCCCACTCTTTAGGTTCAGCGGGGTCCGGTGGGAGGAGTGGTGTGGATGACAGCGTGGTCGGTGGATCTAGCCAAGCGAGAACAGTAGGGTATCCTCCTGCGATACTACAGGGATTTCGTTGATGGCTGTCTCTTCGTCCGAACCGAGCGTTATATATACCTTGTGCTTCTACCGCTTGGTATCGACCTGCAAGCACTTCATATTTGACTGTATCATATTCGTGTAGATATAGATTCCTCTCTGCCTCGATTCAATTGATCGTAAAGTTTGATTGCGAAACGAATGCAGGTTTGCCGTTCCCGTACAGGTTGAAGTGTTTCGGGAGCAGATCTTGAGCATTTAGGGTTCGGAAAGAACAAGGTGTCGATCGATAGCTCCGTCTCCGATCTAGATTGGCGAACCAGATCTTGCTCGATCACATTGTCAGCGAAATCGGCTGATACAGGAAGAAGTCACAAAGCCGTAAATTCACAAAACAAAACTTGATTGCTCACGTCATAAAGGGAGAGAACAATAAAGATATCGCTGAACTTTCTTGAGGCACATGCAGAAGAAATTTTCGAAGGAAGGCTTCACAGAGCAGAAGCGAGCTGAGCGTACAGTGCATCCAAAAGCAACAATGGAGAAGTCGGCTTCATCCACGTGAATTAGTAGTGAAATCCACTCCACAAGCTCTAACGGAGATGGAAACGTTCATGCTTTCGCGGTGCTTTGTCCGAGCTCTCTATAAAAGGGCAATGAAAACTTGAAGCACTCACTCACTCGTATCCTCACACCATCCCCTTTACTGATACTCACCATAACCTACCGACCTGCACACACGCTCTCGTACGTCAAAGCCGAGGTTGGGTGGGACCCTCCATGTGGCATATGAACCTGGACCAGATGTTCACCGCCGCTTTCACAGATACGAACACTTCCTCCTTGGTGTGTGTGACTGTCCCTATTTATCCAATGTTCGCGATGTCTAGTTCCATTGGTGGTACAGCTTTAGTAAGTGTATTGACTGGTGGTCAGAGTTTTGGATGCGACGTACCCTGATTGTCATTCTCAGGACCCTTTCAGAACCCTGTCATCGAAGGGTGTTGGCACGTTTGCATCTGTGACTTATGTGAGAGTGCAGTTGAAAGTTGGGATCCTGCAAATCTCATCGAGGCGAGGGTGAGTTCGTCGTGTAACAGTCCAAACATTGTCGGATAGAGTGCTCACCGCTCGTTCGCCCGCAGAACCTCATCATCCACAGCTGCCATTCAAACTTACTGGCCGTCCGTTGTCTGTATGAGGAGCTCAATAAGGTCGAGTGGGATCAGAATACTTTAAACCCCCACCTGCCCACATCTCCAGTACATTGGCCGCTCTCGCGTATGCCCGACGCGAGGTGGTATGATGACGAATGTCGTTCGCCGCGTCGAACTGTTCCCGATAGCAGAAGGATAGGTCAAACCCTAGCAACGATGGGATGTGATTCTGATTTCACAGTGGAGACCGAGAGGAGAGGGGGTTTGCGATCGTCGGACGTAGATGCTCGAAGTGAGTCTCTTATTTTTACTGGATTAAGAACGAGGACTCACCGCTAGCATTCTTTCGTATGCTTGTCCACTCAGCAACAGACGCCCTCTTTCGATGCCCGTGTCTTCCTTTGAACTCATCTGAACAGAGTGAGTCGACAACTGCCTTGTACCTCCCCACCTCTATCTAATCACATTTCAAGCTCTTCTTCGCATGCAATGGAAGGCTTCCAGGAAACCTAGCTACCACCACCCTGCGGGATGAACAGCTACAGACCGACAGACAAGCCCGACAGGATCGTACCATAGCGGTCCACTCGGGGGTCTTTTGGACCCGATTCACAGTCACGTTGAGGTCTCGTGCTTCTGATACATCGAGGACATCAGCCTGTGAACACTACACATATGCTACTCTTACTCACACCGCCGTCTTATATCGGAGCGAGCAAGAAGTACGGTCAGTCAAGTGCCCACCACTGGGTCATGTCAGAGGTAGCCCAACTCGAGATGAGGAATCATCAGCATGTCCATGTGTGCGACGTTGTCGCAGCGAGCGCCGTAATTCAGTGGGCGGCTATTGTTCGTCTTTAGGCCTGTCCGTGTCGGCGTGCTACATTCGGAAGCATCTCTTCAATGGTCTCAACTATCCAGTCGCAGTGCCCATCACTCGCCTCTATTACCGCTTCCACCACCGACCGAGAGAGTCCTGGCCTGGCTATGACTGTCGGAACGAGAGCAGACCACACCTGAGACGACACTGTGGATTGCAGATGATACCTCATCCAGAGACACCGGTCCTCGGAAGATAAGTACTGGAAGACAGTGAAACAACCTGACGCCCTTACGGAAGCAATGTGTCACTTCTTCACCGCCGCCCGCCCCATCAATACACATGCACAAGGCTTCATCACAGTGCAAATGTCGGCAAGTCAATCATCCGTGTCATTCGCACTATGAAGGAGCCTTTCTGATGTAGTCAAACATTAGATTGCGCACTGGATTAGTGTCAGCGCAAGAGGGCCAGACGTGCTTCGAGGGAGTCGTTATAGGTCATTATCCTCCATTGCCGTCGTTGTTCGTGAGATAAGCATTGACCCATGACTCCTCTCGTAGCTCGCGCGGTGGAACATACAAACAGCGACGATGAGGCCCCAAATAGAGCGACCAATTGACTTGCTACATGGAGACGCTCCGAGGACTCAAAGAGTGCGCGAGGAGCTGGAGAGCCATCGTCCGACGTCGGCGACGATGGGAAGCGCAGATACGCACTGGCGTATTCGTCGATTATGCTGCTATATAGCCTGTAATATTCCTGGGGGGGGATTATAAAACTGAGAAAACGGGAAACGGCTCACAAGGATGTTGAGCACGCCCACACGTGTTAGGAGGTTGCATGATTCATCGCGGGGTAAGGTGTCGAAGGTTCCTGTGAGATCGTCAGAGATCTGAACAAACCGTGATCGTGATCGCGGTTCGGCTCCCCCGAACACCGCTGGAGTCGCCCTCAAGAGCTGCCTGCGGACCATTGCGAACGCCGGCAGAAGCGACCAGCGCAGTGTGGATCCTCGAACCCATTCGTGGCACCAACCCTCGTCCACTGTTTCTGTCGCGGTAGATGGCGCATCGCGTGACGGGCGGGCGGGAGTTCTATTCGAATTCGACGGATCCGATTCGTCTCGCTTCGCATGGCCGCATCACCAGCGCTCGTGCAGTCCCCGCCTGCTTCCTTCCCTTTCTTCCCTTCCCGCTTCATCTGCGTGTTCTCCCTTTTCCCGCTCATCTTTCCTGTCGTTAGGCGCTCGCTATCTATTTCAGTAGAGTGCCCGATATAGTGGGATACGCGCTCTATTGGCGCTCCAGCACAGCACGCCTCATGAGCACAAGCGCGCCAACCGACCTCGAGCTTCGTACGTCCATCATCATCAGCCTTCCCTATCCTTCCCCATCCAGCTACTCTGGTTGCACGCACTGATCTGTGCACAGTTGCTACCGTCAAGCTCGTCCACATCTTTGGCGGAATATTCATGTATGCGCGCGATCTTCGTAGAAGCTTGCCATACTTGCTGATGCTTTCTCTGTATCCTGCGTAGATGGGAATTCGTGACGAGCGTTGGTTTTGAGTGGAATGTCTATATGCGGAAGAGGCCATGGCGGCGGTCGATGGGTGTGCGTGTCTCCCTCTTTCCATTCTCTTTCGTCCAGTTCGCGCTCAATGTGCGCGCGCGCAGGTCTATGTCGCATGCCGCATCACCACTCTCATAGCTGTTGTGATTGCATTTGTCGGTTTCAATGTCTCTTCGGAGGTTTCCTGTGAGGTGAACGCGCTCTATATCTTCTCTTCTCTTCTGCGTCTATCTAAATATAGCTCTGTCTACCTCGGATCTGCCTACGCATATAGGGATGGTTGCGCAGCCTCCTTGTACGCATGACCCTTTCACTTGGCCTTTCGACCTCATGCTAATCTTCTTTGTTCTGTTACGCATATGTATGCCCCATCAACCTCGCATACATTTATATGACTCTCTGCACCCCAGGTCTTCTCATACGGCGCACTCGCGCTCGCGTCGCTCCTCATCGTCTTTCGCGGGCACGTCTGTCTTTCATCTCTCCGTCATTTTGCTCATTTCGCATCCATATTCTCTAATATGGTCTCCCTATAGTGTCGCGATTTGGGGTCGCCACAAGCTCGTGCTCGCGTTCACGGTCGCTGTTTGGCTCACGAATGTCGCGTTCGCATTGTACAGTGCGTGTCTTATCCCTCTTTTCTAGGACAGCGTTCATTGTATATGCTGCACTGCCAGGTATCCAACAGGTATGTCACACCCATCCACCTCACCCACCAATTCATCTCCAGCCTACTCATGACACACCTGTGAAGGCTGAAGCGCACTGGACGGGTGACTCTTGCGTCGCGCGCAACACCGCACAGATGCGCTCCGGCGTAATTGCGAACCTGGCAACGGATGTTGTGCTACTTGCGGTCATGTTCGCCGGCGTGCTACACAAGCGAAACTCAACCGCCCTTTGGAGGGTGCTTTTCGTCCAGGTACGTGTATGCGTTGTTTTGAAATGCAAGGGCCTTGGTTTTCGAAAGCCTGAGTGCGTTGTGTGTGCATTCAGGGCATCGCGTGGATCTCCTTAGCCCTGCTTACTGAGGTACCGGCTGCAGTGCGTTCCAGATTCTTTATGTTCTCCTTTTTAAGGCTATGGACCAACTGAGTGTTTCTCTCCTCGGGCGTAATTATAGGTATTGAACTGCCTGAATATTAGCGGTATGTGTCGCGCCTGAATCCAAAGCAGGATATACGCGCGCTCATCCGCTTGGCTTGGGATTTATAGATGCGTGGAATTTTGTGCGTAGCCGAGCTTTTATACACCGGAACTGATTAGATGATTGATCCATCTGTGAATATACCCTGATAGATGTTTCAAATTCCACATTGTAAGCTTTTCGGCTTCATGCATAGATCCGCACTCCTGACATTCTCTACGTCGCGCATGATTTCAGTGACAGTCATGTGAGTCCACTTCCGCTCACCTCCGTATGAGACGTGATGTCTCAACCCTATCTCGGCTGCATCGTCGACTATCTGTCCGCGCAGGGCTATTGTCGCGACGACCGTCTACCGACGGCTCTCCTTATTCATTGCTCCTCTTCGGTAAGTGTTTTTAGGTTCTGTCGATTGTATTATTCTCAGCTGCCTTATTCTATTTCTTGCATACTCGCCCTGCCTCGTCTTCAACACAGTCGCCCCCACTCCATCCACCGCAACCTCACCGCGCCCAATCGTTACGCACCCAACCGTGCACGTGCCCGCCGCGCTGCCGCCGCGCGCTCTTCAACGCAATCGATCCCTCAGACACCGCGCACACCTGTCGACATCCCCGTGGGTCCGTTGGGCGTGAGCGGGTACGGGTACAATACGCAGGGCGGCTTCGGAGAAGACGAGGAGAGGGGGGTGGATGTCATCGTGCTGGAATAAACCAATTGAAGAGGGGGAGGGGGAGGGAGTGCTCAAGATGCTGTACTCTGTATCTGCGAGTGCCGAGGTTTGGTCTGGTCGATGCGCGGGTTGCAGAAGTTAGGCGCACTTGGGTAGCGATGCCAATATGCCCAAAGGAGGAGATCGAGTGTGCCTCCTCGGTGGGCTGCAGGCTGAGGCGATCGTACAATTTTCTTCGAGCTATTCATACGAGAACATTACAGAGGCCGATCTCACTCCTGGTCCCGCATAAAGTGCTCATAATTTCTGACACTATACGACTGCTATACGACATCCCCTTTGCTTCCGCAATCAGGTCCGGTTGAGCGATTGCTCCAAGGTTCGGAAGACGATGATGCACCCTTCTGAGATCTTTCATTGAGCCAGCTCATAGTTTCCCCGGTGACCTCGGGCTCTACTGTGCGGATTGAACACGCTTGCTGGAGGATTCATCTCGGCGGGGCATCGGAACAGCTCGAGAAGAACTGGAGTCAGATTCGCAGGATCCAGACTCTTGGAGGGCAGAGTCGTCGTTGAGCGGTGCTGTGGAGTAACGTCCTTAGCCTGGCTTTCACAGCTGAGTTTGAGGCGGCGGTCAGACATCGTAGCAAGTGTGATCAGATATAGAAAAACTGAAGCTGTCTTCGTCCGCTACACGCTTGGGACAAGTGCAGTAAATAGTCTCACCAGCCGCGCACCCACAGGGCATACAACTGAGACTGGACCGTGTGTGCGCTGAATGCGGTGCGCCTCGTTTTCCCCCGCCCTTCCCCCCCTTGGCATGGTGAATGGTAGGGTTCCGCGAGTAATTCACGGAGCATTTCTAACATTTGTTAATAACAAAACCTCCTCTGAGGATTTATTAACATGTGTTAATAACGAATTAAAAACAACTGTTAATAACGAATTGAAAACAACTGTGAATAATGAATTAAAAACATGTAAAAAAACGATTTATTTACATGTAAGAAATTAAAGTGATGTTAATAGTTCAGAATCACCAATCCTAGTCAATCTATAGGGCAGGGATGGAAGGAGGAATGACTGGAGGAGGGGGAGGGAGAGTTGCCAATAGTAAATACCTTGGGGTGTCAGAGAGAAGATTGATGAACACCTTATCATGAATACCAAACTCCTTCACAATCTTCAGCATGGATGCCCAGCACAGAAGTGCTGCCTCTGGGCCATCAGTGTCATTGGTTTCTGAGTTATTATTAGTATTGGAGCTATTAAAGGTGAGCATGTCTTTATCTGCCATGTCAGCCATAAAATTGGGTACTGAGTAAGAGACAGTGGCCTTGAGGTCCTGCCCAAGGCTGCAAAACTTTATGGTAGGCTACTTCTTGGGTGTCTGGCAAGTGTCTCTAGTCTAGCAATCATAAGTGGCAGAGCACCATGATTACAGCACAAGCAAGGGACATACATACTTAGCTCTGAGTTAAACTATGTGAACTTCGAGCATATCCACTCATCCAGCATCAAGTTCATAATAATTGAGAAGATTCTCTCAGTGAGCATCTAGAAATGAAAAGAAAGAAGTTAGTAAAGACAAGCTGTGATGCACTGCAAGAACATTGGCTTCCAAGTCCACAAGAAACTGCCACCACTAGCCCAATACATTGCTGTCCTGCACAGGCTTGTGTTACGACTGCTCGTCGGTAACCCCAAGAGTAGGAGGTTCTTCCCTAGGTCACTCGTGGAGGATGTGTGGAACAGTGGCCTCGACTGTACGTGTAGCACAGGAGCCAGGAGTGTATTGCGATATAGCAATGAAGGGTACTGTAGGAAGACAGTACTGAACGAAGGTTCCTGTATGTGGAGATACAGGAGAACGAAGTAGACAGTGTGAAGACTGCCTAAGAACGAAGAGAATAGACTGAAGATCGTCAGCCTATTCTATGGGCCTTTTATACTACTTTGGGAAGTAAGGCGTGAGAATACCGAATATGTATCTGTAGGTATTCTCTAAGTCGTCTCTCTCAACAACGACTACTCTTGTGCTTCTCCGTTGGTCTCCTTCCGGCCAGGAGAGACTAGGAGGTTCATGCCCTGCGTGTGAGTAATTTATAAGGCGGCGTTCCATGCCCGCTAATACAATAGGCCCGTGATACTCGACCAACGATAAGGTGATCCGTTGGGAGTGGATGACCAAGGTTAATATCTGTACCTTGGTGTACGCCTCAACCTGTGAGGCCGCGTGATATTTGTGATGATCGTATCGGTATAGACCGCCGTGTAGGCCCGATAGAACGTGATCATAACAATACCCCCTTTCTACGTCCTATTCGCCTGGTAGGACAGCGCTGTGCGCTTCATCGCCACTCCATATACGATTTGCTTTCTTGATCCAACGATGGTCTCCGGATGCGACTTCCGAGACATGACTTCGTTTTCTGGGAGGAAGACCGACTTACGTCGTTTGATCCTCTAGGAGTTTTCCATCTCCGTTGAGCTGTTTGTTTGTTGAGTCGTGAGGGTATCCAGGCCTCCGCTCTCTAGGGTGTTCTTCCTTCACCCGTGGGATTGATTTTGCCGCGGGTAAACCTCATCGCGGTCTTACTTCCAGCCCGCTTCTGGAATAGCATCAAGAAAGGCGTATGAATGCGAGTGGTGTGTGGATGTGTAGAAACTCTAGCGTGTGGGTTCCGATTCGTGTCATCAGGTTCTTCTTCTTCCTTCTCCGAGGGCCAAACCTCAGTGTTTCCAGGATAGTCGTCTATCCTCGTGATTTGTTGTTCCTCTCGACGACAGTGGGTGGCGCCCATGGACAAGTAGGTTGATCGCTTTACGAAGGCTTAGGCCTACTTCTCCAGGCTACCAGTCATGACGCCCCAAGCAGTATCGCTCCCATACGGTGAGCTCATCTCCGGTGAGGTTGCAGCCAAATCCCAAGCAGTATTGTCCCCATACGGTGGACTCATCTCCGGTGAGGCAGTTTACGGCGTCCAGAGTTTGTTTTTCACAAACGTGGGCCTATGGTGGGGAATACCACGTGTAGTGTTGGGTTCGAGGCAAGGATGTGAAGAGAATTTAGACTTGAAGGGTGCAGCGAGGAATAAGGAGGAGTCTGACTCCTTTTTCCGGGTCTGCCCGTTCGCTTGCACGAATTTAGACATCAAGACCACGGCTGATATATTGGTCGGGGTGCGAGATATATCCACGACTGGCAGTTTAAAACGTCATGCGGGACGGTCCGTAGTTTATCGTCATTTCGGACGATCCGTAGTTTAATCGTCTTTGCGGACGTCCTTCATCATCAACATGGGATACCTGTGGGGAAAGATGTTTCTGCACGCCGGAATTTCCATCGGTGATGTGCATAGGGCCATAGACCAGACTTTACCCGCTCCAGATCCCACTGAGGCATGATGGACGGTTTATACTATATCAAACCGGATAACTTGTACGTCTCAATCTCAGGAGACCGCTCAGTTTAATGCCGTGAGGTAGGCATCCTTGCAGTTTAACGCCGTGCGATAGGCGGATTGCAGTTTAACGCCGTGCGATAGGCGGATTGCAGTTTAACGCCGTGCGATAGGCGGACTACCGTTTGACTATGTCCCTCGAGTCACGATAGGCTTTTCCTCCGAGGATGAGGGTAGTTTAATGTCATTTCGGACATCGTCGACACATTCTCGTCAAGAATGATGTCGACCGATGATCCCTATACTAAAAGGGACAAGTAGTTTAACGTCGTTGCGGACGATTCAGCACCAGAGTGATGAATCACAACTCCTGTACGGTAAGGAGCACGTAGTTTAATGTCATTGCGGACCGATTGACACCATGGCGGTCAATCCACGACTCCTATTCGGTAAGGAGCAAATAGTTTTCCGTCGTTGCGGACGCATTGGCGGCCAGGGGATTGGACGTCAATGACAACCCCTAGGTCAAGGGGCACCTAGTTTAACGTCGTTGCGGACGCGCGGTATCTTGTCAAGATCGCCACGCACAATCCCTAGAACGAAGGGACAGTAGTTTTACATCATTTCGGATGCCCGTAGTTTACCGTCGTTGCGGACGTCGAGATACCATTGGCCTCGAACAATCCCTATGTGGAAAGGGACAATAGTTTAGCGTCATCGCGGACGTTGTTTCGCCACAAATATTGTGGAAAAACAATGCTTAGTTTAACGTCATCCCGGACGCGACCTAGTTTTACGTCGTTTCGGACGTCGGGCGGAATAGACTTCGGATGAGTGGCCCGCTCTTGTCGTTCTTCCGCTATGTGGGCCAGACGAGAGTCGCGTGATCTAGTCCCTTCCCACTAGACCTTCGACTCGAGGCACGTGTCCTAGTTGCCTCCTGACTAGGTCTTGGAGCGGAATTTCTTGTACTTCGACTCCAGGACTAGACTGAGCGCTCCATGAAGAGATGCTTGCTCTTCCATGTCCTCAGACCCCTCGCTTGGATTTGAACCAAGACGACCCGATATTCTTTTACCGAAAAGCGAGTGAATATCGGAAGCGCTTCGACCTTTTATAGGCAGGGTTCTGTGACGCGAGTCCTTCCGCGCTTCGCCAGAATGCAACCACGCTCCTTGGGTCAATGGTAGTTTTACGTCATCTCGGACGATGGTAGTTTTCCGTCGTTTCGGACGAAGACTAGTTTAACGTCATTGCGGACCCTAGTAGTTTATAGTCATTGCGGACCAAGCCTTTGGTAGTTTTACATCGTTCCGGATGTAATTTGTGGCCTCGCATCATTAGGAAGACTTGTGAGGTAGAGGCGGCCCGCTCTCTACATCATCTCATGCGCCAGCTGTAGGATCCCCTAATGCGGAAACGATCCTGTAAAACGGGAGATCCAAAGTGGGACGTCCCAAAACACCAGTCAGACCTTGACTGTGAGGGTTCACGATACGAGTTATGCATCATAATTTCTTGACTCGGACTTGCAACCGGTTATGTATGGGCACTTCGCTGTACCAAGGCGAAGGGCCTGCTTGTCGACACCTACGAGTAGAGTATATGTCATGTAGAGGGTTCCCTAATGCGGAAAAAACCCTGTAAAACTGAGGATCCAAATGGGACGCTCGATGCATCTGTCAGATTGACTCCTTGACAGCGAGGATGTGAAAGGTTTCCGCCGTAGGTCGTACGTGGAATTATGCCCGCTGTTGTCCTTGATTCGTACCATCATTTGAACCTAGGACTAAATGGTCAGGTACTTCCCCTGCCTTCTTATCTTTTCACAGTTTTAAGACATGCAGGTCCGATAGTTTAGACGTCATTCCGGACGCGGGGTAGTTTAACGTCTCTTTCGGACGAAGGTCGTACAGTTTAACGTCTTGAGGGACGATCCTAGTTTTACGTCGTTGCGGACGATTGTAGTTTTACATCGTTTCGGATGTAATTTGTGTCAGGGGAAAGGAGTTCCTCAACTTCCTTACCCCCTTTCTTCTCCCTAGGCCCTATTATTAGTCCGTTTAATAATCGAAGGGTCCTTGATAATCCCCGCCCCCTTCGTCAGGTCGGTAGTAGGGGTCCGCGTCGTCGTAATTTCCTGGATCGTCTAGAGCATCCCATGCATCGAGCTCGGATCTAGTCCAAGAGCTATTTCTTCGAGCCTCCGAATCAGCGCGGCGAGTTCTGCGGCTACTTCGGTTATCCTCTCTTTCGTTCGTACGAAATCGAGCACTAGGAGGAGGCGATCCAGGCCGGTGTCGAATACTCCGGCCAGCAGTTGTTCCGCGTCCGAGGGTTGCCTAGTTTCCCCGACTCCGCCTCCCCTCGTTTCTTCGATAGACGGGCGGTTCCTCCTCGTCGGTATTTCCTTGGGATAAGGGAAAACCTCGTATCCGGTGAGAGGGGGGAGTCGCGGTATGGCTATGCGCTGTAGGAACCTCTCGTTGTCTCGGTGGAGGGCGCTCCACGACCGTACGCGGAACCCTTCTTGGATTTGATACAGGCGTGGGATGTTCTCCGGGACGTGGTACGTTCCAAGTGACAACTCGGAAAGGGTCGGTTCTGCTTGGTTGGACGTTTCCCAGTTCTCCTCCGAAGAGGAGAGCTGGAAGGAGCTCTCGGTTGACATATTGGGAGAACTCGTCAGGGTGGATGAGGAGGGCTCAGGGTCGCCCGTCATTATGGGCGTACCAGGAGGCTGTGTCCGGGTCGGTTTGGAGGGCAAGCGTCCTGATCTGGAGACTGGCACTAGCCAGTCGTCGAGGTACGTCGCTATGTTCATTCCCGGGTTGTCCTGCCGAGAAGTTAGCGAGTCTTTGGAGGGCCATGGCTGTGGCCATTTGTATTACCGCGGAGATGGTGTTCCGCTGGAGGAGCGCGTCCGCGTGTCGCTCCAGTTCTCCGGTGTGAGGATCTGTACGAGGGGTAG